CATGAGTTTGACATGTACACAGTGCTTCTGCCAATGTTTCCGCCTCTCTCTCTCTGTCGCTCTCTGTCGCTCTCTCTCGCTCTAGTGTACTACGTAGTAGAGTACTCTTCCCCAATTCCAGCTCGGGGGAGATTGGGGTAAAGTTTTCGCAAAAGGGTTGGGCAGAGAGATGTCTGTGCATCTTCGCTCTATTCGATTTATGGTTTGATGTTTCAAAATACTTTTTTATTTTTTTATTAATAGTCTTTAGAGTTTTCGCGAAGCGCTGGGCGGGTTTGAGTGTATACTATGGCATGTGTTATGGCGAAAGTTGTCGCTGATGACCTTTTTTTTTTTTTTTTTTTTTTTTTTTTTTTTTTGCGATCAGGACGCCCGCATGGTGCCCCGGATCTTGGGTTGGGGGAAACTTGGTCATCTTTTTTTTACCCTCCCGCCAGAATCCATCGGACTTGTATGATTGACGCGACTGTGCTTTACTGAGCGGCTTGGTTACGTGCTTACGTACGTGTGCTGATAACTTTGCCCTTTCGTCATTGCGTTTGTGCAGCTCAGATCGGACTGGGACTGGTTGATGACTGAGTGTGTTCTCATTGTTTGAACAATGTACGGACGGAGGCAAACGTGCTGTGCAGAACTATGCTTTCCGCTGCTTTTTTTTTGGGCTGTAGATCTGCCTTTGACGACGGCCATGTAGACCTACCTCACTGAGTGTGGGTGTGTGTCAGTGGCACCGCTGTCGATGAGCTGTGCCGACTTTCGTCTGATGTGATTAACTCCGGGGCTGATGTTACTTTTTTATCACTCGTTGGACGATCCGCCTGATAATTCCCCAAATTCACTCCGGTTGCCGACCGGGCTGCATATGTACGTGTGCCTAGATCTGCAAAAGCTACGGTCGCGATATCGAGATCGGAGGAGGGGTGGGCTTTGGTGATTGAGTTTTGTGGCTATGAGATATCCCCAATGTCAGACGCTCGGTCGGGACGCAGAGTTTCTCTGGCCTGGTTGGACGAATATCCAGAGTGGTGGTGGTGGGTATGGGTGCTTTGCTGAGAGGAAAGGAAAGTGGGAGCGAGAGATATCGGACGGTCGACGTCACTTTCGGCTCATTATTGAGTATACGGGAGTGGCTATGACGAGCGAGGTTCATCACAGCCTTTTTTTTCCAAAACTAGACCCCTGGTTGACCTTTGTGAATGGCATACGAAGTGTGTGGGGGGGGAGAGAGACAATATACGGACGGGCCGTGTTGGTTAATGCTGACGTCTTCTAACTTCATGCCGCCTGTGATGTGGCTGTAGTATGCTTACTGTTCAACGTTTGTTCATTGGCTTCGAAATCTAGGTTCAGGGGTCTCAAATAGGCCCTGCTATGAGTAAGGCATCGAGGCTTACATGAAAGCTTCGTGATAGCTTGTGGCCACTGGGTCACGACGTTGAGGTAGGTTGTGGAGGTGAGGCTAAGTGTGGATGGTGGTGGGTTGGCCGGCAGAGCCTCATTCATGTCAAGGGACTGCCCGTTCTTGCGGGCGGCGATGCCGTGTTGCTTTGAGTCTTATAGTCTGTCTCTCATGACACGTGAAGCTGGCTATCATGTTTGGAAGGACTACGTCGGCTGGGCTTTGCGCTGGTGGTCCGCGGAAGCTCAGGAACCTGCTTCGAGCTTCGAGCTCGTTGTGGGCCGCGATGCCCAGCTAGCTGGACAGACACGCTACTTTGACCTGATTTTGCAGAGGACCTGCGGGTCAAGGCTAGCATCATGCAGTCGATGCCGCACCGGTAGGGCTCCTATCCTCGGCTCGCCGTCTAGCATGACGGAGTCTAGCTCGATCGTGGGTACTCGACATGCCAGGCGCGCTAACGTTCTTTTTTGCTCCAAATGCTATTCTGAACCGGCTTCTCTTTCCAGTTCCCAAATAGAGATGCACCCCCAGGGGAAGGAGGGTCCTAGGACGGCAAGACTGGGATGGATAGATGTCGGTACGTTTCCGACATGGTGCTCGCTCTCCGGTTTGTGGGACTTTTGGCACGAAAACAGCGACCGAACTCCGCTTCACTGTACGGCTTTCGGAAGATGCGGAAAACCTAGCCAAGGTGGTAGTGCGGCTTTTAATGCCGATTCGGCGCGAAAATAGGAATGGAGGAACGGCCCTACTACGAGAGATGGTGGATAAGCATGACGGGACTTGGTGGTAGCTAGCCCTTTGATTCTCCACACGGATGAGTAAGTGGGAACTCCTCGGGACGAGGGTTCAAGAAGTTAGGATGGAGGAAACGGGGGGGTTGGCAGACTTGGTGGTTTATCGCCAGTGAGGCCCATCTTCTCGCGCTAGTCAGTCATGGGGTATCTACATGCCGTGAGGACCAACGACGTTGGACTTGGAATAGTGGCACTTGCTAACGCTATGGCCTAAGCCTCACCGTTAGAGGTAAATACCAGGCTGCCGTTGACTCGAGATATTCGTTAGCAGTAGTATATACCTCGGCGTTTCCGCGGCCATCTATACACTCGTCACATCCATGGTGCGAAATCGGCCTGTTACTTGCCAGCCTTGGTTTTTTCTTCGTGCGCACTAGCTCTGGCCAGTTCTTGACCGACATTCACACAGACCGCACTCGACCATAGGTACGAGTACACGACGGGCAAAGGCGTGGCCATTTTGTTGTGTCTTGAGGAGACGTAGAAACGGGTGTAGCTGCCCATCGACAGGAAACTGACCAAGGCTTCCCCTACGCGTGGCTAGACATTGTGAACAGCTGTATGGTTATCATTTACACAAACATTCATAGCCACGAACGATTTTGTAGGTTCTCATCCATAGCCCCGGCGTTGGTGTAGCTCCATTCCTACTCGTACAGCATTGGCTCAGACTTCTCAAGTTTATTTTGAGAGATACTGGCTACAGTGTTGAGTATGTGAAATCATGAGCGAATTCGAACATCAATTGTACATTGTTTTGGGAGTATATGGCTGTTCCACCACTTACCTCGTGTCAAATTTGCAGAAGGGTAGCTGCTCAGTTGAGCCATGTGTTGATAGATAGAGAACTTGCGTCAGGACACCCAATACGGCAGTAGGATTAGACACTATCGCATAATTCGATGCTTGCCACAAGTATTTTTCCAGCTCAGAAGGTTTTAAATAAGTTGTCTTCTGGTTGACCTGTTGAACATAGACGGGTCGCTGGCTTTCATGACACTGACCTTTGTTGCGTCCTGAAACCCTAGATGTCGCCTTGGGTACTACGAGGCCTCAAGTGGAACTCCAGAATAAATCACAGCATCGTACCGAATGTTTCTTACAAAGCTTCTCAGCATTTGGCAAGCAAATATCTAACGAGGTTTCCTTGCGCAGCGCTTGTGGCAATTCGTTCATCGGCGCTTCGAAAGCCTACACAACCACTGAACTTATGACTGGTATTAGTGAGCATAAACAAAGCTACAGGGACCATCATGGCTGATCCCGTATGGTCAGCAGCTTCACAGTGAGTCTTCATCTTCAGTCGGTAGTTGAAAATATCTCTTTCCGCAGCGACGTGACAGGTGTAGGACTGCTGCTTCCAAAGTGAGTCAGAAAGAATCTTCAACTGAACTACTACTTGGAAAGATTTGAAATATTTTCGAGCAAATACAGCCCGCTAAGAAACTCATAGAAATCACGCGACTACTGGCAACGGTTATATACGGTGTAAATGTTGCCCGAAACTACCCTCTGTGGTGCTGCTCGGGCGGAAAACGCAGGATCAAGACACATAGTCAAAGAGGCACACGGATGGCCCTTCGAGCTAGATGGTAGGACAATTATATACACCTGAATGCCCCAATTGTAGTAAAATAAATAGGCCCGAAGGTGTCTTCCGTGGGTAAGTGGCCACAGGTAGCCTTTGCAGTCTTGTGGAACTTGATATACTGTGGATGTGTCGCATGGCACCATACCACATGTTTTCAGAGCCTATCATTGTGAGCGGTGCGTAAAAAATCGATATCAGCGGTTTTGCACAATTGTTGCCTTGTAAGGTCGAGCCCATGTACCGTATCACAGTGGCACATCTGATAGCTGAGTCGCAACACTTGGCCTGTAGATAACCGACATTTTCGGAAGCCTGTGAACGACTCGCACGGGTGGACTATTTGCCATCGCAACGGCAAGTCATGCCCGCAGTCTGGTAAAAATCTCTTGTGGGCCATATTGGTAGTTCCAACCAGTGTATAAATCACTAATGAAGCTACCAATCTTTCCACACTAATTGGTGGCCCTGTTAGTGTTGTCGTGGCCTCTTGTGTATATTGGTGGAGTGACCAATAGACTTTCCATGAATATGGTTGATACCATGGTCATAGTTTTACATTATTGCGAGCTCCTTGGCTGTAAACCTGACATCTCCTTAGCGTAAACCCATACAACGAATCATCTCGCTCAGCCGTATGGCTCCATCTTTGCGTCCGTTTGTGCTTCTGCCTAGAATCGTCCCAATGAAACCGCCAATTGACTGTGGTCCTTCTCGTAATTATATTTCCATTATTGAACAGCAGCAAATATCAAAGTTCATATTAAAGATATCCCTTCTAAACCGTTATGTAGAAAGTGATATTGTTGACTAGGTGTTACGTGTCATCGTGGTGACCGGAAGAACGTACATGTTCGCTACAAGTCCAATTTTTCCCCTCGGACATACAAACATCAATTAAGCTTAAATTTCACTCATAAGAAATATGGGCCAGTCCTACGGGTTGTTCTCTCGGTTGTGTTGGCGATTCTTTGGTAACTTGAGCTCCCCCAAGGTAGCCTTATCCGCAAGTCTGGCTCAACAGGTTGTTTCTTGTATCAAGGCAAAGTTAGCGGAGATACCTTTGAGGAATCAATTAAATCAATGCAAACATCCGCTATTGAGCCAGTTTTAAGGCACAAAGCGAATCTTTATATTTCAATCTGACATTCAACAAAAAAACTAGACTTTTGCTTCATTACCTCGCGACGCAATCATTGTCGAGATAGAGAACATGAAGTTCACCAAAACATCGCTCTTCTTCGTCTCCGCCGTCTCACTCTCGGCTGCGAACCCCATGGCTCGCAGTCCGTACGACGAGCTCACAAGCCCCCATAACCGACACAGTGGAGGCAACGTACGCAAAGCCAACAATCTCGTCACCTTTGCTCGCCGAGTCTTTGGTGTCCCAGTCTCCCGACCTACTGTCACGCTCCGAGATGTCGATGCTCCAGCATTGCAAACCTCCGCCTTTAACGACAAGAGTCTGCTCGATGAGACGGCTCGTGAGATTGATTTGAACGACAGTGGCTCTAGAAAGCCTCACCTTGTCGAAGCTTATACCGCTAAGCCACCAACTCAGCTTTTTGCAACTAGCCTGACAGTCCTCAACGTCTCCCAAGCCGCTCTCCAGGCCAACAACATTTCAACATTCACCCTACCCATACCTAATATTGTGGCTTCCGCCCTCTCGACCGACGTTTCCTCCGACCCCAAAGGCTCCTTCAAGTTCAACTTTACACTAACGGGCGGGGACGGCAGCAAGAAGAGAGCCAACTTCACCATAAACTGGCCCCCGGTCGAGGAGAGCACGAAGTCAATGGCATTCACAAAGTGCCATCTGACACTAAAGGAGACTACGATGATGCGCCTGGGCAGAACATGGGAAATTCGAGCACAACCCATCAAAGATATCCCTGCCGTCTGCAATAACTTGTGGGAAAACCTCAAACAGCATGGCTCATGTGCTCTGCTGGAGAAACCTGTTTGTGGACAGGATGAGGAAAATGAGGGACATCTTATTTGGCGGTTTAATATCGACTTGGGCTGCACCAAGAAGATGGTAGAGTCGACCTGGCGGAAAGCCACAGAAAACGAGACTGGCTTGGTAGAATGTGCTGATGTATAACGCAGTTCATGGTTGGCACTCATTTAGTTATAATAGTTTATGAATGGGCAAACAAAGTCGTAGTATACTGGCTTCCCTGAATTGCTCTCAGTGAAACACCAGTTCCGGTAAATACTAGCGTTCTCCAACGATGCTGCCCATTCATCCAACGACTGGTGAGAAAAGACAGGACATAACTCGAGTCAGCTGAGCAATTGATACGCCGAGAGATCTTCTTCACAAACCTACTTGGACTGACAAGGACAAATAATAATAGTGAAAATATTCGCAGAGCACACAGTAAAGTAGGCTTGACACAGGCAAAACCTAAACCTACATGGTGAAATCTCTGAGCAAGGTCCGCCGTCTCCTGGACGTATTTCGTAAATGTGTTGGCGACAATGGAAAGGAGTAGAGGAAAGGAGTGGATAATAAAACCGAGGCCAGGGCCCACGACGCACAATAATGTCCCCTCATGCACAATTGCCCGATTGTTACTCTTCACTGACGTCACCAAGTGTTGTATGCTTTATGTATCCGTCATGGTTATAATAACAGGCTTCGTTGAAATTCAAGTCTCAGCAATATGGCCTCTCCAGGTATTCCATGCACCTTTCAAATCATCGTACATCGACACAAGCTGTTAAATTTGCGTCTACAGCACTCAGGTGTCTTGATACAACACTTTTACTAAAAGCAGTATGTTTCAACTTAACACGCAAAACCATGTCGTCCTGGGGTCACAAAAGCTCGGAAATCTCCAGTCGCCACGTAAACATTCACACAATCGCGACGACTCTTACAGATACAAAACCAAGTTCTTGACTGATGTTATAGGTACTGGTCAGAGCAGCGTTGGTCAATATGTCGTCCAAGCGCGCAACAGTTCCACAGATTGCAGCTCAAGCGCCGTCAAATCAGTGGAACCGCAACTCCGGACCACAAAGTACGTTTCAGCAAACGCACATGACCCCGACGGGAACAGCGCGGCTCTTCTGAAGTCTTACCTGGCGGAGCACTAACGCTCGGCCGGCCCGGGAGCCGCGCAGGAACACCGACCCGGACGTTGCCCCGAATCGTGCATCTTGAGGTGATCGGAGTGGGGGTCAGCTGCGACTCTGGTCCACTGATGCGCATGTCACAGATGGGAAGCATAGTGCATGAAGCATTTGTCTATAGTTCCAAGGGCGCAAAGCGCTTCCTAACAAAATATCTCTAAGTGAACACGAAACCAAATCAAGAACAGATACAGACGCGGAGCCCCGGGATTTTACTCTCACGGGGCCTCGGCGGAGCCATTCGTGATGCCGAGGGAACTGTGCCAGCCCCCCTAGACGGGTATAGAGTTTGCACCCGTCATTTTACCACCCGGCCCGACCCAAATCCCAATAGCCTTTCCAGGTATTGTTTCCATAACGCCGTCTCTTAATGCTTAGCCGTGACCTTGTCGCCAGTGATCTTCTCGACATAAGTCTTTGCCCTATAGTTACCGATTGGTTAGCGCGATCCACTTTGTATGTTGTGCGGAAGAACTTACATGTCACCCAAAGCAACCATGCAAACCGTCTGCCAGATGCCGAGACCAATACGGGGGGCAACGCCGCGGTAGAGACCGGAGAGACCGTTAGTCTGGTAGATGTAGCGGAAAGTGTTGCCGACCGTCATCTTCTTGGGTCGGTTGGGATCCTCCTTCTTGCTCTGCATCTCAACGCGGATAACCTCAATCGGCTGGTTCCAGGCGCTGAGACCACCACCGAGACTAGAGGCGAGAATCTTCTCCCAGGCGCTGAGCTTCTGGCCCTCCTTCTTGCCAGTAATGTCGCGGATGCTCTGCTCAGCCAGACGAGAGAGACCAAAACGGGAACCCCAGTTAGTCATTTGACGGATGGCGACGGCATTGACACCCTTGTTAATACCGCGGATACCTTCCTTGCGGTAGATGTCCATGAAAGTAGCAAAAGTGCTCTGGGGCTTGACGCCCGCGGCGGCCATCTTGTGCTTGGTGATCTCGACCGTCTTCATGCAAGTGCAGAAACCCATGGTGGCATAAGCCTGGGCAACACCACCGGTGATACCGCCAATGATACCACCGCCGAACTCGGAAGCGCCAGCGTTGCGGGCGTAGAACTCGGCCTCGGAGGCGACGAAAAGGAGAACGGCGCCCTTGGTGGAGGCTTCAATCCAAGCCCAAGGGATAAGACCCTGGTAGACTGAAGGATGTCAGCATTCAAAGTGTTTGTGCGAGTTGTGACTCAATCAGATCCCATCAAACTCGTGATGATATTCATTGCAAAAACGGGGAGGGACGAAAATACTCACAGCCAAGGACTCCGCCACGTCCCCAGATACGGCCCAGGGCAGTGCCAAAGCCGTCGCCACGGTTGGCAGCCATGGTGGTCTTGACGACCTCGAGCGGCTGGCCGAGCGTGGTAACCTCGAACATGTTCAAGCCGGCGCCCAACAGCAAGTTGGAGAACTTGATAGGCTTCTTCTCCAGCTTCTGGGGCTCCCCAATGGGGGCGGGCATAGTGGCGACGGCGACCATGGCTCTGCTACTTGTGATGACGGGAAAGGGCCCTGACCAAGGGAAGAGGGTGCTTCTTCGCGGGGGAGGGTTGTAGTCGTTGGTTTATGGGTATGGGGTAATGCTTGTGAATGGAGCAAGCTTGGAATGGGGAATGCGGTAGGTTGCGGGATAAATGTTAGGAATGACCTCGGATATCGAGCTGTTCGGCAAACGTGTCTCGGAGTATGGCCGAGGCGAAAGGGGCTTTGTTAGGTAGAAAAAGGGACGGAGATGTTCGACTGGGGGAATAAATAACGACAAGAGCGGAGGGATAGGATTGGCTTGTGTCGGGGGGTGATTTAGCGACAAGAACAGGAAGAACAGAAAGAACTTCCGAAAGCTGGGCGAGCGAGGGAGGCGGCACTTTTTGCACGTGGAATCGGGTGGGTTTGGGAAGGAAACAGAGCACCAGGGGGTCTTGAAGCTCCTCAATTTTTTGAATCCAAGCAGGCTAATACCTGGACTTGCTGAGCTGCTGCTGAGCTGCCAATGCGTACATGCGTACATTGCGACGACTCAGCATGTCCTCTAGTCACCCAAAAAAAGCCAATCTGTCCAGTACTGCCTGCTGGTTGGTCCCTTCAGAAGCAATGTAGCCGAGCCCTTGTCACACTCCCCCAATGGCTGCCGTAGCGTAGGTCAGCTTGGCGAATTTGCTCAGGTACTCTGCATCTTAGGTTGGCATGTTAGCAGAGAGACTGGCGTCCAGCGTGCGATAATGTGCCGATTCTCAAGACATCCGTACTACTGCTACTATAAGATGAGACTCCCTTTCCTTCTCCCTGTGCGCCCTTTCGCAATCTGGAACCACCTCACAGGAAAATGCTGGCATGCTAATACAGTTGCAAATTCGTCGCAATGGGTAAGGCAATTGGTATTGCTCTATACTTATCGAGTGCGTCATCTGATGTCAGCTCAACCAAGCTGAAAATAATCAGGAACAAGCGATTGTTTCCTCAGCTTATCTTACTGTGCAAACTCACTCTTCGGGATAGCTGTGGGAGCTGAGGTTCCCGCAATCCATCCCAAAGAAAATACCGAAAAAGAGGGTCTGCTAGCCACAAGTTCCATCAGTGCAGTTGCAGTGCCACTGACTGGCCCGTGTGTTCTCCGCCAACCACACCAAACGGGCACTAAAACGCTGGTCTTGGAGCTCAACCTTCCCAACAGCTCCAGCCTTGTCCCCATTTGGGGAGCTCAACGCAAAATTCCGTGGGGATGTTCCGAGCAGTGGTGGAAAAAAAAAAGGATAACGCCAGCAAAAGAAAGTCTCAACCTGTCATGGCATACAGCCCGTCTGTATAATCGACCTATCCAATATACATCAGCAGCTTTGCTTTCGTTGGCGTATCCCCAAGTGGGCCTTATGCTACAATTGCCTTGTTTTTGCGGTTTCTGCACCCACCACTGACTTTGCTTGGTGCTTGCTTCGGACTCCAAATGGGGATACTGCGTATCCTGGGGCCAGGCTGAGAAGAAAGGGTTCGTATCATTGGACATTCTAGACGCTTAGATAATGTAATTGATGTCAGTGAGGCTTGTGCATGCGTGTCGCTTCTGCATGATGTACAAGCCGACTTTAAGCTAGGACAGTTCCTCAGTCACGCCGCGTCTATCCATCGCGACGTGCATGGTTCTTGTGCTGCCAGGGGGAATAGATCGGCAATTGTTTCCTCTCACCAAGTATCATCTCATCTTCATCGCCTCATGTGTGCATTGTGCTCCGAGCTCTGATAACAATCAATTGTTTGAAACTTCAAATTCGCATTGGTGTATTCGGACGCAAGCCTGCCTTGGCCAAGGTAACTAAAACAACCCAGAAATTCCCGGTAAAAGCAGCCCGTCTTGGTATTGTACAAACGCAGTGGATGGTATCGCCCGGAGCCTTTCTATCCACCCCGACTGAAACAACACGCTGCCCATCATGTCTATTGTTGATCGCTTATGCGACCCTGCTGCCTTTTCAGCGCACGCAACTCTCACGCCCGCATCTTCTCCTATTTTGGTCTCTTCGGTCTCTAGGCGTAAACGCTTAGAGCTTCTTGACGAGCTCGGCCCACTTCTCGGTAGAGAAGGACTTGGGGCGCTCGATGGGGGCGCCGAGAGCGCGGTCGATGATGAGCTGGGGAAGGACACCGATGGCGCGGGAAACACCGAAGAGAACGGTGTAGTAGTTGGCCTCGGTGAGACCGTAGTACTGGAGGAGGACACCAGAGTGGGCGTCGACGTTGGGGTAGGGGTTCTTGGTCTTGCCGTGCTCGGTGAGAACGCCAGGGGCGATCTTGTAGACCTGGGAGACAAGGTTGAACATGGGGTCGTTGGGCATCTTCTCTGTAGGGTTGTTAGCTTCTTCATCGTCTCACCGTAATCGTTGCGGAAAACATACCCTGAGCAAACTTGCGCTGAGCCATGTAACGGGGGTCAGTCTTGCGGAGAACGGCGTGGCCGTAGCCGGGAACGACACGGCCGGCGTTGAGGGTGGACCAGAGGTAGTCAGTGATGGCCTTGTCGCTAAGGTCGTCACCGATGACCTTCTTCATCTCGGTGAGCCAGTTAAGGACCTCCTGGTTGGCCAGGCCGTGGAGAGGGCCGGCCAGACCGTTGAGACCGGCGGAGAGAGACAGGAAGGGAGAGCTGAGAGCAGAGCCAACCAAGTGGGTGGTGTGGGCAGAAACGTTGCCACCCTCGTGGTCAGTGTGGATGGTCAGGTACAGACGCATCAGCTCAACGAAGTCGGCGTTGTTGCCGAAGCCGAGCTGGTTGGCGAAGTTGAAGGAGTAATCCTTGTCCTTCTGAACGGGAGCGACCTTGCCGCCCTTGAAGACGTTCTGGTAGATGCGAGCAGCGATAGTAGGCAGCTTGGCAATCAGATCCATGGAGTCCTCGAAGGTGTATCCCCAGTAGTCCTTCTTGTTCACACCCTTGGCGTAGGCCTTGGCGAAGGAAGAGGTGTGCTCGAGTGCGGTAACGGCAAGGGAGAACTGAGCCATGGGGTGAAGGTCGGTAGGGCAGTGGTCGATGAGCTCCTCAACGAACTTGGGGATGTCGGAACGAGCAGCCCACTCGGCAGAGAGGTCGCGGACCTGCTGCTCGGTGGGAACCTCACCAGTCAGGAGAAGCCAGAAGAGACCTGTATATCTCGTTAGTTGAATTAAACAACAAACAGTTGTGGTAGCTGCCGCTGAACTTACCCTCAGGAAGGGGCTCCTTGCCACCGGGAGCCTTGGGGAGGAGCTCCTGGCACTCGGGGATGGTCTTGCCGCGGAAGCGGATACCCTCCTCGGAGTCGAGAACGGAACCCTCCCAGACAAGGCACTTGATGCCACGGGCACCGCCATAGACCTGGTCGAGGGTCACCTTGTCGATGACCTTGCCGCCGTGCTCCCTGCGACGACCATGTTAGCAGGTGTTGGATTTGGCGAGATGGGGATCAATTGATGTCAACTTACTTTCTGAGGGCCTTGACCTCCTCGATCTTCTCCGGGAGAAGCTCAGCGAAGCGCTCCTTGAGGGTCTAGATGCGAACGTGTCAGCTTCGAATACCCGAGGTAGACGACCGGGCGGGCGGGAAGCTATATTACCTGGTTCTTGGAAGAGTAGCAGCGAGCGGCGTTGAAAGCCGTCAGTCTGGCATTGAAAGGGGAGGCCCTGAGGGAGGTCCTCAGAGCCGAAGAGGAGAGACGCGCGACAGAGGCCATTGTGATAATTCTGAGAGGTGAGGGACTGGTGAAGAATGGAAGTCTGAAGGAGGAAGGAAAGGACTGGAGAAAAAGGCGCAATGGCAAAAAAAATAAGAGATAGGCGTTCCCGGACCTGACCCCCCTGCACGGAAGTTACATCACTTGGGGCAGGCAGGTGTGTACGGAAATACCAATGTACGCCCCCGGGCATACGGCAAGGCCTGTTGCAGCGATGTACCTGTGCTGTGTGTTTTGGCGGGGGAAGGTACAAGACACCCGGTTGCCCTGCAGCGACCGAGCCTTTGGCGCGCTCCTCAACGTCGGCCAAAATGTCCAACAGGACGCCATGGATGATCCAGCAGAAGAAGCAGCCAATTCCAGAACAACGACCGCCATAGCGCTCATGGGAATGAATTGGGAGATTTAGCTGCCGTCAGGCACACTTTCAACCGCCCTTCTCCCTTCATCACTCACTCTTTTCAGAGTCCTTACTCAGTGCCACCTGAGGCTGGTTTCAATCTTGGCGGGATACCTCTAGACTGCCGATACCTGAGGTAGAAAGCAACGGGGGATAGAGAAAGCCCGACAGGTATCGTTTCATGGGCCCCCCCAACCGACTCCAATCAATCTATTCTGTCAATCTTTGGATCTCACCTCCTCAAAGGAGTCTCCGTCTTTTTACGTACCAGACCTTCTGCAAGTATCCACTCATCTAGTAAAATCTGTCCTGCGCACGCGGTCTCCAGTTTGTTCTCCGTATCGACCGCCCCATTTTTGCGCGCGAAAAGCCGAGAAGTGTGGATGTCAAGGCGGCTTCTCTCGGAGCACCTACCCATTGTCCGAAATTCGGAACACCAGCAAGTAGCAACTACACTGTACCCACTGTTTGCACGACGTCGACTTCGCAGTCTTGACTTAGGAAACGTGGCTAAGAGCAATGCGCCTCACGGTGAGACTAGACAATATGTAAAGCAAAGACAGCCTAGACATCCGGGCATCTGGGACCACGGTCCGGACCCCAAGAATCATCCGGCAGCCTCTCAACAATCACCGTGGTCCGCAGGGACTGGACTCAATGCCTGCGTTAGGTACCTTAATTCAGCTGTAAACAGCACAGCGTGAAAGTCAATTGGGGGCTTTGCTGATCCTCCTCGTCCAGATCCAGAGCTCCGAGCTGTCTCGCACGTCTGCCCGCCAGCTCCGAGCCTCTGTGACCCGCTATAGGGCTCAATGCAACCTATGGGGAGCGAGCAGCCGGCCCTCCTGCCTGCTCTGGAGAGAACTTCCAATCGTGGCACAACAGCGGCTCAACCGCCTCATCCGAGGACGTTCTTGCTTGGCCACGCACGAGAGGATGGGGGTTCCGTTCACCCACGGCAAGACAGGCGCTGTTATAGGCCGATAGTCGCGTAACGAGGCTGCCAAGTCACAATAACCACCATCCATTACTGATTGTTTATCCGTAAGCTATTCTAGACTGAGAATATTAAGACAACGCAGTAGTCCAGTCACAATTTCCTTGATAGTGATATCGGGAAGAGCCCATACTGGCAGAACCGAACCTGTCAGCTCGCATTATGCTTTCTATATTCTGTGGCTGTTATTTGGACACGCAGCGGTCTGCAGAAGGCTCCGATGTTTTCGTGTCCATTCTAGGCAATGCAAAAATTGTTGACAGAAGCTCTGGCCAATCCGAGTGTGGAATGACGAGGTATTTCCCATTATTTCCATATTGGCACGCTAGTAAGTTGAACGCTGGAACGGGCCTCTTCGCCAGCTTCCAGTTCCATTCCGATTCAAGTTCGCGGGAGAATCTCGGAAGTGGGGCGATCATCTCGCTTCATCTTCTGGTTAGTCAGCACGACTTTCGGCCTGACCTTGTGAATTCTTGCCTCAGGCCGCCGTAGCAGTGAATTCATTGATGACAAAAGATTACGGCCATTGATCAGGTGCATTCCAACCAAACGCGGCCGAAAACAAGGCGACGCGCATAGACCATCTGCCACCTGCCACCGCCCACAGTAATTCTCTGGCTCAGTGCCCTTCCATTTGTCTCCAAATAGGTCCCAGCTCTCGCCCCTCCCCACCTCTAAATCTTTCTCCTCTGCAACACCACCTCCCTCCCTAATACTACTGACAAACCTCAGCGCATTCTCTACTGCATTACGCCCATCCGCCCCGAGGCCCTAATAACCACATCCCCTTCGAGGCTTCTATCGTATATTGACGAACATCGTATTCCTCTTTCGGGGACCGCAAAGTCCGACCGTGGGTGAAGCCAAAACAAAGAGTAGTCGTCGACGACCTCTGCCATTAGAAATCTCTTCCGTGATCTTGGACGGCTCTTCAAACGTGTCGCACGCTCTGTCCGTACAAGTAGAGAGTCATCTAATCCACAGACTCGAACCATCCGTACTTTGAGAGTGTTGGTCTGCGACGTTCGGGATTTTCTGCCTGCGGCTTGTAAAAAACCAAAAAGAAAAGAATTTTGATCGGGGAAGGAGCACCTGAGTCTGGTCTACCTATTCTTGCTGGGGAAGGAACTTTGGTGGTTCGCGTTGACTCCTTCCACTTGGAACCTCACGTACACACAACCAGTAAATCTCACCCACTGCACAAACTTTCCCTGCGTGCAGACTCCTCCGACTGCTGGCCACCTCAGGCTCTTTATTTTCTGCTTGCACGCCTGCTACCGTCGTCCCTTATCCGTATTTTCAAAATTGGGGCAATCTCTGACAAGAGCTACACCAATTCACTATCATCATCTTCACCTCGCTGCCAACACCATGGCTTCCGCAGTTGCGGACCTAGAAGTTGGCCTCCAGGCCATGCTTGGCCTGAAGCCTCCCGGTGTATCGGGCTCTCGCATCACATCCTTGACCAAACTTTGTGTCGACAACGTTCAGGTACGATATTCGACGCGCGAACGCATCGCCAGCGCCCTGTGACGTAGGCTAACCTTAATTTCTTCGCAGTCTGAATCAGTACTCATTCAAAAGATGTTCACCCACTTCAAGAAAGCTCCAGTTACCCACAAGTTGGGTGTTCTTTACGTGGTAGACTCCGTAACACGCAAATGGCTTGAGCAAGCAAAGGCTTCGGGTCAGCCTGTAGACAGCTCTGCCCCCGATGGAACCTATGCTGCTGGTGTTCATCGAGTAACCGAACTCATGCCAGTTTTGATGAATGATATCTTGCAATCAGCCCCTGAGGGCCAGAAGGTACGCTTAAATCTTGAACAGTTGAGGCCTCCTCTGCTTCCATCTCTGCCGGTCGCAATCTGTAGCGCAGCTAGCCAAGTGCCCTTAACAACAGGCTGGCCTTTTATTTTTGTCTTGCCCCCGAGGACTTGAGCACAAAGACTGAGAGATAATCGTGAACATACATGCACATGCGCACCTGTTCACATGTTGCCGTTCGCTCGCCTTTGACCTTGAAGAACATTCCACTTACACTGCTTCGTACTTTGTAGGACAAAATTTCCAAGTTGCTGGACATTTGGGAAAAGGGCCAAACCTTTTCCCCTGCGATGATAGAGTCATTCCGCCAGAAGTTGAAGGCCGCCCCTGAACCGAGTACGTCTTCTTATGGCCCGATTAGTGCTTATTTTGCACTGTCCCTTGAGTCTCAAGTTGAATATCGTTTTACTAATGACCATCCAACTGCAGTCCAGTCCACTACGCCGGAGGGTAGTCCCCCCCCAGGCTTGGTCGCGTTCATGGGTTACAACACCAACAAACCTGCCGCCCCAACTGCTCCCACCCCTCCCACCGCTCAGAACAGCAACGCAATTATGGAGGCCCTTGCCAATCTTGCACGTCAGAACAATGCCGCTGCGCCGGCCAAGCCGCCCGCTCCAGCTCAGAATCCTGCTCAAAGCAATGCCTTTAGCGTGCTGTCCAACCTTCAAAGTGTTGCTTCACAACATCAACAGGCAGCTCATCCTATAAACCACTCTCAACCAGCCTACTCCATGCCGCCCATTTCTCAGCCTGCAGTTACGGCTGCTCCTGCGCCGTTCTCATACGCGCCGCCTCAACCTCCGGCCCAGCCTCAGGCTATGCCAGCTAGCATGACATACCCTGGAGCAGCCCCGCCTCAGCCGCCGGCAGCTTCCGTCTTTGATGCCCAAGCCCAACAGCAGCTGTTGCTGATCAAGACCCTGGCCGACCAAGGCATCCCCCTCGACAAGATTCCAGCTCTTCTTGCAGCTCTTGGCGGTTCGCAGCCTGGGGCGATTCCTGCAGCCCCAGCAGCTCCCGCCACATCTGTAGCCTCGAACTACTACGCCACAGGACAGGGATGGGGCGGCCCGGTCCAAACCAACGACGGCCATGACCAGCACCGATATAGCAACGGCCCTAAATCCCCCAGCAGATACTCCCGCTCGCGATCCAGATCTCCGGGCCGTCGCTGGAACTCTCATGGAAACCGCGATGATTACGGTCATCAATCATCGAGCCGGGGCCACCAAGATGGCCGTGACAGTCATGGCCGAGGAAACGATTACCGTCAACGCAGCCCTGTCGGCAGAAACGGCCGCAGCCCAACTCCCCGTCATAACTCAGGCGAGAAATGGGTTGACTACGACCGGTCCCTTCCTCAGGGTAAGATCAAGGTTCTGAGCCGGACCCTGTTCGTTGGAGGCGTCACGTGAGTAAACCTTGCTAGGCCACACCTTCTCTCATGCTTACCTTTTTTGATAGCTACACTGAACGCGAGCTGCGCGATGTCTTTAGCAAGTACGGTCAGGTTCAGACTTGCATCGTCAACAAGGAAAAGCGTCATGCTTTCGTCAAGATGGTTAGCCGCCATGATGCAGTTCGTGCTAAGGAGGCCATGGAGGCCAGCCGCGATGGCGACCCTCAGCTTCGAGTAAGTCTATCATCGCTTTGCATATACGAACCAATTTAACTAACGAATCATAGACTCGTTGGGGCGTCGGCTTCGGCCCGCGTGACTGTAGCGACTATCAAACTGGCGTCAGCATCATTCCCATTGCCAAGCTTACCGAAGCTGACCGCAAATGGATGCTCACGGCCGAGTATGGCGGCAGCGGCGGTAGGCCGATCGAAACCGGTCTCGTTGTCGAAGAGCCCGATATTGAAATTGGTGCTGGCGTCTCTTCCAAGGCCATCAGCCGTCGTATGCAGACCGACAAGAGCGGCCACCATGGGCCTCGTTCCACTCGTAGTGGACGTCATGAGAGCTCGCAGGAGGATAACAATGATGACAGCCGCGATGACTACGGCCGCCAGCGGCGTGGACGCGACCGCCGTGACGATAAACTAGCCCCCGGTGTCAGCGCCCAGTCGCTCCCTCAACAGTTTCCCTTTGGCATCGGCTCACTGCCCAACGGCATGCCTGTGTACCCACCCGGCTTCATGTTCCCCGCTCCTGGCACCAAATAAGAAGCATCAGTATAGGCATCGTCCCGCTTGTATATGGGACGGATTGCACGACGAATTACCCCTTGTATTTTTGACGTCTTTTTTGGGCTTCCCATCTGGATTGGCCTGCAATGAACCGACAGGGTGTACATTGTAAACCGGCGTTCACGGGAAGGGAAAACAACGGGAATGGGAAATACCACATTAACAATAGTTCTGTCTCTTTGGACAGGGAAAGGAAAAGGACTTCGACTCGGCTATGATACCACCGCAAGACTGGCTTTTTAGGTTTTGGGATGGTTGGTAAATGATTCTTGATCTTTGTAGAGTAACTCGGACCTAGTTGTAATAAGACACTCCCAAGGCAATGGGATGGACAACAGCAGTCCTTTGGAATATCAAGTGTCTTGAGATGTCATGTGAAGTAGTTGTGATCTTAATTTAGTAGCGTCTCCGTTATTATATCATACGAATGCCTTGTCAATCGCCCTGTGACAAGGATAATAATCTGACCAGGTAACTGGCGAGAATATCAAACCCGTCTTGGAACTGTAAGTTCATACCATGCTGTCTTGACTGCCTTCATTCCGTTCCAGGCTTGTTCCCCTTCCCCTTTTTTCTTTCTCAATTTCAGTCATCTGATACTACTGCGGTGACATCAAAGGGAAGGAGAGTTACCAACAGCAGGCAATTTAAAATTCACCGCAGTGCCGGGCTGGAAGCTTCCTCGTCTCTTCACATTGTCAGGCGATATTCAAGACCACGGAGAACCTCAACTGCAAAACCACCGCAGAGATAAATTTAATGTAATCTTTTTTTGTAGGTGTTCATAATCACTTGAATACTTCCGATTCTTGAGCGACGCGTGGGAAACCCCGGGACTATTCATGCCGTTCATGGGTCCCCCCTTTAAGACCACAACTCAAGCACCTGCACAGTCACAAAAAACAGGTCTTGAGTGCTTAAAGAAAAGTTATCGGTATGCTGCCTGAGGTGGCCATCCGGATAAGTAATGCTTCGACCCATGCACTCTTTACTGTCATCCTGGGAGTGTTTATGCGGAATACTCAGAGAGGAAGAAGTGAGACAATATTATGATATAAAAATTAATATCCTCTTACTTGGTTTTTGTCACAGTTCCATAGAACAGTCATCAGGGGCACGTGATATTCCACGTGCTAGCCGTACCCGTATAAGAGGCACCCTCGACAGCATCATCATCAGGAGGCTCAGTCAATAGAAGAACCAACTGCTTATACCTACGTTTATCTATTCATCGTTGTTTATTGCCTTGTGACCGTTTGTTTGACTTTCGTACTATTATTCTATTTACATCTCTGTTCTTATCACGGTTCCGACCTCTGCCTGTTATAGCCACGTGCTAGCAGGAAGAACTGTGACAGTTTTATCGTAGATTAAGTTATAAAGCTTTTAGTAACTTCTAGTAAGTATTATTTTATATATATTAAAAACCTAGGTTAAAAAATCTATAAAGTAGATTACTTTTATAAATATTTTAATATTATATATTTTTTATATATTTTATAATAAGTTATAAACCGGTTAAAAAGCTTTTATAATATTAGATAATTACTGTAGCCTTCCGAGATTTAATTATATAAAATAGAGTTATTAACTTATTATCTTATAAGTAATTTTTATTATCTTTATAATATATCTATTTAGAGCCGTCTTAATAATAACTAGAATTAATAATATAAAGTTTATATTAAATCTTATGCTTGGAAATTATTATAGTAATAGTATAGACGAGAACTTGTATAAGCAGGGCTTTTTTATAAAATCGTGAGCCTTAATGTGTAATTAAGAGACTATTTACATCATAGGCCCATCAGGCATTGCCAAAGAAGCTCTAGTCCTGTAGTTTTCTTCGCCAGCATATCAACCACTTCAGACTAATAGAGGATGTCTCGTCTACTCCTCTTCGTAATCCTCTTCTTTATAGCCCTCTTCGTATTCAAAATCCCAGTCCGCACGCTCAGTGATATCTGGAAAACTGACCTGGCTTAAGATTAGATCCCTCATGGCCGCGGAGTCCAGCATCGTGAAATCAAAGTCCTGGGTCAGGTTATACGCATGCCGAGCCTTGAGGGTAGCAGAACCGAGATCACCAGCTGGCTGGAGACGGGGAACTCTGAGAGACCGCGGGAACATTTTCTTATTCTGCTGCTGCTCTTCTTCATTCTTCGCTAAGAGGGGCTGAGAAGGGTCCCTGTTAAAGTGAAACTCATGCCGGTAAAGACCCAGTTCAGCGTAGGTTGGTCCTTGAACCACTCCAATGGTAGGGTCCGGATGCCGGATAAGCTGGCCCGAGTGTAAATAGCGGCTTGCCCTTACTACCCCTGTCTCAGGTATCTCATTTATATCTAGCGGAGGAGGGTCATCATGACTCTTGAACGCCAGCGGACGGCGGACGAGCCGAGAGCCGCGGGGTCTGAGGCCGGCTGGCATAGGCGGCATGATGAAGTTTGGAGTTGGTTCGTCGTCTTCGTCTGGTGACAATAGTATGACCCGTCCGGTAGCGTCCCCGATGGCCAGCTTTGAAAAGTCTGGAGAAAAAGCGCCGCTTGTGATACAGCCCGGGGCCTCCAGAAGATTGCGAACAAAGGGCTGTCGTAAGTCCCGGACATTCCAAACTTTGACCACTCCATCCGAGCCGCCAGTGTAGAAGCGATCTGCAGTGGTGCCCCATGCCGTGAACTTGACGCCAACATCCTCACCCTCATCCTCCTTATCGATAGGCTCCTTATGCCGTAAAACGTGTATATGTTTATCGCCGCGTGCGGTATCCCAGACATATACCTTGCCGTTCGTGCAAGCTGCCGTGATGTATGAGTAAATGACGCTGTTTGGTTTGATTGTAAGCTCGTTGATGTCTTTTGCCGGACAGTCGAGGCATTGCATTTCACTAAACGCGTCATCCCCTTCCGGGGTTTTGCTGGGGCGAAAGACCCGAATCTGCGTGCGAGTGTTATCATCGACGATCAAGCCCGCCGGAGAAGTGGCAACGATGAAAACAGGCTGCGTAGGGTGCCAGGCAACTTCGAATACGTTCTGAGTTGAGGCAGTCATGACCTTTATACGCTCGCCGGTAAAACAGTTCCACAAACAAATCTCGCCCGTGTTGGTCTTGTCCTCTGGGATATCCAGGTCGTCACCCGTAAAGCTCCGCGGAGAGTAGCCAACAAGAAGCAAGTGTCGTGTGTTGGCCGTCAAGCCCCATTGCATCGTCGCTGGGAAGTAAGCCCATTTCTGGGTTGCTGTAGTTTGTTCGTTGCCTTCGTTCCATGCCCTCATGTTTGAATATGCACGATAAGAGCTTCCAGAAACGTTGCTTTCGTGAACATGATAGACACGAACAGCCTGGCTGGCCACATCCGCAGCAGTGGCCACCATGCCAGACTCGTGTTTCGATGCAGCTACAAAGTTCACATTGCCTGCGTGCTGCCATGTGCCTAGAACCGTCATATCCTTTCCATCCTTGGCCACCTTCCACACCTTGACGGTCCTGTCGAAGCTGGATGTATATGCCCGATCGTTCACCTTATCGTAGTCAGAGGACACAACTGACGAATATAACCATGGGCTTTGACTCTCTCTCATCGCTTCTGTCGAATTGTCGCCCCTCTCGACGGCTGGTCGTGGAATTCGGTGATCCGCAAAGGCTTGCAACTGCTTGAACCGTGTCGAGCAGAGAAGCAAGTTGCCCTCGCGGTTATACTGCTGGTTGTGGGAGTCTGAATGGGTTGTTGTGCCGCAAATAAAATTGTTGTCTGAGGTCCAGGCAATGGTCATGATATCACCTGCACAGTTGACCCATTCCGCCCGTATGTCCATGTCGTCTTCGTGAGCTTTCCTAAACTCATTCGTGAAGTTGACAAGACGACGCATTCTGCCAAAGCCTCGGTTTCCGTCAATTTCTCGAGCAAAGAGTAGAGACGGGACCCGACTAGAACGCCCTGATTCATTCTTCTTGTCAAACTCGTCCACTTCGAGTGTTAACACCTTGGGATGCCAAGCCGGCCTCTTATGCCTGTCGACCAATTCATCCAACAAATTACGAATGGCGACTTCATCCCTTCTTGCAAGGTCTCCCCTCAGCTCGAGTTCGGCTGGAATGACAGTGAGCAAGTTGGGTCGTTTCCGCAGCAACTTTCCAAGCTCCCTTGAAGTATCGGCGCTCCGTTTGTTCTTTGCTTTCTTTTCGCACATCTCCCTAATTTTCCTGCGAACGGCTTCCATCTCATCTGGTGTGAAGTCTACATGAAACGGTATGGGCCCTTTGGCCAGTACCGCTGCAACTTCCGCCCGAATAGGCTTGCAAGTACCGCGAAGGATCGTCCGACGTTCTTCTGTGGTGATGTAGGGCCATTTCGGCAGTTGTAGGCAAGCCTTTACGGCCTTGTGGCGAGAAGTGGCGTGACCCGGTTTTGGGGTTTGTTCCTTCCACGACTTCCATGATCCTGCTCTCGCATTTGAGCCGAAGGCTGGGGATGAGGGAGATACAGTGTGTTTTCGAGTCGAATAGTCATGTTTGGACCTCGGTGCTTTCGCATGGTAACTCGATGTGGCCGTTGACGTTGGAATCGAAGACACGCGTGAGGTTGCAGTTGCAACTGTTTTCGCAGGAGATGGCTTCAATAAAGAAGGAGTACGCGTGGATGTAGATCTAGGTGTCGCGGGGTTGGTGTTGAGAGTTCCTGGGGCAGGTGAAATCGCGGGAGTCGGGCTCAGTTGGAATTCCTGTGACTGGCAGTTAGCACCTGATCGCGCCTGCTATCCGCAACGCGCAGCGTTCTCACGGGCTTAGAGGCGTATTTGGAAATCAGATTACGCGCCGTCTCTGCCAAATGCTGCTCCAAGGCCGGCGAGAGGAACCCCTTCTTATGGGTAAACTCCACCGAGAACTTGTCGATGCTGCCGATTCGACATAGCACCTAGGCATATAAGGTTTAGGCGGATTTCTTTCATAAAATCGCCAACGGGAGGAAAGGTAGTTCTTACTGCTCGTCCCAGGTCTGTGACATTAACCTGGCTGGGTGGAAGTTGAGCCAGACAGGCGTCAATATACGGTTTAACTTGCGCCTTCAGGCAAGCAGAGAGGTTCCGCGAGGGGCTCTGTAGGGCCGTATCATTGCTGAGCCGTTGCCTCTTACGAGGCGGCTCGCTCACGCCGTTCACACGTGGGCTTGTCGGCGGCGTGTCGTCAAGGTTCGTGAGGTCGATTTGTTCCACAGTAAGGTCAATGACTGGAGGATTTGTAGGCTTGGACCTAGCCATGCTGCTCTTGGTTCCTATCATGAATGTGACGGGCAAGCGGACGCGCCCACGATATCGTGGTTCCGCGGCGCGTTAATAGCTTGGGCGCGGTCATTGAATACAAAGGTTAACTTTGAAGTTTAAAGTTAAGGATTCCAGGAGGCTACAACCACGGGACGCACGGACCATGAATATAAAAGTTGATCTTTCCGTTTTAGAATACTAAAATTTATATATACCCTAATATAAATATAGCTAAATAAGTTATTAAAGATTTATTATTATTATTTATATTAATTATAAATATAACTTTTATATTACTAGATTAGTAAATTTGTATAAAGTTATCTAAGAATTTATTTAGAATAAATAATTGAAATAAATAAACTGTGTTTTTTAAGCCAAAAATCATTTAAAAATATCTTTTATATCAAAAACTAGGCCTATGATCTTGCTCAAGTGTTATTATAAACAAACTTGATTTATCATACATATAGAGATTTAATAGGCGTGCGTACATTGCTATTGAACCCGTGGCATGAAAAGCCAACCATTTTGTCTTGGCAATTCACAGGCGTAAAGTAGCAGTAATTCTCAAGCAACATGTTATTTGCGAGCCTAATGTCAGGCTGCCATCAAAGAACATCAACAGAATAACATATTATGCTTTTGACATTTATATGGCTTTTGTCTTTTAATTTGCTTTTTGATAAGGCGTTTAAATTTATAATTACTAGATTATACAACAGGCCTTTTGCTCCCGCTTTTAAGATTGCGCGGTGCCTGTATCATGAAGGTCAAAAAACATATAACGAAACATGTCCGTTGTCCATCAAGCGCATTACTTTCGAAGCATTAGAAGAAAGAGCACGAATAATCGATAACGTATATATTATTATGTCTTTTTATTTCTTCTAATATTGTCACAGTTCTATGCGCACGCATATGTAGGGGCTAAAGCCCCACTATGCATGTGGGTCTCCCACCTGCACATAGGTCTATGAGGCCTGTTAACGTCTAGTTAGATAACATCTAGCTAGACGGCACCTTTTGGCGCAACGGTCAGGCGTGCGCCTTTTCCTGTGACAAATATGATGTCACAGTCTCAATGATAAGTTAGAAATCTAAATTCTTAGTAAAATTTCAATTGTCAAGTAGATATACTCTTGAGATCATCTTAGACTATGAAAGCTTTATTAGTACCCTACAGCTACTCACTCCGCTATCGGGCGGCCCCGCTGTAGCTTCCACTAGCTCGAGTACTCCCCTTTTGGTTCTGCCCCCGTTGCTCCCCGCCGTGTCACTTGCTGTTCGCCACCACCTATTGCGGCGGCCCTTATTTGTTCTTCCAAAGAGACAATTACAAGCAGAGAAAAAGCATTATAACACAACCACAGCTTTGAGATGTCTGACCAAAAGCCCAGCTTAGACACACTGAAGAACGGCCATGTCTTACATGCTATCCCCGCACTGGATTTACACTCATTACATTAGCAGCTTACATGTGAAAACGACATCATGCCGATTGCGCTGTAGCATGTTGCATGCACCATCAAATTTTGAACACAAGTAAACTCGTTCAACATGTCCTCGCATTTGATTCAACTATGGAAAAACTATCCAGTTGAGTATATATAGTACAACAGTGCCCACCTAATATGTAACACGGCATAGCCAACGCCTTTCCTCTAAACAAATATTTCTCTATAGCTTGGGCTTGGCCGAAGGCTCCGCATTAACCTCCTCGTACAGCTGGTCAATTTGCGCGCGGAACGCCTTGGCAGTCTGCGGCCTCTTCAACTTAAGACTGTTCATATTGTTAGCTTTAGTTCATCATCCGTTTGAAATGTGGGTGCTTACGTAGGCGTCAATAGCTCGTTATCAATGGTGAAAGGGTCGATGGCAAAAAAGGCATTGCGCACTCGCTCGTAGCTGTTGAACTTGTGCTTCTTACCGATCCTGTCCAGCTCCGCGATGAAGGCCTTCTTGACCTTGGGGTCGTTGGCGGCGACTTTGAGGGCTGTGAGGTCAGTTTTGTCGACTGACTTCTTGAGGATCTTGCTGGCGAACGGCGCGAAGGTCTCGGGGTCGATGCCGAAGATGGCGACAAGTGTGGACTGGGCCGGGTCACCGTGAACGTAGGCCATGGTAACCAAGTTGCAGCTGCCAAGGTAAACATTCTCGATACGCTCAGGAGAAATGTATTCTCCTTGAGAGAGCTTGAGAACATTCTTCTTACGGTCAACAATCTTGAAGCGACCCATGCTGTCAACCTCGGCAATATCTCCGGTGTGGAACCAGCCATCGGCATCAATGGCCTTTCGGGTCTCCTCCTCGTTCTTGTAGTACTCCTGGAAGATGCTAGGGCCACGGAGAAGAATTTCACCACGCGGGTGAGGCTTGTCGGTAACGAGGTACTCCAAATCAGGGACAGACTCAAGGCAGACTTCATTGCAAGCTGCCGGAGGCCCAATGTTGCCCAGGGTGAAGTCACCCTTCATCTGAACAGTCGAGACGGCGTACGACTCCGTCAGGCCGTATCCCTGCACAAAGTTGTTGCCGAAAGCAGCCCGCAGGAACTCATGCACATCAGGGTCCAGCTGCGCGCTGCCGCTAATCATGCTGTGAGCCTTCTTCAGGCCAACAGCAGCGCGGACCTTGGGAGTCCAAATTCTGTCGTACAGGAAGTGCGTGTTGCTTGCCTTGCCCACTGGCAGCTTCATATTGGCCTTCTTGGTGGTAATAACTTGGCGAGACAGGGATCCCTTGACGCCATCAGCGTCAATGGTGGCAGCTCGAATGGCCGAGTTGAAGCGGTTGTAAAGACGAGGAACAGACATGAACCCTGTTGGCTCAAGAATTTTCATGTCGTCAACCAAGCCGACAATGTCGCCGCGGAAGAAACCGACGGCAGCACCCTCGGCAAGGGCGGTTTGGTCGACCATTCTTCCGTAAATATGCGCCAACGGCAGGTAGGAGATATGCACGTCCTTGGATGTCACAGTTCCAGCAGATCTGGCGGCTGAGAGGGCAGAAACAGCGTTGCCGTGGGTCAAGACGACACCCTTAGGCATGCCGGTGGTTCCGGAGGTGTAGTTGATAGTGACGAGGTTGCTTGGGCGCGGGGGGTGCATGGGATGTCCAGACCTGGCACCAATCTCCTCAACACCAGCCATGGAATAGATCTGGATGCCATGCTGAGCAGCAATGCCGTTCAGAACAGACAGCTTGGAGTAGCCGGTCTGCTCGCCAGCGTCCAGAGAGTCGAGGCAGACAATGAGCTTCAAAGAAGGCAGGCGTGGGGCAAGCTTCAGCAGGACCGGGATATGCGGCAAGGAGGTAACGACGCAGGCTAGGCTCGCGTGGTTGATGATGTATTCGGTCGTATCGGGGCCAAGGGTCTCGTACAGGGAGACAGTGAAGAGGGACTGGGATGCGGCACCGAGATCTGTCGGTTTCGGTCAGTATGCACCTGAATAGGACGTCGTACAGTTCACATACCAGTGATGTGCCATTCTGGGCGATTCTGCGACCACAAGCCAACGCCGTAATTGTCGTTGGTAATACCGATCTTGTGGTGAATCTCTATGAGACCAGCGCCAAAGTTCTTGCGACGCTCGGCAACCTCGGCGTAGGTGGCCCAGGTGTATTTGTTCTCCCAGTCCTTGGTCGTCGCATTCCAGGCTCGATGGCCCAGACACTTCGCGTTGGGCCGTTTCCGAACGGCGTCCTCGAACAAATCGTGAACGGTCTGGATGGCGGGATCGAAGGTGGACAGAAGAGGCCCGTCGCGAAAGCGCCAATGACGGTAAATAGCACTGCGACCTTCCTTCTCAGACCCCGGTACAGGAACTGCATATGGTGAGCCAGGCGGCGGAGGAGTGGACAGCTCCTGAATGTATGCGGCTGTGTCTTTTGCGGGCGCCATATTTGCAGCGACTATGGAGAGCGATTTAGTGCTTACGCAATATGCTGATCTACTGGGAACTGACTGCCAATTCGTTGGCAGTTACGAGCTGACGGGACGTGGTGAAGGGAGGGAGCAGATAGGACCCTGAAAACTGCACCTGCGAGGAGTACGACACGTGAAGGACAGGTAGCGGAGTGAGGTAGGGCGTTGTAAAAGATATGAAGATGGAGAAAGGACGAAAAAGTAGAAAGGGACCGAGCACGAGAGTTGGGACCAACGAGGGGGGAAACCTTTCTTGTTCTAGATTTGGTAAAGACAAGAATCCGCTCTGTGTAGTATCCGGCTGTCGAGCTCTTCCAGGTAACTTTAGCTGGGAATGTGTACGAAATCGGGGGAAAGTCCAATGAGCGAGGCCGAGTTTGTGAGCGTGGACCGAGGCACAAGTGTGCAGAAAGGCCAGGGTAACGCCAAAGGCCCTCGGCAACCCCAGATAGTGCTGCGCTAAAGGGGCTACCTTCAGCGCCTGATAGGCTCAATGTCGCGCCAAGGGGGGCGCTGGACCACTGTGGCTTGCGGGGGTGTTGGAGGGCTGGGGGCGCTGTGCGCGGAGGGAGTGGGCGCCTGAAGCTGGGGTGCTTGGCCGGAGATTCGAGAAATATGGGGATGGCGCCCCGTGATGACCTCACAGTGAAGTGTCACGAGGAATAGCACTCTGCTTTTGAGGGTTCTATGAAAACGTGTTGAAGGACCTGTTTTAACATAACATGCATATAGACATACAATGCAAGGTATTGGAAGTCAATATTAAGACATAGACTGACCTAAACAATGGTCGTGTTAGGCAGTAGTTGGCCAAGCTTGGCAGAGTCCTTCCCTAAATGATATCCCATTAACGGACACAAGGACGTTACGCTATGCTACTGAAAGTCCACTCAAGTTGTTCACATAGGGAAGGTCCCGCTCCCCAGTGATTAGGGAGCTACGATTACGGAAATTATCAAGGGCCGACCCCCGTCTCTGCTCCGCATCATTTGTCCTCCAAGGGACACGTCTCGCTAGCATAAGGCCCCATCTCTCACCAAGCGGGCCGATGACGCCGAAGTTGAATATAAAATAAGACTGCATTGTACGACAGACATTCAATTCGGGCAATTGGATTCCCCGACAAGCTGATTAGACCAAGTTACGATGCAGATAGAGGTGTGCGCATAAGACGGCGGTGTTCTTCAAAGAAGAACTTATTGGCGTTGACTGTCACATGCCAGACTCACCCCGAAATGCCCGGCAGAAGCTTACCTGTCTCATTCCCGGGTGGAGGCCATTGGACGCCGTACCCGAAATGCCCGCAAAGTCCGGGGTCCCACCTGCGTCCAGCCCGCCTTGACGATGCGCGTGCGGCTGACCCGTGCCTAGTGAAAATGGCATTTTATATCTCACTTTTGAGTTGGTGGATATCTGCTGGCTAACCTCTTCGGATAGGAATGCTCAATAGGCAAATTCAAGATTCAGACATATGCAAGTGTCGATTTGTGTCCTTACTTCAGGCAATGGCATTGACAACCCAGACACGAGGGCAAACCTTCTCAATATATCATTGAATAGGCTGTGTTTCCTATTTTCCAACCCAAAATACTGGGAGTATTCAGTGAGAAATGTGTCAAGTTGGAACATGGTGTTGACTGTATTGCGCCACCTTCGGAGCTGTTTGCGCAAGTGCAAAACAGCCATCTCAGCGTCTTCGTCATCAGACAGGGACGCGACAGCGCCTCATATATATCTGGGGCGATCTACGGCATCTTCATCAATAAACGTCGGAACCGGAGAAGTGGTGTTTTTGGAGGCTCTGCCGATATGGCGCCGACGCGGCCCATTCATTACTGCAGAGGGCTAGGTATAAGAACATGGTGAGACAAGAGACACCGGCTACAACGGGACAGGAGAAACAGCAAACAAATGTCGGTGTTTGGGATTGCGTCCGATCAGAAACTGATGTGTGCTGAGCGTGAGACCTGAGCCTCAGGCCTGGGATGACACAGCGTAGGCCAGCTGTTCTGCTAGGTCAGGCGGATTTCTGGCTGAACTCAGAAACGTACACAGCCAGTGTCCCGTGCCGAAGGCAAGAGGATTACCGTGACCAGATTGTATCGGCGGGCGGGCTGGGATAATTTTTTCTATACCGGCGAGCTAGACCAGGGTGAAACTTTTAATGAAATCCTTTCCTTGATTCCTCTTGCATACGAATTCGATTCAGGCGATATTGAAACGAGACAGGCGTGCAATGGAATACTCCGCAATGAACCTTTTTTTTTCTTCTTCTTTTTGCGGAAACGGAGCCATCCTCGTTCCGTTTGGTAAGATGCGCACGCCACGGGTATGGGCAGCTCAAACTGGATCCATGCCAATGCTGTTAAGGCTTTGCTTGCAGCAGGTCCTGTTGTTATGCGGATTCCAGATGAGCTGCCAAGAGCTCGAGTGCTACGTTGAGGCTCTACGAGTGGCAGATGAGGCGCGCCGGCGCTAGCCAAGACTCTGGAGACAGAGTGCCTGATGAATGGCATTTATCATGGGGAGACTCCATACAATCAGTAGCAGGGGAAAAAGGACTGTGTGCTTAGCGCCTTTTAAGGCTGTCTGACATGATAACTGGTGAGGCGAAGCTTTGGCAGAGTAGCAGCCATGAGGCTAGCCAAGTCGGCAGAGGGAGCCGCTGTCGCATCAAGTCGTGGCACAGATGACAAGTGGCCTTGGGAAGGAAGCAGGAGGAGGCTCTTAACTGCAGGGTAACAGTACTATTAGAGATATCGTGTCAGTGTGTTACTGTTGGGGAACGGAAGAACGCAACCAAAGCAAAAGAAGCAGAAAAGAACATGCCGAGGGAGGTTCCTTGGCGATCCAGGTATCGGACTGAGTCTGGGAATTGGTTGTGCGGCGTCTCAGCAGCTTTTTTAAGAATAGAAAAGACTGGTGCGGGCAGTAGCGAGGGAGAGACCACACACACACCCACCCCCGGTTTTCTTGCTCCTTCGGCACTTGACGGGAAGCCCCTGCCGCTACCTCCTCAAGCCAAGACTCTGCTTCTCAGGGCTGCCACGCCTGCCCAATTGTTCTGGACAGTAGTAGTGTCGGTGCAGTTTCGGGGAGCCTTTTGAACAAACTCGGGCGCCACCCTTAGGGTTGTAACGTCCGCGGCGCCTTGGGCTGACGATCTCATCAAAATACCATGTAATACCATGTCATGTCTTGGGATAGAGTCCCCTGAACCCTTGAGTGATTGCATCTTCAACAAGCAGCCCCCCTTCTCTTCATCCACCCTTTCTGCCGTCTTTTGTGGCCGTCCCCTGGTGCCCCAGACACACTTGACAGGGTTGACAGCCCACAACCCGCCCTCCACCGCGAATCATTTGCCTTGGCCGTGAGCGGGGTGTCCCTGGCAGCGAGGAAACATCACACGTTCGGACATTTCTTCTTCTGTTACTTACTACTAGCAGTAGCCTACCTAACTGCTGCAAGGTTGCTAAATCCACCGCGGCATCTTATCGTCGCAAGTGTGATTTTTGCCCGCCCAAGAAGACTGGAAGGGCAGTCTTATTTGTTTCAACACCCACAACACGAGATGGTCTTTGTCGAATGGTCAATGACACATACATGCTGGCTGTACCTGAGCGAATCATTGCTTGGCATCTTGAGACTCGCTGTTCTTCATCTTCAAACCTCCGACTCGACGAGGATGTCATCAGAGATGTCTTAGCGTGCAGGCCTCGCGCTGTGTGCCTGTACGCAGTAAACGTCTCGCTACCGCGTTTCTTAATCTGAAGATCATTCGCTTCAGCCTTCAGCCCTTCACCTCAACTCCCAGTGCTTCACCGACATGCACACTTTCTCTCTCCGCTGTGTGCATCGAAAATAGGCCAAGACCAAAGCAAGGCTTGAGCTCCCAAAAATCGCTCGCTCTTCGCCATGCGACAGCAATGCAACGTTAATTAAGCCTCCCCATCTTTTACACTGGCCCCAATATGGCTGTTCCTGCATGTTGTCTCTCTCTCTCTCTCTCATATTGCACATACTGCCTCCCGCTTGCGCCGCATCTACGTATCGCTGATAGTCCCCGCCATGAACCGCTCCCTGTGATCGCCAGACGAGAAAGTTATGGTGCAGTAAGTTCGATGCGAGCCTTCCACGAGGCCAGCCAAGCAAACAGCAGTACAACTGCCATCCACCATGCCGTAGTCCGGCTTTCACCAGGAGGCTCTCTTGATTCTGCACGGGGATTGGCTTCTGGCATAACTTGGGAACCCTGCTACACACCATCTTCTCCCTCGACCACGCATGGTGAAGGCTCAGGGGAGTCCCGTTTCAGATCCATTTCAGAGGTATCAGGCCGTGCATTGCCCAGTACAAACCCGACCCTTGGGCGTCCAGTGATGAACAGAGCCGCGACTTCATGTTCCGCCTTTCAAACACTGATACTGGAAAGATGGGACTGCCCGCCCGTACAAAAGCATAAGTGATTTCCCCTCTTTCATGCTGCGCAGTCTTTTTTAGTCCTTTTCCTGCTTGACCGTTTCCACACATTCTCTCTACTTCTACTTCTATTCTTGAATAGCGCACTGGGGGCAGCTTAGATTTTATTAACAACACCTTTTTTTTTCCCTTGCTTCTCCTACCTTTATCTTCTCTCCAACGATACCAACGACTCTACGTCTTCGAAACAACGAATTCCGTCAAAATGGGTCTTATGCTTCCTCTCAGAATCGTCCAGGGTTCTCTGGCATTGGTCATTCTGGCCCTCTCGGCCTATGGTATGTGATGAACAGGTTCTAGTCTGTGGTGGAGAGGATTCCGAAGCTAATTCCGTATGTCTCTAAAGTCGCCAACTGGTACAACATGGACACGATGACCTCGTCCCCGTCTCAGGTCAACTTCCTGGTTTTCGTCCCTCTCTGGTCTTTCATCTCGATTGCCTATCTGGAGCTGGTTCCTAAGTTCGCTCCCAGAGGTAAGAACAGGCCCCAACAGAAAGGGGTAAAGCTCCAATACTAATACCAATCAACAGCTTCTCACCCTTGGGGCGCCGTTGCATTCGAGCTCCTTAATGTCCTCTTCTACTTTGCCGGTTTCATCGCCCTCGCCGTCTTCCTCAGCAAGCTTCTCTTTTGCCGTGGTGCTGTCTGCGCTGCAGCTCGTGCCGACACCGTCCTGGCGGCCCTCCAGTTCGCTCTCTGGTCCGGCACCTCGCTGCTCATGGTCAAGGACGTTTTCAAGATGGGGTTCCGCAAGCCCACCACCACCACTGGCCCCCCCCCTCAAATGAAGGAGTCCGCGTAAACTACTACTCAGACTCCTTCAAATTCTCTCACGTCGCCCTGGAAGAAGCCAGGCGGGATGCCTCCGTGGAACTCATTAGAGCGAAGCGGATGCCGTCGTGGGACCGAAAGTGCAATCGTAAAGAAGTCTGGGAGATTGACCAGAGGCGCATTTACGGCCCGGGATTTAGTGACGTGAGCCTTGTCTAGATGACGGGCTTCACTATTAACTGTTGAGAGGAGAGCTATGGAAGTGCGTGCGTATGAGTGTCATATGGTCTGGCACGGTATTGGAAAAGTGTGTGGGCCGGATATACTTGGTTTTGGGTTGGTTATTGATTCGATAAGGACGTAGATGCTACTACTACTATTCTACGGGCTCTGCCTTATATTCAATCCTTCCTACGAAATCTCATTGCCTAACGGTCGTGACCTATGGTGTCACAACAACTTGAAATATCGCCCAACAGCGATAATAGATAAATGCCAACAGTATCAGCACCACCCATACCCTCCTTTTTAATTTTTTTTTTAATTTTTAATTTTTAATTTTTAATTTTTTTTATTTTTTTTTAGACAGGATTTACATCATTTTGCTGTAGTCCATTGCTGCAACGATGACACTAAGACTGCCATCGTCAAACTAATTCCACTACCGAGGTTTACCTCGTCGACCGGACAAGGTGTCTAGCCAATCTAATCTTGAGGCGACTCCCATTGGCCAGGTAATAGTTCTCGACCCATCTTCGATGCAACGGTGGGCTGTTGGCGGTCCTTGCAATCGGTGGCTGAGTTGACTACCTCCCAATGTATTCTGTTAAGCTTGTCTATTGTCCTATGGTAACGCAAGCATCATCGACGGGCAACTCGTAGACTTTTAAAGGAGACAATATTCTGTTCAGGCACGTTCAATCGCCTACCCCCCAAGTCAATTGGACTCTGATAGAACCTTTCCATTTCTTTTTGAAGAGGTAAACAGAGAGGCGCATCACAAGTCAGCCCTACTAGTAGATCCCGAGCTGCGAAACAGCACGTCGAAGGTTGACCGCCTCGTGGTCGCCTGCAGCGAGAACATCGCGTCCCACTATTGAGGAACTCGGGGTTGGGGACATGTTGTGGGACGCGGGTAGAGGCGTTCTTTCACAGCAGCAACACCCACCGATGCTCCGACCGACAACCGCAACGGCATCGTGTGCCCCATTGCGGTAACCGGTGACCGATCGTCGTTCAATGACCGCTCCATTCAAACGTCCCAACGTCCCCGAGCCCCCCCACGCTTGAGAACCAAACGCCGAACGGCCATGGCACCATCAACATCCCACGTAGGAAGCGAACCTTTGACAGGCCTGGCCTCGTTGAAGAGGCACAAAGAATGCTGTCAAACCCTCCTGGTGGCTGCAACAAAGCCTACCGAGAACCTCTAGCCAGGTTGCCGTTCGCGGTGGTGGGTAGATGAGCTCAACCAAACTTTGTGCAGTTTTCCCCGGCGAGTCACTCCAGTGGAAGCGGACCCCTGCATCTGCCCCGCAAAGTGACATTTCAGCGTCGATTGCGTGCTCTGTATAAACCCCACATTCTTTGCCTAAATCGGCGCTCTACAACATCACGCTTGCGGTCGTGGGATGTTTGAACGTCCATTGCGACATGGGTGCGCTGCGCCAATTGATTCCGTCAAGAGAGCTGTGCTGTTCTAGCTGGGGGCCAAGCTACGCGTTGCTTCCTCAGTTTGGAAATGAACAACAGACAGAGGGTCCGATGAGGGGTGTGAAGCCCCCCATGCTTTCGAGGACAGCTAGACCCTTATGGATAACCCTTCAATAGTAGTAATTATATATAAAAGGCAACCTATGGTGTGATACCCCCTCAATGGCATCATTGTAGCTAGCCCTCCTTTCCCCTCCTCCGTCTTTTCGTCGTTCAGGTAACAGCCCCCGCTGCCTATATCTCTGGTGCTTGCTCCGTTGCCGGCCCCTGGTGTCTCGTTCCGTGGAAGCTCATTTGCATTTCTGTCACACAGGACAAGACACTCTCCATAAACTTTTCCTCGCCCCTCCTCTCCCACACCTTTTCAAAGCACGAAAGCAAAGGAATTCACAATGGCCGAGGAATTGAGCAAGAACTTCGAGACTCTCCAGCTCCATGCGGGGTAAGTTCGTTATCTCCAGTCAAAAAAACTTTCCCACCAACCTCTTAAAGCTGTGAGAACTGACCAGGTTCTTGTAATTATAGCCAGGTGCCTGACCCCGCGACGAACTCGCGCGCCGTCCCCATCTACGCGACCACGGTTCGTCAGACCCCACGACGAGCGCCCGCCTTGTCAAGTCCATGGGGAAACAAGCAGCTAACAGCGCTCAATGTCTAGAGTTTCACTTTCAATGACTCTGCCCACGGCGCGAGGCTTTTCGGCCTCAAGGAGTTCGGCAACATTTACAGCCGTATCATGAACGTAGGTCATACCTTTAACCCCACCACCAATTGACTTTCATCAAGCTCATACTCTACACACCAGCCCACGGTCGATGTCTTCGAGAAGCGTATCGCAGCGCTCGAGGGTGGTGTCGCCGCCCTGGCCACCTCTTCCGGTCAGGCTGCCCAGTTCATTGCCATCAATGCGCTCGCTCACGCCGGTGACAACATTGTCTCTACCTCCCTGTTGTACGGCGGCACCTACAATCAGTTCAAGGTGTTCCTCCCGCGTCTGGGCATCCACACCAAGTTCGTCGACGGCGACCGCGTCGAGGACATTGCCAACGCCATTGACGAGAAGACCAAGGCTGTCTACGTCGAGAGCATTGGCAACCCCAAGTACAACGTCCCTGATCTGGAAGCCATCGCCAAGGTTGCGCATGAGAAGGGTGTTCCCGTCATTGTAAGTGCTGTCCATCATGGGGGAATATAGGGAGAACAGGGACTGATTCATGGGCGAAACAGGTTGACAACACCTTCGGCGCTGGTGGCTACTTCATTCGCCCTATCGAGCACGGCGCCGACATCGTCGTCCACTCTGCCACCAAGTGGATCGGCGGCCACGGCACAACTATTGGTGGTGTCATTGTCGACAGCGGCAAGTTCAAGTGGGACAACGGCCGCTTCCCCCAGATGACCGAGCCCTCCGACGGCTACCACGGCCTCAAGTTCTGGGAGACGTTCGGCCCCATCACCTTCATCATCCGCGCTCGCGTCGAGATCCTCCGCGATCTTGGAGCGTCCCTCAACCCCTTCGCCGCCCAGCAGCTCCTGATCGGCATCGAGACCCTGTCTCTCCGTGCCGAGCGCCACGCGCAGAACGCTCTTGCCCTGGCCAAGTGGCTAGAGGCCAGCGAGTATGTCAGCTGGGTCTCTTACCCCGGTCTGGAGAGCCACCCGTACCACGAGACGGCTAAGAAGTACCTCAAGCGCGGTTTCGGTGGTGTGCTCAGCTTCGGCGTCAAGGGTGGCGGTGCTGCCGGCAGCCAGGTTGTCGACGGCTTCAAGCTGATTTCCAACCTGGCCAACGTTGGTGACTCCAAGACTTTGGCCATCCAGTAAGTCCTATCCGCCTGTCACCTATCTATCTTGTTCTTCGGTACTAACGACTAGCAGCCCCTGGACCACTACCCACGAGCAGCTGTCAGACGAGGAGAAGACGAGCTCTGGTGTCAGCGAGGTAAGTTTCTTCTCATGATACATATCTCCTAGCCAAGACCATGAATGGCTAACAACCACTCAACAGGACCTTATCCGTATCTCCGTCGGCACGGAGCACATCGACGACATCATCGCCGACTTCGAGCAGGCGTTCAAGAACGCTGCCGCCGCCACGACCGCCGGCAAGGCCGCTACCGCTGCCGAGACCAAGAAGGACGACGCGCCGCTGGCGCCATAAGCGGGCCGCTTAAGGTTTTTCTTGCTGGAGGAAAGTGACTGGATACCCAACGTTTTACAAAACAAAACAAAACAAAGCGTGACTGGATGAATTTGTATGAGACGAAATACCCGTAGAAAAAGCAACGTGATTTTTGTCGTTTAAAAAGGCTCTCGAAACCATCTTTCGTCATCTACCATTCTTCCAGTGCAGACTGATATGAAGAGAAAAGGGGCTATTGAGACAGTCGCCGAACGGCGAGCGGTTGCCACCACTCCATACTCACCATTCGAACAGAGATAACGCCATAAAAAGGGCGCTATTATAAGGAAGGAGATGAGACTGATAATCCCGATGGTTGTCTCTGCAGCCGCGCTTCCCCAGGCATTTGACAATAAGACGCCGTAACGCCACCAATTCCTAGACCAAGCCGCGGACAAACCTAAAGATTCCAGTAGAAAAAAAAAAAAAAAAGTCTGCGGTAAATAGACAGATGAACGGCGTAGCGATCTAGTGGCCCACCCCCAAGCAAAAGAGCTCTAAGAATGTGAGAGACCGGGCCCGGCGCGCCGCAGACGACGATAGACCACGGGGCGGTCGTGATTGGCCACGAGTCGTTGAAGCAACCAGGGTATCCACCCACCCAGTCCCATCACACTTTCACCACGCCCCAAGCTTCATCCTCGCCGCCATTCATCTAGTAGTATCTACTGACCACCTCACCTCTTCTCGACCTCCAACCCGAATCACCTTCCCCCCTTCTCTTTTCTAACCCTCTGCCCTGATTTTTTTTTGATTTTTTTTGATTTTGTTTGCTTTGCGTCTCGCAGAAGCGTACTGCTCGAGTACGACATCCAGAATAGCAAAGCCTACGGCATACTTCCCCCCCCCTCCTCGATAGTTCGACTTATTCGCCAAAATGCGCCTCGAATCGCTCCTTTGGCTCCCTGCCGCCTTGGCCGCCTCAGTAACCTTCTTGGTCCCTTCCTCGCCAGCCCTTCCAAACCCGTACACTCTCCCGCCCTCGACCCGCGCGACGCTCTCCACTCTCTCCGAGTCCTTCTCCGCGCCGCTGTCTGTCCAGAACACATTCGTATTCAACAACGTCACCGCGCCGGGCTCGTACCTTGTCGATGTCCACTGCGCGACGCACGCATTTGCGCCCGTCCGCCTGGACGTCGCCGCTGACGGAAGTCTGTCAGCGTGGGAGACGTACCGAGGCAACGACTGGGACAACAAGGGTGAAGTGTACGCCTCCAAGGAGTTCACGAACGGCGCCAAGGGCTTCGAGCTGCGGGTCTTGGGTGGTAAGAACTACTTCGTCGAGAGGAGCAAGTGTATGTCTTTATCCCTCTCCCTTTAGAGTTGCTGAGTTGCTCTTTTCGGGAGCTTACTCTGCGACCCGCAGAACAGTAACATCAAACTAACAGTCGTTCTAGTCTCCGTCTTCACCATCCTCAAGAACCCCATGATCCTCCTCGGCCTCGTTAGCATGGGAATATTCATCGGAATGCCCTACCTCGTCGACAACAGTACGCTCTTCCCCTTTTCTTTCCCCTCCCCTTTCATATTACTTGCACAGGAACTGACATCAGCCCCTCCTCCCAGTGGACCCTGAAATGCGCGCCGAGTTCGAAGAGCGTCAGAAGAGCAACCCAATGAACTCCCTCCTCGGCGGCGGTGGAGCTCAGCCCGGCGCGAACCCGATGGGCAACTTCGACATGGCTGCTTTCCTCGCGGGATCCGGCAGCAACAACGGTAACAAAAACGAGGGCTCTGGCTCCGGCTCGTCGAATGGCGGCGGCAATGGCAAGAAAGAGAAGGCGGTGCGGAGGTAAAAAAAAAAGGCTGGATGTAAGCTGCGGGGGTGTTTATTGATATAACGAGGGGCACGAGCAACTCAAAAAGGCACCGATTGAAATTGAAGTAAGAGTGCGCGGTCCCAAGGTTTGTTTGTTTCCTTTATAGATATTTAATACCTATGCCTACTATGCTAGACTTCATTCGCAACATGGGTGTGTGTAGTGTGTCACTTTGCTCAGAAGAAGTTGGGGCTCGAACGGGCACACGCCCCAAGACGTGGAAGCACACCCCGTCCACGCCCATGTTATGTCGCACTACCCTGTACCGAACCTTCTAACAAGAGGATGCGAATGCTTAGCGTGAGGAAGGGCAGGACTGTTTCACCCATGGGGAGAAAAAGCAAAATATTATAGAATAACATCAAAAGTCATGCCAGTGTCGTCATTGTTCCTCCAATTGCAGGATGTTAAGATCCCAAACCACCATATCCACTCAAGTCTTGTATTTTTCGTGGCCCCGATCATTTCAGGCTTCAGATTACTTCATGTTAGAAGTCAAAGTCGTCACCACCACCGAAATCGTCACCACCGGCTCCGTCATCTGTTCTTACGTCAATACAATTTTCTCCCGTTTTGAAAAAGTTAAGAGGCATTTTCACTTACTGTATCCTTCGGCATAGGCCTCGTGCTGCTCATCAGCCATATGATCCGCAATAAGCGCACCACCAAGCAAACCAGCACCGGCACCAAGTGCCATTCCACCGGCCATACCCATACCGCCACCGCCGCCTGGTCTCCTGCCAGCCATCTGCTGCTGGGGGTAACCGCCGTATCCGGCCTGAGGATGTCCTCCGCCGTAACCACCGTAGCCGTGCTGCTGAGGAGGATAATAGCCCTGTTGAGGAGGGTATCCTCCGTACTGTGGCTGGGGTGGGTAACCGCCGTATTGTGGTTGCTGGGGCGGATATCCTCCGTATGCCGGCTGTCCGTGACTGCTACCACCAGTCTTGGCCTTGCCGAGCAGCTTACCCAGGAACCCACTGCTCTTGCCACGCTCTTGAACACGAGGGGGCAACTGCTCTGGGAAAGGGCTTTGGGAGTGCTGGTGCTGCTGTTGCTGCAATGCTTGGCCGGGCATTGGGGAATGAGAGCCACGATTGCGTTGGTCCTCCTCCGCCTGGAGCTGACGGGCTAACCGTTCGTCCTCGGTCAAGGATGAGCCAGCAGGACCGGAGGGTTGAGGAGTTGAGCTATGGTTCTCGTACGGATTCGTCTTGACGTCTACAGGAGGCGTCGGATCGCCTGGTCTCGGGGCGTAGCCCGGAGGAGGGCCGCCAGGATGCCCATCTGCGGGGGGCGGGGGAGGAAGCGCTGGCTCAGTAGGCTTCTCCCACTGGGACTTCTTTGTGTGGAGGTTCACGTAGAACCTGGGAGCAATGTCAGTATCATGCCACCATGTAATCAGGGTTTGTGTTTGTGGGTAGCGCGGGCAGGAAGCACTCCGTCTCGACTCACCATTCTTTGTACTGATCATTCCAGCGGGCGGCCCAGCCTGGAGGAACCTCGGGTGCCTTAGGAGGCGGGGGTCCCGTAGGGGGAGCGAAGTCGTCGGCCATATGGATTGAGTGGTTGATGTGATTTGACTGTTTCGCGGTTGTTGAGTCGATAAGCTTAACAGGTGTGAGTTGTCGTGGGGGTAGAAAAGAACAGGTGCAAAAAGCTTTGGAATCCCAAACTTTAGCAGCTGTTGAGGGAGGGTCTGAAAGACAAAAATAAGGCTCGCTGGATGGGAACGATCTAGGTGTCAAAGTGTCAGGTGTGTAATGGAGGCGCAATAAGTTGGGTATTAGAGCCGGCGCAGGAGCCGGGATTACGTCTTCAGTTTAACGCGCCCAAGAAAGGTTGGTACCTCTTCTTCAGTGAGGATACGAACCAATAGCGCTCCGCGGTTTCCGGCACTTTTATGATTATGGCGAGGGGTTGGGCAGGGAGGGAGGGATGCACGGAGGCAACGAAGCTTTGCAGCACACTGTTTCTTCCTGGCTCACTGGCAAACAGCACCTAGCAATTTCTGGAACGGAAAGTCAGGAAACGTCGATGGAGCAGGTAATACGTAGGGGAACCAAGTGCCCCAGCCCGGCGGTGGTGGCCAGTGAGGCAAATCAGTGGAGTTGGTTCTTCTGCAGATGATTTTGTTCCTCGTTTTTGAATTGGATCGGTCCAGTCCACTTCCCTTTTGTTTTCTCGAAGCAAGCCTACTGGCCGCCTGTAGTTGCAGCTATTGCTTGAGCTGCGACTCCCTCTTGGCTATGCCAACATGCTCCAACGCCGTGATGCGACATGCGAGCTGTTGCGAAGCACAGCCCCTCTTTCGCTGGAAACAATCCGCCCCCACCATCTCACATTTGCCCCTCACTGACGCCCAGCTTCCTCCCAGTGACGAACCCTGCCCACCTTCCCATTCGTTTCTGCTGTCCCTTCGCTCGCAATCCTCGCTGGGCGCTTGTTACTGCTGTTCTACTGCGACCCGGGACATCGGAGAGCCGGGCGGAACACCTTGTCGAGTTTGTGTACTCTCAACCCATATCTATATGACAAGTTACTTCAGAATACTTATTTCCAGACCCTGCCGCAACCCCAAAGCTCGACTGGAAACGTCTCGCACAGGCCAGCTCCACCGCGGGGATCCACGAGTTTGAACCCCTCCGGCCTGCTCTAAGGCATAAGTTTCCCATCCATCAATAATCACTCGAAGGCTAGAGGCAAAATTGCGAAGCCTTCATCATGGCCATTTCATACGTAATCAGCCCTGTGTCTTTGGCTGTGGCTGGTGCTCAACCAACCAACTCAGTCTAGAACTTGTCTAGAAATGCGACAGCTCCGCACATGGACTTGACTCACAGGTGGCAATGTCCAAAAAGTCGAGGCTATTGTAAAAGGGGAAAAAAAAAGTGACCAGATGACACCATCCCACGGTAATTTTCCCGCGTGGCGGTGCACATCACATTGGGTTACGATGCTCCTCGGTCCCCAACCACCACCTTAGTGTAGCTACCGCACATAGGTGCACATGCTCATGAACAATACGCCGCACTCCGCCCGTTGCGCCAAGATAGCCCTATCCTCGATCTTCCCAATATCTACCTGCTAACCGGGCGCCTGCTCGTTGTTGATTGCGAGGACATCGTGGCGCAGTCTCTTGCTCCAAATTTCCATCATTTAGGCTGTCCATTCATTCGCTGTGCCGCCTGGCGCACACAATATCACTCAACACCTTGTTTGGAAAACCTAAAGGTTTATTGATGATGACCAAACGGTAGGGGCGCCGGCGGCAACCAGCCAATCGTGCCTGCGCCATACAGTCAATCTATCCCATCTAAACATGTTGCGAGGGCAGACGCCACCTCCTCTCGGGGAGTTGTACAATCTCTCAAATACCGAAAGCAAATACAAAGCTCAAGGAAGGCCTCGTTCGTCTCGCCTGTTCCTTTCGCCAAATAGGTAGGCCGCCTCCATGCAGTAGGCGCCTCCTCCGCTGGCCATCCGACGCTCGCTGCCGTAGCAAATAACCACTCCATCCAAGATGCCGCTGAGAACACCCTCCATAGCGCCCATAACTGAAAATCCGATAAAACTAGCAACCAATCCGACAACATAAGCGTACGCCGAGCCCCGTACACCCATTCCACCTGGTAATGACACTTGCTTCGCCGTAATCACCCAGCCCGCGAAACCAAGCGCCGTGGCCATAATAAACCGTGTCGCATACAAAAGCATCTTCGCTAATCGATAAGGAAGTAAAGGAGAATGACTGGACCGCCGTGAGCTGAACACTTGCGGTGTAAGAGTTGTCGTTGGTCGCTGAGGTGATATAAAGTCCATCTGGCTCAGCCCCCGGGCAGCCGTGTGAAGGTTCTGAGAGTGAATCGCACCGTATGTGATCGTCATCGGATTCGTGAGCGCTGCGATAGGGGTTGGTATCCACATAGCAGCAATATGTTGGATTATATTGGCCATTCTCCGAGGCAGCACGAGGAGAGGAGCACGAATCAGCAGCGCGAGTAGCGTGGACTCGCAGATGCTTCCAAAAATGGTTGTCGTCGCGTGGTTCAGCGCCGCCGTGACGATCTCAGCTGACGTAGGGGCTGGTGCGGCGTTGCGGTGAAAATACCATTGAGAGACCGTCGCAGCCGTCGTTGCCCTCTGCACTGCGTTGATGACCCCTATAGTCCACATGTACATGAGGACGAACCATATTCCGAGCCACCAGCTCGAAACACTGATGATGAACCTGGCAAGTCTTTTCGAGAAGTATCCGCCCAAGAAGATCCTCGAAAACATCCACATCCACACCCATGTCCATACCACAATCAGGGCGAGGCAAGCGAAACCGAGTAGCAACAGCGCAGAGTTGGCGGCAAGGATACGGGTCGAAAACTCGAGGATTTCAATAGCTTGTCGAATGGCATAACGTCCCTTGTACGCCATGTAGACCCACGCAACAGCCGAAATGGCCGGAACAAGAGCGGCCCATCTCATAGCCCGGTCTTGGAAACTCGCTCCATGTGTCGCGCCTTCAAAGCTGGAGATGAAGGGATATAGGGAGAACGAGAACATGATGATGGGTACGGCAACAAGTATCAGCATTGCCAGTGGCCGGGCGAATGAGCGGAGAGCTGCAAGCCATACAAGAGACACAATGACCGATATGAGAGTGTCAACGGCCAACATATGGAACGATGCTTGTAATGTCGTATAAATGGTATCCCCCCAACCCTTCTTAGGGGTACCCGTGTGCAACCAGACGAGTACAAATGTCGATACCAAGCCTGCCAGCGCAATGAGGAAAATCCAAGCGAAAAAGGGATCGTATTTGAAAACCTCGCCTTCCGCAAGAGGTACGGTAGCGGGCATTGCCTCGTCATCGGAACTGGCCCGCCGGGCCTCGTTAAACTCGTCGTCTTGGGTAGCTTCCCTCCTCAACTGGAACTTGCGGTCCCCGGATCTTGGCTGAAACTTCTGGAACGGAGGAGGACTCGACTCAGTCGCCGCCTCGTTTAACAGAGACGCAGAGGGGTCATCATCTTGCATCTGGGAGTCCAGCCCAATGTCAACCATTTTTGGGTTTGTGTCTGAGCCCCGGTCGGAGCCCTCGCGTGGGATGTCCTCTGCCTCCTCATCTATGACGTCCCTCCCGCGGCCACGCCCGCTGAAGCTCCTTGCACCATTCCAGCTACTTCGTATGCCTCTCCGCAGACCTCTGTCCTGATATCTTCGCCCGGGTGTCTCGCTGCTCTGTTCCAACGAGCCGCGGCTGGCGTCTGGTTCCGTCTCTGAACTCTCTGCCATCTTGCTCGCTGCGGCAACACGCCGTGACATGTGTAAGGCGGCCATATCCGCTGCTTCACGATCCCTCTCATCCTCATCATCTTCCTCCATGTACTCGTCTAGAGTACTGTGGAACAGCGGCGCATCCTGCGCGGCGGACATTCGGGAGGCGAAGCCTAACTGCCCAAACCGGGAGCCGCTTGGCTGATACGGATTTCCGCCATACCCCCTGGAAAGGAAAGACCGTCCGCCATTTCGGGGAGGCCGTGATGACCAGTCGTTCGTATGCCGTGGCGGGTTATCGTTGCCTTCGGGTTGGCCTGCAAAGTTGGAGAGCCGGGACTGTGACTGCGCCAGGAACCTAGACGCATCTGCGAAATGGTCGGTTAGTTCACCGTTGCAGGATGGGAGAATGAGTGCTGGCCAAGGACCTACATTCCGAAAACATGGTGCTGTGATTAGCGAGGACCTCGTCCCCTCAGGAAGTTCGCGTGCTCTTGGATCGGTCGAAACGCGGGATGATGAGTAAATAAGGCCTGCAGCTCAAAGCTAGAGAATGACGATGGCGGACAAAGGGTAAATAGTTGGAATGTTTCGGGGTGCCGGCGGTGGAGACTGTTGGTATACGCAAACAGAACAAGCCGACAGGATAACAACTTTCATGGACTTGTAGGCTTGAATCAGTTACCAATAAGGAAAAATTAGAATTTTTTTCCCAAATCAAGCCCGAGGTGCTCGTGAGAAGGGCATCTGCACCATGGGTGTCGGGAAAGATGAATCGAAGGTCATGCGGTACAGGAAGACCCAAAGTACCTGGCAGGTGAATGAGTGGACCGGTGAGGGAAGAAGTACAAGGATGACAATGGTGGGAAACTAGGCGGACCTGTTAGGCAGCGCGGGTGTTGATGCAGCCTAAACAGTGACACTCAGATAGCACACGACACCGACACCGCCCACACCAGAGCAGGCGGTCTTTCCCCCAGGTACTTCACTCGCTAACGAAACCAGCCACTCAAAACGTCAGTTCCCGGTGGAGGGACGTGGGAAAGCACCCACCGCCGGCACTTATCGGGCTTATCGTAGACGATAAGGCGGTAAGTTTGGGGGCATTGCGGTAATGCTGCATTGAAGGCCTGGATTGCCTCTTAAGACGATTGTGGATTGCTTAGTTCCAGGTTCGCCTCATCTGCAGTGGAAGGGCCCTTGCCTTGGCTGCCTTGGTGGCCTCGCCGAAAACCGATAGCAAGGTCGAGTATGGAGTACCCCTCAGGGTAAACTTGCATGCAGATTGACTTGCAGCAAGCAAATACGGGCACCAAACAAAGCAAGAAGCCAGAGGAGACATGGCCCATCTTCGACTGTTTAAATCAGCCTCAGGGCCCAAGGGCTTCATTCAGGTCTGTCACGGTCATTTTTCTGGCAATTGTGTTTCCACTCAGGCCCACGATTCTGATGCGCTGTTCCTCCTGTTCCGCCTGCTACTGATGCATGGCACTGACCTGTCCCGACGTGAGACAAGCAGCAACCCGCCTGGTCCGCACCCCCCGAGTCATTCAGCCATGAGCTGTCGTCCATTGTCAACTGACTGGCTGGCTGACTGACTACCAGAGTCCGCTGTCGGTGGTGCTCTTACAGCGGGTTGGGTAGTTCATGCCAGCCACCAAATACAAACACCACCACCACCACTGTCACCCGTGTGCCACACACTCGCTCTGCAGCTTTTCTCGGCTCTCACGTTCTTATCACTCAGCACTTGCGTCACTGATAACACCATGCTTATCCCTGCCGCCAACTCCTGGTCATCGATCCACATTATAATTGGGGCTCTGTCGTTTTCTGGCTAGCCCATGACAGGGGGCCCATCTTAAACATCATCCAGTGTGATACCTCGCCATTTGCTCAGCATAGAGCAGCTGCATCGTCTAACAACTTTCGATCAATTTGTCGTTTTGTTGGACAGTCCTGCAAAAACAACTTCCCTCATAACGCTTTGACATTGCACAGTACAAACGAATTCTAAAACGTTTCTCCAGAAAAACAGGTACAATCTAAACTTCTCTTGGAGAACAGACGATATCTTCCAGCTTGCCAAACCTGCCCACCCCTTGTCAGCCAACCAAGCCTTTTCTGAACACGTGCTCCGACTACCGCCCGATACCTCACCTGGACTTCTAAAGCTTCCAACATCAGACCAACCAGCGAAACAACCCATCCATCCCCTCCGAATCATCAGCGAAGCCCGGCCTCGAGGGCAACAAACCTCGCACACTACTTTCTTACACGCACGACTACAAACAACCACAACACCACAGACCCTCTCTGTGCCGGCCCTCGTTCACACCTCCCACCCTTCCCCTTCCCGCACACACATCACCGTCAAGGGCCATGTCGTCTCCGCCATGGGACTACATTGCTAAACTCGTCTGCATCGGCGACTCAGGTTGCGGCAAGTCCAGCCTTACCATCCGCCTCTGCGAGGGCCGCTTCTCCCCGCATCACGACGTGACCATCGGTGTCGAGTTCGGCTCCCGTATCGTCCCCGTGGGCCCCCCGAATTGCCAGCCAGCCCCGCCGCCCGCGCGGCCGGCTTCTCAGAAGACCAACAACACGGATGACTCCTCCCCCAACGGCCTCCCCGAACCTCCTCGCCTGGCCCCAGAGCCTGTCGATCCGGATGCCCCTCAAAAGCACATGAAACTCAGTCTCTGGGACACGGCCGGCCAGGAGACATACAAATCCGTCACGCGCTCCTATTTCCGCGGTGCCAGCGGTGCCCTCCTCGTCTTCGATCTCTCCCGCAAGCAGACCTTCCAGCATGTAACCGACTGGCTCAACGACCTGCGTCAAATCGCTGAACCCGACATTGTCGTCATCCTTGTCGGTAATAAGGCCGACCTGACCCAAGAGGCCGACAACAAGCGCGAAGTTACTCGCGAGGAGGCGGAGGACTGGGCCAGAAAGAACGGCGTCCTTGAATACGTCGAGACGAGTGCCAAGAGCGGCGAGAACGTTGAAAAGGCTTTTATGCGAGTTGCCGAGAGAATTTATCAGAACATCCAAGCGGGCAAGTACGACCTCAACGACCGGCGGTCAGGTGTCAAAGGGCCTAGTGCCGGGGGGAACAAACAAGTTAGGTTAGGGGGTGATGCGAGCAAAGGCTCGGGCGGCGGCTGCTGTTAGATAAGCCGCAAAATGAAAGATGTACACGGGAAGGACAGTGATACCCAAGGTTAGGCCACCAGCAAGTATGAGTTTTTGATGTCTTCCTCTTGTTGTCCATCCTTGTACTACTACTATAATAATCATAATTCACGGTGACGAAAACAGACAGGTCACGGCCCGTGAGTCTCATAGAAACAAAGAAACGGTTCATGTTGCATTATGTACGGAAAGCTTCTCCCGCCAGTTTCTTCACCTATTCCAAGCTCTAAACCCCGCTCGCCACCGTTTTTATTGACCATGTCCTTCCAGAGACTTTAAGGGAGCCATACTGTTGGCCATTCAAGTACAGAGTCTAGATGTAGACCAGTTGATAGAAACCTCCACCGCAGATGTATCTGACAGCAGCTTAGTCCGACATTCTCCAGGTGTCAAACCACTTCATGTAGCTGTACTGCTTGTTGGGACCTGTCATGCCAAAGCAGATGGGGCTGAACAGGATGTAAAGGCCGATGATGATAGCGTACAGAACACCGTAAACAGCGTACTGAATGGCTTGGTTCTTGTGACGGAGGAACCAGTCGGCCAGGAAACCAAAGGTCAGTATGGCAAAGTAGAGGGCAGGGTAATAGTGGTGAACGTAAGTCACACGAGCCATGACGATGAAGGGAAGGTAGTGAAGGACCCAACCAGCCACAGGATAAGCACCGGCATAGTGAATCTGGTCAAGCTCCTTCTCGTTCAGGTCATTGTAACCACGCTGCCAGCGGACAAGGTACCAAAGGGTCACCAAGCCGAAAACTCCGAGGGCGGCTGTGCTGCCCCAGTAGACGAGAGGGTTTCCGAGCAGGAAGTACTTGACGATGTTGTCATCCCAGCCGCACATACGCAGACCGACGTTCAGGATGGGCCATTGCCACCAGTGAGATGCGAGGTCATCCTGCTTGTCGGGGTCGGGGACGAGAGCGTTGTTAGATGTCATCATGGCAACGTTCAGGTGAATGAAGTCGTGGAGGAAGGGGGACTTGTAGACACCAGCGTCGGCGGGAGGCACTACAATCAATTAAGTCAGCATAAGAAAGCTAAGTAGCTCCGATGATGAAACTTACGCTTCTCGTTCCAGTGAGCCTCAACGTTCCAATGAGTGTAAGTGTCCTTGGGGTTGTTGGTCTTGGTGCAGGTAACCTCAATCTGCTTGAAACCCCACTGAGGCAAGTTCACGTTTCCAGCACGAAGATAACAGCCTAGAACAGGATGTTTGAGGCGGAAAGCAGTGGTAAGAGTACGGATGCGGCTACGATCACGCGAAGCAACATCACGGACAACCTCAATCTGCCAGTGGTCCTTATCGTCACCAATAGTTAGGTTGCCGTAGCAGGAGACCTCCTTGTCGCCCTTGGTGATGGGGGCGGGAATCTCGTGGGAGTGAAGGTTGCGGCCGGTCTGAGCGTGGATCAGGCGGATGGTAGTACCATCGGCAATGAAACGGGGAGCGGCTTCGGGGTCGTAATCCTGATCATGTCGGTTGGGGTAGAAGAACCAGTCGTTGTTGGCATCCTTGTGGTGGTAGCAAGTAACCTGCTGCTGACCAGATCCTTCGGGATAGGTCTGGACGTGGGAGTGAAGCAGACCACCGCCGTAACCCATGTTCTTGATGGTAGCGCGCGAACCGTACGCAATCTCGAGGGGGCTGTTCTTGCCGACCTCGGTACCCTTTAGGTTAGCTTGGAAAAGGGAGCTCATCTGCGCATCACCAGGGCCAGTATGGTCCAAGATAGCAAAATGAAGGGCGAAAGTGAGCATGTAAACAAGGAACGGGAGGACGATAAGGCCGACCACGCGCGCAGCAACATGAGCGCCCAGAGTGGTAACAGGCATCCTGACATCGCCGAACTTGTTCCAAAGGTCCTCAATGGTGTACAGACCGACGAGGGAAGTGACAAAAAGACCGACAAGCTTGACACTGCAGACACAGCCAATGCTCAAACCGGTCATGAACAGCCAGAAGAACCATTCGGGCTCAAAAGAGTTATGGCGCTGGTTGTGAAACTTGGCCCAGCAAAGGACGGTAGCGAAGGTTCCACAGAGCAGCATTGAGTCGAGCAGGATGAAGCGGCTGATTGTGGTATAAGAGTTCTCGCAGAGGACCATCAAAGTGACGAGCCAGACAGAAAGCCGCCTCAGCTTCAGTTCGCGGGCAGTGAAGTAGGCCATGGGAACACAGACGATACCGAACAGAGCGTTGAAGGCTCTCATGAAGGTGTAGTTGACCTCCTCAGGGTACTTCTCGCCAGACTTGAACTCGAAGGATCCATTGTAGCCGGCCAGAACTCCAGAAAGGCCAACAAGCATCTTTCCCAAGGGCGGGTGAACGTCGAAGTAGTATTCATGCTTGATGTAGTGACTTCCGAACTTGCCAAAATGCGCCTCGTCCCAAGTGACAATATCGCTGATACCAATCTTCCAGAGACGAGTGAAGATTGCGACAGCCGTGAAGATGAGAGGGGCGATGACGACCTCCCACTCGTCGAGGAAGGAGCTCTGCTGCAAGGCATGTCGTCAGCACAAAGCTTGTTTACGCAGACAAAGGACGAATTCGAGACAGGGGATAGCTACCTTCTTAGCTTGCTTCTTCTTGTCATCGATCTCAGGGGAAGCCGTTATGGGGACTGCCTGGCCTTGGGGGGCGGCTCTGCGTCTGACGCCATCACCGACGTCTGCGCCGGACGCAACAATTGGTTTTTCAGCAGCCATGACTGCGAGTAACGTCAGCAGACAGTACGAAACAAAGGCATCAGGAATGCCCAGAGGAGTTTGCCTGACTGACTTTGGGATACGGAGAGGCCGAATCGTTGGACGAACGCGGTTTAAGGGGGGTGTTGATAGGGAAGGCGAGAGAGTCAAGCTCCAAGAACAGGAGCTTTGAGCTTTCCGCGTTAAGGATCGGACGAGTCAAGACTCAAAAGTGTAAAATAAAGTAGGACCTGAAATTCCCCGGTTGGAGAATAAGGTAAGAAAGGACCAGAGCCAAAAAGAAGCCGCAACTCAAACAGCGAATGCTATGCTCCTGGGGCTTTGGGATCTCCAGCTCCTCATCAAAAAGTGAAGGGCTGCTGGGGGGAACAGTGGAAGTTCGGGAAGCTGAAAGGGAATCATCCAATTAATATGGACCTGGGTAGCAGGATGACGGGGGAAATTTTTGGTGAGGACTGCTAAATCGGGAGCTGGGTAGGAACGCCCCCTTGCGGAACACGAAATAAATGCCACCTATGCACCAACCGACACGGTCATCCCTCCCTTCCAGACCAACCCGCACTTTACGCGAAGCCTGTCCCTGGTGGCAGTCAATCGATTTGAGGGTTATCATTGGACAAGCCCGCAGCCTTGGGGGATGGGACACGCATTCCCTCTGGATGGAATGGCCTGAATGGTCCTAAGGGGTGTCGATGGCCCCTCTATCTTCCCCTGCCCCCACAAGCGCCTCCCCCTAAAGCCCCACGGCGCATCACGCCCACTACGATCAGCCTCCTATATCTTAACCTTCCAGGTTGCATCTTTAGTTGCCAAAATCGAGAATACAGTCAAGACTGGGCCTCGCATTGCCAGTCTTCTTAGTTCTGCATTTTCTCAATGAGCTCTGTTCTAGCTTAGCTAAGAGCTATCTCGTTTACCTTACCTTACGCCCACCCCACCTTGCCTACTGCTTTCTAGTCGCAAGCCATAAAGGGACGGCCGTCGTCCACGCTTCCCACGCTTCCCACGCACCACAGCTGCTATCGGGCACCTCGCAGCACACAGGCCAACGCCTCCATAAGAACCGTCAGAAGCACAGTCTTTGTCTTCAAGTTGACAGCTGTGGTGGGCTCCTCAAGCCTTGAGCTCCAACCACGCTAACCCCTCCGAGCCGCTGGATGGGGTCCCTGTTTCCGGACCCAACCGGAAATGCCAGTGCACATCTTCCAACCACTACATCTTCCTTGCGCCGTAAGTACGGTGCGGCAGGGTGGACTCAGAATTCGGGGTCCGGCTTGTGAGCAGCGATGAGTGTGCGGGCATGTCAAGAGCGAACGGCGAATGAAATAGGGGAAGAAGAAGGGGGGAGGGGGAAAAGGACAAGATAGAGAGATGTTTGAGATGTTCAAGTGAACCCATGCTTCGTTTGCTTATTCTCTCAGCCATATCCTCCCTCTGTGTTCATATCCCGGGCTTTTTGGATGGAGTATGCTGTCTTAGATAATCAGGTACCGTCTTGCCTGACGGCCTTCTGGCGGTGTTCTTCACGCCCCCCCCCCCAAAAAAGGGGTCATCACCTGTTCAGACCGGGCGCGGCCAATCAACCCCTGGCCGACAAGCCACTACAAGCCGCATGCGGAATCGCCAATTAGGCGCATCACATGTCTTTTGGGTTTTCCCGTCCGCTCCATGCTGGTCCTGGTCCCCCTTCTGGTCCCCTTTGGCTTGATCTGTCAAATCGAAATCGCTGATGACTCTGATAACCCCCATTTGCGGTGCAGATTCGGGTCTCCGACACTTGTGCGAGACCTTGTCCCAAAACCTCAGGTCACTCATCTTGGCCTGACCTTATTTCCCCCACCGCGTGTACTTCGACCGCCTCCGCCGAGCGCCGCCGCCGACGCAGCGAACTAAGGGTCGAGACCATCTTATGTCATCTCTTCTGCATCCAATCGACCGGGACCGTACCACCACCAGCACCACTACCACCGCTACTACCACCACCACCGCCTCCTCATATATCTTCCCCCGAAGCTCCCCGACCGACTTGAGTTTCCCCTCCTTTGCACCCGTCGCCCTGGATGTACGCAGAATCTCATATCCGAGTCTCACTTTCTGCGTATCCAGTCCGGTCGCCTGAATCCCACACCAGAAGGTAGACCATTCCCAATGTCTTCTCTGGTCTCTGAATTCATTATCAATCCGGTCCTCCGGCAAGCACGTCGCTTTTCTGAGATCTCGAGAACAACCCTTGTCCCCGAACCTGAAGTACCGTCCGACGCTGTCGCCGTCGCAAGCGACTCGGAAACCCCCGCAAGCCGGCATGCCACCCATCCCCCTGCCGAGTCGCCCCCGGAACGGCCTCTGAGCGCTTCTACACTGTCGCCGACCGTCGAAGCCGAGCAACCTCCGTCCGCCCCAGCACGTGCGCCTGCCGCAACGTTCCCTATGACCGTTCCGATGCCGCCACCAAAGGGTGAATCCTTGCCAGCAGACGATGGCATGGGCGCATTACGAAAGCGCCTCATCGGCATCCAGACTCAAAACATACCAGCAGAGGATAAGGCTCGGCTCATGCACGAGGTCTTGATGGAGGGATACCGCAAGTCGCGGGTCACTCCGCAGCAGGGCGATTCAAATGTGGAAGCTCTCCCGGCAGGCGAGGCATGGGAGCAATCGCTCCCCATAGGCCCTCTAGAGTCGTTAAAGTTCTGGCAGCATCCTCTGGGAGAGCCTTCGTCTCCAGAAAAGTTTTTGTTAACGGCAGAGGATGTTCGGCCGACATACGCCCCGGCGAAGCCTACGACGAGAGAAGAGCCCGAGGGTGCGAAAACCCTAGGTTGCCAGCATTATATGCGCAACGTCAAGTTGCAATGCTCGACTTGCCACAAGTGGTATACATGCCGCTTCTGCCACGATGCGGTCGAGGACCATACCCTGGTTAGGAAAGAAACCAAGAACATGCTTTGTATGCTCTGCGCATGTCCTCAACGAGCGTCAGAAGTTTGCGTCAACTGTGGTGTGACAGCAGCTCGCTATTACTGCAATGTATGCAAGCTCTGGGATGATCATCCATCGAAGAGCATCTATCACTGCAATGACTGTGGTATATGCAGGCGTGGAATAGGCATAGGGAAGGACTTCTTCCACTGCAAGGTAGCCCTTTCTGCTTTCGATATCCTCCGAACTTCTGCTAATATCCTTCTTAGAAATGCTGCGCATGTATATCCATATCTATTCAACATTCACACAAATGTATCGAGCGCTCAACCGACTGCAACTGCCCAATCTGTGGCGAGTATATGTTTACTTCCCCCAAACCAGTCGTCTTTATGCTTTGTGGCCACAGCATTCATCAGAAGTGCTATGACGAACACATGCTGCGGTCTTACAAGTGTCCTATTTGCAACAAGAGTTTATTGAACATGCAGAGTCAATTTCGCCAGTTGGAGCTAGCCATTCTGAGCCAGCCGATGCCTCCAGAATTTCGGGATACCCGCGCCACAGTTCTGTGCAATGACTGCAGTGGCCGAAGCTCGGTGCCGTACCACTGGCTGGGCCTTAAGTGCGCCATCTGCACCTCGTATAACACGGTGGAGCTGCAAATAAGCGGTGGAAGAGATGGAACACCCCCCACACCAGCGAATTCCGTTCCAGTGCAACTAAGCCCAGCGGCTGTTGAGACCCCAACTCCCATCAGAGGCGACGTACCTTCAAGCGGCCGGCGAAGACACTCATCTCACGCCGGACCTGAGGCACGATTCGTGATGTTGGATCGGCTGGCCAGGTCAGCTTCTCCAGGGCCTACGCCCGGACTACCGCCAAACGCTCTCCATGGGGCAATCGAGGAAGAGGAGTCGGAAAATGACATATTGGATCTTTGGGGTCGGGGCCGGGGTCGGCACGACTCTGAAGACGATAGTGATTACATGTCTACCGATTTGGACGAGGAAGAAGATGAGTATGACGATGAAGACGACGATGACGACGACGACAACGACTTCATGCTCATCGGACATCGTTAATCTAGATGCCGTCATATAATGATTGATGAAGGACGTCCGTCAGGCTGTAGGACGGGACGAAGAACGGCGCAAAGGGCAATGTGGCGGTATTATAGTCCGGATATACGGGTCTCAAAGGTCATTAAATTGGGTGGCGGGCATAGTTCTGGTTGTTTCTGGATGTAGGCGTTTTAAGGAGGGCCAGATCTGTAAGCCCTGGAGCGGGATATCGAATTTCATAAACCCTTTAGGACTGGGTATAAGTTTCTATAATAGACTGAGGCCGATATTGAACAAGACCAATGCCGATGAACGCCGTTGAATGCCGATACCTGTCCCTACTGCCTTATTCCCAATGTCATGAACGTCGTAATGAAGGACGGCAGCAATGTCAGCTCTTACTTGCGTCGTGATGCGATCTCCGCATCGACCTCCTGAGCCTCGCTTCTTAACTCCTTGACTACAGTCTGGGAAAGGAAATGTGAGCTTCTGTTTTTATGAGATTAACCAGGCTACTTACAGCAAGAGCCTCAGGGTTGACGCCGTTCTCAATCATGGAGATGCAGATCGAGAGCGTGCGGCGGTCAAGGTGGCAGTTCTTCACATGGGAATATTAGAGCAATACTACAAGCGAAACGGATTATGCTGTAACTGACGAGGATGGTTGAGATCTCATGCAGGATATCGACGGCCTGCTGGGCAGCAGCCTGCTTTCCGCTTCTGTCATCGGCGGGCATGTTGAACAAAATCTACTTTCAATCTCGAATTCCCAGTAAGAAGGGTGAGAGTCGGGGCGCGCTGGGTTGCAGTGAAGGAAGTAATGAACGTGAGCGGTCACCCTGTGTTTAGCAGAAGTGGGGCTTTCTCTCTCTCTCTCTCTCCTTCGGCGTGGGCCGAATCAAACGCGTCTGACGCGCTGGGCGAACAACCTAGTTGCACAATGCAGCGATTGGCTGGAACAAAGTGGGCAACGACTACTGGAAATGGGGGTCGCATCCGCGCTGCAGTGAGCCGCGACTGACCGAACTTTTTTACTTCTCAGTCTCAGACCGAATCGCTTTGTCTCACTTGTCGCTTATCGTTATGACTCCAATTTCGCTGCGGACAATAGCACTTGCTTTTTGACGCCTGCATTTTGAATAAACTGACAACAGGCGGCCATATGGTCCTCAGCTACCTGTAGCTCGACCCTGCGTACCACTCTTCGCATGATGCAACAAACGCCGTCGCTTTCTCACGACATGCTTAGTATCTCATGGACATACTCTTTGGATTTACGGGAAACGTCTGGGTCTAATGGCTGACGAACGGGAGGAAACTAGCCGCTTGTACGGCCCTCCAAGAATCACAATTGTTCCTCACGAAGGTCTTGAGGAAGGACCGCCCTTGCTGCACGCGAGCCGTCTTCCGAGCCAGCGTAGGTTAGCCACTAAAGCGGTTATCACCATGCTAACACTTTGAAAGCTCAAGCACTTCGCATAATCCAGCCTTTGGAGGCATGGTATCCTCCCGCCAGAACTACAGAAATTACACCATCCTCGACTGTTTATGAGTCGCAGCGGGTTCAGAGGCGATGGCTATTCAACGCCCACCCGCAGGCCTTCGTAGGCAGCTCTGAAGCCGCAGATTTTTTGGCTGAGGGTCTCGCCCAGATACTGCGCCCCGACGCCGCCATGCCTACGGCACACCCGCTTATGGCCATTAGCCAGATGGCGGATGTCAGTAACCACACGCAGGTGGCCCCGGTCCCAGTGCTTGCTACAGTGACCGGAGAATCTGGTGAACTCCTGCGCCTTTCCAAGATGGACAAATCAAAATGGCAATGGGGCGAGCATGAGAACCCTACGCTTCGCCTATTGAATATTGACCAGCAAGACAGGGAGGAGACTGTTCTCTGGTCGAGCGATGGAGCCCCAATCCTACAGATCAAACCTGCATTGAGTCTGGTCCGGTTTGAGCCCATTCGATGGCTGTTGGTGCAGAAGAGGACGTCCACCACGATACTGCAGCCAGAATATCACAGGATTCCAGTTTCAGAGCATCAGCATGGGATCGTCAAGGCTATCGAGCGCCCCTCTCGAGTTAATCCGAAGCCCATCACGACCATCACTTCAGAGCAGACAGGCGGCATTGCTCACTCTGACGTCTCATTCAGCCATGGTTCTCAGAGGAAACCTCCACAACTGGCCATAATCGACGAGTGTGGCTACTACAGTGTCTGGGACATCAAAGGCCGAGACATGTTAGGGTCCACGAGCAAGCGCGCCAAACTAAGACACTGCGGTCATATCCAACTAGGTGTTACAGAGCAGCTTCCTGACGAGGATTCACCAGCCTTTCGCGCCGAGTCCCACGGTATTCTCTGGTTAAGCTCTCCCGGCCCAGGCGTGGATCTCTGGGATGCTCCAGCCATCGATGACCTGGCTATGGAAAATGACTTGGCTGCTCTGACATCCCGATCCAAGAAACTCCTGCTTTGGAATCGAACAAAATTCGAAGTGGTTGACGTCAAGGACCCAACCTTTAGGAAAAGTTTGCCGATACTCAAGTCAGAACAGGATTACATCCTCGGTGTGCAGCCGAATCCAACAAACCGAAGCCAGGTAGTTATTCTGACGACTTCGGCTATTTTCTGGATTGAGACCTCCTCGCAAGCAAAGGCAACGGCGAATACGGGGGGTCTTGATGTCCTCCAGTCATTCGCACATCTACGGGATGCAGATGCCGACTCTCTGAAGCTGACGGTTCACCATAGTGGACACGGACCGGGCAACGAGAGCTGCATTGCATATCTCTACTCGGACAATGCCCCTGAAGTTGATGTCTTTTGGCTTTCCAGCATGGAGAAGACTGGGCTACCACAGTTCCGGCACTACATGATGAGGATTGATGGTCTTCCGGTTGAGTCAGACCAGAAACGAGTGAAGATTCACACACTGTGCCCTACTCCAGTGTTCTTCAATAGCCAGTCCTCGGAACCATCTAGAGGTCCTGGTGCTGAGTATCTAGACAACCAAGTCGGATTTCAACAACTCTTCATCCTTGGGAGGGATCTCAGCCTGAGCCAAACTCTCATGGCTGTTTCGTCCAGCCGGGATCTCGAGATCGTTCCGCCTGATAACAGCCGTGAATGGTCAAGAGATGCTCGAAGACGAGCGCACAGGAAGAGGCGTAAGCAATTCTTGCGCCACTTTCAAGACACATTCGTCGTACCTGACGGGCTTGGCGACATGGACGAGCTGGTCCAACGACGTGCAACGAGGTATCAGGAGCTCTTGCAACTTACCGGAGAGGGAGAGGGCGAAGAACTGCAGCAGCGATGGCCGCGAACAAGGAACCTCAATCTCTTCATGTCCCGCGTTGTTATGTCTATCGACTCTATAATCGTCGCAGCGGAGACTTGCACAATTGATGGCCCTCTGTCCGTTTTCGACGCAGTCCACGAAGCTACGATCAACTGTCTCGAGACGGAGGGTGGTTACATTCCACTCCATACTTTGTAGGTTAACCCAGTGAGCGGTAGGTTTTCGATGTACTAAGTTCTTACAGGCACGAGTATGAGGCGACATTTGAGGCGCCACCCATGGCCGACGAGGCCGTAGCTGCGTGGGACGCACGTCTCCAGGAACTGTTCTCTGTCAACGACCAACGCATCGTTACTCAACCCTTCGATACGCATCTCCTATGCCACGGAGAAACAGGATATCTAGCAGACATCCGGCGTCAACTCGAAGAGACTTGGAGCTTGTCAAATCTCCCCCCACAGGCACAGCACTCTCGCGCAGTTATCCTGGCTGAGACAGCGGAGGCCATCGCCAGGGCCCTATTTGGCGTCGCTGTCCTCGACGAAAACATCCCTGTGACAGAGGATGAGCCCTCCACCTGGGTCCCCACGCCTCCTGAGTTGCCAGCCCCATCTTCAGGCCAGCGGCTTTCCATGTCCAGTCAAAGAAGCTCACTCGCAAGCCAACGTCTCTCCATGTCGCCTCTCAAACTACGAAGCCAGCTGTCCCCCACGAAGCCATTGCGCCTCACAATGTCCCCCATTAAGCCACGACTCTCCATGTCACCCATTAAACCGCGACAGTCCATGTCACCCCTCAAACCCCGCCGTTCAATGTCGCCAACCAAAGCCACCTCATCGGCCCCTTACTCCTCGCAGCCCTTCTCTTCGTCGGCGCCCTATTCCCAGTCGTCAGTTACCTCCGCAGACGCGGTACAAGTAGCATCAACGGCACTCCAGCGCCTAAGCATGCTAGCCACGGATATTAACATGACTGATGGCCCTAGCCGTCAACACAGTGTCCTCTCATACTGGCCCGCGAAACGCGGCGTCAGCACGGAAAACTACATCTCCTCCGTTCTCGCGTCTTCCACGAGACACTTGGACGCAATCAACGAGCGCCGGCAGCGCGCTGAGACCCGCCGCCGCAAGCGCAGGTCGCAGCTCTTTGGTGGCGCCCCTGCTTCGTCGCAGACGGCGGGCCCCGGGACGACACAGGACGAGGCGGAAGACTCTGGGCCCAGCATGCCCGAGCCCGCCACACAGCCGCTACCGAAGCTCGCACCGCCCATCATCGAGTCGAGTCAGGCCTCCCCTATACGGTCGCAGCCCTTTCTATCTTCGCAGACTATCATGTCCTCTCAGATGCCGCAAACCATGTCGCAGCCCCTTACGGGACGTCACGGGATGCGGTCGCCCAAGAAAAAAGGGAAAAGAAAGTCTGGTTTTTAGACCTTGGTGCAACATCTTGAGCTTTTTCGGGTCATTACTTGTTCTTTGTGTTTGTTTCTATATAGCGCTAGGCTTGTTGGAGATACCAAAATACCCCCGTTTTGATTCCTTTAAAACCCAGACTCCAACTTTCAAAAGTCTCTCCCGTCTTCGCATTTCATCATCACTGTCGTCCTCCGATACCCCCACCAACCTGGTTGATCCCCGTCCCCTTAATCTTGTGATCGCTCGGGTTCGCTGCTGCCTCGTAGAGGATGTTCGCTGGGGCGCGACCGAGCTGCATCCACTCGCCCTTGAATCCCAGGTAACTCACGCGGGTCTCGTCCTCCTCGCCGTCACTGAAGTTGTCTACGAAGAAGAGCGTGAGCCGCTGGACTCTGCCAAATAGCGCGCGTTTGACGGGGATCTCTTGGATCTGTCCCGTGCGCGAGAGCTCAAATTCCTGCGTCGGCGCGGCGTCTTCGGCTGAAGAGAAGTCAAGGTCGTCACGGTTGATGAACACTTTGAGGGTCCGCGGTGCCGAGGGGGAGTCTGAAGTGCGGATGAGAAGGGCATGAAGCTTGACTTGGCCGGTAAAGCTGTGCTTGTGGTTAGCAAACGGCCATTGTAGTTACAGCAGACACGCGGGTAGAAGATGCAATTGATGGGTTGGTGTGAGATGACCGAGTATAAATTAGAGCAAAACCTTCGAATAAAGAAGGCTTATCAGCGAAGAAGAGCATCTTACGGGACATTAACCAGCAATTGCTCGTCAGCATCACTAACAACCTCAGGCTCACTCTCCAGCCTCTCGGCCCATGTCTTCTTAACGATGGCTTGCGCGCTGCCGATCTGTGACTCGTTGAGCGCCGTCACGTCGTCAAAATTAATGTGCCCGTATAGAGAGTGCTGCAGCGCCGGGGTGATGTCATCCGAGTGGTCGTGCTCGTCGTGTCCGTGACCGCCGTGGCCGTGGTCGTGGTGCTCGTCGTGGCAGTGTGACATTTTTGTGTGTAAAAGGTGGGGTTGGAAGTGTTGAACAGTGAGGGGGAGGTTCCTCCCTTGCACATTCAGAATTTGGCTGGGGATTTTCAAGCCTTTGAATTTACGAGCTCACAATTTATTTTTGCCGTCTTCGTAAATGATGATGGGATGAGAAGACGAAGGTAGAAGTGAGTGGAAAGAGGGACCTTGAGTGGTTGTTTGATGGAGCTGGTTGAGATGCAGTAGTAACATAATTCCCCTCCATCCACAAATGGTTCGAATACGCGCTTCTGATTGGCCAAATAGCCACACACTCTCTCCAACACCTAATGACGCTCTTCCCATCCCAGTGACTTGTTGACTAACACATAAAGACGCATTACTTGATGTAGTGTCAGAAGTATCATTTTCTTGATACAAGTCTAGCATTTGTCGTGGTTAACCTTCTCCTTACCTATCAACAGGCTCGCAAGGCTTATCCAGCTACAAGGACGCCGTGTTTCAATACCTGATGCTCAAACTGCTGCCACGACGTTTGACATTGTGCAACGGCAACTAACATAGCATGGTCTTAAGATCCAGCGATGAGATTGAGAATATGGTGCTGCTGCCAGATGGCAATGAAGTAATCTTGTACTGGTCCTGGAGAAATTGAAGACGTCAGACTGTGGTCAAAGATCTTGTTGGCATGATTGATTTTGACGCAGAAATTGATGGTAGACACCAAGTTTTATATACAGAGACGTACACACAGAGAGAGTTCAATAGAAAACACTTCAAACACAAAAACAGAAGTTGTAATGTACTGACGTTCCCGCAGCGATGATGCACCTCGCGACTTCCTTGAGAAGAGCTGTCCTCACTCTCAATCCTCAACTGGACATCCCCATCTCACCTGTCCCAGTCCCTCCAAATGTCACGAAAAGAAACAAATACCTTGTGGCTCAACCTTTACATATCCAGTCCGGGGAGGGTCCTGCGACACCGAAGCAGAAAAGCAGTTGCCGCCATCTATATGCAGAATTTAACCATCTAAACTTATTGAACCGCATGCGTACTAATTCCAAGTCATTCGTCACCCTGGTTGACAGGTGCGTATCTACCGCTACCACCACTGCTCTGGTTTCGTGTGCGGCTCACTACTCTTGATACCCATCCACTGATGGTGCTGCTAGCCTCACCATCCTGAGCCTTCCCGTCAGGAATATCTGGCGGGTCAAGAGATAGGCCAGGGATTGCGCTTTGGGCAGTGAAATTGCCCGGCCGTCCTCGGTAATCGATTGAGCCAACCGGCGAACCGGGACGTATGAGAGACCCGGTCTCGGCGTGGAGCGACGGAGTTCCCACAACGGTGCTGGCGTCGCCGAATAGCGAGTCCATCTCCTCCAGACGCACCCCACAGGTCTCGGGGTAGATGAAGTAAACTACGATCGTCAGCGGGGTGTGCTTATTTGCGGGTCATCAGAATATACTTACCAACAACGAAACTGACGGCGCAGAAAAAGGCATGTACCAGATACAATCGCCATTTGATGACTTCTTGCAGGACCGGTGTCATTTCTCCCACAAGCCAGTTGAAAGCCCAGTTGGTAGCCGTCGACAAACTTGCACCCTTGGAGCGAATGCTAAGAGGCAAGATCTCCGGGGGGTAGAGCCAGGGGATAGGGCCCCACGAGTAGCCAAACGCTGCGTTGTAAATCATGACAAATATAACGACCAAAGTGGGTGTCGCTGGAATATCGAGGTAGATCCAGTACGAAATTAATGATAATGAAACTGACATAACAACGGCACCGCTCAATAAGATCGGGCGTCGGCCCCATCTGTCGACGAGGTACCATGGAGGAATGGTCGAGAGGAAATAGGTGATTGAGTTCACACCGGCCATAAGTACGGCATTGCGCCCAATCCAGCCGGCAGACTCGAAGACTTTGGGGGCATAGTAACTGATGACGTTGATGCCGTTCAGCTGGGCAAGAGCCTGCGCCGACATGGCAATGAACACACGGGTACTGTATCTTCGAAACATCTCAGCGTAGGTGCGCTCACCCTCCTGGCGTTGAAGCAGGACGTTCATCTTAATTTCGCGGTACTCGTCTCGAGCCTTGGGATTATGAATATCACCCTTGCCGTAAAGGTTGGCAATAACAACAATGCCCTCTTCGTCGTGGTCATTGTCGAGAAGCCATCTGTTTGCGTGTCAGGAGTGCAAGCTAGTCACTAATATCAGAACACTAACCTGGGAGACTCTACGATGACAAGGCTGCCAATGCCGAGCAGAGCACCCATAACACACTGCATCAACAGAGGAATACGCCATGACATATCACTTTCAATGAAACTGCAAAAGTAGTCGACCCAGACAGAGGTAGCATAGCCGATAATGTTGCCGGAGAACTCAATGCATGCAAGCTTTCCACGGTTGTGGGGGGGAGAGATCTCGGACTGGTATACGGGTACGATGGTAGACAGAGCACCAACGCCTAGACCAGCGACGATCCTACCCAGCAACATCATAGGCATGCCGTTGGCCAACGTCTGGAAAGCTCCACCAATGAAGAAGACGATGGAACCATATAGGATCGTTTTGCGGCGGCCAATGATGTCTCCAACCTTACCAACAATCAGAGAAGATATCAGCGCACCAATTTCGAGAATAGCGACCATGGTACCGATGTCAATACTCGAGGGATGATGGAAGTAGTTGAGGAAGTAGGTGCCGCTAGAGAGCAACGCAGTTAGCAACACAGTCAGCCAAGTGGATGGGTGCCAATTACTGGCAATCTAGGGAAACGGAACTTACGTGATGATACCCGACATGACTCCTTGGTCGTAACCGAAGAGGAAGACACCTAATGACACGAAGATACTCGTGAAGTAACTGTACAGTAGAATTAGCCATCGTAGCTCGCCAGTAGAGATTTCCTCAACATAAAGAGGAGATAACGCACATAAGGGCCTTGCCGGTGAGGCCGTGAACAGAGGAACCGCCCGACATGATGAGACCGATTACTCGCTGCGCGCGAGTTGGGCGGGGGGGAGTGATGTCTGGGACCTCGATAGCTTCCTTATTAACGACTCCACGACGAGTTGGTGATCCGTGGCCACGGTCGGGAGAGTCTAATTGAATGCGGACACGTTTTGGCTTGGAGTGCTTGTGTGATGGATGCCTTTTGTGAACGCCAGCTAGCAGCTCGTCATCTATGTCACTGGCGAGCTGGATGCGAAGAGGGTCTTCTTCGTCGGCGAGCTGCTCAGCAATATCCCCAGTATCGGTCCACGATGACTCGGAACCGTAGGAATCCTCAGATGACCGGCGGCCGTGATGGTGGTGTTTGTCGTAAGAAGAATCGTTGTGGTGGTGGTGGTCACGGTCGTCTTGGTGGTGGTCGTCCCGATCAGATGCAAGCAATGACGTCGATTGCTCGGTTTGGTCAGGGCGGGACTGCAGGGTCCGCAAGGGAATATTGGACGGGAGTCTTCTACCGTTTGAGGAAGGAATCTTGGGCGGTAATGGGGCTGATTAGCAGCAGCACCCTTCCGCTCACGAGGAATTGAAAAAGGTTGGGGGGAAGGGGTAAAAAAGAATACGTCGAGTTTAAAAGACGGTCGACAACCAGCGGAAGTAAGAGAAGGCGGATCAATCAAGGGTCTGCAGTAGCAAGGAGCCGTATCGGCATCTGCAACTGGGGGTTGACCTAGCTGATCAGTAGGGGAAGGTGTGGCCGTGTGAGCGTGCAGTGTGCAGGCGGGCGGGCTGGCCGTGGACCGCTAGTGTAGAGCGTGCTATTGAGCTGGATTTGGGGTGGGAGGGGAGGGGGAACAGGTTGGGCTGGAAGGGAGTGCCCAGGCTAAGCTGGAAAGGCGGGCAGTAGCAGTAGCAGGGAAGGAGAAGGGGAAACGTGGACGTGTGGAGGGAAGAGGTCGGCGGTGGCGGCGCCAATCTGGCTTGGTTGGGGGTGGATGCTATGGATGCGACTTCCTGCACAGTGACACACAGTGATGCCTGGGAACCACTGAGAAGCAGGGAAATGGCTGTTTCGGTCCACTCTCAATCGCTGCAGCACAACTTAGGGGTCTCCACTGTGGATACGCTGTGTCTGCCTCACTTAGTAGAAGCCTGTAAAGCAGGAGTGTGCTGGAATATCAGACACACTGTTTTGAACAGGTACGGAGTAAGATGGTTCGGTCTTTTTCCCCAGTTGTATCTCGGCTTGTTTGGTTGTCGCTGCTGGTATCGGTGCCACTCAGATAATGGAATCGACAGGACGGACGCAACAGGCCTAGCTGGGCTGGTCTGATATGACGAGCAGGAAAGATAAGAGCACAGGTGGTTGCCTGGCCTGGTCTGTTCTGTTCGGGTCAATGTGCCTCGTCTCGTCTGTTTGCTGAACCCTTCTTTAGCATTCCCAAGCTGGAATCTGGATTCCCAGTTGTCCGATGCTGGTCAGAGGTATTCTCGTACCTCTGGTAAAGGAAAGCGCTTGACTCTGACTGGACAGGGCAAAGGGGAGGGGAGTCTGGCCGGGGGTCTGGTCTGCAGATACCGATAGCAAGCAGATGACCAGGTGCCAACCTTTTTTGGTCTTTTAGTTCAAGGGTCGCAACGGTTGCAACAGGCAGACAGGTAGTAGGTACAGGCGTGAGAGTCAAGAGAGGAGTCCGTCCACCTGATGCCTTACGCAACAATGCAGGAATTGGTGCGGGAGGTATGGACCTGCAAAGGATAAAGAAAGTAAACTCGTTCGTCTGCTCCTGATGGTTTAACTCTTTCTCTTCTTCTTCTGGTCGCCTCCCTGAAACCTCCTGGTTTTTGGGTCGTTCCCTGCGCTTAGCGCCTAGCGAATTTGAGGCAAGGTGTCCAGTAGCGCGGATCTACTGCAATGACTTGGCACGATGAACTGAGGTGTTGGCGGCAGCAGCAACTTCGAAAGGACGATGACGAAGGGCGAGATGGAACCAGGTATGGGGGAAACAGTAGCGCGCTGTATCCGCAGGGTCGCAGCAGTACGTCGCCAAAATAGAACAGATGATGGGGAATTGGGGTCAATTGGCAAGCATAAGGCGATGAAACGAAGGGTCAATAGGCTTGTCATGTGCCGTTTTTGAGTCGGGATGGCCAAAAGAGTGTCAGATGGTCGGAAAAGATGAAGGTAGTTGACTTGTGAGCCTTCTCACCGACAGCACGAGACCTCCTTTTCTTTCAGCGTACGGCCTCAGAATTAACAGATGTTCCTTTCCCTTTTCCCCCTGAAATGAGGATTATCCGAGCATGGCGCAGGGGGGGAGGGGGCAGAAACTGGGACACTGGGATCTGAGGAACCGGACGGGACGGCGTAGCCAATCTACCAATACAATTACAGATGAGGCTGTAAGAGATTGCAGCACTCGTTGCCCATTACCTCACTTTTCAGTGCCCTCTGAATTGAACATTAGCTATGGATAACTCTCTGACAGGCTTAGAGCGGGTGTGGCTACGCGTCCCTCGTCTCGTCTCGCACCCAATCTGCTTCAGCCCACTCAACTCCAGATTTGCAATCCCTCCCTTTTCCCACTCAGAATCCCACTCGCCCGACCGAGCCGCTGTCGCCGGACACATGCTACAATGCTAGCCTGGGCAAACAGCACGCTTTACGTAGTGTTCCGAACTTCCAAGAGGCTGGTCATGCACGTGAAACTTATGGCTGACTCGATTTGTGGGTATCCCCATTATACCGAGGGAAAGGATCTTCGGCCGTCGTCGGCCTTTCGCACGAAGTCCCGGTCTGTGTCTCCAAAACCCTATACCAAATTGCTGGCCAACGGCAGCCGAAATCCTTATTGTGACCTGCCAATTGAGGTTGTACATCTCCGTTGGCAGGCTAATTATTCTGCATAAGCTGAAAATTTCCCACGAAGACCCGTCTCGGCCCGGTTATGGCGGATCATCGTCTGGTCGCCGGTGCGGCTCATGCATCCCAAAGTCAATAAGACGATCAATTTGGCTTGGTTTGTCCTCCCGCACCGCCGTCAGCACGCACGTTTCCAGCGTCTTCCAACGGTCGCTGTGGCGAAGCACACGGCCCCGTTTTTGACGACGACGATGCCGAAGCGCTTCGCCGTAGCGGGCCCACAACGGTCGGTTGGCCGCTTCCGACCCTCGACGTCATTTCCCAGGCCCTATGTTCGGGATCATCCTAATCAAAGGAGCCACTGTTTGTGCTGCACATAAAGGGTTCATCCTGTAGCCAGTGCCTTACCCCAGACACTGCAATCACACTCATTTCATGTCCCATAATACAGTCATGGTATTGTAAACCTCTCTACTCCGGTACCTATCTGACATTTCGTGCATGGTTGATCGACACCACCATACACTCACTGTAGCTTCAACTTCAAGAGAATATTGGCACTGTTCCAAAGACCCTGAAATAACCGTACCCCCTGTTGCCATTTTGACCCGTGTTGACTCCACATGACGGCCCACCTGGTTCAGATACGTGCGGGCGCCGCTCACGATGGACATCGGCGGTTGTAACCATATGCGCACTTGAGGCCTGCATGAAGCGGGGCACTGACAACCTCTCTCCCCGCGCTCTCACGAGTTGCGTCCCGATATGTAACTGTTTTACAGCCATCATGTATTCCTGACTAAGATGCTGGGATACTGATCGTTTCCTATTAGCTTGTAAAGTGGAAAGCGTGGGGGTTGTTACCTAAACACCTACCCGAGATACTACACGACACTGGGTCTAGGAGGTACAAGGCACAGCATGCCAGCACGTCGTTTGCCAATTGCTGCTCATTCAGCCATCGATCTTCCCCTAGGTTTTTGGGCACAGAAAGCATAGCCAAAAGACTGAAGATTTCGAGCAGAAAATACAACCCTTAGTATTCGCTGATCGTCGCCGACGACTAATCAGGCCCTTCAAAGTATTATACAGATAGAACGCCGGCCGCTTTTGTCGATGACTACACCAACTTGCAGGAGTTGGCTCTGCTCAGTGGAACGGATGAAGCGAAACATGGTGTTGGCTACTGAGGATTGACTGTCCCAACGGTGGCATCAAACGTTTGCCTGCTGACTCTAACCCATCCGCCATTTTAGAGCACAGGGTGCCTTACGTGGCTTAATCTGACCAAGGCCAAGTCGTTGAAAGGCCTTTTGGTGTCGGCAGCTTGGCTGGTTGAGCGTAATGCTTTCGATTTCACCACATGGACAATGCATATGTAATCAGAACGGTTAGAGCGGAAGGTCTTTGTTTGATGCTTGTTCCCAATTGCACTAGCCTATCACAACCTCTTGGAACGGGGATTTCAGACCTCGCCTACGCATACGTTCATCATTTTGGGGCAGGTTCTAAGCAGCGAAATAGAACCGCAATGATTTAATCTTTTCCCATTACGGCTTTAAAGCTCACCCAACTCAGAAACCAGTAACGCCAGCTGGCCACCAAGGGTTCTGCTCATATATAAAAGGTTAGCCACTAAGGATTATCTACTCTTAGAATTACTCTTTTAGCTGACATCATATCAACCAAGTTGACAAGCCGTAGGTTCATAGGCAATTATATAGGCTTCCCCGGCTTTATTAGGAAACGGTCTTCCATAATATGGCGTCCCATTTCTCACTCTCTTACTCTCTTGAGTCGTTCCGTAGACTTCTCGTACTAGCCTTGCATTTTGTGCGTGACTTACGTAAACTCTGTTGGAAACGCAGAATAGTGAACTCCACGATACCATTGACTATACGGACTACAACGGACCGTGTTAGAGACCCGATGAGCGGCTGTGTGGCGATTCTGCTCACGTGAGCGGAATTTGGCTACCAGGACAGAGAGTTCCGGGTTTTCGTGTACAGCGCCGAATTTCCGAGCAAGGGGTGCATTATCTGACAAGACGATGAATTTTAAACACTTATTTGCTCATAGGGTTATAAAAGCATCCAAGCGAGTAAACAAGTTGCAGCATAAGCTTTTTCTCCGAGACTTGGTTTTCGTTATACACAATACATTGTTTTTTTTTTTTTTCTAGATTTATAAGATCGCGTAAGCTGATTATGGCCAACTTTGACTGGCATGCACAAAGAGCCGACCTTTCTGGTTTAGCCCTCTTAGATCGTGCTCCTGAAAGTGACGGTATTGATCTTAGATCGGTAAGACTCTATCGACAGGCTCGAGTTAGGGATCAGATGCTTAGGTATGGCGTTGACGCTGTGATCCTATCGGACCCCATCAACATCCGCTATGCAACGGGTACACGGAACATGCAGGTTTTCAGTATGCGCAACACTCCATCCCGCTACCTACTTATGACTGCAAATCGGTCCATCTTATTCGAATTCACGGGCTGTCTACATCTCGCAGAAGGATACGAGACTGTCGATGAGGTACGCCATGCGAGGACGGCGAGCTTTGTGGCCGCTGGGCCTGGGATTGAGACGAGAGAAAAGAGCTGGGCGGCGGACATGACCCAATTAATTACCGAGCTCGTCGGCAAAACTGGCGCGACAGTGGGTTTAGAGCGTCTCAACGCTGGCGCTGCCATCGCCTTGAAGGAGACCGGCCTCCATGTTGTGGATGCTCAGAGACCGGTGGAGATGGCGCGAGCCATTAAATCACCTGAGGAGGTCAAATGCGTGGTTGCTTCGCTGAGAGCGACTGAGATTGCTGTCGGCAAACTACGAGATGCGATACGCCCTGGCCTGACTGAAAATGAGCTTTGGTCGGTCCTTCACAAGTCAGTTATCGGTCAGAACGGTGACTATTGCGAGACGCGTCTCCTTAGTGCTGGTCAACGCACAAATCCATGGTTCCAGGAAACAGCAAGCTACATTATCCAGAAAAATGATCTAATCGCCCTGGATACCGATGTTGTGGGCTGCCACGGATATTATTCCGACTTTTCGCGTACTTTTCACGCCGGGCCCGACCCTCCGACAGAAGACCAAAAAGAGCTCTACAGGGTCGCATATGATCAGGTAAAACTGGGCTATTACCTTGTTGGAAAAGAGTGCCTAAACTAAAAATTGATGCAGGTAACGCACAACATGAGTATTTTGAAGCCCGGAATGACCTTCCGCGAATATGCCGACCAAGCATGGGAAATTCCGAAAAAGTATTACGCCAACCGCTATTATCTCTCTGCACATGGGTGTGGAATGACAGGAGAATACCCCTATCTCTATCACCGTGGTGACTTCCCCGATGCTGGATACGACGGAGTCATTGAACCAGGCATGGTCATTTGTGTTGAAAGTTATATCGGTGAAGAGGGAGGTTCGCAAGGTGTCAAGCTAGAAGAGCAGGTTCTCGTCACTGACACGGGCATTGAGTTGCTGTCTCGGTTTCCGTTTGAAGAGGCTTTACTGAAATAGTGCGAATTTGAAAAAGAAATAGAACATCAGGTGACTAACACACCTCTCAGACTGCTCCAAATGTATTACCTACCATGAAGTGACCCAGCATATCGTCCACAAATACCTGCTCAAACTCAACTGGATCTAGTAAAAAGCAGTCATCGAGGCCTGAATTTGGGACTACGGATGATACATTCGAAGGTGCCACGCTTAAGGGATGTGTAAGATGTGTGGTGATTTGTATCTTGGCGTGAAAGGTTCGGTCGGAACTCGAAGCATTGCCACCTGGATCCCTAAAGCGGTTCGTTTGGTACACCTTAGGGTCAAGAAGCTCCCAAAAGAGCCATGGCGGAAAGGAAACCGCTCCACCGTTTTCGGTTGATTCTTGCCGGCAATGGTCCGCAACAAGCTGCAGTTTCTCCAAAATTTCCAGCTAGAGTTGATGTCAGAAATGTCTCATGCGACACTCTCCCAAAGATGGATTTCTTTTGGGTTTGAAACGGCAACCAAATACACAACGACATGCCTTTTGCGATAGATGAAGCCACGCCTTTGAAATGCGTGCCAAGAACTCTTTACACCAAGTGAAATCTTGAGAAGCTTTCGTAGACACGCTCTCATCTTGTACAAACTGTAATAGCCAGGGTATAGTTGCCACTGAAGCGACTAAATGCCCGATGAAGGGATCGTATAACTGGAATTGATGATCGTCACAGATCCGCAACATCCGAAAAACCCACCCAGAATGAAACAAAGCAGCGTCCATAATGCGCTGTAAAAACATTCCAGACTGTGAGGTTTTCGAGCAGTTGCGCACCGCGACCAAGTGAAAAAATGGATGATTCAGGATTGCGAGGTACGCGTGACACTCGACCTGCATCTCAACCCAGGGAGTCCAGTATTCTCGCTGCTCGATTACCTCCAACTTTGACCGCTCTGAGAAAGCGACATTCATGAATAGATGCTTTGCTGGAAGCTGAGAGTCGCGCTCGTGGACTTTTGCGACCAGTCTCGCGTACTTGGATTGGGACGACCACGGGGACTCGTCCTTGCCGAGTCGAATATGGTGCAGCCACGATGACAGGTGTCCCCAGATTGATACCATCTCGATATAATAAGCTGTTATTCCATGATCGGTGTCTGAGTTATAAGGATTGTAAAGATCTGGCGGATAGTCCTCACGTCTAGTCAAAGGCATCTTCGGGGGAACTGGGGCGCTCGAAGGGAACTGTAATGCCTGAAGACTGTCATAAGGCACACATAGACGTGGGCAAAAAATCTTTTCCAAGATGTAGACGCTCCAGTAGCACCGTAGAGTCATATCCTTGTCTAGTGAAGAGTCGATAAAGGTTCCGTCTAACAAACTGTAGGTTTCACAGGGGGTGAAACAGGGGGTGAAACGGAATTCCGTTCGTCAATAACAAATAACAGTAAATTGGTTCTAATCGATGGTTCATGATTGTTGAAAGTGGTGTTGTTGACTAGAAGGTGGGGATATTCCCCCTTGGCCTGTCACGTGGGTCTGGGAGGCTTGGGCCTCTCAGCCTGGCGGGCGTGTGGCTGGAAGTGCCACACGGCTCCGTATTCCAACTATCGCAACACTGGAAACTCTCTTTTTATGGTGTTGAAGCGGTTGGAATACGTTGTCCCTATACAGTTCCGTCTCCTCGTCAATTCGGCCTCCTATCCCTACTTTCTCCCGTAGTTACGGTCTTGTTACCCATCCCTCCATACGTATCGTTATCGTGTTGCTATCAACGAATCTCTCGAGGGCTCGATTTGGTTTGCTCTTCGTGAGGGCATCAGCAGGGTTGTCTTCGCCGTTAATCCAACGAATTTCTTGTAGTTCTCGTCTTTCGTACGATTGTCTCAACGCCATGATATCGATCATGAGTCGCTTTTCTTTGGTAGTGCCCAGCTTCACGAGACACTCGTACAGCGAATAAGAATCGGTACAGACAACTGTCTGAATCGTTGGTAGGTTGAGGTGGTCAGTGATTGTCGCCAGGGTTGTGGCGAGGGCGTAGGCCATATCGACGCCAGCGACCATCCCGTAGATCTCTGACGCTAATACGCTGCGGGTGACTCGTTTACTCTTCGTAGAGCTGTAATGAACGAGGTTACCGTGAATCGTGAATTCTCCGTTGTTGCTGTCAGAGGAAGTGTCGTTGGCTAGGATGATCAGAAACCCTAATTGGGAGGAGAGGTCGTGGTTATTAGCGAACGACCCGTCAACGAAAACGAATAGCTTGGCTGTTGTAAGGTCGAGTGGGATAAACGTTATTCCTCGGTTAGGCGATTCCATTTGCCATCGAATCCGTTGATTCAGTGCTTTTATCGCTTCTGGCGAGGGGTCTTGGTGTTGGGCAGCAGTAGATAAATCGAAACAGGCCTCGGGTTGGCAAATTGACGCGATGTACGCCCCTCTGGCGCGTTGTTCGACATATTGCTGTTTTGGGTTGGGTTCAGTAGTCTCAATACATCGTAACTTCTTAGCTTGTCCCTTTTGCCTCAAATTGATCGAATTGTCGGTTGACAGCGCGACTATCCCTCCGTTGAATTGGAGGGGTTCGTCAATTGTGAGGATATTCTTCGCTTTTGCCGTAAAAGCCGCTTTTTCTAACTGTTCGTCTTCTAATTATGAGAACGCCTTGTCTGACAAACCGAGGGTATCGTCGGTTTGCATGCCGATACAGCCAAAGTGTGGATTTTCGGTAGATGAGATCAATAGGCATGGATCGTACGAAGAAGTAACCATCTGGAGATTCTCTCTGTGATGCTTGTGATACGTTGCCCACCAGTGGGTTCCAGCTTCTGCGATTCCGTACAGAGGCTTCACAACCTCCATAATAGTCCCTTTTGGGTACTGGTCTTGAATTTGCTTCGGTGGGTAGGCGAGAATAGTGCGATTGAGCCTTATGGAGGATTGAACGTAGGCTTGTGTGATATCTCGAAGCCATAGTTGTTTCCCTTCTCGTAGGAGTGACGGGGTAATTGACAGAATTAGCCGTTGACTCGCCCGTTGAATCGTTGGCGATTGGGTCAATATAGCCTTCTTGCTATCGTCGGCGTAACCCTGTATTACAAGTCTCGATTTCTCGTAGGGTTCGGTTGTTTTACCCTTGACTTCGTTAACGATACGAGATCGGAAGATTCGTACGTTCTGGTGCCTTCTCTTATTGAACTGGGTGAATTTGAACACTCCTCTAGCGATGAGGCTGTTGATCTCTTGTTTAGTTGACTGTTCGAACGGTTCGCCTGGTGTAGTAATAACACCTTCTCGTCGTAGTTTGATTGCTAATTCTTCGTCTGCTTGCTCCTTAATCGATAGGAATATTTGTTGATAATCCGGGTCATCGTTGAATTCCTCTGTGAAGTGGGCGATTGGCAGTGGTCTCTTCCGGGGTCTGCCCGGGCGTCTTCTCGGTGGCTCCGGTGCCTCTTGCGGTTCGTCCGGTTCACTGCCTCCGCCGGCGACGATAATTTCGTCGCGTACTACTTCCTGCTGCGGTATCTCAGCTTCGGGTTCTTCTTCTTCTGGCGCGGCGATGGAATTAGGTGGTTGATCGGGATCTTCGTAGTATGGTTTGACTACGGTAGACCGGAAGGTCTTCGGACCACGTAGCGTATCGACAGTACAGGTTTCGCCGTTTATGGCTGCTAAAGTAAACGGTCCGGTCCAGCCCTTCTTTTCGCGCCATACTCGTACTTGCGACCGTAGCGGTAAATTAACAATTGGCCCTGTATCAAGGCCATTGCGGGTGGCGATAGCTTCTGCCACCTGTCGCCTTGCGTGAAGTTCGCGTACTTCGCTCGTCGCCTTCTTAATCGCTTTCGCCCGCCTTGTGACTTCGGGAGATGGCGGCGAATCGTCGGTAATTCGTGGGTACGAGCCGAATACCAAGAGTGTTGGCACTATTCCGTTCGGGCCAGCAGTATCGTTGACTGCTTTGACTGCTGTTTGAAGTGCTGATTCTGGCGTAATTGTTGGGTCTTCTGCTCTGATGATTTCGTACGCCCTCCTTAGAGGTGTATGGTATCGTTCAACTTTCCCAATACTGTTGTGGGCTTCTATGGGAATTTCCTTGATTTCAATTGCCATTCCTCTCGCCGCGTTTCGGAATTCTGTTGAGCGGAAGTTTGTTGCACGCACCAGCGCCATCACGGTTCAAATTCACGTTACGAGACGATTACGAATTCAACTACGAGGTTATCGCCGACGTGATGTACCTTGAGGGTAACAGACCGGTCCTCCACGTCGTCGATACCGCCACGGCGTTCAACGCCGCCCGGTTCCTTGAGGACATTTCTGCGAAAGCCACTTGGGAAGCCCTACGCCTCTGCTGGATAGATGTGTATCAGGGACCCCCAGACTGGCTAGTTACCGACGCTAGAACAAACTTCCGCTCAACAGAATTCCGAAACGCGGCGAGAGGAATGGCAATTGAAATCAAGGAAATTCCCATAGAAGCCCACAACAGTATTGGGAAAGTTGAACGATACCATACACCTCTAAGGAGGGCGTACGAAATCATCAGAGCAGAAGACCCAACAATTACGCCAGAATCAGCACTTCAAACAGCAGTCAAAGCAGTCAACGATACTGCTGGCCCGAACGGAATAGTGCCAACACTCTTGGTATTCGGCTCGTACCCACGAATTACCGACGATTCGCCGCCATCTCCCGAAGTCACAAGGCGGGCGAAAGCGATTAAGAAGGCGACGAGCGAAGTACGCGAACTTCACGCAAGGCGACAGGTGGCAGAAGCTATCGCCACCCGCAATGGCCTTGATACAGGGCCAATTGTTAATTTACCGCTACGGTCGCAAGTACGAGTATGGCGCGAAAAGAAGGGCTGGACCGGACCGTTTACTTTAGCAGCCATAAACGGCGAAACCTGTACTGTCGATACGCTACGTGGTCCGAAGACCTTCCGGTCTACCGTAGTCAAACCATACTACGAAGATCCCGATCAACCACCTAATTCCATCGCCGCGCCAGAAGAAGAAGAACCCGAAGCTGAGATACCGCAGCAGGAAGTAGTACGCGACGAAATTATCGTCGCCGGCGGAGGCAGTGAACCGGACGAACCGCAAGAGGCACCGGAGCCACCGAGAAGACGCCCGGGCAGACCCCGGAAGAGACCACTGCCAATCGCCTACTTCACAGAGGAATTCAACGATGACCCGGATTATCAACAAATATTCCTATCGATTAAGGAGCAAGCAGACGAAGAATTAGCAATCAAACTACGACGAGAAGGTGTTATTACTACACCAGGCGAACCGTTCGAACAGTCAACTAAACAAGAGATCAACAGCCTCATCGCTAGAGGAGTGTTCAAATTCACCCAGTTCAATAAGAGAAGGCACCAGAACGTACGAATCTTCCGATCTCGTATCGTCAACGAAGTCAAGGGTAAAACAACCGAACCCTACGAGAAATCGAGACTTGTAATACAGGGTTACGCCGACGATAGCAAGAAGGCTATATTGACCCAATCGCCAACGATTCAACGGGCGAGTCAACGGCTAATTCTGTCAATTACCCCGTCACTCCTACGAGAAGGGAAACAACTATGGCTTCGAGATATCACACAAGCCTACGTTCAATCCTCCACAAGGCTCAATCGCACTATTCTCGCCTACCCACCGAAGCAAATTCAAGACCAGTACCCAAAAGGGACCATTATGGAGGTTGTGAAGCCTCTGTACGGAATCGCAGAAGCTGGAACCCACTGGTGGGCAACGTATCACAAGCATCACAGAGAGAATCTCCAGATGGTTACTTCTTCGTACGATCCATGCCTATTGATCTCATCTACCGAAAATCCATACTTTGGCTGTATCGGCATGCAAACCGACGATACCCTCGGTTTGTCAGACAAGGCGTTCTCACAATTAGAAGACGAACAGTTAGAAAAAGCGGCTTTTACGGCAAAAGCGAAGAATATCCTCACAATTGACGAACCCCTCCAATTCAACGGAGGGATAGTCGCGCTGTCAACCGACAATTCGATCAATTTGAGGCAAAAGGGACAAGCCAAGAAGTTACGATGTATTGAGACTACTAAACCCAACCCAAAACAGCAATATGTCGAACAACGCGCCAGAGGGGCGTACATCGCGTCAATTTGCCAACCCGAGGCCTGTTTCGATTTATCTACTGCTGCCCAACACCAAGACCCCTCGCCAGAAGCGATAAAAGCACTGAATCAACGGATTCGATGGCAAATGGAATCGCCTAACCGAGGAATAACGTTTATCCCACTCGACCTTACAACAGCCAAGCTATTCGTTTTCGTTGACGGGTCGTTCGCTAATAACCACGACCTCTCCTCCCAATTAGGGTTTCTGATCATCCTAGCCAACGACACTTCCTCTGACAGCAACAACGGAGAATTCACGATTCACGGTAACCTCGTTCATTACAGCTCTACGAAGAGTAAACGAGTCACCCGCAGCGTATTAGCGTCAGAGATCTACGGGATGGTCGCTGGCGTCGATATGGCCTACGCCCTCGCCACAACCCTGGCGACAATCACTGACCACCTCAACCTACCAACGATTCAGACAGTTGTCTGTACCGATTCTTATTCGCTGTACGAGTGTCTCGTGAAGCTGGGCACTACCAAAGAAAAGCGACTCATGATCGATATCATGGCGTTGAGACAATCGTACGAAAGACGAGAACTACAAGAAATTCGTTGGATTAACGGCGAAGACAACCCTGCTGATGCCCTCACGAAGAGCAAACCAAATCGAGCCCTCGAGAGATTCGTTGATAGCAACACGATAACGATACGTATGGAGGGATGGGTAACAAGACCGTAACTACGGGAGAAAGTAGGGATAGGAGGCCGAATTGACGAGGAGACGGAACTGTATAGGGACAACGTATTCCAACCGCTTCAACACCATAAAAAGAGAGTTTCCAGTGTTGCGATAGTTGGAATACGGAGCCGTGTGGCACTTCCAGCCACACGCCCGCCAGGCTGAGAGGCCCAAGCCTCCCAGACCCACGTGACAGGCCAAGGGGGAATATCCCCACCTTCTAGTCAACAACACCACTTTCAACAATCATCATGAACCATCGATTAGAACCAATTTACTGTTATTTGTTATTGACGAACGGAATTCCGTTTCACCCCCTGTTTCACCCCCTGTGAAACCTACAGAAACATTCAATCACAAAAGAACTTCTGGTCATCAATTCATATCATCAACACTTATCAAAAAATCACAAAAAGTTCATCTCAACTCAGGGGGACTTACCACATCTGAGGAGTTGAACCCAGGACTCTTAACTTGAACCTTATATAAGTTCATGCTCGACCATACCACTGATACGCAGCCAGGAGGGTTGGAATTACGAAACGGAAGAGACACCTAGTTGCTCATTTTATGCCTCTGAAAGCTTCGGGCAGATAAGACGAACAGGTGGTTCACTTTATAGTCTTCGTGTAACGGAACCGATAAGACTTTTTACAAATTGCGAAAACTCCACAACCCTGAATTGAACCCACGAAGGGGAGCTTGCCAGTCTTACGGTCCTTGCGAATAGCTACAAGTTGGGTGGCTAGACCAACTACACTAAACGGCAGGTTCATTAGACAGGGGGGGCGTCTTGCGTTTTGTTGAGAATTGAGGCGTTGAGATTGGCTATATACCCTCAAACCTCTAGGCAACAATCGACAAAATCACCAACTTGAAACAAGAAGTGTCTAGTCACGAACTCAATCTTGGCCACGGCGAAAAACCAACTGCACAACGATCAGAAGAGAGAGACCAGTTCTCTTTTCAAGAGAGATCATGAATTCAACTACGGAAACTGCAAAATACACACAGCGGCTACAGACTGACAGCGACTGGAACCACTGGTTCAACAACTTACAGATGCTGGCAAACGTTCATGAAGTCTGGGACTATGTGAATCCAAAAGGAACCAAGATTAATACTAAGCCAAGATTGGAATTCCCAGACCCAAAAGACCTCAGACAAGAAGAACGAGCAAACTATAGCAACGTTATCAGCTATGGAAAAGCTATCTATCAAGAAGAAAAAGACCAATACAACCAGGTTCGGCGAAGTCTTCTAGAAATTCACAGTTGGATCATGAACACTGTAGCAGCCACTTATATCAGCCAAGTCAGCAAGGAGCAAACAGTCAGGGATATCATAAAAGCTCTTGAAAAACAGCTAGCGCCAGACAACTTTGGGAGACAACAAATGGTATTGGAAAGATATAACAAGCATATGCTATCAATCAAAAGAGCAAAACTTGGAGGATGGCTCATAATCTATCGAGAAATCATGGATGAAGCCCAAACAATCGGAATCCCTGCTCTCAGCGATCCAGTTACTCAAGTCTCTGAGTTCTTGAAAGCAGTCAAGCAAATTGCACCAGATTACTACACATCTGCCTCTTACGACTTCACAAAGCGATACAAGGATGACCCAACCTACAGTTCGATCAGCAAGACTGCTGGAATTGAGCAAGCTAACGATTTCCGCAGTTGGGTGAGAACTTTCCACCCAGACTGGCTGAATGCTGCTCCATTAAAAGACACGAGTTTCGCTACTTGGCAAGGAGAAAACGAACAAGGAATAAAACAGGGGGCAAAACGAGAGCAAAAGTGTGCAGCTTGCCCAAACGAAAGTCACCGATTTGTTGATTGCAAACATGCCAACCCTAAGAAGCGAGGCCCAAACTATCATGAAGATAATCCAGAAAATAAGAAAGCACTGGAAAGATTGAATGAGTATCTCCAGAAGAAACCACACTTAAAGAGAATAGTTGAAAAACTACGAAAAGGGGCAAGCGATCAGCAGTCTCAAAAGTCCCCAGATCGAGCAACATCTTCCTCAAACTGGAGAAACACTACACAATCATCATCCCACTATACTCAAGAAGTGTCTGATGGAGAAGGATCACTCTCATCTTTCGTCACTATCGTCAATCAAGGAGAAGCAAGTCTCTATTCAGGATTCCCACTGTCAGACAGTGTGATAGTAGACTCAGGAACAGGATTCCACATCTGCAACGACTCCTCAAGACTTCATGATCTCGACTACACAGTCACAAAAGACTTCACCACTGGAGGAGGAGATGTACATGCAATTGCGAAAGGCACAATGATCATCAAACCAAACCAAGGCGGCAAATCCAACAACAAGGAGATCAAAGTCAGAAATGTATGGCTTGTGCCTGGATACCCAACATCGCTCCTTGGGACAGAACCGCTGAAGCAAAAAGGGATCATCTTTACAACAGGAATACCGGGTCTTATCGACTCAAAAGGCAGACTTCTATTCAAAACACCAAACCGATATGGTCAATACATTATTGAAGCTGGCCCAGCTCTGCTGAACAATACCTCGTTCAGCAATACCGAGAAGACTGTGAGATTCAGCCCAACCGTAGAAAGGAAACCAACCAAAGGTTTTCAGTCAACAAGACAACCACTCCCAACATCATCAGCAGAAGCCAAGTTGTGGCATGAGAGACTTGGTCATCCAGGCGCTGAGGGACTGGAACAGCTACTTAAAACAGCTCTTGGGATACAGATAAAAGGAATCACAAAAGTGGAATGTGATGCCTGTGCTGTTGGGAAGGCAACTCGCCAAATTTCCCGCAGAAACCCAGACCATTGGCCAACTGCTGTAGGAGATTATCTATCTCTCGACTTCTTTACACTTAGCAAAGCATACAATGGGGAGAAGGTAATCCTGCTGGTCAGCGATGGCTGGTCAGGGTTCTTCTGGATAAGAACTCTTCGTACTCGAAAGGAGGGACTACAAGCTATGACAGAATTAGCAGCATACCTCGAGAGACAGTGCTTTATCAAAATCTCTATTCTACGCCTAGATTGGGAGGTTGCTTTACGCAATGCGTTTGAACTATGGGCAGCTGTGAATGGATATATGATTGAAAGATCAGCTGAGTACACTGGTGCTCAAAACCCAGCAGAAAGAGCTGGAGGTGCTGTGTTTATGATCATGAGAGCACTTCGATTTCAATCTCGCTTTCCTGAATTGATGGCACCAGAGCTGGCAAAAGCAGCAGTTTATCTGTCAAACAGATTGCCTCGAAGACGCCACAAGTGGCAGACACCATTGGGGTTGGTCAACACTTGGCTGAACTCTCATCAACAGTCTACCCACAAGAGGGCTGAAAAGCCACAACTAGCACACTTGAGGCGATATGGCTGCAGAGCTTACCCCTTGACACAAAACTACAAGAGAGGAATAGAAAAGTCAAACAAAACTGCGCCAAGAGCTCATATTGGCTATCTATATGGTTATGACAGCACAAATATCTACAGAATCTGGATCCCAGCAATAGGAAAAGTCATGAGAACTAGAGACGTTACTTTCGACGAAAACACGCTGTATGATCCAAGGATTGAGGATACCAGCAAGTTAAGCCAAATGGAACTTGAATTCCAGTTCACAGAAATGGATATCCCATTCACAAATCCAATTGAACAAGACCTAGACACAGCTGGCTGGGATGGAGAAGATTTCAGCGATAATATTACCGGGCCACTACCCGCCTCGAATCCAGCCGCTCAAGAAACAACACCGGCAACACCGATGCAGGAGAAAGAATCAGGGGATTTTCAATTACCTACACCCACTTCTCTATCACCAACAGTACAGCTGTCAGATTCTCAAACAACTGAGGGGGTGAGGGAGACTCCAGAAACTCCAGAAGTATCGCCAACTCCAGAACAATCGGATCAAAGTGAGACCATAGAGGAAACCTCAACAGACCGACTCGAACTACAACAGACACCAGTCATAGAATTGGAACCAGAAGAAATCATACCACAAGATTCCTCCACAGTAATCCCAAACATAGCGAGAAGGGGAAGACCTCGTGGCAGCAGAAATCACAACATCTACAATCGATCAGCCCCTCTTGGTCAAACAAATCAACAGCCACCAGAAGCAACAAGATCATCACAAAGACTGAGAAGAGCAAGAGAATCCCACTTCACACTGCAATCTACGGATACAGTAAAAGGAAGAGATCAATGGGATGCATCAGCAGATGATTTAGGCAATCCACACCAAAAGACACTTCCACCAGTTCCAAAGAATTACAGTGAAGCGATCAAACACCAATACAGTCACAAATGGATTGCTGCAATGAATATTGAGAACAGATCACTATGGCAAATGGGCACGTTTGAAATGATTGATCTTGGCAATATTGATCAAGACACTCAGCGAATTATCCCATTGAAGTAGGTATTCACATATAAGGGCAGCAAAGGATATCTCAAGAAGTTCAAAGCGAGGATCTGTGTTCGAGGAGATCTCCAACCGACAAATGAACTAGAGACCTATGCCTCAACGCTTGCTGGTATATCGCTGCGAAGTCTCATGGCAATTGTGGCGAGATTTGACTTAGAGACTCTTCAATTGGACGCAGTCAACGCATTTACACATGCCACAATTGATGAGGAAGTCTATGTTTGGTTTCCTCCAGGATTCAGACAAGAGGGATACTGTCTTGCCCTGCGAAAAGCACTATATGGATTGAGACGAAGCCCACTGCTATGGCAAAAGAATCTGGAGAGATCATTCAAGAAGCTTGGCCTTATCCCACTCCAAGAAGATGACTGTATCTACACCAATCAATACTTCATAGTATTCCACTTTGTGGACGATATTGGGGTTATATACCATAAAAAGCATGAAACCAAAGTAAAAGAAGCAGTTCAACAACTCAAAAAGGAGTATGAAATGAAAGATATGGGAGAATTGAGTATCTTCCTAGGAGTCAGAATAATAAGAGAACGAAAAACCCGTCAACTATGGATGAGTCTCGACAACTATATATCTAAGGTCACTGAAGAATTCAAGATCAGAACCTCAACCAAGCGACGCCAAACACCTATGGCAATAGATAACCTGGTCCCAAGTCCTGGTCAGGCTACGCCAGAGGAAATCAACTACTATCAACGGAAGGTTGGATCAATCAACTATGCTGGAGTGATTGGCAGACCAGATATAGCTCGAACAAGCTCGAGACTAGCAGAATTCCTATCAAATCCATCTTCTGAACACCAGAAAGCAGCATATGAATGCTTACAATATCTTGAGGACAACAAATACCTCGCTATCGAGTTCAACTGCAAAGGGAAAGGAGTCCTCTACTGCGCCTCAGACGCTTCATTCGCTGATGACTCTGTCACTCGAAAAAGCACTCAAGGATATGTGATGATGCTATTCGGAGGTCCAATTCATTGGAAAGCAGTCAAACAACGAAGAGTAGTCACTTCAAGCACAGAAGCTGAGCTTGCTGCTTTGACAGCAGCCACAAGAGAATATATGGCAACCATTCGACTCATGGAACAATTGAATCTCCAATTAGATGATAAATACATCATGCAATGCGACAATAAGCAAACTCTTCGACTATTGATTGCTGAAAGACCCCAAGCGACTAGCAAATTACGCCATATCAATATCAACAACTTATGGCTTCGCCAGGAATTACAGAAGGGATCAATTGACTTTCAATGGGTTCCAACCAACGAAATGGTGGCAGACGGTATGACTAAAGCAATGCCAGCCCAAAAACACAACCACTTTATCGCCCAATTGGGTATGGCGAATATTGAACATTTGATCGAGAAGAACGCAGTATGAATCTGGAATTTGGTAGTAAGTATACGGAGTTCTGAATAGTATCATTTCTGTATTTGAATGAGAATACAGAGAATCAACCTACAACAGGTTGCCTCTCTGAGGGGGTGTGTCACACGGACCACTGCATATATCGGGGCATGCATTCAACCCATGCACCCGGCTATTGTTTCCCATATAAAACTAACGGGGATGTCATTTTGTGCATGAAAACCTTCAAATCGGTAATTACCGAATAGACGGTTATATAATCAACCCAATAACCCCTAGACAGTCTCTAAGGAATGGAAGCATCTTTTTTTACCCCATAAGTGGTGGGCAAATTGACTGCGTGACATTACTCTTAAGCAAGGCACGTGACCGGGATTTTACATCTTCCTCCGATCTATCACACGCTAAAGATTACCACTCCACACCAATATGGAAATTCCCCCCAAAACATCAACAACAGCGAGAACGAAATTTTTGAAAATCGGAGCAAAAACGGCCCCAAATACGCGTGCTCGCGGCCACAGAGCCCCCTTCGATGCAATGCCATCCTCGGCCTTGATTCTACGTCCCAAAGGGGCCCAAGATGGCCGCAGAGCACGCCCCGACTACAATGAAAAACTTGAGAGCAAGCCGCAAAATACGACATATCAATAGACAACACTGTTACCACCACCACAGGCGAGCCACAAGCCGCTACACGAAGCACTAAGACTGCGCCCAAACAATCAACTTCAACACAACAGCCGCCGACAGGTTTTGGGTCACCTGTCACCCCCGACAAAGTTTGCAACGTCCCACAACGACGAAGATGAGTCCGACAGAACAGTATCACCTTCCGCACGGAGAAAGCACCAGGCATTAGGCATGCTACGATCGATGCCACACAATACTACAGACCACAGACAGACTGGTCCCCTGTCGCCCCTTTTGCGAAGAAGGATTGGTGTCCCTTCAACGCGCGACAATGTCTGCGGAATCTGTGCGGGAGCTCTCATACCCAGTAATCGAACATGTCGGAGTCAGTGGAGCATTGTGCTTCGTGGAAGACCCTTGGGCCAATGTGGTGGAGGGCAATAGTGGTCAACAGGCAAGAAACAAGAGGCCACATAGGAACCCGGCAGGAGGCAACAAAGAATTTACAGATGCAACTGAGAAAACGGCACATACAAGTCCGGGAGGATACGGACAAAACAAAGAGACAAAGCTGAGCGCTGGGGGGAGACTGTAGGTACAAAGAACCAGATACGGTGCTACCAGCACCAACTGAACCGAAGCAGGAGGACGCAAAACAAGCATTCTAGAGAGCAACACAAAAGCGAGAAAGCAGACAGGAGAGCAACACACTTCTTCAACAGAGGGCACAAACACACAGAATAGAGAACATAGTGGGGAGCTTGGGGATAGCTGGCCCTGATGCAACATCAGGGCGAAGTGGGGCGTCGCTGTTCATTGTCGACGCTTCGGCTACCTGCCAAACCCCGCTTTCCGGGCATAGCTGCTGGCATAAGAGCGGCTTCATAACCGAGTAGGAATAAATCAATCAATCAATCATGGAAATTCCCCCCCGCGATTTAGGAAGTGCCATGAATCTCGGTTCTAATAGTGTCGATAGACCACTCATTGATTGAGACTCTTCATACAAGGGTCCCTGGTTAAATGACGTATTTAGTGCTTAGACTGGGTAGAATCCTTTTTGGATACTGGCGTAAAACAGCGGAGAAGCACAGCATATGGGCTACAGCCAACCGTAGAAGGCCAATTTCAACTTGTTTGAAGCTGAACCCTGGGCTTGAACCCGGCTGTCAAGTACCTGTTGGAACTTTCAGTCTGTGATAAGCAAGTAAGTTTCGTGTCGTAAATCTCTCCAGCTAATGAGTCGGGAAGCGGAGTGGTTTCTGTAGGTGGTCCCCAGACTCGAATTTGCGTCCAAGCAGGCTTGCCCTGTCTCTTCATTTTCAAATTAGATGGGTTATAAACTTGTGGCCAGCCCATTTTGTTCCTCTTCTTTAACTTGTCGTGCTATCACTACGTGTTGTTCCCCCCTGGTTGGCTAGTATTTCAAAATTACCAATACCCACACACAATGCTTTCAGACGCAGAAAAGCAGGCAAAATCACGAGATGAAGTCTCTACCCACCGTGGTAGCGTACGAAACCACAATACCCAAGACGACGGGGGCCACCTACACCGTAGACTCAATAACCGTCAAATCCAGCTCATAGCTGCAGGCGGATCTATTGGAACGGCGCTTTTTATCAGCATCGGTGGCGGACTCGCTAAAGGTGGACCTGGGAGTCTTTTGTTATCGTTTTCCCTCTACACCCTCATTGTCGCCTTGGTCAACAACTCAGCAGCCGAGATGAACACATACATGCCTGTTGCTGGTGGGTTCATTCGCCTTGCTGGATACTGGGTGGATGACGCGCTCGGCTTTGTGGCTGGGTGGAACTTCTTCTTCTATGAAGCTATCCTTATTCCCTTTGAGATTACAGCTTTCAATGCTGTCCTCTCTTTTTGGAGTGACGAGTTTTTAAAGCCTGGACCAACAGCCGGGATTTGTGCTGCCGTGGTCGTTCTCTATGGGTAACGTTTTTGTTTCTTTCTTTTTTTGCACTGTCATCAATACTTTTCACTGGTGTACTGATACTGATTTCCCATGAGCAGGCTAATCAACGTTCTTGCGGTTCGAGGATACGGCGAAGCTGAGTTTTGGCTATCCGGCGGAAAGCTCATCTTGATTGTTTTGCTCTTCTCCTTCACTTTTGTCACAATGGTCGGCGGTAATCCTCAAAGGGATGCTTACGGTTTCCGACACTTTTCGGGGCCCGGCGTCTTTGCGACTTATCTCTCAAGTGGCGACCTTGGCCGCTTTGAGGGGTTCCTTGCAGCTCTTTTCACCGCTTGCTTCACCATCGTCGGCCCGGAATACATCTCCATGGTAGCTGCGGAAGCTCAGCGCCCCACCGTCTACATAAAATCGGCTTTCATAACGGTCTATTACCGATTCTGCATCTTCTTCATAATCGGAGCTTTGACTGTTGGCATCGTTGTGCCGTACAATGATCCTGCCCTTGTCCAGCTCTACTTCAGTGGAGGTGACAGTTCCACTGCTGCTGCCTCTCCCTATGTCATTGCAATGGAGAACCTCGGGATTGGTGTCTTGCCTCATGTTGTTAACTTTCTGGTTCTCACGTCCGTTTTCTCGGCTGGAAATACTTACACTTACTGTGCAACTAGAGCACTTTACTCGCTAGCACTTGAAGGCCGGGCCCCAGGCTTTCTCCGTTATTGCAATAAGAGCGGGACCCCGATTTACTGTCTTGGTCTGGTTATGCTTTTTCCCTTGCTCTCTTTTTTGCAGGTCAGCAACAGCTCAGCTGTTGTAATGACCTGGCTGCTTGCACTTATAACTGGAGGTGGCCTGATCAGCTTCATCATCATGTCTATCACCTTTATCAATTATTATAAAGCATGTGTAGCCCAGGGGGTTGATCGGAAGACTCGTCCCTATTATGGGTATTTTCAACCTTATGGTGCCTGGATCGCGCTAGTCGCTCAGACTATTATCCTTTTTGTTTACGGCTACTATGCTTTCAGGCCGTGGAACTTGGCGCTCTTCTTTCAAAACTACACCATGCAAATTGTGGCTGTGGTTCTCTTCACCGGATGGAAGGTTCTGAAAAAGACCAGATATATCCGACCTCACGAGCTTGATCTTGTTTGGGAACGTCCACAGATTGATGCCTATGAGGATTCTTTGATCGGCACGGCCAAGGGGTTCTGGACGGAGATGGCTCAGATGGTGGGATTTAAAAGAAGCCAGGTGAGCTTCCATTCTAAAACAGACCAAGCCATGGAAAAGAGGTGATTAACAAAGTCGTGACAGTAACCGTCTCCGGAATTGATAAAGTGCGGCGGCTCGGCAACTTTTGATTGCAACGTGCAGCTGCTGGACCGGTTCAGCAAACTTCGACTTCAGATACATGTACCTACAATCAATTGGTACCGTAGTACATGATAGCGACTCTATAAGGGGATAATTTCTAGAAGTCAATATAATGCCATGGCAATATAAAAGAAGCTTGCATCGCAAAGACATGAACGTTGTAAAACGAGTTGACGAAGTGACAACTAGGATGTAGCTGCACTTAAACCGCTAAGTTGAAGATGTACACGGCCCCCAGGAAAAGCCCTCCGTGTTAATTTACGGAACAAAAAGAGGCTTGAGATAAGTTACAAGGCTCATACGTTCCGACAACCTCTTGTGACTATGTCAGCGTGCTGCAGAGCAGTGATAATGACAAATGGTTTGCTCTTGAAGTTTTGGCTGTACTAGTCCATCGAGGTCCAGTTGGCTGCAGGTACGTCGTGAAGGGAACTAGTCACTCAGAGATTAGCCGAGAACATTTCTAATAAACCGAACGATCTTATTGGATAGTACCTGTTAAATTTACAGATTCTAGCCATGATAGATACCAGCAATTATTAGGGTTACAAGAATGCAATTTGGGAAACATAGGAGTTGATGGCAAATTGTCATTTATACCTGTTGTGATGGGGAAAAAAAGTGGGTATAAACTGGTAACTGTACTATTTATACCCGTAGCCAACTGGACCTCGATAGGATGAACCAAGGGATTTCATAAGTTGCCCTCTTATATATGTGTACTATCCGATTGAATGCCATTCGGCTACAGGTACATGGCTCATAGAGTTATGACCGACTAGGAACATACAGTCTGAGCTTTTTTTTTCAAACTCGTCCTTTTTCTCACAGAATATGGACAAGTATGAACCGATTTGTGGCTCTCAATGCACCTGTAACCCAATGGCATTCTATGGGATATACATATGTAGTAAGTCACACGACTGGTACCCTGGCTGGAGAAGAGAACTTTGGGGCGACGGTTAAACATACCCCTGTAACGCAATAAGACTCAGACTATCAAGAGTACCCCATTATTGGCTGTTGGGCTACAGATACATTGCGAGCCACAGAGCGGCCCAAATTTCTCCAAATTTCGTGGATTATAATGTAGATATGGGACTGGGAAGAAGCTCACTGTCTGTTACTGATTGGCTATAACTCCATAAAGTCAATCCATGTTCGACCAACTCCAGAATAATCCTTATGATAACTTTGGTGAGCATGAAGTCAATAATGGCCATGGATTCTACAAACCAACAATTACAATGTTAATGTCGCGACGACGTACTGTTAAGGGAGATGTTTGCGAATGCTAGTCACGTGAGAATAGCTCTAGCTGACGTACAAGACTGTCATTTATATGTTCTGTGGTGAAAACAGTAGTTAGCAGAATCAAGCCAAATTTCCTCTTGCAAAGAAACCCCTTAGCTCGGAAGTCTCCTATTCGTGAAAGCTTCCATGGCTAGTTTCACGCTTTAAGCTACACTTTGGGTCCTGAATTATAAACCTTTGCGACTTATAATAGACCTTCCCTCAGTACCTGTAACAGAAGTGTGCTCAGAGGAACTTGATCGATATTTTGTTTCATGGACGCCCTGCAGTCAATGTTAAGGTCCCCAAAAACAGCTCATGGATGTTCGGGCATGATTATAGGTCGAAGGACGCTTGTACTTAATGTAATGTCCCGTCACAATTAACAGCCGTGGAGAGACTTATTTATTTTCATGGTCAGTTGAACGATAGTGATATTTCGAAAAGCACATCACATCATGCGTTGGATCATCTAATGCACCTAGTCTCGACATGTTTACGCTTAAGCTGCATGAGGTCGTGATAATAAAGGAACCCAGACGACACGTCTTGGGACAAAGTGCCAGTCGTTTCAGGAGGTCTTTTGTTATCTGTCACTGATCTCGGAAGCTTTCATAGCTTAAGGTTCTTGCGCCCCTCTTTCTTCGACAACAATTCCGGTGTTTTGGTCCCAAATACGGATTCTGGTCAGCTTAAGAATTTGGTCAAGTAACCCACTTCAAGGTAGTCTTTAGCACCGTATCACTTTTGATTGTCCTGTAGACTGAGTCAAACACCAGCGTTTGCAAAGTATTCCGCTCAACTATCTATTGAAAGGTATCAAAGTAAGAAATACGGCTAAGTTTGTTCTTGGAAAGTTGCCTGTCTGCTATTCAATATTCCCCGTCCTGTCTCTGTTTCTGGCTAAAGTACACAAAGAAGATTCCCAGAAAAAGAGTAGCTCAGAGGCTATAGGCTGTTGATAGGAGTGATACTTGATCGCTAAGCCTAGCAGAGTACCGTTGAGTGATCTCATGATCCGAAATGTCTGATTTAGGGACTAAGTGGAACGAAGGGTCTCCGCCAGACAAGAACGTCATCAGGTTGGTATGTGTATCTATTAAACAGAGGTGATTGGTCTTCATCAGAACATATCCTAAGTGTTGTACATTATCTGGCCGCAAGCCACCTTCTTCTGGGTGGTCGCTGACGTCGATTTCTTTTTGTCTATAATCCCTCGTCAAGTCTTTACGGCAACTGCCATCTATCAGGCTCAGCTCCAGACTCCACGTCTATCCATCAAACGCCTTATCTTATCGAGGTTCTTTGCTTGTTGTGTTTATTTAAGCATGTTATCGAATGCAGGGATGAGGGTCTGCGCCAGCCAGAAGGAGAAGACCAGCTTGGGACCGGTCATCAGAAGCTAAAAAAAAAAAAAAGGAAAAACATCAGCCAAGGAAGAATGACAAAAGTTGTATGTGACTGCTACTTACCTTGGGGACCAAGCCCTTGAAGAAGGCACCGGCACCTTCGTTTTTCATCATGTTGGAGACGATCCTGAAGCCGGACTCGGGGTTCTCAAAGTTACGGTTCTGGATACGTGTCTTGATAACATCGAGAGGAGCAGAGACGACAAGGGAGGCGGAAGCACCGGCGATAGAGGCAATGAAGTTTTGGAACCACGACGCCTTGTTGTAGTCGCTCAAACCGAACATATATTCCTTGGTGAAGGCTGAACCACCGAACAGCTGTTTCGTAAAAAGTCAGCCACACGCCACATGATGTTGGAGCTCAGGAGACGCATACCGCGAAGGAACCAGGAGCATTACGGGCGGCAGTCCAGCCCCATCCTCTGTACAGACCGAAGCCCTCATCCGCGACAATCTTGAAAACACCACGGCCACGGAACGCCTCGGGGTTGGTCTGCCTCTTGATCTTTAGGACATCCAGGGGAAGAAGGACGATCTCTCCGATACCGATCAAGCTTTGTTCGTCGTCTGTCAGTTCAATCTTCGAGATATTCTTGTTTCAGCGGCATCAGCTCACCTGCCAGCGGTAGAGTGCATGATGGCCTTGCCAGTCTTCTTGCCGAAAGCATTCTCAAAATCCTTTCCGTAGTGCTGGTTCAGGAAGTCCCTAGCAACGGGCTGGCCACCGTACTTGTATATTCTTTGCAGAACTTTGTAACCGGCAGCGTATCCCAGACCGGGGAACAGCGAGACGAACTTGCGACCGAGGGGTGCAGAGGCCTTGTCTTTGAAGATGACAGCGTTGAGCTGATCCATACCGGAAACCTTCGCGTGGGTAACGTGTCAGCCTTGCATCCTATTCGTTACAGTTCCGGGTCACTGCAGCTCGATGTACCTTGGTCTGGTTGCTCATCAATCGCTTCGCGATGGTGTCGACCTAAGCTAAGTATTAGTCCCCATTTTTGGAATGGCAAAACGATTTCTGTTATGTAAAGAAAACTTACAGGATGGAAGACGGCCAATTCGGCGATACCAGCGGAACCTGTTCAGATATTGTCGTCAGCACAGGCGAACTTTCGCGTAGCACGCGGGCGCAAAATAAGAGTTTCGTACCAGAACCCAGGAGTCGCGCGGTGTTCGACTCCTTCTCCTTTCCTGCGGCCATAGGGGGAGACATCTTGTCTACAGATGCTAGAGGTTATCAAAAAAAGAAGTTGGATATCCTTGATTGAAGAGGTTCGGGTTCCGGAGGTCTATCGTCGACTGGCAAGGCACTCGGAAGAGGGGGAAAAGATTCGCAGAAGAGCAGGACAGGTTTGGAGGCTGCTGGGAAATTTTTACTCACCACTCTGCCCGAACTCGCAGCTTAATTGCTGGCCCTGCAAGGACATGCCCCCCTGAGCGCCGAGCGCCGGGAAGTGGAGACTAGCATGCCAGGGGTTGCGCCGAAGCACAATTCTTGGTAAGGCAGCTCCGACCGTTGCGATTCACGGCCGGTCGGATTGTTCCAGTGAGAGCGCACGCCGGTTTTCCTGGTTAACATGACAAGACTATGCCCTAAACTAAACTGTGAAAAACAAAAATCGAGACATTGTAGTCTTGGATAGACGGCGCTTTCATTTTTTGGTCCCTTGGGTATCTAACATCTTCTCTCACTCCTGTATTGTAACCCTTCAATAGCCTTCCTTCCGTTGACCCTCTGCTACTACCATTGGGTGCCAGAACTCTAGGACCCGCTTCAACTCGACATACAAACTTTTGGCAGTGCATATACATACATCGTTAGTATAGACACAGTTCCTTGGCTAATAGTCTCGGAAGACTGAAACTAGGTCATCCATCCTCATAACGTGGCCAAGCAGTTTGCTCTGCAGGTCCAAATAACTGCTGTACTTGTTGTAGTGCTCGGCAGTCATGACCTCTTCTTCCTTGCCCTTCACGTCCCGTCTCTCCACAAAAGATAGAATGTTACGTTCCCGATATCGGTGCACCTCCAGATTTTGGAGGCATCGGAGCATTGTCTTGTAGTAATCGTCGACGAGTTGATTCTCAATTCTTTCAATGTCGAAGAACCAGAAAAACATGGTTCGCGTCGCTGTTCTGCTGGCATCTTTTGGAACTTCCTGCACATCGACGAAACCAGCCATTTGCATGGCAAGCATTTTGCCTTGAACGTCCTGCTTCTTCATTAGAGCAAGTGAAGGAAGCATCTTCTCATCCAACTTGCCCTTCTCACGAAGAATTCGTGTCAGACGAAGTCCATGCCTGCCGAAAGACTGCTCAATGACGGCATCCACCTCTGTTTGCTTCAACCCCTCCAACAAGGGCTTGAAGTCAACTGTCCACTGCCCTCGGCCTTGACTGCCACAATGGCGCAAAAAGCCCTGTTTGCTTTCTGCTAGCAGCAATAGATGCTGTCGCATTTGATCCAGCCGGTTACCATTTGAGGCCGACTCCTCAAACTTGACCTTAGTTTCGCGAGACCCAGACCCCTCTCCTTCAGTATCGCTGTCGTCTGAATCGGCTCTCCTAGCACCATTTGTTTGGGCACGAACAGGAGCTCTCGCGGTGCTTGGACTCTCGTCGAATGAATCATCGGAGTCGTACATAAGCTGGCCAGGTGTGGCTCTAATTTTTTCGGCACTGCGGAAATCGATCTGATCTGCTGAAGCTTTGCCCACTCCAACAGAAACATCGACGGATTCATCGAGGCTATCGAAGATTTCAAGACTCGTGACGCTGACTTGCCGTGCACTCTGGCTGGGACCGTCGCCGTCGGTCGTATCAGTATCGATCTTAGGGTCGAGTTGGCACCGGGATATTTGCTGAGTCAACAGACGCAAGGCAGTGTGGTAAACGTGACCAGTTGCTTCGCCGAAGGCGTCGGCAGCATATTGAGCGAGACGCTGATTGCGCAGTTCGACGAGGCATTTTTCAGTGTTTACCCTCAAGACAACGTGTGGCTTAATGATCAGTCAGCGAGATGTATGCGCAAAATGCAATTTAGGAAGGGACTCACCTCAAGTTCAGGCACGTCCTCTTCAAAATCCGAAGTTTCCCTCTTTCCCTTGCCGTTCGAAAGCTTCCTCCGCTTGGTTGGGAAGATAGCACCTCGCCCCAGTTGCCGCTTCAATTTCTTGCTCTCCTCGCGAGCTTCTCGGAGCCGCTTCGCAACCTCGCCTTGCATCAGCTCCTTATTACGTGCTGTCATCTTCTCTCCTGGTGCTGTTTTTGTAACTTCCTCCTCGATCTCACGGTATACATCTTCAGGATTTCTAAATGTCTTTGGGCCGACCTGGTCCACGATCTCAGCCGTAACCAGCCGATTCAGGATGGCGTGGAGGTCGAGAAACGAATGTGACGAATGTCCGTTGATTTTTGGCTTAGAAACATTTCCATTGGCGTGCCCATTTGTATAATCGCCGTTGGTGGCCGCCCCGTTTCTGGTCTCGAACGCTTGCGCCAGATCGGAAACTCTGGCATGTCCCAACTGCATAATTGTTTGGACTACTTCCTGTTCTGCAGAGCCGTACTCGATGCCGACCATCTCGATGATCTTTCCGGCTCTAATAAGGTTGTAGCACCCATCAGGATTGGCCTCGTAAGTGGCAATCGTGTTGCTAGAATCGGCCTGGTGATATACGAGATTCTGTTGGACAAGAACTGCGAGTCCGTGGCGCAGCTGTCGTGGGGTCAGACCTGTGGTCTGAGTAAGTTGTGCAATAGTCGATCTTCCTTTACTGAAGAGAACGGCTAGAATTCGCTAAGGGGAAAACGGCTTATTAGTATTACATAGCAAAACCTTTGCGCCGCGGAAGTGCAACCTCCAGGACAGCAAGGCTGGAGGACCCCTTACCGCAGGCAGCTCGCCGCATATGTCGTTGACGAGGTGAGCGCAAAGCTCCGCGCCGTGCTTAGTCTGGCAGAAAGTTTAGGAAAACGACAATCCGTCGAGTGGGCGAGATGTAAGGGCTTACCACTAGCATTGTGGAATGTTTTCAGGAACCAATCTACTCTAGAGATTCTCTCACTATCCCTAGAGCTGAACAAAGACTACCGCGAAGGCATTGAAGTAATACAAGACCGGCGCTGTAATGTAGAGAAAAGCACTTGACTGTAAAAATGTAAGATTGTGGTCGTAGATTGTGTCGCGTTCGACTGGGGGAGGGAATTGAACAAAGTATGGAACTTTTTTTTCTAAGCGGCCACCTAAGGCGGGGTGGGGGACAAGGTCGAAGGAAAGCGCCGAGTCGCCGACAGAGTCATGGAGCTTTCAGGACCTGGTGACTCTCTCTTGTGGGTGTGAGTGTGGCTAGAACCTCAGAAGTGGATAAGGTGAATTTAGTGTCGTGCCACACCTGAGGCAAGACTGCTTAGGTAAGGATAAGATGAACCTATGCTAAATGAGGAATACAGACGTCAATTGGTAGTATGACGGGACATTGCTGTGGCTGACGGACTCCCTCGGGGCAACCCAGGACTCTGATTACATAAACGCACTCTTCAGTGCGCACAGCACAATAGGTGGAGACGGCGGAGGTAATCAGTCAAACGTTCATTGGTGGCTCGGGAAGATGGCAGTTTTCAATCACGTGACAGTACAAATGACCCGTAGCTAACCTCGTTCGATGGATCGAAAATTGGTCGGGATTGTAACGAGGCACTTTCTTGTTGAAGCTCCGACGAATTGAGCGTCACGCAAATCGGAACTGCCAATTCTCGGCAACCCCATCACCGCAATGATTTCTAGACCGACTCTTGCGAGGTCTGCGCAGCAGGCTCTCCGCCACTCGAGCTGTGCTCGCACCATCTCGGGTCGCCGGTTCGCCAGCGCCTCTGCTGGCTCTGGTGCCTTCGAGACCTCCGACGTTGGCGGTGTTAAGGTTGCTGCGAGAGATTCTCAGGGCCCGACGACCAAGCTTGCCATTGTGGCCAAGGCTGGTACTAGATACCAACCTCTTCCCGGTCTGGCCGCTGGTCTTGAGTCCTTCGCTTTCAAGGTATGGATGCAACGCGGAACCACCCTTTTTAACCATTGGGGTTGGTCAAAAAGAAACAATGCGCTGACATGCCTTTCAATCACCAGAACACACAAAAGCGCTCTGGTCTGCGCATCATTCGCGAATCCGAACTCCTTGGCAGCCAATTGACCTCTTACCACACCCGTGAAGCTCTTGTCCTTGAGGCCAGCTTCTTCCGCGATGACCTTCCTTACTTCACGGAACTCCTCGCTGAAGTTGTCTCCCAGACGAAGTATACCAGTGAGAATTGCCTGCACAATTGGCTGAGATTAGACTCGCCTTGCTGATGGTTGTTTAGCGCACGAGTTCCACGAGGAGGTTCAGCCCGTCCTTCGCCTGAAGCAGTCTGGTGTCAGCGCCGTTGCCCAGGCCCTTGATGCCGCCCACTCTGTCGCTTTCCACTCTGGACTCGGCTCCCCCTTCAACCTTACGCCCTCTATCCCCGTCCAGCCCTACTTGAGCGAGTACGCCGTTTCCGAGTTCGCCGATGCTGCCTACGCCAAGCCCAACATTGCCCTTGTTGCTGATGGAGCTTCTGCCGCCAACGTCACCAAGTGGGCCGAGCAGTTCTTCAAGACTGTTCCCTCTAGCTCCTCTGGCAAGCTGTCTTTGAACACCACTGCCACCAAGTACTATGGCGGTGAGCAACGCACCTATGGCACCAACGGCAACGCCCTCGTTATTGCCTTCCCCGGTGCCACCAATGGCCAGGCCTCTCCTGAGCTCGCCGTTCTTGCTGCTCTGCTCGGTGGCAAGTCTAACATTAAGTGGTCCCCTGGCTTCAGCTTGATCTCCAAGGCTGTCGGCCCCGCCCCCGGCCTGTCCACCTCGACTATTAACCTTTCCTACTCTGATGCTGGTCTCTTGGCTGTTCAGCTCTCTGGCTCGGCCGCCGCCGTCCGTAACGCTGCTCAGGAGACTGTCAAGGCCCTGAAGAGCATCTCTGAGGGTTCCGTCAGCAAGGAGGATCTTACCAAGGCTATTGCTAAGGCTAAGTTTGACGCTCTGGAAGCTACCGAGAAGCGCAGCGGCAGCATTCTCCTCGCTGGATCCGGCCTCGTCCACAGTGGCAAGGCCATTGACGCTGCTGAGGCTGCTAAGTCTTTTGAGTCTGTCACGGTCGAAAAGCTTAAGGCGGTAAGTACAGTTGGTCGCTTCATTCCCAAGTTATCTGACTAACGCATTGTTGTAGGCGACAAAGACTCTTCTGGACGGTAAGGCTAGCGTTGCTGCGGTTGGTGACCTGTACGCCCTGCCGTACGCTGAGGAGCTTGGCCTTCGGGTGTAAACGAGAAATGGGTCTGGCCTCGTAGCAGTGGAACGATCCGTGTATCAACAGTCAAGCATTTGCGGTAGATTGGGGAAATGTATCCTTTGTGAACATATGTAGTAGAATTTTCTTGTGTCTGCCTAGCTTGTCTGATTCTTCCGTCTGCCATATTGCACTTTTAATGTTCTTTTTGAAGCCAATCCTGTCCTTCAGGTCTTCCCCTGGATGCATCTCTTTTCTCGGGGAGATGTAATGACTGAGGTTTAGTTGGCGAGGGCGTGATGCCTCCATGCATGGAGTAAAAAACTTGTTGGCTAATCCTCCACTGTGCCATGTCTCATGCCCGTCAACAAACCAGACATTGATTCTACACATGTTTCCTTTCTCTTCTTTGGGCGTAATAAATTGGGCGAGTCCGTTTTAGAAAACCCAGAGGGTAGACCCATTTATGTAGTCCTTTGTCTCCTAAGTTGGTCTGAATCATGTTCACGATCAACAACCTTTGGAACTGGGACTATGCTGAAGCTGATAGATTTAGACGGGCCGACAACTTTATTTAGTACTTCCGAGGAAGTATCAAGCATAAGACAGGTTGTAACATGCAAAGTGGATTGAAAGGACAAACCGAAGATGCTGTTTCTCAATCATTTCAACCGACATACCACACAAACGGAAAGATTTCTGCTGGTAGAACTACGTCAACGAACAAGGTTGAAAGATCGTATGAGAGTCATTTAAGGAATTGATAGCTTAATAATGAGAGAAAGCACTTGGAATTGAAGGTGACGAATGACTACGGAGTCTTTAACTGATTATTGCTCGAAACAATGCTTGGACATGAGGGGGACAATACCGAGCACGGTCCCCCTTAATTGGGGGTTGAGCCACGATCGTCAATTGGTACAGACAAATGTAGGGTTATCGTGGGATGAAAGCAAATGGGGAAAAAAGAGAGTTTCTATAATAAGTCACAGAACTTTTTTGAATACACATCTGACCGCAGTTTGGATGCATTATTGATGTTCAGGTACACCAAATCAAGGCAGGGAGCATTGCCAACACTGTAAGGTGAGGTGATGTCTGCCCTGGTAGTTGTATTTTTGGCTCGAGGGGCTGAACTGAGGAAGAGGGCCACTCATTTGTGGCCATCCCCGGGAGCACTAGCCGTACCCGCACCCACACCACACCTTTTCCTCGCTAGCCCCCGGACCCAAGTGACAAGGCACAGGGTACACCGCACTTCAGGGCACGTCCACTGGCGACGAAGGTACCCAGAGTGAGCACCACTGGACCCGTGAGGAGCGGGAGGAAAGCGCAGCACACTGCACAGCACAGAACCGCACCAGGGCACATTAAGTCCGGGTAAGGTGCGGTAGGGGACTGGCCGGACTGGCCTGGCAAAACAAAGCCTCACCTCACCTCACCTCAACCTCCACACCCAATGCCAACTCCCTCAAGCTCGCCCTTTTTTCGCCCACGATCCACGCTGGTCTTCCGCGCCTGCATTCCTCCCCAACCCTCTATTTCTTGTCGCCCAATTGCGACTCTGTTCGTGCAGTGTCTTTTTGCAGCTGGACGATAATTGGGGAAGCCTTCATTTCTCTCCCCTATCTTTAGGCCTTCGTGGAGCCTGTTCGCAGTACCGATACGAGTTACCTCGACCAGGTGAGACACGCAGCCCATCCTATTTACTTCCTCCGTTTCTTCGCCTCTTGTTCCTCGAGCCCTAGTCCGAGGGTGTTGCGGCATCATCTCCTTTTCTCTCCAGTCGTTGTCTCCCTCTCGCACTGTTTTCCTTTCTCTTATTCGTTGTCTCCCATATTTCCCAGCAGCTGTTCAGCTGTGACTTTCAGCTACCTGTCCTTGATGGGCCTCCCCCGCTATTGGACTTCCGAAGCTAACAGTGGTCAACGACCTCTCGCAGGTAACTCTCTCCATAACAGCAGAGCCGGTTGCGGCCTTTCTGTTTGAGTACATCGACGATTTACAGTCCACGGTGACTGTTTCCTCTCGAGCCCAACGAACCGATTACCCTCCAATTCCCGTCGCAAGGTGCGTGGTCCCGCAGAAATATCGCGACACATCCCCCCTTTATGTGGTTCGATACGACCATCAGCTATCACCAGTCTACATCATTTGTTCTCTCTAGCCATATGTCTCTGAATAGTTGCGGGGGCACTCAAATCAGTTGGGCTAACCTACATGCAGGGGACTGGAGGTCATTGGTAGTCGAGGTGGCACTGCTGTCGCAAGATCTCTTCCTGTACTACCTCGACAGCCCGAGGCCGCAAGATGGTGCCTCCCAAGAAACTGCAGAGTGATATCGGGAATAACAGCAATAAGAACAATATGCCCTTCAACAAGAGAGACTCGGCTATGGGTAAGGCCGATGGAAAGGGTCAAAATGGTCTGCCCCTATCGACATTGTCTCCGCCGTAAGACTTAAAGCTAACCATGATTGAGGCACTCGATCTGGTTTCCGGACAGATACTGCTATTTCCAACAGCCGCCTGGGCAACGAGCGAACCCTTCAGCCATGGGTCCCCGATTCCTCTGACGGTATCGACGGCAGTCTAGAGAAGTCCTCCAGCAGCGGAGCTTGGGATCAGTTTGCGGAGAATGAGCGGCTCTTCGGCCTGAAGACTGACTACGACGAGAACATATACACTACTACTATCGATAAGAGTCACCCTCAGTACAGGGAGCGTATGGCCGCTGCAGAACGTAAAGCACGAGAGATCGAACGCAGCTTGCCCACCACGGCCCATGTTGCCGAGGAGCGTGTAATGGATTTCATTGGTGGCGGTGGTAACGACCAAGGTGGGGATGAAGAGGACAAGTAGGTTCACGTCGTCACTTTTTGATTAAGCAGACTATACTGACAGCCCTTTAGGTACAGTGGAGTTCGCCGCCAGGATTTCCCCCCTCTTTCAACCCGCGAGAACAAGTACACCCCTCCAGCTAAGCGGGCACCTTCTTCGCAATCGACAGTAGCAGGTGCCCCTGTCGATCCGGCGATCATCTCATCGCAGCTTAGAGCGCCCACGAAAAAGCAGACTACGGTTAAACCAGAGGATGCGAAGCTTTTAAGCCAATTGGCAAGCAAGGGCGGTGCTGCCCAGTCTGCAGAAACACCCAAGCCTGTTGAATCGAAACCCGCCGCGAAGTCTGCTCCTAAGCAAGAGCCAGTCAAACAAACCGAGCCCAAGCCATCGGATGCCAAGGCGACTGCCACCAAAACTAGCGACGTCAAGGCTCTTGACAAGTCCCCTGTCCCGACTCGTCCCTCGGCGGCCACCAGTCGTACTATATCCCCCCAAGTTAAGGAGGGCGCACCAAGTGCCGCCTCAACGGTAGAGCGTGATGTACTCAATTCTTTCAAGACCTTTGCAAGCCAGCAGCGGCAAAATGCCGAAAAAGTGCGAAGCAGTAAGGCAAAGGCTGATAAGGAAGTCAAGTTGACGGAGTTGAAGAAGTTCGCCGACACTTTTAAGCTGTCCACACCTGTCCCGACTGACTTGATTGGTATCATTGCTAAGGATCCAGCTAAACAAAAGGAGATCCAGGCAAAGGCACTCTTGAACGCTGAAGAAGTTGCTCGCGCGAAGGCAGATCCTACTACAAAGCCAAAGGACACTCCGTCAAAGGAGGGTGCAGCTAAGCCGGCTACTGACTCTCCAGCAACCCAGTCTGCTACTGCTGCTACTGGAACCGACACAAGAAGTACTGGCCGCCCAACTCCTGCACAGCACACGGTTTCTCCTTCCAATGTACCGAACCGTCATCCCAATGCTCGTCAGTCCTATGCGTCTCCCCAGTATCACGCCCAGACGTACAGAAACGATAGATCAGGACAGCATATGGCGCCACAGAATCGCCAGCCGTTGGCACAGCGCCTCCGCAACGTAGAGCAGCAGAAAATGTCGCAGGCTCCGAACCAGCAGCATGCTGGCGGTCAGGATGTTCGCCTGCCGCCGACTGGGCCAGCGAACAACGATGCACCATTCGCTCGACGTATTAGTGGTGTTCCAAGCCACATCGGCGGCAAGCTGAACCCCAACAGCCACGAATTCAGGCCAAGCCCGTTTGCAGCATCGTTTAACCCCAACAACCACCCCAGCGCAGGATCCAGCCCTCGTTCTTCTGCGACTAACAACGTTGCTGCTACTGAAGCGGCAACCACATCCAACCCAGCGCCTGCCGGCCAATTGATTCGCCGGAAGACCAAGGCGGTTGACGTGAAGAAGTGTTATATCCTCGCCCATGTCAAGACGTTCCAGCCGCCTCAGGGTCGCAACTGGGATGATAACGATGGCCTCAGGCCGTCTTACGACACTCCACCTACCTGGAGACAGCTTCAGGACAACGAAAAGCCCGATTCCACCATGCATCTCACGTCGAAGGAGTTTCTCGAGCGCCAGTCTTTCGCCTCGTCGTCTATGGCTACACCAAATCACACCCACGTTGTGCCTAATGCCCATCAGCACCAGCTTCCTTTCCATTTGCAGCAGCCTGCGCATGGTATGGGTCCACGCCAGTCTCCTCACATGCCACCTATGCCAATGCAGAACCAACATGGAGCACATGTCCCCCATGGACCGTACCAGAATATGGATGACCACCGGATGATGCATTCCAACTCAGCGCAGTCCTTTGCCTCCCCTCGGATGGCCCAGGTGCCGATTACCTATACTCCGGCCATGGGCTCCGCCCAAGTTCCTTACAATCAGCCCATGATGCAACCATTTGTAGGACCTGGTACGCCGAACATGGGTGGCTTCCGAAACTTCTCCAACAACCATCAGTATATGCCACAACAGCCTGGTGGGCCAATGGGAGGACCAATGATGCCTCAGTTCATCAACCCCCAGGGTATGGTACCGGCTCCTCAGATGCCGATGTACGCTGGAGGCCACACTCAATTCATGCCTCCGAACGCTGCACCACCCCAACCTATCCCAGGATCCAACGGCTACCCTAGCCCCGGGCGACCAGTCGCGCCCATGATGGCTCACCAAGGTTCGCAGCAGGGTCAACCGGTGTACGGCATGAGTCCCAACGTGCAGTACCAGCAACCGGCCTTTACCCCACAGCAACCCGGCGGTCAGGGTAAGATAGTGCCTGGCGCCCGATTCCAATAAGTTGCTAACGTCCAGCTTAGTTGGCAGGGGCTACAACAATCCGGGACCCCAACACTTCGGGACAAGTCCTTCTCAAATGCACTCGTACGGTGCACAACATCGAAGTGGAAGCAGTAATTACGGGGCTAAGCCTTTCAACAACCACGGACAGCACCAAGGGCCGCAGCAAGGACCAGCGGTCCCGGCTGGTGGCCCAGGGCGTACTCCTGACGGGTCTGAAGAGGCCAAATGAGGACACAAATAAATAGCATGGCACAGGTAACCTTCGGCGTCTCGAAGCGCCATCTTCACCAATATCAAGGTCCGAACAGCTCCCGAATTTCAAATGTTCACCTTGTTCGCAGAGCCGGGCGGACGCTGTGGAGAGAGGCATGTTGGCATGCGGCAGATGTGGAGGAGCATGCTCAGCGATGGATATTTGAAACCATTACATTGTCAGGGCCATCAGTGAGTTTATACTCTATCAGCACCACATCTGTTACCCGACAGAAGGTTATATTTCAGGAATGAAAGGTCCAGGCTGTCCTTTGTGGATAGCTTGCCACGAGGGACCGTAAGGGTGAGGGGCATGCCACCATGATGTTATCGACGGTACTTGATGAAGCCAGACGAGAGCAGGAGACAGGCGACGGACGACTAGGGTGGATGAACGTTAGCACGTTGGCCACGACCCGGACGTGTATCTGAAGGCTAGGCGCTGTAGAGAGCTTGGCAGGACGGATGATGAAAAGCGTAGGAGTCAGCAGTTTAGGCTATAGCCATCTATCGAGAGGTGGCTTGAAAGATGATAAAACATTACTTCACATGCACGTCCATCATATGAAAAGCAGCAATTTGTCTTGTCCTGCGTGATCAGTCTTCAAATGAAGACGTAGAACTCAGCCTCAAGACAAGTTTTCACCTTGGAATCGGATGAGTGGTCATGATGAAAGGGAGAGTGGAATGGCGACTTCACTAACGTTACAGCGATGGCCCACACGGAACCTGCGGCATCAATGTGCGCCCTTGTAAGGAGACAAGCTTAAAAAATGCGCCACGTTTCTACGCTGTACTAGGAACATGATGCATTCAAGCTTACCTAACCGCGGAGGGGTCTGTGTCCCCTGGGTGCGGGCAAACTGGGCTGGCAAACGGTAGCAGAGTCGTATATTACAAAAGAATCTCACCATCTGCTGCATAACCCTAGTGGGGGGGATTGAGCAACCAGATTGTCCAATACTGGTTTCCTGATTTATCTACGTAAGGAAAGGTATGCATAATTAGGGATCGGATGAGAATAGGTCAGAGGAGTCAAATGTGACTGTGAGCTATGGGCTGCGGGCTGGGCGGCAGCGACAGGTAACCAGGAAACATTTTTATTCGTGGCGGTTGCACGACGCATGCCATTTGACGGCGCGCATGTCGCATGTTTCAAGTCGTCTCGTTTCTGAAAATGGCTGGACGTTGGCATACCTAACAGTACTGAGAGGTTAAAAAAAAAAACCCCTCCGTCACGTCACAATCGGCTCCCGGAAAGGCTAGGGAAGGCGCTGAAGCGGGGACACTACGGAGAGGTAATCCTGGGCGGTGCCCTTGAGGGTTAGCGGCCCACGACTCTGTGCTGGTTTCCCATTTGTTCAATTTTTACTCTGTTCCAGTGCGTTCCCCGTGGTGGTATAGGTTAGAACGTGTGGTGTGAGGTGTCGCGGAGCAGGATCTCCAAACGGGCTGGGCCAATCAGCGGATTCGGCGGCTCAACATCACCAGGTACACAGGCCATTTGATTGGATTTTTCTGGACCCGAACCGTCGAATGTCGACGATCTCCCTGCCTTCTCCCAAGGATTAGGACAACGCCAAAGGTCGGTTTGCGCCCCTTGCGCTTCAAATCTTTACCGCGCAACTGTCGCTATGGCATCCTATTCGTGCATTCGTCTCTTCGCCAATGACTGTGCTGGATAAACTTGGAGCATTTTCTTCTTCTTTTCCAAACTGGCTCCTGTTCATCCCACCTTTTTAGCAACACTAGAGACAAACAGACATGACTCTCCCCTCTGACTTTCGCACTCTACCCGGGCACTCTCCCGCTGCGTGGGTCACCTATTGCCTAGATTGCGTTGTGGACTAGTCTAGAGACGTTGATCTGGACTCGCAAGGCGACAGCTGGTGTGGTTGGGTCTGGGTGTTAAAGGGTGCAAGGGGTGATCGGCCAGGAATTCACGAGAGCTTCTAGGCGTAAGCCGAGGTCTCTCATGGTTTAGATGTCTGTTGGACAGGATCAAAGGGCATAATAAATACAGGAGTAACGACTCAACTTGTGGAGATAGAAAAAGAATCTTGAGGGAGAATGAAAGGAAGGGAGACAGACATTGGCCAGACGTAGAACGTACTGGACCTGATTTGAAGGGATAGGAGCAAAAAGTCTGTTAGTATCCGGGCAGTCGCCCAGAGAACGGGCAGAGTAGATGTACTTTACCTCTGGAGGCATCCGGCACGCATAATGAAGGTATCCCGAAGTAGAAGGTGAAGGAGAAGAGGAAAAGATTGGTCGAAGCCAAGGGGTTTTTTTTTTTTTTTTTGCATCGCCAGGAAGGTGTTGGCCAAGCGCACCACACGACCGCCAGCCAGCCCGCAGATGGATCACCTTGACCAGAATGCAAACTGCCTCTTGCCTGTGCCAGCGTCTGGTACCTGCACTTCAACGGGACGTCTGCAGAAGCCGGCCCTTTACCCTTGTCTCCCCCCCAGTCCGCATACTGTACCTGCCTTCGATGGGCTGGTAGACGGTGTGATTGTCGAACAATAAAGAGTCCGTGACAGCCTCCCGCCTTCCTCAGTCTCTTGCTCCATCCGCATCTGACATCAACGACACGTTTCTCGGGTCTCGGCTTGATTTCACTTCTCTTCCCTTACCTCACTTTTCATTCTCTTGCTTCCTCTTGTCTGGTATTGCGTCACACACGGCACGTATTCACTGCTGTTAGGGAATCCAACTTTGGCCTACCTTCTATCTGGCTTACACACCAAAGCAGCATCCACATCCACACACACTTTGGAGGAAAGCACGCCGTTCCTTCCCTGCCTCCCCCAAATCGCAACCGTTACGTACTGGGCTTTCCCGACCAACCTCATTACACAATAACACATTCCTTCCTCTTCATTGTCAGTCATTGGACTTTTGGTTTTTGAGCTGTGCTCGATTAGAAGACACACTTTCAGATAAAAAAAATCACCCATCCGTCTCAGTCGCCTTGACTTGGACAGTCTCACCCTCATTCACCTTGACATTTCAACAACACGAACCCCCAGCCTCGGGATCATTTCCGACCCGCGCGAATATCAAGACGAGGAGCAAATACACACTCATTCAGACAACAATCATCCCAAAACCAAACAACCCCGTACACTTACTTTGTGTGCTGCTGTTTCCGAGTTCTTATATCTTGTAACAATCGCCTGGTAACGTCCAGGAAAACACAGCATGAAGTCTGTTATTCTCTTAGCGGTTGCGCTGCTGGCTAGTCAAGTCTCATCTCACATGGCCATGACCTACCCGCCGCCCCTCCGATCCAAGGAGAACCCCTTCTCAACCCCCGACGTTATCGACTACAGCATCACCAGTCCCATGAGTGCCTCTGGCAGCGACTTCCCTTGCAAGGGCACCCTCAACCTTCTAGGATCCCCTGCAGCCAGACCTGTCGCCACTTGGCAAGCCGGTAAAGATTACAATATGACCATCGCTGGCGGTGCGAACCACAACGGAGGCAGTTGCCAAGCTGCCCTCTCCTATGACAGTGGCAAGACCTTCACTGTTATCCATAGCTACATCGGCAACTGCCCTCCTCCAGGCACTTCGACATTCAAGTTCACCCTGCCGGCGGATGTCCCATCTGCCCAGGAGGCCATCTTCGCTTGGACCTGGTTTAACAACGTTGGCAACAGAGAATTGTAAGTACATTCTCGGTCTTCGAATGATGTTGAACCTCACTGATGGCCCCTAGCTATATGAACTGTGCCGTTGTGACTGTCAACGGTGGTGCTGGTGCTGCTACTAGTGGCCAGACGAATTCTGTTTCGTTTAGCAGCCGTCCTCAAATCTTCAAGGCCAATATTAACAATGGCTGCACAACTGCCGAGGGATCTGACGTCGCGTTCCCCAACCCCGGCCCCGATTTTGACTCTACATCGAGCAAGACAGCTCCGCCTTCTGGCAATTGCGGTGCTGTTGCTCCCAATCCTGGGACTGGTGGTGGCAGCGGTGGGGGCTCTGCTGTTCCGTCGAACAGTCCAGTCCCTTCGAGTAGCCCTGCCTTATCCAGCAACCCCGTTGCTTCTGTTCCCTCGTCTTCTCCGGTGGCAGATCAGCCTAGCTCTGTGCCTTCCGTTTCCCCAGTATCTCAGGACTTGTCCCAGCCTGCACCCATCCCTACCCGCGCTACTGGAGGTTCTGCTCCTGCCACTTCGCTGTAAGTATCTAGTCAAAAGTTTTCATACTGCTCTTCTGCCAAGAACAATGCTGACTTGCATCAGTCCTGGTGGCGTTTTTATCCCAATCTCAAGCTCTACCAGTGTTTCTTGTTACCCTGAGATTGAGACTCAGACCACTCTGGCAACCATTAGCAGACCGTCTCCGACAAATGCCTCGGCAAGTACAAGCCCTTCACCCACCGATATTGCGCCGGTTCCTACGCCCACTGCCAAACCTCCAGGAGGCGACGACGCTCCCGGAGCCATGAAACCTGGTCTGGCTTGCACAGAGGAGGGCCAGTGGCTCTGCATTGCTGGTACCCATTTCCAGCGGTGTGCCTCCGGACGGTGGTCGGTTATCATGAGTATGGCTGCTGGTACCAAATGCCAGTCCGGAACAACTGAATTCGTTACCTGGGCTAAGAAGAGAGCCCATAAGAGAGCCCACAGCGGTCGTCTTCGCGCTCGCTCTAAACACGTTTGAGATTTTCAAGCAAGACTCCGAACGGTAAGGTCTAGGACGTGTGGAGGTGAGCCTGGCAACAGAAATAAAGGGCTCTGTCTAGCCTCAGGAGACGTCGATAGTTTCTGCCCTCTGGATGATCCATGACGTGGGCGACGATATTCTTATGAGAACCTGTACGAGATTACGCGGGATCAAGCATGTAGACATGGGGAACAGGTCTGGTTTTTTTTCTGCTTTTGGCGTTGAGGTTGACATGGAATCCCCAGGACTGGCTCCTGGTTGGTATGGAATGGCTCACTGGCAAGTTACATCGGATAAAATAGACAGTAGCACGCAACTCGACGATCGTTGTAAGGACTGGACTAGGCGTGAATGCGATACCAATGCTGCTTAACAAGTCGCTCCTGCGCCCCCATCCGTTGACGTTGCGGCCAAAGAGATGATTGGCTTTTATTGATTACTAACCTAAGCCACTTTTTTTTGTGGTCTGGCTTGCCAGATGGCACCATCTGTGACGGCCTTTTCCATGTGCCACTTCAGGCAGCATCAGATCCAGTTCACCATTGTGGCTGGAGCTTTGAGACTTCACATCCAACTGAAGGTCAATCTTCGATTCTCAGATTATATCGACGCGCAACATCTACGGATAAAGTATTGTCATTGAAATAAACCCGCTTGACATATTCTAGCGACTCCGTGCTGGCTAGTGGCGCCACACCTGATACATCTTAAACCTTGTATCCCAGGCCACTCACCCACACAAGGTCGACTGCATCTTGAACAGTCGGATAGTGATAACAAGCGGGCGGCCCTGCGTTATGATACATGAAGCCTACTGAGTAAAATTGGATTAAAGCAAACATGGCGATCCCGTCCGGACGGGCGGCGTTCAAGAAGAAGGATGGAGTCTTGACTATGACGCCGGACCAACAGTCCGTCATCTGGACACCAGCGCCTGGCAACGGCCCGCCTACGGTCTCCTTATCGCTCGCCAATATTACAAGTGAGTCTTGTTAACTAGAAAAAAATAATTATCGGAATATGAATTCGACTGACGTGGACTATAGATTTGCAGCAAACACCAGATACAGCCGCCAAAGTGATGCTAAAGATCTTTGAGAAGCCGCCCGATGCCACTGAACAGGTGCCTTATCTCTTTCACTTCACATCGCCAGATGCCAGGTCCGAAGCAAACGCCATCAAAGATCTTCTGTCTAGGCTCCTGGCCGACGTTCGCTCCAACGATCCCAACGTGCCCAAACCAGCCGGTACGCCAAATCCTCACGCGAATGGCTCAAATGGTGCGACTCCTAGCGGCTCAGGCGGTAGCGGCTCCGGCTCCATGGCTTTCGCTAGTTCTGTCAACTCGAAGCCAAGCAATGCACGCTGGTTTGACGATGCACAGCTCAAGGGGGATATTGAGTTGCAGCAGTCTCTCATGAAGAAGGACCGCACCCTTCATCAAACGTATATGGATGCGCGCGCTACAAAACCGGAGTCCATCTCAGATGCTGCCTTTAACGCCCAGTTCTGGTCCACCCGCACCAATCTTCTGCGTGCACACGCCATCGAAGTCAACCAACAAAAGGGTGCCTACAACATTTTGCCGGCTATCAAGCCACGTCTCGAAAATGATGTGCTTAAACTTGATATTACCGTGGAGATGGTCCAGCTCATCATGGCCCAGCACCCGCTTGTCAAGCGACTATACGATGAAAACGTGCCAAAGGTCCCGGAGAGCGAATTCTGGTCGCGCTTTTTCCTCAGTAAACTCTTTCGCACCCTCAAGGGTGATAGGATTTCCGACGAGAAGAAGGAGGGCATTCGTCGGGATCCGCTGTTCGATGCCCATGATGCCAGCGAAAACACAGTCACTTTTCAGCGCAAGAGCATGGCCCAGAGTGTGCCGCATATTATTGATGTCTATGGTAACGAGGAAAACCAGGGCGGCTTCAGGAGCGGGAACCAGAAAGATATTGAAATGCGGCCTCGCAAAAACGTGCCTATTGTCAACACGCTCAATAGTCTGAGTGAGAGAATGCTGGCCAACGTTGCTCCAGCAGATGATAGGGAAAACGCCCCTGGACCAGAAGATTCAACATTTCAAGAACTTGCACTGCGAGATTTACAGGGAGACGCAATGGAAAACAAAATCATCCTTAATGTGAAGGAGCAGAACCGCTTCTTCTCCAAGAAGGAAGAGGCACAGTCGGAAAACACGAAAGCTTTCGCAAAGCAGGTCCCCTCTGATGTTCTTTTCGAGGTTCAGTCAGACCTAGAAATGATTGAAACGGATGAAGCAAATGGCATGAACCTCCGTGCGGGCATCGGTATCGACGACAATAGCGACAGCGACGAGGAGACCCAAAAACGGCCCCACGTCGGCTCTCGTGCCGCACGAAAAGCAGCAGGCGACGAAATCATGGCGGGTATCCGCCAGCGGCGCGCAGAGAAGTACGGCGATGTCGCCGCGGATGCCTCCAAACCCATGGGCTTGCCCGCGGAGGTTGCCGAACGCTGTCAACTGACGCACGCTACCACCGTTGAGTTTCTCCACCAGTTCTGGAACGCGTTTCTCTCGGGCGATCCCGACCGAGCCAACGAGTTGCAGTACCTCGTCGAGTCATTGAAGAGATCAGCCGAACGCATCCACGCCGTTGCTGACGAGGCAGAGAAGGCTCGCGATGAGATCATCCGATTGAAAAAAAAGGAGATTATGGACCACTACAGAGCAACCGGAAAGAAGATCAGGGGCTGGCGGCCGGAGCATGAGAAGGGAGGTCGGAAAGCTGTCTTGGCAGTTATGCAACCGACACTAGAATCGCTGAACAAGGCGCAGGCAGACTATCAGAAGGCTCTGGCGGCGGAGGGCGTACAACTTTCTACAGAGGCTTGAGCTGTGGACTATCATGGCTGGTCCTGGCCACAATCGTCCAGACCGACATCAGGCCAAATATGCGCATAAACCAGGGACAGACAGACAGAGGCAATCCTAATATAGATTACGCAAAATAAACGCCTCTAAGATTTCAATATACTAGATCGTAGCTGTGTAGTCCGCTCTAGTCCCTGTTCTTTTCTGAACCCTTTAGATGCGGCTGCTAGTACCTAAACAGTCAATGATGGTGATACAGTCATCCATTCTCCCTCCCCTAATCTCTATGGTCATTTGAAGGATTTACACGACGGGACCAATCGCGTAAGGAAATCATACAGGCCCAAATATGACGAGAAAAGCCTCTCCACTCCATCTCCTCTGACAGAAGCGGGGCTTCCCCGCGGGAAAAAAGACAAAGGAAAAGAGGCAAAAGGAAAAATGACATCGAGGGGAAAACAAAAGTAGTTTTACACAACAGCCTGCCGCACCCTGGCCTCCTCCGCGTCATTCGAAGTTGGGATGACACCGAAACCCATGCCGCGACGCTTCTGGCTGTTCTTAGACCTCACGTCGCCATACTTCTCATCGAACCGGCGGATGCTCTTGAGGCTGTCCATGTCCTCGCTGACACTAGCCGCAATCATCTTGAGAGCCTTGTCGAAGTGATGTTTCCTGAGAGTTCGCTTTGGCGGGAACACGTACAGCTCAGGGCCAGTGTGTCGCGCCGCCTCCTCGCTTTCCTCCTGGACCGCAGTCATGGCGGCCGCAACGCAGAGGTTCTTCAGGTCAGAACCAGAGTAAAGGACAGTCTGGCGGGCGACGTCGTCAATGGACACCGACTCGTCGAGGTTCTCACCCTTGAGAAGGATGCGCAGGATAGAGGCACGGTCCTGCTTCAGGGGTAAATCGACAAGGATTTTCCGGGGAAGGCGACGAAGCACGGCGTCATCTAGGTCGAAGGGTCGGTTCGTAGCCACCATGATGAAGGCTTTTGTGTCGTTCATACCGTCCCATTCGCGGAGAAATTGATTGATCGTCTCGCGGTGCGCGGCGCGGTTGCGTTGCCCACGAGCAGCCAGCAGGGCGTCGGCCTCATCAATGAAGATAACCAAGGGCGAGAGCTTCTTGGCGAGAGAGAACAGAGCGCGGACGTTCTTTTCACTCTGGCCGACGTACATGTCGTTAATGCTCGCACCGCTGACTTCGAGCATGTTGGCGCCACTCTCCTTGGCGACGGCTTTGGCCAGCAGTGTTTTGCCAGTTCCTGGTGGGCCGTAAAGGAGGCAGCCGGGTATCCTGTCCGTAGCAAGGACGCCATAGGTGAAAGCCTCCGGACGGACAAGGGAGAGAGAAGTAAGGAGCTTGAGGGCTGATTTTGTCTCGGGGTCGGCGTGGACGTCGTTGAAAGTCGTCTTGATCTCGTTGCTGTTGACAAGGCCACTGAGAAGCTTCTTCTCAAATTCATTGTAATTGCCCGATACACGGAGACGCTCGGGTTCGGGTCGTTGGGTATCGGAAGAAGAGACAGAGGGTTTGGAACGTGTAGGCTTGTCTTGAGGGCGGTGCATCTGGGCGGTGCTATAGCTGCTGGATTCGACGACATCAAAGAGCACTCTCCATGACTGCTCGGGACTCACAGAGCCTTGGCATGCGTAGAATAGTCGAGTGATGTGATAGACGTCAGAGAGTGGCAAGATGGAGGTAGCCAGAACGCGGGGGACGAGTGACACCTCCATGTAGGACCCTTCAGTGTCATCGAGGAGGTACTCAGGAGGTGATGACTTGGATACACCAACTATGCGCAGCTTGCTCGTGTCAGGCGAGTTTCCAGCTATCGTCCTCAGCATGTGCTGAATGTTGCGTAGGTTTTCTTGCAGATAGTCGTTGGCTTCATAGATTTTCTTTGTGTTGCTGGCGTTGGTTATCCGCTGGAAGTTCAACGGCAGAGGAATCACACACTCCTCAGCCGCGATTTCCTTGAGTGTCGTCGCATATTGGTCAGAGGGATTCTCGTTGGATGACGTACCAACGAGTGTGACTCTCTTGCCAGCCCGCCACATAGTGTCAACGATGGAACGCAATCTGCCGATGATGAGAGCTCCCTCGAGCGTCATGTTGAGCTCGACGAAGTCGTCAACGTGGATGATGAGACTTCGGTCCGGCTGTAATGTCATCCTCGTAGCTGAGTTGGCAACCTCCTCGAGTACAGCGTTGATTTTCAGATTCTCCCAGCGGTCAACCGAGGGGAGAACATAGTCCTTGGCGCCGTCTTTGATTTTTTGAAGCTCGTCATCTAAAGGGCTGTTGTAGCCTCCTCGAACTCCGTGTTCGCTGAGGTTAACCCAGGCCGCCTCAATCTCCCCTGAGAGATCGTCCTCGCTGGGCTTAGCCGGCTCTTCAGACTTGGCCAAACGCCCGTTCATTTCCGCTGCTCTGTAACCCAACATCGAAATTGAGCCTCGAGAATAGGCACAGTCTTGCCCTAAATAGTCACCTACTAGTATAGCCAAGTCCTGCGCATCGAGATGGATTATGTCGGCTTCCACACACGAAGCAACATGTTTCATCAGTTTCCTAGTGTGGCTTCGCCCGGTGTAGTTCGGAATATTGACAACAGTAAGAGGCCTCTTGAGTTCTCTTGCAGCCATGCCTCCCTCGGGTTGCAACGCAAGTTCTGCTCGAACCGCCGTAACGATTTCACCCCGAATCCTGGGATCGAACAACCGCAGTCCATCACGTCTCGACTTTGGCTTTCCTTCCTCGATGTATTGCTCGACCAGCGATTGAAGAACACTGTCTTGGCCGGTTGATTGGTGTTCAATCGGATCGCTCTGGTTTGTTTCCCTTGTATGCTGAGATAGAAGATTGGACAGGACAAATTTGTTGGAGTAGCGAAGCATGTCGGCGAACTCGGTCGTTGGCAATGGCTCGCGAGAACTCTGCAGGCTGTTTGATGACCGCATCTCATCGATGGAGAGGCTCAACCACTGTGATGCCTCTGCCAGTATCCGATTTCTCCTCTCGACAGGCTCGGTATTGCCCTCGCGCAAACCGCGCAGCGCATCCTGCAACTTTGTCTCGTTCCAAGAGGCCTGGCTAAACACGAGGTCTAAATCCTTCCACAATAGATCGTGCCAGCGGGCGCCCATGTACCGATGATGCCACAGGTCATTCGTAAGGGTATTAATTCGGGCTTCGGGGTCATAAAGCGAAACGCTGCTATCAATGAAGGCCTGCGGGAGCTTCACGGGCGGAAGCTCGTCGGTAGCTCGCGGTCTCGAAAGGCGCGCTCTCGCAGAGGCGAACGCGCCGCCTCTCGAACGACGAAATGCCGATTCTGACGCAGCCGACTCGGACCGTACTCCATCCTGGTTCTTGCTGCTGTCATCCTGCTCACTTGACGGCTTCTCCGGGGGCTTCCCGTCATCTGCGCCGCTACCGGTCTCCGGCGGACCTTTCCGTAACCTGAAAGATGGGTGGAAATGTCGGCACTGGCGGCGATTGACGGCCAAAAACGCTAACCTCGACGATGCAGAGACTCGGGAGGCTGAGGCAAGGGCCCGTGGCCCTAATGCATGCATTCGGAATGACCAAGAGCAATATGCCAGCAATTGGCGGTGTTGTTGCATGGCAAAGGCACTTCTTGTCGATAAGTTCCTTGAGCCGGCGCTATGCTTAGTGAGAACGGCGGAATCTCGGCAGAGCTTTCACCGACACACACCGAGTGCCACACCGAACCGACCTGTGATTTGATACAAGGGGGCCTAGACCCAGTTAAAGCAAACATTATCATTTTCTTGTATTTCGAAAGCATTGGGTGCCACTATATTGCAGGAAGTTATCTCATATCTTCTGCCATTGAAGTTTAATTTTGATTTTCCACAGGCTTTCTAGAGCTTGTGCAAAGCTTGACTGCCCGGTCCTGCCTCTTATTCGGGCCATGCGTTGCTGATAAACATACAATCGCAGGCTGTTCTAGAGTATTTAGAATATCGCATAGTCTTCAAAAGTAAATACTTTTCGTTCACCGGGTTTACTATTTCCCTCAATCCACCACTGGTTCCAAATTTGAAGTTGATCATGCAAGCTGGTCACCAGTTCTTGCATATTCCAGTTTAGTTTGATAGTGCCGTGTGCAGGCTGCGTCGAGGTGGTATCACAAGTACTCCCAGGTACTGTCCAGATGGGACCTTTCACAACCCAATTTCTCTGTACATCTTCCGCGATGACTCGAGACCATTCAAGAACCATGGCATCTTGGATCTTGATGGCATTGGTGTCTCTCAATCGGCGAAAGAGTGCTAAGGGGGAGAGCGACGGCACCTGGGACCTGCCAAGCTCGGTCCTGAGATAATCCTGTGCCCCTTCGACAAGTAAGCTGAACCACTCTAGGCGCTCCATCAGATTGTGCCACCACCTCCTTTCCTCAAAAGCTAATGAAAAAGACTCGATTGTTGGTTGAAGGGTGTTGACGAGCCAAACAATCTTCCTGAGTATATGAATGTGCTCAGCACAAAGAAATGTACCTCTTACGGCTGTTGCCCAGTCCAGTATTGACGTGATCAGACCGGTGACAGAGGTAAGAGTATCATCACTCAGCTGGCGATTGATAGCCGACCCATTCCACACAAGTCCAAGAGCATCGCAGAATACATCTAGCAGCGCATAGGCCTCGGGGCTAGACCTAGTGGCATGCAAGACTGCGGAGAGCATCCTGACTGTAAAGGCCACAACGGCGTCGCTTTTCATGGCGGCTTTAAGCAGAGTGACCTCGTGCGGTAGCCTGCCAAGCTGAAGAGCCTTTTTGAAGTTGTTGAGCAAGAGGTAAAATAAACTGCTGGCTATGCCTGTATTACCCTCTGCGAGCTTCAGGCCGTAAGACAGGATCCTGGCCACTTGAAGCTCAGGGTCCTCTGCGGGCGGCGAATACTCTTTGCTCACTTCTTTGAAAAAAGAAAGAACTTTGCAGATGTCTGCACCGTAAGTTGTGATCAAGGATATTATACCGCGTACAAATCTGACGTAGTTCGGGTGCTCTGTTGATTCAATGGCCGTGGCTTGAAGGTCAGCCCGCATCTGATGCATAACGTTGTCTAATGTCTTAGTGAAATCAGAGAGGTTCAATTTTTTCATCGCAGCATCTGTCGTCTGGAGGGATTGCCGCATCCATATCATGGCGTCTGCTATAGTCAGTCGGATGATCTGGAAGTCGGATTGAAAACTCACATTCGAAAAAGTCGCGATTAGATAGATAACCTGGATTGACAACAAGGCCCACGGCTTTTTCTGGAATGAAAGCGTGACCCTCACGCTGAAGTTGCTGTCCAAATTGATTCTCAAACCTCAAACAGTGGTTTGGTTGAACGATGGTTAACAGCCATAACTGTAAGACGTCCACCCCAATATCCTATTACATGTTAATGTTGCTCTCATAATCTGGATTGTCGGTTTCTTACGGTAAGGTTGATCGCTGCTCCTCTCTCTGCAACAGTTGACAGGAATAATGGGAGATAGGGCCGTTGGCTCATGCTCAGCCTGTTTGGCATATTTTCAAAGAGGCAATATTTACCTCGCTTGAAAACTTGGGATAAACGCTTTGGAGAATAAGTATATTGCTCAGCAAGGACGAAGGATACTCACCATCATCTGGCAGCGAACAAATAAGCTCGTCATAATACCAGCCACAACAACGCACTGTTCAACGCAGGCACTTGACACAGCCTTAATGTTGGGTTTGCCTCTCGCAGCCTGGTTGGATAAGATACAACGGGCCATCGAGAAAAAGACCGCAGCCAAGTCACGCTCGAGCATCTGGAAGGTGTTAGGATCGAAAAGCAGTCAAGGTATGGTGACATACAAGGATAGCATCTTCAGACTCAACAGTGTTCGACGCCATACTATCTTGGCTTTCATCAGCTTCGTTGAAAACAGATTCAATGCGGCCAAGAAGACGTTCCAAGATAGTGAGAGAAGCTTGCAGAAGCGCCGATGGAAAATCTGCGGGGAGAGTTGAGAAGTGCTGGAAGACATGTTGCAGTTGAACTGACAGAGGTTAGCCTGGGTCCACTGAAATTCAGGTTTGTTATATACCAGTGTTGGAGGCAAGTCTAGCCAACTCTAAACTACTTGCATGTTGGACGACGTCCATGGAAGATTTGACAGAGAATAGAATGATCTCCATTGTTGCAGCCTTGTTGATTGCGACGATAGAGTTCATAAAATCCTCGTTGATACCGCTGGTGTTGTCTTTTGGCATTGCGAGGAACTGCTGCTTAATGTCTGACGCAGCAGAGTTGTACTGGTCTAACAGTTGCTTGAAAATGTTTGACTGCCAGTTGGACAGAGGAAGGAATGATGCAGCGGACTCTTCGTGCGCAACGAATCTTGCGAGTTGACTCCATGCCCTCAAATTGATCAGGCAAGCCTCCTTGTGAGAACTGGCAGGAATCACAAGCTTTTCCAAATTGTGGATGCCAGGCCGGATATCGGGGGGCGCCGCCCAGAACAGGGTGCAAAGCAGATCGTGATGATTTCTTAGGGCAGCCAAGTCATGTTGATGAACGTTTTGCTCTTTGGAGTACTGCCGGTCATGGTTGGGAAGCGTACGTGCTACTAGATTCCGGATGTCATTGATCAAGCCCTTCTCTCTTAACTTCTTGATAGCTAAGGCAACCAATTTCAAAAAGATATGGAAGCAACGATCATCCAAGTCAACTTTAAGTGACGGGTTGTGGTGAAGGTTGTCCAGGAATCGAGCGGAACGGAACGCCTCTTCATTCCGTAGATGGGCCAAATCATGAGAGCCGAAAAAGTCGAATATCGTGCCGATTATACCACCACTTTTTTGCCATCCCCATTGGTCGACCAGATAGTGACATCTGGACACAAGCATACGACAGTAATCGTTGAAGCTTGGTGATTGACGAGGATTGTCGCGATATAGTTGAAAAACGCGTTTCAAAATCTGTTGCGGTAGATTCCAGCCATCCATGGATACACGATGTCTTCTGTTGGCAATGAGCACGCCCGAGTTGTCGAACTCGCATAATGGCAAGAGTATAAACATTTCCTGCCATAGCCGCTCGAATCCTACGGCATCTGCTGCTTTCAGGACTGCAGGCTGAATCATATGCGAATAGGTAACATCCCAGAAAGACATTCTCGGGATGCGGAGGCTTTCCAACACTCTCATCAACAACACCCATGCGTGTGGAATGACTTTATCGGGGCGAATACCTCGCTCACGAAATGTCAGCGTTTGAAGGTCATCATACAGATGAACCACTTCATCAAGTCCTGTTTCAAGGAGGACGCGGACAAGGGTTTCGGCAACTTTCCGGAGAACGTTCTCCACTGTGAAACTGTCTGATACCAAGGTCGAGTGTTTTTGACAAAGTCGAACTGTACAAGACATGACAAGAATGAGATTTGAAAGAACGTCAATGAGCTTCAGACGTTTGCCTGAGTCCAGAGTTTCCAAATTTAGCCGAGACAAGAATGAGATGGCCACGTCAACTAGACGAGTGACAAAGGAATGAGCACCGGCATCATCAAGGAAGCTCATTGACTTCTGTACATAGTCCAGGATAAAACGAGCGGCGTGATTCGTGTCAAACCCGACCTCTGTTGGCAACACTGGTTTGAGGATTTGGTCCAAAATGCTGTCCGTTAGAATACCGAATTCTGATGATACTTGCTCGGACCAGCGATCCCAGCGAAGAATCTGATCTCCTAAATGAAATGACACTCGGGGGCGAGGTTGCCAGACCTTCTCTATAAAACAATCATCGACCGCAGTCTCAACTCGACCGCTTCCTATGAGTGTTGTTTCGTGGAAGAACACACCACAATCAAGTGGGAATATTTCAAAGTGTTGGGTATACTGAGTGCCAAAGGGACCGAGACCCAGAAGTTGGTTGTCAGTCAATGCTGTCTTGGGCGCCTCTGCTAGGGCGGAAACTTCAGTTGTTGGTAATGGGTCGTCGGCGTGGCGGAATCTAGCGGAAGCAACATCAACGCGTACCGGTTGGGCGGGCTTTCTCGGTCGTTTAAGCCGGGGCTTCTCAACCACTGACGGCTCAGGGGGGGCTTTAGCAGCGAGACTCTGCTCTGAAACAGCAGAGCACTCGTCATCAATGACAGATTCCAAGTGCACACTCCTTGTAGACAACGACTGGGATTTGCTCCACCGGAAGAGAGCATCAAGTGCTCGTTTTCTCGCATGAAAGCCCATTCTCCCCGGTTGATCGGCCAGATCAGTCTCGAGCTGAGCCGGTCTGTTGGCAGCATCGTGGGTGTGCTGACTTCCACTGGATTGCTGTCTGGAAAATGGACGTGGGGTACGTCGAGCACCAGGTGAAGGTGTCACAGCTTCAGTCTCTTCGCGAATAGCTCTAGCAGATTGTTTAGCTGTTTGACTCTTGGGTGACGATACAGATGTGCGCGAAAATATGTTGGACGAAACCTGGGCAAGAGGATGACGGCTAATCGACCTAGCACGACGACTACGTTGCAATCCTTGGCGAGGTTGGATTTTATTCCCCTTCCATCTCTGCAACACTGAACCAGCGTCAATATTGTCCTTTCGGGTTGCCAGACGAATAGTCTTGTGCATAGGGCTGGCCCTTCCCAGCTGGCTTCTAGTTTGAGCTGTCCGGGCAGCAATCTTTAGAAAGCGTGGCGCGTTTGGTTCGATGACATCTAGAATACTCAAGCGTGGAGGGCTCTTCGCCCCGGCAGCAAGCCGGGACCCACCAGATTGTGATTTGCAACGTTTTACCCAAGGATCAAGTCGGGAGTTCTTTTTACACCGGCCTGTGGCCTTTGGCGGTCTTCCAGGTCTTTTAGATCCGCTATTCGGGAGCATCGCATCTTTTCTCTGTTTCTTTGCAGGCCTAAAAGCCTCGCTCAGAGCCATCTGCCGTTTTCGACTTGGGGCCATATGATCAATACCATTATCCTCCATGGCAGAGGAGTCATCATCATCGACCTCGATAACTTGTGCTCCATCTCGCTGTAAAGATGGCATAGAGTTGTTGCTGATGGCATTGCGCACAGGCTTCGACGCTGATGTGCCTTCATCATCAGAATCTTCAAAGATGAAGGAGGCTGTTGTTGTGGTTGTTGAACGGCCAATCCTTCTAACAGCAACTCCCCGTCTTGGCGTCTTCTTGGGCGACGGTTCGTGGTGATGCGGTTGAGTTGACTTCGGACGAGTAGTTTGCTGGTCGAGTCTAAGCCAAGATGCTGGAAGAACTCCTCGGATTCTTCGACCAACGTCTCTAAAGACTTCTGATCCGCTTTCAGAACCTGCTTCTGACTCCGGTCCAGAGATAGCGGCGGTGTCATCGACTTCAAGCTGAATGCCGTCTTCAACATCTGAAATATCTGACATTGTCATGTCGATATTTCTCTGGTTTTCTGCTGCAGGAACAAGTCTTTCTGGTAACCGAAAAGGGTCGTCTTCGTCTATGTCTTCGTCAAAAATAACATGGGCAATGTCTGACATCTCTGTTACAGGGTCGGCCCGATGGTCGGCTGTGGTAGTTTGGATCTGTGGCGATACAGAAGGAGACGAATGAATGTCATAAACTTCATCATACGTTTGAAAGGTAGGGCCTGAGGGCGAACATATGTCCGGTACAGCCTTGTTCACGTGCCTACGCTTGGCAACACTGTCGCCTACTAGCCTTCGCCTCTTTCTGGCCTGTGTTGTTGTTGACTTGCGGAATATCTCTTCGATCGAGGGAAGATCTTCATTATCAGACAAGCTGGTGTTGTCTGTTTCTCCACCTTGGCTCGGTTGGCTACTCGGTCCACCCTTGTGCTTAGGGGATGAGGTCCGCAACAGGGACGAGGATGGGGACGGAGACACCTGCAGAAGCCTGGAATTTGACGGGTTCTCCGGTCCTGTATATTGGCTCTCATCCGTTGTTTCATTTAGCCCATCAACTGTGCTTTCCTGGCTGGCCTCAAAGTCTTTCTCCTGTGAATCGTCGTCGATCCTTTGTCGTCTTGAGACTGACTCGGTTGCCATCCTCATCGGCCGTAGGCCATGCGACTTAAAGACTTTGCTGTATTGAGCATTCTCGATAAGGTATGGGTGTTCTTGTATCGGTTTCCGGGGCCTCAGTGAGCGTTCATATCGTAGCGCTGTTTCTCTCGCAACCTCTTCATCCCGGTTCATGCTAGCGCGGTGTTGGCTAGCTTGTGACCTATGCTGGCTCCTTGATGATCCTTGATCCCTCAGCGGACTTTGCAGATTTCTCGGTGAATTTTGCAGGCGCCTCTCTGGGCTTGCTAGCGGAACAATTGGAGGAGGCAGACTCTGCTCATCGTTCTCAAAAGGAAATTCTGGCAGGGGCGCCGTGATCTTGACATAGCTCGTAGATATGCTGTCGTCCCCCATTAAGGGGTCTGGCGAGTCGTCACGACCGTCGATTGTGTACCTCTGCCTGGTCATAGAAGGCCCTCCTGCTGCTTGGTCTCTCCAGTCGAAAATGTCAGCAAGGTCATCGACGTCTAGTGCTGAAGAAAGTGGCGAAGAAGCCGGCTCGTCTGCAGAAAGTATAGTTGGTTCACGATTCGAAACTGGAGCTTGAGAGTTCGCGGGTGTGTTTGTAGTCGTTTGTGAGGATTCAGGAACGTCCCATACGCTTTCTTTGAGAGCTCTGGTGGCCTGCAGGGCACCGTTTGGTTTGTTGGGAGGAACCTCGATGTTCGGAAGTCCCTCGAATTCCTGACTATCGAAGTCGAGCTCGTCGTCCGAGTCTGGGACCTCGCCCAGTACTTTCCAGTTCGCCATGGCGTAGATCGATCATCATAAAAGAGGAAGCACCATGTAAAAAGATCTTGAAAGCGCCCTTGAAATCTAACGACTCAAAAATTAGCGGCGTGACGTTTGGTTGGAAATGAAAGTATATTACCTAAGGTCAAGCACTCTGTAGTGTTGAGGCGGGACGCGTTCAGGCGGGTGCTGAGCGCGTTTAGCGGGGTCGCGCTCACTGGCGCCTCGCGGTGGCACGGGGAACCACTTAAACTCGAATGTGTGCACGGATGGACGGGCCCGGATTTTCTAAAGGTGGTACCAAGAACACAAGCTGGCTGCCGCATGTTGCAGCTAAGCCGCCAATCCTGACGCCTAAGGCAATTGCATCGCATTCGCCTTCAACGCTGCCTATTTTGTCTAAGCGATATAATTTCTACCAACATTATCTCTCTTTTTGAGTCATCAACCTCTCAGTAACCCATCGACGACTATTTATCGTACCAAACATGAGTCTGACAAGGAACTTTCTTCCACTGGTGATAGCTGTGGGAGCCGGTGTTGGCATATGTTCGCAAATCCCCCTTTCCGGCATAATGTACAACCACTTTTCCCTCGGTCTAACAATCTCATGATGCTGCAGCTGTGTATACCCTAAAGCCCGAGCTGGAAGAACAACAGAGGCTGCGTACACTACAACAGCAGCTCAAGACGGACCCCCTCGCCGTACCCAAAACTCCTGAACAATCCATTCCGAACAAAACGATAGAGCCGACCAACACGGATACCACAAACTCGACACGAAACATATGACCTATTAAAGCATATCTGAGGCAGCTGTACACCTCTCACTGCTTTGTAGGACACCTTTGATGTAGTGGCCCGGAGCATCTGGCTCAATTGATACCCGAAAAATCATGATTACAAAATTATACTTCGCATACGGTACTGGTGTACACGTTGACTGCGGTAATGCTTGCTTGGCCTTTCTGGCTTACACGCATGCCTCGTACATCGCCATTTGAATAGTTTTGAAGAACCTTCGAATGTAAGAGCAGGCTCTATAATACACCCTCGACGGACTCCAAATACCCAAAGGAATCGTCTTGCAGAGATTTACTTAGTCTCTGAAGGGTGCGTATACTCGGAGTTTCAAGACAACTCGATTGATTTCCGTTATCCTTTGAATGATACGATTGCGCATATGCAGCATGAGTAAGCTGCCCTGCGCAGTCGTTCTCATCATGCCACCCAAAGGCACCCCTGGCACTCGCTAGTCACTGTTCCAGATGTGATTATTGACTGTCGAAAAACACAATGATAATACCCAAGTCTCAATTGACCAACATGCAAAAAGAACTAATTGGAGGGAATAAGATGAGCTTGCGTTCAAGACCGATGTGCTTTTATGTTTGACCACAGCCTTGTAGATGATGCTATTGAGATCCCAGTCAAACGGCGGTATTCGGAATGAGCCGACAACCGAGCTTGCAATTGGACAGCCCAGAAAGCTCTCAGCCCAGACACCGAGGTGAGAATGGGAGCTGCTGGAATCTCCAGTAAGTCGATCTCATTGGCAGGGAGGGCGACGCACGGGCCCAAATAGGATCACGTGATACTCCAGTCACCCAGTCGCAGCCGGCGTATTGCAATCGAAATTCCAATCATACGATTGCCCGGAACTTCTAGGTAGCCAGAAAAACCCTCTTTTCCCTTTCGACGGAACCTTCGACCCTCGAGCAAACCACCGAACCACCTCCCGACGCCGATCCAGTCGCCATCAATTGATCTCGTCTGCCCTCCCGTTGTCCTTTAGCGTAATTCGATTTTTTCCTAGACGACACACACAAAAAGACACGATGCTCAGAACCCCAACCGTTTCTCTGGCCCGCACTGGCCTGCGCGCCGCCAGCGCTGCTCAGCAATCCGTTATCCGCCGTGCCGCTACTACTCACGCCATCTCCAACCCTACACTCGCCAACATCGAGAAGAGATGGGAAGGCATGCCTCTGCAGGAGCAGGCTGAGCTCTGGATGGCACTGAGGGACCGCATGAAGGGCCCTTGGTCGGAGCTGACCCTCAACGAGAAGAAGGCCGGTGCGTAACACATTTTCCCATCTCTTTGTGTTTGGTGGTCCGATGTTCTGATTGGGGGAGGAGGCTATCGACAAGGCCTCTCACTCTCCCAATTGCTTGCCCAGGTATCTGGGGCTGTCTTAATAAATACCTCGAGAGATAGTTCTCCCGACCCAGATGGATGCAACGCCAATTGGCACGGCCATCCACTGTGACTGGATATTTATCCCTGTGCATATGCATTGCGTCACAAGTTGACTTTAAAAACTAACGCAAATTGTCTCAACAGCCTACTGGATTGCTTTCGGCCCCCACGGTCCCCGCGCCGGCCCTGCTCCTGGTGAGAACTCCCGCGTCTTCTGGGGTGTTATCGCCTCCATCGCCGCCAGTTTGGCCCTCTTCGGTACCGCCCGTCTTTTCGCCGGCCCTCCTCCCGACACCATGACCAAGGAGTACCAGGAGGCTTCCAACGAGTTCCTCAAGGTATTTCTAACCCTTCGCTGCCGCGCATGGTTTTCATTTGGGATGTCAATGGCTAATAATTTGATTTCCAGAACCAAAAATCCGACCCCATTACCGGTATCTCTTCCGAGGGCTACTCCGGCAAGGGCATGGTCCAGTCTCCTCCCAAGGGCCACTAATCGATACCATCCATTCCCTTTCGTCTCTAGAATCACAATCACAATACGACCATGGCAGTTTGCCCATGTATAAAATGACTACTAGTAGAGCTGGCATGGGCTGGGGGGCTTGCGACGTGACTCAAGGACAACCAACTGCTTGGTGTAAATACTGTACTAAAAGAGCTGAATTCCAAGCAAATTTCCATTTGTTTATTAACATCCAACTCACCCTTGCTGAGGGATCGCAGTACTACCTACGATGACAAGCGTGACATTGAACAATACACAGTTAACAAAAGTGTATGCAACCAACCGACTAAACTAATAGGCTTACATCTTGGTATTTTCTACTTGGTTGGATCTAAAAATGACATGCTTTTACGCAGCTTTGGTGGCAACAATTTCGATTAGCTCGCCCCTCTCCTGTCTGTACATTGTTTGACTTCCCAACACATCCCCGTCCTCTCAGCCTATGGCGCACCTGCGTCCCTAAGATTGCTGAGAAATGGGAGACTCCAAGCCGAGCACCTGAATAACATTAGCTTGAATATGCATCAATTCATTAAGACATAACCCACCAATGCAGATCGACTTGGGATGTAAATGTGAGTCCAGTTCTTCCGGTTATTCCACTCCATAGGCGTGGTGAAGAATCGGGTGTTTTCATCAACTCGGCCATGTCCACCAACATCCTTGGAGTCGGTGTTAAGAATGACCTTGTAAGATCCGGGAACATCGATGCCAATTCTGTAGTCGGTATAACTTCTCTCAGGGTGAAAGTTGAAGATGAAAACTACACCTGCTCTCTCAAAGACGATAACCTTGTCTCCCTCGTGTTTCAGTGAGATGTAAGCTTGAGGCGCTGCCAGCCAACCATACTGCCCCTCCGTGGTGTTCATTAGACGATCAAAATGGTCGAGAAACTTGTAACGGAGTAGATGGTCCTCAGTGAGATTCAGCTGGCGACGAGCATACCAGAAGGAGTTTTGATTGCCCTCCCGAGGGAAATCCAGCCACTCAGGATGACCAAATTCATTGCCTTCGAAATTGAGATAGCCTTCACCGCCAAGGCCATGGGTCAAAAGGCGAATCATCTTGTGCAGAGCCATACCACGGTCAATGACTGGCGTCAAAGGAGTCAAAGTAGACATGTTGGTATACATCTCAGCATCACACAGATGCATCATAAGAGTCTTGTCACCCACAAGCCTACACATCTTAGTTAGGAAGCAGCGAGGGTGGGAGATGACACTTACGCTTGGTCGTGACTCTCGCAATATGCAATAGTCTTCTCGCCGTGCCTTCTGTTGGTTAGGGTGAAGCAAATGTTACCAATGTCCCAGTCCTCATCCTTGACTTCCTTGAGAATCTTGATCCACATGTCCGGAATGGCCATAGCGAGACGATAGTCGAATCCAACACCTCCCAGGGATAGAGGAAGGCAGAGGGCGGGCATGCCAGACACATCTTCAGCTACAGTGATAACTTCAGGGTATAGCGAGTGAAGCATCTCGTTGGCGATCATAAGGTAGACAATAGCCTCCTCGTCGGCGTCGGGACCGAAGTACTCATGATAACCCCCAGAAAAGCCACTGCTTCTGTTAGCACTTATGCCCTCGATTTCTATGATCTGGTACAACTCACGTTCCAATACCGTGGTGGAGATACAACATGCTTGTAACACCATCGAACCGGAAACCATCAAAGTGATATTCATCCATCCAAAATCGCAGGTTGCTGAGTAGAAACCTCATGACCTCGTGGTGGCCGTAGTTGAACAGCCTGCTGTCCCACAGCTCGTGTCGGCCACGACCACCCTCGTGGAAGTATTGATGATCAGTACCATCGAATTCATTCAGTCCGTCAAGTACATTCTTGGAGGCGTGGCTGTGAACAACATCAAGGAGCACGACAATACCCATGCTGTGGGCAGTGTCGACCAGTTCCTTGAGGTCTTCAGGGGGGCCATACCGGCTGCTGGCGGCGAAGAAGTTGTTGATTTGATAACCAAAACTGGCGTAGTAGGCGTGTTCCATAACTGCCATGAGCTGGATCACATTGTAGCCGAGATTCTTGATCCGAGGTAGCATGTTGTGGGTGAACTCTTTATAAGTCGCAACTCTCAATTCGGGCGAGGATATTCCCACGTGAGCCTCGTAAACGCGAGCACTTCGGGGCTTCTGCGGTCTCGGGTGCTTGAACTCATATTTTTCCGCCGCAGGCGGGTTCCAGAATCGGGCTTCGTACGCAGGAGAGATGGACAAGTCTTGCGTCACATATTTGATCCATGCGGGGAGACGGTCAACGCGCTCGCCATTCGGGAGTTCCAAGGAAATCTATTCTACGGTCAGCCCACGCTTGGTCCAGCAGTTCGACTAGAAACAACTTGCCTTGACTTTAGAGTTGTGAGGAATTGCAGCTTGGCCATTTACGGCAGGAACAACAATTTCGAACACGCCAAAGTTGTTCTTTTTCATCTCATGGGAACTTCTGTTCCAGTCATCTGAAGAATTTCATTAGAGATCTAATTGTAAGAATTTCGAATCGAGAATTCTCACTGAAGTCACCAGTCAGGAAAGCCCGGATGGCATTGGGAGCCCACTCCCTGTAGATGATGTTGTTGTCCTGGTCTACATTGAACCCAAAGATCGAGGTGCCCTATTCGACGACAAGTAAGTATGAGCCTTGAAGATGGAATAGGCGGTATCATACCTTGGAGAACTTGTCAATGCCGCCCTCAGTGTCGTTTAGTTTCTTGATCCAGTCCTGAGCGCGACTGTAGCGCCTCTTGAGGGATTCTTGGAAAGGCGACAGCCACGGGTCGAGTTTCACGACACCTACTAGGATTAGCCAGTGCCTCTGGGGGTCATAGAAGAGCGGGAAAGGTTACCGGTGCCGTCATTAGGAATGCCTTCAGCAGCACCCTGATTTCCATTCAGGGCAATGGAGTTCGCCGAGTTCTGGACAATTGCAGCCATGTCGAATGATGACGATTGCGCTAGAAGTTGGGAAGTAGAGGTTGAAGTGCGGGGCAACACCGCACGATTTGAGTTGACTTTATCTAGAGAAATACGCAGCACGTCAGACGTCGTACAAGAAAGGGTAAGCTAAGGTAAGACAGAGGACGGTCGATTGGAAATAGAGATGCCCCGCGACTGTGAAATGTTGAGGTTGGAAAAGCTCCGAGAGCTCAAAGCTATGTACCTGGTCCAATTGGGAATTCGGGCCTTTCCTACCGTATGGCAGGTAGGGGTCTGAGGCTAGACAAGGAATGCGCAGATTGGTAGCAATTTCGTGTCAGGAATCGGCGAGCCTGGAATCGCTGGAATCTCGATCAAACGTTTGGGCTCAAGTTCACGTAATAACAAAGTATGTATGGGTGGTGAGAGCGGCGAGGAAAACAATCGATGACGGGAGCGCAAATTCGGAATGCACTTTACTGTGTTGTGCTACGTCTGTCTGTGACTGGGCTGCCTGCACTGCTTGGTGCGAAATTGTGATGATTAAAACTTCCAATTCATCGAGCATGAGAGGGAAGAGCTCAAGGTTAATAGTCGGCATGATGCACATGGTATGACGTCGTGGGGCAACATAGCTCGCAGCTCAGCTCCAGACGCCTAATAGCTCATTGTGCGTGGTATATTCCCTGGCCTAAGCTAGCAGCTTGTCTTCAGGTATTTTGGTGCGACCAATTCAACGAGAATTGATGCATCGGGGCCCTAAGACGCTGGAAGGAACCAGAAAACGAGTCTCCCGCCACTTGAGCCCCTCCCTGGAGATTTCTGCGTCTCAACACAATCGGCCGGTCGAATCAAAGCAGGTAGATGCTCGTTCAGCGAGCCATTTGGCAGCTCGCCACCACCAAAGTAGTGGTCGATGGTACGCTGAAGGTTGAGGTACTTTTAACGACTGTTGCCCAGCTGTTGGTATGCGAATCCGGCTCGGCTCCCCCGTATTCCTACCTGGAGTTGCCTGTCGCCCCCTCTTGTGTTGCTCCTTTCAGGCAAGGTAGGTGGTGAATGATGTGCGATAGCTGCTCTTCTCAGCCAGTCAGAGACCAGACCAGCAGGGTATACGGCCAGTGTTAGCTATCGATATTAGCATTGTGGGCCCCATGTGTCGTTATCGTGCCAAATTGCCATCACAGATACGTCGTGGACCTTTGCAAAACCGCATGCCAGACGCACGCAGGTGGAGCACTGGTGGTGGAGTGGGTTGGTTGGCTGGATTGATGTTCTCATTCAGGACCTGTGAGCGCAATTCCTGCCTTCCTGCGTGGGAATAATAAATGTTGGAATTCGACCAAGACAACACCTGAATGACTTTGCAGGGAAAGGACCGGATTTGGAAGCCATTTCATTTGCAAAATCATTACGAAATAGAGTCAGTAGCGCCAACTTATTCAAGTTCAGAGGTAATCGCTGCAAGTATCTGTGTTGGAGCTGAAGGCACTATGCTGTGATGATATGCTATATCTGCAAGAAGACCAACTTGTCCCAGGTTCATCTGGCAACACAACCTGGCCTATGAATGTCCTACAAAGCCGCCCACTCTGTGCGTGTTGGGTTTCGGGTGCTTTGCAGCTCCAGCTGCTCGTGTGCGCACGGGAGGGGCTGGCTGAGTGAGATATCTGGTTGTAATAGCACTAACACTTGCACTTCAGATGTCATACGAAACCGTCAGGATCATAGTCGCAAACATTAGAAACACCTATAAGAGCCATAGTTTCGAGAGTATCTACCTGCATGATTATGTCGGCTTTAGACGTCAAGTTGACCCTACCGGCCTACCAAACAGACAGCAACATCCGGCTCCCAAGCCAATGGACAAACACATAGCTATGCTGTCTCCAATGTTAGCCGCTCCTAAGCGCTGGAGCTCCAGCTTCTCGACCCCGCATCCGGGCCACCTCAGGGGATGGGCAGCTCTGACAAAGGCGCCTTATCCGGCAAACCAGCCACACACTCACGACATCAGTCATTTCCTCCGGTAACCGGACTACCCTTCCTTTCACCGACCTCCTCCTGTCATACGCACGAGAGCTCCCTCCATACCGACGACAACGCCAGATCCAGGCTATGATTCCCTCGCCGGGCGTCATACATCATGCCTATACCTGTCAGGCCATCGGCCTACACATGCGCCCGCTGTTTAACTCTCTCGAGCGCTAGGCGCACCTTCTCCGTCTCCTCCATCACACAAGTTGCACCGAGGCGCAATCAAGATTTCAACTCTGGCTTCACGAGCAGCTATGATCCGTCCGCTGATTCCGGTCGTGGACCCATGTTCAATAAGAACAACTTCGGCGTCCCTCAGTTCTATCCCCGGGACCTGAAGAAGCGCGTCGACGATTACGTCGTTGGCCAAGACCGGGCAAAGAAGACGATATGCTCTACAATTTTCAATCACTACCAGGGCGTACGGAGGAGAAGACACCAGGATCATGAAGAGCGTAACACTAGGGAAAAGGCCCAGAGGCAGCGTTATGCCCGGGATAGGGACTTGCACGAAAGACGGGATGTCCACCCCGTTCAAGGTCAGCGAAGTCGCCACTCTGCCTTCCAGCGCTTTCGTGCTGATGAAGAATGGCCTCAAGATGAGTTTCCTGGCCATGCTGAGTCTACGCAGCATTTGGACGAAGGTTACAGTTCGTCAACTGGTTTCGATGGTTCGTTTTTGGCCGAAGAACCCGCCACTCCACCTCAGGTCAAGATTGACAAGAGTAACTTGCTACTCATCGGTCCCACTGGCGTTGGAAAAACGTACATATTAGAGTGAGATGGCTCTTTCCTTGAATCTTATGTCTTCTCAGTCTAACTCCTAGCAGGACTCTAAGTAAGAAGCTCAACGTGCCATTCACAATAGCCGATTGCAATTCCTTTACCCAAGCTGGTTACATCGGACAAGATGTAGAGACATGCATAGAGCGACTGTTAATCGAGGCGAACTACGATATTAAGGCGACTGAGCACGGCATTGTTGTTCTTGACGAGTTTGATAAGCTGGCTAAGAGAGAGAGCATGAATGGACGGGACGTCGGCGGAGAAGGCGTTCAGCAAGCCTTGTTGAAGCTGGTAGAAGGCTCCAAGGTAACTATTAACGTTAAAGACAACAGATCATCGCGGTCCGCTTCGCCCATTACGACAAACTATACTTCGTCGAGCTCGACATCGGCCCCACAATCGACTCCGCCACAGGGGAAGGTTGACCAGTATACCATTGATACCACAAACATCCTATTCGTTTTCTGCGGTGCCTTTGTTGGCCTCGACAAAGTTGTCGTGCGGAGGGTATCTAAGCCTTCAATGGGCTTTGGTTCCGAGTTGCGCGCGGCCCAGAGTATTGGCGGCAACAAGCATGCTCTCCCTCGTCAGCTTTTCTCTCACCTACCGCACGTCGATGCGGGTGCGCCGGCTTCCGCATATACACCGCTCGACCTCACAACGCCTGTGGACTTGCAGGCATTCGGATTCATCCCCGAGTTGATTGGTCGAGTGCACAATATATGTGCCCTTAGCCCATTATCTTTAGATGATCTTTTCAGGATTTTAACGGAACCACGCAATAGTCTGATTGCACAGTATACTGCCCTATTCGAAACCTACCCTTCCCGTCTATACTTTACCAGAAAAGCGCTATATGCTATTGCTGAAAGAGCGGCGAAGTCAGAGACTGGCGCTCGTGGCCTCAAAATGGAGATGGAAAGAGTCTTGGCGGAGCCCATATTCGATGCCCCCATGCCGTATGTACTGATCACGGAGGGCTGTGTTAAAGGGACCGAGAAGGCCGGCTATTGGGGGAAAGATGGCCGTTTAGAAGTAGAACGGCGGATGCAGGAAGAGGACGCTGATAATGCTTCACGTGACCCGGATGTTACGTTTGAACAATACCGAGAGGCAGGCCAGAGCGGCGCTTGAGTATCACGATGTTGGCATATTCATATATGTTTTTGGCACGGTGCACCTGTATATGTGGTATGGTGTTTAGGAGTAGGTAGTTCGGTGAGGATATGATGCAAGCAAAATGTCTATAAAATTACGTAGCTTGGCCCAAATAAATACTCTGATTGACAAAAGCTATTGATGTGCAACATCAGGTTAAATTCGATATGTCTCATCCTGCCAGAGGTTGAGAAGGTACGGCAGACACAATTCAAGCGATTTCAAAAACGTCGCTGGGCGACAAGCTGCGGTACCGCTGTCGGCGGAAAGGCCTCGGCTCGGGGGCGGACATGGTGATGTTCGGAGAGAAGGCAGCGAGAAGTCAATAGTCATGGTAGGCGCCCGTCGCCGGGGAAATCAGGGACACGTAAGAAGTTGGTAGAGCTGGCGGCTGGCACCTGGGTTGCTGGGCTTCCCTCTTTTTTTCCCTCCCCGGGTGCCTGGGGCTGCAACAATTGCCAGGAAAAGGACCCAACATTTGCGCCATTCACCCACAGTACCCACGCCAAGTGGGATCCTCAATATTTGGACAGCGGCCAACGGCCAGGAAAAAAGTTTCCAGTCATTTCCTGAGGACAACAGCGAGCTCCAGCGGGCTTCGGTGCGTTACTGGCTGCTGTGTCGTGTTCTCCAATTGAACCCGAACGTGGACCCGGTGTATCCCGGAGGGACCATCTCGGCTTAATCGAGACTAGCGTGACGAGGTAATTTTTCCTCCTCGATATCCGATCACGTGATGTCCCCAGCAAAGCTCTAACCGACGAAGCGTAGATTCCGAGCAAAACTGCTCACTTCCTCCTAAGTCCTCCTCCAACTTTCAACCATCACCTCTCCACTCCCATCCGAAGTCGCCCTTTTTCATCTGTCAAGATGTTCAAGAGGTTCGTACCATCACCCTTATCGACTTGATGAACCATATCGCGTTCAATTGGCCCCAATTGAGCTAACTGTCCCCGAATAGCGGCATTTCCTCCTTCGCCAGGGCGGCTCGCCCTTCCTTCGCGGCGAACGCTACCCGCCGCGCCATCAGACCTGCTACCTTCAGATTGCCTGCGACCAGCAGATTCGCCAGCACTGCCGGTGTCGGTGATGGAAAGATCTACCAGGTATGTGATGCCTTCTCAGCTACATTCCGCTGGCCCGAGGGTGATGCCGGTTACTGACAACAACAAACCTACAGGTCATTGGTGCCGTCGTCGATGGTTCGTAAACACCGAGAAAACCCTTCAAGGGGCTTGCCTCCATCACAGCGACTCTAGTACTGACTTCCTACGCAGTCAAGTTCGACACTGCCAAGCTCCCTCCCATTCTGAACGCCCTCGAGACGACGAACAACGACCAGAAGCTGGTTCTTGAGGTCGCGGTACGTACCTTGACGGACAAGAAAAAAAATGTCCACTGCAAAGTTTGGCATCAACTAACACGTCTCAACAGCAACATCTGGGTGAGAATGTCGTCCGTTGCATTGCCATGGACGGTTAGTATCCCTATCAGGAAAAGTTTTTCCGTGCCCAAACTCACGCTTTAATAGGTACTGAGGGTCTCGTCCGTGGCCGCAAGGCTACTGACACTGGTGCTCCCATCACCATTCCCGTCGGTCCCGAGACTCTGGGCCGTATCATTAACGTCACTGGTGACCCCATTGACGAGCGTGGCCCTATCAAGACCAACAAGAAGCTTCCCATTCACGCCGATGCTCCCGAGTTCATCGACCAGTCCACCACCGCCGAGATTCTCGTCACTGGTATCAAGGTCGTCGACCTCCTCGCCCCCTACGCTCGTGGTGGAAAGATCGGTCTCTTCGGTGGTGCCGGTGTCGGCAAGACCGTCTTCATTCAGGAGCTGATTAACAACATCGCCAAGGCTCACGGTGGTTACTCCGTCTTCACTGGTGTCGGTGAGCGTACCCGTGAGGGTAACGATCTGTACCACGAGATGCAGGAGACTTCCGTCATTCAGCTTGATGGCGAGTCTAAGGTCGCCTTGGTCTTCGGTCAGATGAACGAGCCCCCTGGTGCCCGTGCCCGTGTTGCCCTGACTGGTCTTACCATTGCCGAGTACTTCCGTGACGAGGAGGGACAGGATGGTGAGTTATTATTCTTGCAATTGATTCCCAAGTTCGCACGGCTAACTAGTTCCCAGTGTTGCTCTTCATTGACAACATTTTCCGTTTCACCCAGGCCGGTTCCGAGGTGTCTGCCCTTTTGGGTCGTATCCCCTCTGCCGTCGGTTACCAGCCCACCCTCGCCGTCGACATGGGTGGTATGCAGGAGCGTATTACCACCACCAAGAAGGGTTCCATTACCTCCGTCCAGGCCGTCTACGTCCCTGCTGACGATTTGACTGACCCTGCCCCTGCCACCACCTTCGCTCACTTGGACGCCACCACTGTCTTGTCCCGTGGTATCTCCGAGTTGGGTATCTACCCCGCTGTCGACCCTCTTGACTCCAAGTCTCGTATGCTGGACCCCCGTATTGTCGGCCAGGACCACTACGACACCGCTACCCGCGTCCAGCAGATCCTCCAGGAGTACAAGTCTCTCCAGGATATCATTGCCATTCTGGGTATGGACGAACTTTCTGAGGCTGACAAGCTCACCGTCGAGCGTGCCCGTAAGATCCAGCGTTTCCTGTCTCAGCCCTTCACCGTCGCCCAGGTTTTCACTGGTATCGAGGGTAAGCTCGTTGACCTCAAGGACACCATTGCTTCTTTCAAGGCTATCCTGAGCGGTGAGGGTGACTCCCTTCCCGAAGGTGCCTTCTACATGGTCGGTGACTTTGCCTCGGCCAAGGAGAAGGGTGAGAAGATTCTGGCGGAGTTGGAGAACAACTAAACGACTCGCGACGAAAATACCAAAGTGCGTCGAGGGGAGGGGCCTATAGCCTGTGTATAGAAGAGGAACGATGGAATGGGGAGGTTTCTTAGCTCAATTTAAGTCTCTTTTGTGAGCTGTGTACCAAGAAATCTACTTAATTCCTCTTGTAGTTGAGAGAATCTCCTTATTTCTTCAAACGCTGTTCCGTGTCACCTGTGATGTCATGCCGCCGTTTCCACCTGTGATTTGACATGGGATAACTAATAGTTGTCCGTCATGCTGTACGATATGCTTAGCCTACAATTGTCAATCAATACCACCTAACGGTTCGCCGGTTTCTTCCCCTAGTTATCCGATGCTGACTCTCATGTTGATTGATGTGTTCACCACATGATAACTACCTATAAATCATAACAGCCACAGGACTGGACTCGTTGCTGGTACTAATGCTAGCAACCATCGATCTGTATGAAGCCGTCTAATCTACAACTATTCCAAGCAAGCCTTTTGCAACGACAAGGCGAATCGCCTTTTCCTGCGGCGTCACGCAGTGGGCTCAAAGTTGCCCATGCAGGTCGCGAAGCACCGTCTGACTTCGCCCTTGAGGAGTAGCCACAAGGACGAATGCTTTGGGAATCAAAACTTCGGACATGCTACAGGCGAAGCGGCCGCTATTGCAACAAACCAACTGCCCATCGGTCTGCTTGGGGCCAGGTTCTTGTGTTGGGGAAATGGTGCGAGACAAAGACCTGAAGCTCGTTGTTGACCTATGAGGGCGGAGGCGGAATCGCGAAAGTGTTTGTCATATGAGCCGGGTGAGTGGCTGAACTTTGCCTTCAGCGGGTGGGATGGACACGTCCCAACTGTTATGCCATGGTAACGACTCTGAGTTGGCGTATTTCCTCATATACAGGTTATTGTCCACCGTCTGGACTCCACCGTCAGCATAAACTGGGAGAGGCCGAGTTCAGAGACTGAGCCATACTTCGGGATGTTGTCCCCTCAAAGGCCCTGCTCGTTTCGTGAGACCCGGAAGGCATGCGCGTCTTTGAACTGGGCCATGTTTGGAGGTGCTTCCCCCCCTCCATGCTGTAATCACTGCCGGCTCTCTTGTTTGGTCATGTCAGGATGTCAATGTGACTCTTGGCAACTACTGACGTGGAAAAACTGATTTAGGATTATGATTGTCCATAAACGCAGGATACTTCTCTCTGAACGCCGGGGTTATACAGACTTTGGTAATCGATCCTTTGGGTTCTAGTAGGAGTGCTGAATTCTTTCTTTCGACACCCTTTCGCATCACGTTTTTCTGGGCTGTCTATATGTATGTGGAAATGCTAGCAACATGTAGTTGCCAGACGTGTCACTCAGTTTATAACAGTACAGAAGAAGGAGACATGTGTCAAAAAGTTGTGCGCAGCGGTCTCTGAACCGCGTTTTCCAGGTTCTCTTACCGTGGTGACTCGATAACCTTAGACATCAAGAGCTCAGAGGAAGCGGATAGAGGAAAGAAAGTCCTTTCAACTCTGCTGAGGGCTTCGTTACATCGGCGCAGGAGCGTGTCCTGTTCGCTTGCGCACGGCGGCTTCTTGAACAAGTTGTCGAGCTTTAAGGATAAAGCCAGAGACAGGGTTCACTTGGAATCGGGTTGATCCTCCCGTTGTGCTATGCACCTCAGGGAAGTGAGAGGGAATCTAGTCGGACGATCCTGATGGCTTGATCTGTTTGTGCTCCTCTTGGACATCCTTAGGGCATTCTACTAGCGATTATCTCGCTACCATTACCCAGCTGATCGAAAATTTAAACGCAATTTGACACGAGTGTCCTTTAACCGGTTCAGCAACGACAGAATTGTTGTTGCGTTGAGTTTGTCAATAGAGACCGCCTTGTATGACAGAGAGCACCAACGTTCGTCAAGGACCGACTTAAAACAGAGTAACCAAGGGACTTAGCGACAACGAGGATAACCGCCAGGCCGCTCTTCGCAACTTAAAGACGCTGTCACGGTTATCCTCGTTGTCGCCTCTAGAGTCCTGTTTAGTAGTGAAGCATCAACGGGGGAAAAGCGTGCATTTTATTAGCTTATGTTGAAGAGAGACGGCTAAATTCGCCATTCATACTTAATTTAAAGGAGGGCTGGGAATTTCAGCTCACGAGTAAGGTCCTTGCTACACTTTCCAAGCAGGCAGGATGTGCTTCCATGCAAGCTCGGGTTCAAACTACGAACAGAACGATGCACCCTCCAAATGTCGTCAGTCGTGCTCATAAGATGAAGGCAATAAGAAGCTCCATGAACTGAGTTGTAGACATGACACTTTGCGGCTGACTCAAAAGTTAAGAAAAGGGGGTATCGATACCGTCGTCCGGGATTTGAGCCCTTCGCTCCGCCCGTACGGGATATGGGGGGGGGGGGGGGGGGGGGGGGGGGGGGGGGGGGGTACATATACTGAAGCACCAGCCGGCAACAAGCTTCACAATTGACCAAAGGTGTTTAAATTGAACGAACCATTACAGTTGGGATGCTGGCATTATAAATGGTGCTTCCACTACATTTGGGTATCAGGTGCCGAATTGAACAACTTTACCGTCTCACGTAGCCATCCTTGACCTTTCCCAGGGACTCCATCCCTTTAGTTCCCCTTGCCAGCGGACTTATCCAACGTCCGCCGGCCCGCAGGGTCATCATAACGTATTAGATCCTTCATTATCATCATATCCATCATTGAACCTAGGCACCCTTAGGCAGCCGTCGTTTCCTTCCCCGTCACGGCCCCGTTTCCATTATTACTCGCGTTCGTGGTCGTAGGTGGGTGATGGTGCCCGAGACCGAGAACTCTTTGGAGGCTCTTCCTAATGCCTTTACCAGCCCCAGCCTCGTCCTGGCCATCCACCTTTTCTCCTCTACCTAGGAAACCAAAACTCATTCTACGAGTATTGTTCTGGCCCCCACCCTCGGTCTGGGACTTCTTTCTCCGTCGCACAGCAACGATTCCAGGATCAGCAGTTGAGGGCTTCGGGGGCCACTCGCCGTCTCGCTTCCAACCTACGACACATGCCTTAATCATGTCTGACAGGTTGACGGGGCACGACGGTGTAAGGGCATGCACTATTACCTTCTCGTACAGGGAAATGTACACCGAAGGGGTAATGGAGGCACGCATTGGGTTTGCAGGAGGTAGCAGAGGCGCAGGCACAGGAATGAGGGTCTCGATGGGGTACGCCATTGACAGAGGCGATGTTGTCGACCGTGCAGACTCCTTTGACTTTTGCGCAGTGAGTTCCTTGGACGCATCCTTCGTGAGCTCGGAACCGTCCGACACCACTGCCGAGGCGTCATTGCTCGGCTGCTGTTGCAGAGATCGGGGCGGTGACGAGGGTGAGGCGGAAACCAGCGGTGCAGGTGGGGGTTGCGATATTGAAGAGCGGAAGAAGAGGCGGCGAGGCGAGAGAGGGGAGAATGTCTGGGTGGGAGAAACAGGCTTGGCGCGGAGGCGTACCGTACGTGCACCTGTCCAGGCATTACGTCTCGCCTCGAAACATGCCAGCCCTTCATTCCATTGCATCTCCTCGCGCAGAGCCCGCCTCCGCTGTGCGCGCTTCTCGGCGACGGATGCATTCACCGCAGCGCCGATCGCATCGGGGCTGTCGAAACGGAAAGGGGAGAGGGACAGGGGAGGGTCCTCGTCGGACAGGTCAGATACCCATTCCAGACGGGGTTTGAAGCGTGCGGGATCCTCCGAGACGGTGCTGTAGACGGACTCGGCGTCAGTGTCTGACAGTCCTTCCTCTTCGTCCTCGTCATCACTCAGCGCGGTCTCGGCTGCTACCTCGTCTTCCTGAATCGTCGTGTCTGTCGCTTCGGGTTTTGGATCGGCATGTTCTTGCGGCTGTTCTGGCGTTTCTTGAACAGGCGCATCAGTGGTGGTGAGCGCTGGGATTATTGTGGGTGTGGGATCGCTATTCTGGGTTGGGGGAGAGGCAACGGGGGGCCAGACGAACTCCCAATCGTTGCGAACCTTCGAGGCCAGGTGCTTCTTAACGGCCTCTTTCTGTTTGACCTTGTCCTTGCTGAGAAGATCTGGGTCGTAGTCGGGCAGATCCAGCGTCAAGGGGTGCTGGGAGTTGGGATGGCGGAACTTGGACAGTGGCGACCGCGGGGATTTGTATATGTCTGAGAATAGCATCTTTGAAGTCGAGGGTGAAGTCGCTGTGGTATTCTGTGGCTGGGGGTTTGACAGGGAATTGGCCTCAGGCGCAGTGGCGGACGAGGGGGAGGGGGAGGTGAGAGGCATGGGAGGCAACGAGGAATCGAGGGAGGGCGGCTGGTCTATTATATTTGGACGTGCAAGTGAAGCTCCCGGCACAGGAGCCGTGGCGGTAGCGACCGTAGCTGGAGTAGCGGCAGCTGGGCCTGGAGTCGCAGCAGTCGCAGTCGCGTGCGGGGTGGGCTGGTGGTGCGGGTGATGGAGCGCGCCGGTTTCTGGGTTGGTGGTCGCGGCCGCGGGTGGCCTGATGGTGGCTTTCAAGGGGGCTGGCCTAGTCAGTTATAAGTTCTGTCATGTAGATTGCCTGTACTTTGTTTTTGTGCAGGACGTGCAGGACGTTCATAAGTCATGCATTCGGTATTCGCTTCCAAGGCATGTATGAATAATACAATATAGAGGCGAGGAGGGATGTGGAGGGGACGAAGGTGCCGCTTCCGAGCATCGTGCAAGGCAGTCAGCGCTGGAATAGTGTGTGTCGACGGGCGTAGCCAAGCCGGTCCAGAACCCTTTCCTCTCCTGTCTGTTCTACCTGCGCTTGTAGAAGAATGCAGGTGGAAGCAGAAACGAGAAAGAGGGTGCATAAAACACGAACAGAAGGGTAGAACAAGCAGGCCTAGGGAGGGAGGGAGGGAGGGGGAGGGAAGGAGGCGAAAAGTGACAAAGTGAGGCTAGCCGCCTTCTGTCTCTCACTCACCTTGGTCTGGCAGATGAGCGGTGTCGTTGGAACCAGGTGCAGGATCTTGGTTGGTCTGGGGCCTGGATGTATCAACTGAAGGATCTTCCGCTGGGGCTGCTGGAGTATTTGGCGATTCAACTGGCAATGGAGACGCCATGTTTCGTTAGAGAAGTGAAGCGAAGACGGCTGAACAAGCGAACAAAGGTAGTCGCGGGCACTGAACAAGAAGATTAAGAACCAGGAATGATGCCGAGGGGGGTCAGACACAAAAAGGTAATCCTGACCCTCTCACACACTCTTGTGGTTTTTTTTATTTTATTCTCTCACAAAAAACCAAGCTAATTGGAAGCACAAACCTCCTTGCCCCCTCCAGTCCAAGGGCCGGTTTTTCCTGGGGGCGGACGCAGGGTTCCATCACTAAACTTCCGCAGTGTGCCTCTGGCATCTGCGCCTGAGCCTTGCCAATACCTACCTCCCTCCCACTTTGTCACTATGGGTGGTCGAGAGTTGTAAGGCTTCCCGCAGGTTAAAGTTCGTGGGATAGTTGTGCCAACCCTTCATTAACAACTTTAGTAAAGGTGTTTTCATTTAATACTACCCGCGAAAAAAAAAAAAAAAAAAAAAGCTGGATCTGAAATATCACGCCAGCATTCCAGAGGTTGGACCAGTGGCTCTGCAACTATCGGCCCAGATCTTGACAGGGAAATACTGGAGCACAACAGAGCGCCGCACGAGAACGAAGTGGGGAGATGATGGATAATCGTCCACGAGACTTGCCTGCAAAGTTTGCCTCGCCAAGAGAGCGCACTTCCTTCTCGTGATCGGACCCAAGCCAAGCGTAGCAAGGCATTTCGGCATCGAGCACCCAGTCTAGCTTGTCTGGAAACTTCCCAAATGTGATGCTCAGCCTTGATTCTGAGTCCTTTAGCGCTTCAGATCCTCTCAAGCCGTGGAGACGCACGCCCGGACGAAGAAAGTTTGCCTGTCAATGGGTTGTCACTTGTTTAGCACGGACAATGGCACATGGCTCTTAAGGCATCTCCATCTGGCTATCCCACCTAACTCCTCGTAGCTGAGGGGTCGTTGTGACTGGTTCGGAGATACCATGCAGGCTCCATTGGCAACTTTTAGGAGAGGCTGACAATATCGGGGTAACATGGGTTCTGCAAGCTAAACCCCAACTGCTTGACGGCGCCTCAGTCTTTCTGGCAAGCTGCAGCATGTTCCATTTCTTGATTGCCAGCCAACATTCTTGCTTGCTTGCTTGCTTGCTTGGTGGTTGCTTTATTGCCTGTATCACTCGCTACTTGCTGCCACAACTGCCAACCATTCATTAGGGTCCCCCGCCCGGCTTCTTGCAGGGCGCAGATCCGGGGTTCTTGGTTGGCGATTGGCCCTGAAGGATCATGTATGGATGAGATGTGTTCGGCCCATAGAGACGAACTGTGCTCGGCGCAAAGTCCCCGTCTTACTAGCTGGTCGGGAAACGTACAACATGACACCAGCGTTCTGACAGGACAGACCAAAACAGGAATTGAGCAGACAAGAGCGTGAAGCGGTTGTGGACACCCATGCGATAACGGCGTCAAGCGCTCATCGTCTTGTAGGTTAGCACCTCCCATTGTCTCGTCGTCCTTTCGAGTCTGTCCGGCCTGTATGAAAGGGTGCCGACATCGCGACGTCGCGACATCGCTCCGCTCGGCACTAACTACACACGATCCCTCGGTCGGAGACCTTGGAAAGACAGAGCAGCTAGTTTATCCAATGACAAACTTCTATACCAAAGGGTCTCCATCCTTCGGAGCCTGGCCGGGGCCACAGACATTGGGATCCCTCGTGGAGAGCACCAACAAGTGACAGACGAGTACAAGAGATTGATCCATGTGCTCTGCTCGCTTGCGGATTGCAGCAAGAAAATGCGGAGAAGGGGTACTATCAAAGACAAGCTTCCAGCTCTTTTGGGAAAAGGCCTGGGCGGGGCCACATGACGCCCACTACAGGACCCACCACCCTGCCAATCTGGGCTCTGCTTATATAATGCCTCTCGGTCAATCCCCGGAGATGCCTCCAAGGGTTGTCACTCAAAGCAGATGTGTTGAATAAACGGAACGACGGCCATCTTCGAGATTCTAAGTCATCCATAAACTTACATTCCTAGCTAAACATGCGTGACACTCACGTATACTACGACTCGTAACCGGACGGACAATGGTGGTCGCAAGATTAGACGTTGAACCAATTCTTAAAACCCGAGAACTATATGCTACTACAAAACAATACCAATAGTCACCCAACGCCGCCATCAAGTTTTTGTTTCGCAAGCTTCGTATTTGCTTCTTGATGTTTCCGGCATATTTTCTCTAAGCCTTTAGGTTTCGCAATGAGACACCGAGGAGAACGAAAAATGAGGCAGGTGGTGGCATTTTAAGCAACTTCTTCCACCATCTTGCCAGACTTGAGTCCTCCAGGAACGAAGACTTTGCCCGCCGGTCCGCCAATCATGTCATCCGGCACCGCGACGACGCTGCCCTTCTTCGAGTTGACCCAGCGGACGAACGCTGCGTCGGCCCTCTGCGGCTCATTGCTCGGTGTCTCGTCACCGGTCGCTTGGGCCTTGCCCTTGGTCTTGGGTGCTTGTTTCTTCAAGAGCTTGTTGATTGTTTCCATCTGTCATAAAAAAGAAGGGAAAAAAAGTCAGCTTTCTCTCATCAATGCACTAGCTGTAGAAATAACCCACCTTGACTTCCTCATTGCGCTTCTCTGACAAGTTCCGTCGGCGACGCGCCATTTCTGCCCTTCTCATAGAAAGCTCCTCAGCAGTGAAGACCTTCTTTGCTTGAACCTCTGTGATCATGTCATTGTTAGTGTACAATGCTCTCCGACTGCTTGAAGAATGGGGTACGTAGACTTACCGTCTGAGAGCTTCATGTACTGTTGGGGCTCATCCTCAAATCTGGCACGCTGTCTTCTGGTCATCTTAGTCAAGTCAGGCGTTCCCTCGCGGCTACCGAGCTCGCTGTCGGCCTCATCGCCCTCGGCGCCCAGCCCTTGAGTTTCGTCGGCAACCTCAATTTCTTCCTCTTCGCCTTCTGCGTCATCCTCTTCTTCGCCCTCGGCATCCTCTTCTTCGCCCTCAGCGTCCTCCTCATCTTCCTCGTCTTCCTCATCCTCGTCACCGGCGCCTCCGACATCAATGCTCATATCCATTGTGTTCTCAGGGTCGCTGACTTCAATCTCACTGAGCTCTTCCTCGTCATCATCGTCATCATCCTCAATGACCCTCGCCGCAGCCGGTCGTCGAGGTGTGACCTTGCCTGCCTTGGGCAGTTGGATCTTGATGGTGGAAGCAGCAGGGGTGTCCATGTCAACATCCCCCTCGGCATCCTCCTCCTCACCCTCAGCATCGACATCCATGTCATCATCGCCCTCAGCATCGTCATCATTGAGATCCTCCATCTCTTCGTCCTCTTCTTCGTCGCTGTCAGACGCGACAACATAGCTCTTCTTGGGACCGCGGTTGCGCTTTCCAGCGACGATCTCATTGCCACCAAGAGAGCCCCTACTGTTTACAGAGATACTGTTTCCCGTCGAGTTTCTGCCTCGGCCAGTGCTGGTGGCTTCACGAAGCTTATTTGCGGGCACCTTAACAGTAAGGTTCAAGTGCTCGCTCCCCGGCGAGGATGGGGGGCCGCGGGATACACCTGAGGTGCGGCCCTCTGAGCGGCGGGTGCGAGTAGACATGCTGCTATTTCGTTCGCTGTCGGCCCAGTCAACAAGTGCTTCAGAAGCCTTCTTGGCCGCTGAACGGCGCGGTCGGGAAGCCATTGTGTGAAAACAAGGGGTTGCCAAGGGCGCGCTTGCAGTTTGCTTGGCTGTGATGACGTGAATAGAGTTGATTCCGCGTATATGATTGCGCGCCTGTGAATGTGTCCTCTGGAAGGGGAAAAGATTGAAGCTATGGAAGTAGGTATGTGCGTGTGTGTGTTTTGAGATGACCGATGGGGGATTTTAATCAAGATTGGGAACGTGGGAGGTTGAAATAAGGTAAGCTCGGGGGGCGTCGAGCCAGACAAGGAAGGGTAATGGTGAGGTGGCACTGTTGCCAATCTGATCCCCTATATACGGGAGATGAGGTAAGGCAATTCATGTAGCAGGCCGAGATGCCAGTAGGAATTAAGGCGCATATTGCAGAAACTTTACGCCTTTTTTTTTTTACCGCCCCCATGCGGGCGCGTTTTTGTTTTTTTTTCCCTTTCTCTCCTGGCGCTTGATTTTTGAACCGACGGCTACTTTCAACTTCTTATGGTAGAATCAAACCGTATTCGGGGCCTGTACAGTGCCAAGCAAATACTCCATCTCGCAGAGATATTGGTTTTCAACCACACACGGTTGCATGTCTCACTTGAGTTGGCACACCCGTCTGAGGCAATGTTGATATGCGATTGAACAGGTGTAAGGTACGACGATGATGGGAGCTGCAGCGAAGGGGGGGAATACCAAAGACTCAAAGGCATTCAAAGGTTGCAATCTGCGATGGAAATATGCTTACCAAGTGATATCCTCCTGTGGGACAGGACGCGTGCGAAGCAACGGCAACGGCAAATGGAATAATTGCCCTTTCCTATGCGGCCTATCGCCTCAAGCTGAACCCCAAGTAGGACACGGCAAGGTACAGAGAGTAAAGATGAGGTGGCTGTGGCCAAGCCAAGCTGGGCGAAAAACAGGACCCCCTGAACTGAGACTTTCTGGCGATTGGATCTTGTGTCTCCTCCAGCGGCACTCCTCTTTGCGTTTTTCTCTCCTCGCCTCAAATGTCTCGCGCGACTGGCGCTCTATTCTCTTTAGCGAACCCACTCTGTGCAATTGCCTCAAAAAAGCATATAGCCCCATAAGAACTCACCCTGATTGACCCCGGCTAAGACCAGGTGCTGGTCGGTTGGTCGGTCGGTGAATGAAAGCGTTGAGCGAATGGTCAGAGATCGTCGGTGACCGCGAATGAGCAAATCGGATTGGCCTTGCTTCAGCACTGTCTGTCGAATCAAAGTAATCCCGGCTGATTAAAGGATACGTGATTGAATAGTTGAGACGGTCTCAATGAGATGCAGCAATATCCAACTCTGGCGTGGATTGCGCTTTTCACAGGCTCACCTTGAGTTCAGCACGAGGCAAGCTTCAGTCTCCAACAGGCGCTGGAGTCCGCTGGAGCGCCGGAAGTCGAAAACGGAGTCCCGCATGGTGGGCACCATGGACAACGTGCATGACAACGCCCCACCTCCCGCCACCCCAGAAGCGCTACAGAGCAACGGTACACTGCCGTAACAAACTGCAATTGCTTCTGCTGCCGTTCCCACCCCACTGTAAGGAAGCCCGTAATGAACGTATCACAGCGGCAGCTTCTCCGTATCCGCCTATCTTCCAACCGAGGCATGTGGTCATAGGTGCCGAACGCCGACATTGTAGCCCGCCGCAAGATACGACTGCTTACTTCTGGCCAGTCCAAGTTGCGCCGAAACCAATATCTCCAAACCCATTCTGGGCAGTCTATACACAATAACAAGACATGAGCGACCCCGACGATAGCAAAAGCGCATCGGGTATTCCCGCCTGGCAGCGTGAATCACAACACAGCGCAGCCGAATCCCCGTCGCAGTCCGAATCAACATCACAGGAAACCAAAAGCGAGGACTCTGCTGAAGACAACCTCGAAGTAGCGCGCCGTTTCTTGGAAGACGATGAGATCAAAAACTCTCCAAGGGAGAAGAAAGAAGAGTTTCTCAAGACTAAGGGATTGTCATCTTCAGAAATCGAAGAATTGTTGGGCAACAGCTCCGCTTCAGAAGCGGCACAAGAGGCATGCTTCTCCTCTTGCACCGCGCGTCCCAAGACTAACATTACCAGATTGCGCAGACAGAACCCGTGCCAGCTGATCCAGCGACGATAACGACACCTGAGCCACATTCGACATCTCCAAACGACGTCTCCCTGCCCCGAGCAAACGACAATCCTCCGGTCGTAACTTACCCAGAATTCTTGACCAAACCAAGCCGCCCACCACCTCTTATCACGGCAAATGGCATTTTCAACACTCTCTATGCCTTTGCAGGCATATCTACCCTCCTGTATGGCACAAGCAAATTCGTAGTGGCTCCGATGGTCGAAAACCTAAATGAAGCCCGCGACGAGCTTCACGAGACAACATCTCAAAAGTTATCTGCCATAATCGAGAAGCTTGAGGGCACCGTCTCCGAGATTCCCTCTAAGAAGCACACCGTCGATCAGCATGAGGATAACGCGAGCAGCAGCGATGACACCGAAGACCCGTCCGAGCTCTTTCACCGCGATATCGGTACCCAGACGTCCTTCCCCTCCTCCCCGAGGCTGGGAGTCACGTCTGGCCTGAATGAAAAGACAGAGGGACCTCAACCCAATTCTTCAAAGCTGGAAAACATTGCGCGCTTCGCAAATCAGATCAAGGACACGTGCACATCCGAGACGGATGACCTCGTGCACATCAAGTCTTCCATGGACCTTCTCAAGGATGATCTTATGCAGATGGCGTATCCTGCGCCCAAGGACTTTTCCAGCGGGCTGTACGGTTACCGGTCCAACGAGCCTGATGATGAGATCAAGAAAGTCAAGGACAATATCAGGCGCATCAAGGGAGTTATGCTCAGTACGAGAAACTTTCCCGCCTCGGTTAGGTGATGGCCTCTTTTTAGGCGTTTAAGCGTGTCATTATGCAGAGACTTTCAGTTAAGATAGGTTTACAATGGATGCGATTATGGACAAGGGTCAACAAGGACGACTCCCCTCGATGTTTCGAGAGAAGGGAGAAGGGAGCTCAATTATCACTAGTCGCCCTACGAGTCGCGGTTACACAATATAGGGGTCAATGTAATATACCAGGAATGAACTTTGATGATTTTGGTTCCTCTTTGATGCTCAAGTACTCGACGCAAGCCAGCTATTCTGAAGTTGCTGTCTGCAAATATCTGGCCACAGAAGTCCTGCAACCCTTGCTTTATGCATCCACCAGACAGGCTAGTCCTCTTCGGCCAGCATCCGCCAGCTTGAGACATACTATTTGCACCTTGATCGTACACTGAAAATAATCTACTGTTTGGTCCCTTCTCGTGTCTCCGGTTTGTCTTGCTTAGTGTTTTCGGACACTATTCTTAACAGCTCGAATATGTGTTGCCAGGTGCCAACGTAGATGTGTTCATAGTGGCGATTCTCAGCCACTTGTTGCGTGTTGTACCACTCCAAAGTAGGCTTGAATGTATAAGAAACAACTGATCGGTCTGGGTCCTTTCTGGCTATGTCTCGTACCCATTTGAAGAGTAAATTCTCGCAGCGACTTGTGTTGATTCGTCTGACGCTCCGAGGGGGGTGGAAGATAATGTTGCCTCCAAGGGTATCCGCGGTGTGGTAGAGCGCGTTGGTTTTAGTATTCTCCATAGCACCAGCCCCGTCAACGTGAGGGCTACACGATACACGTAACACGACCGAGCGATATCCCTTCTCGATTAGAACTGTTTCTTCATCAGGTATGTAATCATGGGGCTCCTTAAGCATAGCTTCTAAAGAGTCCAAAGTAGCATCAAGCGGCGAAGGTTCTGTAATCGTGCGGAATCCACCTAACCAAACCCTCCTCAAAGGAAGACCCGGGTTTTTCATTTCGCCATGCTCTTCAACATACTCAATCAGACGTTTTTGGGCTGAGCAGAGCTCAGACACAAGAATCTCGCCGTCTGTCGGAAACCGGCTGTTGGCCGATGCGTCCCAAATAAGAAGCTCAGTCCCCTTCCATGGTCGAAGGTAAGGATTGGTGGGTCGGTAAACCGCGAGCCATGGATGACGCTCGTGATCCTTGGTCTGGGACGCTATACAGTCCTGGGGAGTGTAGAAGAACGCCAGATAAGTGTTGAATATCATTGGTGACGAACCTGGCACACCGTTGGGTACGTGCTTTGGATATACTTTAGAGAAGAATGGCCACGGAAAGTCAAACCACTTCTTGTATGTTGCGAGTTCCCCGTGAAAGTCTTCCGCAGATACCGCTGCCTGCATATCTTGACGACAAGACACTGGGTAACCAAAAAGTTTGGCAACAGTTGGCTTCGGCCTGCCGATCGGGGCCCTAACAAGTCTTTCAATGCTCTTGGCAAGGTCAAACAGGTAGTTTTTAATCGCCCAACTAGCTGAACTTGGAAGTTTCTTGGTTGCCATTGGTAAGTTTTGTTTCACAGGACCAGGTAATTGATCCTTTGTTTCTGGTATACCTCCCGGTTGTGTCTCAGCACCAAGGTCGCGATCTGTTCCAGGAGAGTACACGGGGATATCTTCCAGTTTGATGTCATGACGAGCATCGGCGCTCTCATCAGTCCCTAAGACATAAAATTTCCGGAACTGATCAAGCCGAGTTTGCGACCAACAGCCGAACCAGTTTACTAAACTTTGCTCGTCGTTAGCATCGATATTTTCGTCGGCAAAAATGATGGGCTTTAGTTGCTCATCAGACACAACACCGTTTAACAAAGGCTGCTGAAGACCCTCGACTAAACACCAAGTGCCAAAAAAAGCTGCACAATCTTCATGAGTGAGTTTCGCTTCCACTAATTTCTCATCTTGCATCGACTTTGACTGTCGGGCGTTGTCACACCGTGCCAACAAATCTTTGCGTTGATCTGACCGCCCTAGGGCAAGGTCCCGAAGAAATTTGCAGAGGCTAGATGCAGCCACGATTTTGGTGTTGTTGCTTGGCCTCTGGTACGTTTTGGCGTACCATTCGAAGAGTTGGAAAGCCCGGCGTGGCTCGGCAACTAGAAAGCTTGGAGTGACTAGGACTGCATTACCGTGTGGAAATAATCTTGTCAACTCGAATTCGCCCGGTACAGTTTTGTAGTGTGAAGAGCGGATGGAAGGGTACATCGGTTGCTGCTGGAGCGACTCGCCGATGCACCAGAACACATAAGCTGCGCTGTGTTTGTGCAAAAGCAGCTTCATTAGGCCTGGAAATCGCCGGAGGGTGCTAGTTGCAGTTTCATGGACGATTATAGTTCCGTGGCTGACAATTGTGGTGTCCGTAAACGCTGCCCAGTCGCCAGGCGTCTTGGTTGAGAAAACCCTGCAACTTGGGTTTTCTATGTGAAGCCACTCGCTGAGTGTATCCAGCATGGCCTCTCTGGACGGAGGAAATATCAGGTAAAAGTTGTGATGCACTCCTTGTAAACTATGTGGCGTAAGTTGATGATAGTCAAGGTGGAGTAGGTTTTGTAGAATCGAGAGGCGCACATCTCTTGACTCTACTGTTGTGACTTTCCGCTCCGGCAGAGGCTTGATAGCAAACTGGTATGGCTTGTATATGAAGTACTTCAAAGTTACCTTTTTGGGGCTGTCAGCATCGGCTTCGGCCATAACGTCTTTCCAGTCCTCACACTCCGTAGGATAGATAATGACCGAGAAATCTTCGTGAAAACAGGTAGCTCCTAAAGAGCCTAGTCTTAGTCGCTCAGCGGCCCTATCGACAAGACTTTGGTCATTCGCTAACTTTGCTCTCATGCTGCCATGGGAGAGAACGCGCTCAACTACTGTGGTTCGTTGTTGGCCAAAGGTACGAGCATTGCAGATCCTGGTGAATTGCAACACTTCTTGGTTGATAAATTGTGCATGCCACGCTTCAGAATTGAGTTGAACGTTTTCGAAAATGGCCAGAACATCATTGGTTCCGCCGGGCCCCAAGAGGATTCTCTTTTCAACGTCCTGCCCTATATTTCTCTGCTGATATTGCGATATGGATAATTTGCGAAGTATGGGCTGCGATTGGCCAGATACTAATGGTGGCGATCGTCGTCTCGGTGGCGGTGACTTTGGTCTTTTGGACGGGTCAGAAGGCGGACTATCAATATCCATAGGTTCCGGCTCTTCGACGAGGGGAGTTACATTAGCCCATTGAACAGATTTCTTTCTTTTACTTTCTGGCTGCACCGGAACTGAGTGCTCTAAGTCCATAGGACGTGCTGATTCTGCCCTTTCCGATTCCATGGACTCGCTGGCTGACGACTTGAGCTCATCAACAGAGCGCTTCATCGCGGACCGACGTAGCGTAGTCGCACCGACTGAGTCGGACATAGGGGGGGGACCGTTACTTATACTGAAGAGCGTGGCCGGAAGTGCGGTAGGCGCTTGATCTGCCTTTTCCCGACCCTGCAGTTCAGCTTTCCTTCTAAGTCGGTGGCTCGCGAACATGCGGGGATCTTTAGTTGTGTCGGCTACGGTGTCGCTCAGTCGAGCGTGTGATCGTATAGGCTTCCCGCTTGTAAATACATTTCCAGAACTCTTCACCATTGTCCTTGTTCCAGTTTGTGTTTTTTTGGCGGTTCGAATGGGCCGCGAAAATTTTGAGGCAAGGGATGTGTGACTTGGACGCCCATTATAGACAGATGTTGTGGCTGCTGGCCTCCTGGCAGTACCTTGATACCCAGTAACCGTTGTAGTGGTCGACATTTTCTGCAAGCGCTGCTGAGATGACGATGCATATTCCTTTTTTTTTGGTGGTGATTTGGGTTTGACCTTCTGAGAAGACCGTCTGCGATGAAGATCAGATCCGTCCTCGATTGGATGATTTAGCGATTGCTTGGCCTGAGGTTCAACGGACGAGATCGCATCTTGTCTTGCAATGGGCTTTGGAGGGGGCAGTATGGCATTATAGCCATCCTCGCTAATGCTCTCCTCACTGGAAGAATATTCTGCTCTAGATTCACCCTCCCAAAGAGTGATTTCCAGGCCGCGCCGTTTGCGTTCAGAATTGCGTCGGCGGTGTTGTTCTCGACGTTCTTCATCACGTTTGTCGACAAGTTCTTTCCAGGCGACGATGTCAAAAACTGCCTCTTCGCCTCTTGCTTGTCTTTCTTGCGTGGCTTTCCATTCCTCCAACAGTTCACCCAGGACATTCTCTTCTGGCTCCCAAGTAGCCTCTTCGAGAGGGTATCCTGTCCATTCCACCAAATAGAAATCTTTGCCTTCGTCATTTACCTGGTACAGTATGCCTTCTACCACCCACTCATCATCTGAGTCGTGTTGGGATGCTATTGGGGAAGTTATCGATATCTCGTCATCGTCCCTCTTGCAAGGGTCCTCCTCCAGGCAAGAGGAGGTCTCGCTCACGAATAAGCCAGAAGTGTCCATGACAGGTTACGACCCAGTGATCATGGCATCATCGAATAATTGTGCTTGCTGCTATGATCGCCTGGGTTGAGTGGGTTAGACCGCGGGGCGGCGCGAGTGTCGTCGTTTGGTGAAGAAGTCACTGAGAGATCACGCACTGAGCTCCTGAAGGCCGAGCTGACTTGCAAAAGCTGCGCTGAGACTTGGCAAGGACGTAAAACTAACTCTATGGATATCGTCCGAAAAATTGAGAGCGTTGATCAGACGATGAAGAGAAATTTGTGGTTGGACCCAATGGACTGAACCGCTGAGTGATGAACATGAGAAAGTTCCTGGCCTGGCGAAACGGTAAGCGGGGATTTCTCAAATGCAGCATAATAACACACCACTGATATGAAGCCTTGTTCTCAGGCGGAATGGTTTGCTATAGAACTGTATGCAAGAGGGGAGCAGTGTTGTTATCGGAAAACTTTACGTCGTTTTAGTAGTATGAACCGACGGTAATCGACGAATACCGGTTGGAGAACTGACCGGATGTGTTCACACATGGAAGAGCACCTCTTCAGCGCTGAGGTGACTGAATGTCAGGTTGGATGGGGTGGTGCATCTGTGCGAGGGTGTGGTCAAGGCGACCATTGGGGGGGGGGGATAACCTGACCAATTACCCACTTATTTAAATGAATTATGGGTCTATCTGACCAATTTTATGATTGGCTGTATTGAGGTGAAGTAGGTCCACCTGACCATGGAATTTTTAATCGGTCAGGTACACGGACCAGTTACTAATTACGTCCTACTACTGATTAAGGTACATACCCTATATTAATATTTAAATCCCTATTCTATTCTGATTCTCTTCCTTTTCCTTCCGTAACCTTTTCAAATCTATAATATAATTAGTTCTAAAGTAGTTCGGGATCGATCCCGGATCGATTCAAAAGTAGTTCGTTTACCATTCTCCAAGGCGATTTAATATCCTCCTCATTTAAAGTCCTTATATCAATAACATAAAGGACTCCATTCTTACTTGTTTCTGGATATTCTATAAATGTAGGTAGAAAGATTACTTTTTGAGCAAGTACATGAACATCCCTGAGGCTATTATGCCCAGAACGGGTTGCCTCTGATGAAACAAGTGTTGGAGGTATTTCTGAATCGGTTTCGAGTTGATCCTGAATCGATTTAGAACTAATTCCAAAGTCGTTCTCATATATCCCTACCTCCTCATTTACTAGTAAGCCAGACTGGGCCTGGGCTGGTAGTTGATAGTAAAGATTTAAGTCTTCTTCAGCTTCTATATCAAGACTAGTAGGTTCTAATAGAGGACTTATTCCCTCTAGGCGAGGGAAGAGATTTTCAATCGATTAAAGAGCCATTGTAAATCGATTCGGAACGGATTTAGAAGCGTTTAAATGTCGTATGTTCTTACAAAAAGTATGTCAAGGGTAAGGTTTCAAACCGCGCTAAGGAATTTCAACCTGACCATAGCTAACTAGCTGACCATGGTCAGCTGATCTCAGGGTAGCCCCACAAATCACAAAATAAGTGGGTAATTGGTCAGGTTATCCCCCCCCCCCAATGGTCGCCTTGACCACACCCTCATCTGTGCCTGTACGGCGGTCGCAAGTGCTCCAGAAAATTAAAGAGGGGCTGGAGTTGTGGGTATCTTCTTAACATTTAAAGGATAGGATTGTACAAAAAAGTAATAGGAAGCTACTTTGGAGTCCAACAGATGTAGTCCAAGTAAGACGATCATGGTCCTTCCTGTTCCTATGCTTATCCAAGTGTTAAGCAATGTTTTCTGCGTATTCTAGATTTCAACAACAATCGACGCTGCCAAAACTTCCAGAATAAGATGCAATAGCCCTAACAGTATGGCTTGTTAACACATCATTATCATCGTTTCAATTTCACGAATCATTTCGTCTAGCAAATAGGAAGGGAAAAAACGCCATCATCCAATAGGAACAAGGAAAACACAGGGAAGATACAACAAAATTGCAGGTGATGTGCGAGCGATTTAGAGGCTCTAAGGAGGCTCTATCCTCTCTCCCCTCTTTTTGGACCGTTGACGATATATTCGGACTGGTATATGTATCTTTCGAGATTTACGCACAGGAGAATATCCTGACTAGTATGTTGACGTAGCTATCTAACTAAACATCAAAGAGGCACACAAACATGATGAGGCCTGTCGGCTCAAGGTGGATGACCGTAAGGGGAAGAGAGGGACCCAATCTTAATAAAACAGTACACCTTCCTTGCCTTACCTTTAGATCATTCATGTGAGACGTCATTGTAGTTGGAGCCCTAGATGTGGTTTAACCTCAAGTTCTATTGGCGTTAGACGGTCCATTGCTCAAGGTTCGCCCTACAGGTTCAGGACACGTGATCCTCATATATGAAACGCGATACATCCGGCTGCCGATGGTGGGATCCTGACCTTTGGATTTCGTTTGTCGCCTCACGCCAGTTCCAACACAACCAAACAGGAGAGGGGGAGAAACAAATAGGTGACGGGTGGTGGTTGGTGCATGGCCAGTGGGTGGTGTGGCTCAGCGGGTTACAGTGCTTCCGGAACGTGGAGTGCCCCCTCCAACGCTGAGGCGGGCAGGGAACCTCAGTGGAAGGAAGGTCTTGTGGTTCATGTGAGTGCCTCACCTACCTATAAGGTTTCTTTGACAGGAGCAAAGTACCAGAAGTACCAGAAGTACCTAGTGTCTCCGCAACTTGGGCTGGTCCATCAATCTCGTCACCATTATCCCCCGCTGTTGGTGATTTGCCGCAGGGAGGGTTTCCCATGAATTATGCCAAGAATGCCACTGGACAATGCTTCAACTTCTCATGATAAACCTCAGGTGTCCGTCTCCTTCAATCCGGTCAACTGATTCACAACGGGCCTTTGAAATTATCTGAAGAGACACAAAAGAAATAGACGCAAGCGCAGGGCTAGGTACTTCCCATCTCCAGAAGAAAGGTACTTCCATACAAGTGCAACCTCCTTACCTGTTACCTTTTTTATTTTATTTTTTGTCGCTGCCTTGGGAAGCCCTCTTCAGTGCTGTTTCGACCCTGTTCTCTTCCACCCAACTTCCCCTTTTAGTGGCTGGCTGCTCCACGTCCCTGGTTTCTGACCCCCCCAGCGCCCATCTTGAGCCAATCCCAGTAGCCTAAAGCTGCTGCGCCGACACCACTCAACCTTTGCTGCCTCACCTGCACGCGCTACCACCAGCTGCACTGTCCGCTCCAGTTTGGTTCAGTTCCAGACCCTTACACCTTGCCTCGCCTCAACTCAACTGCTTTATCTCCTGGGGCCGCGCACACCTCCATCGAGCCGCAGTGTCCTGGTTTCGCAACAACAACGATCCTACATCTCCCAGACTCGTCCATCGCATTAGAAACAAACCGTCAACATGGCAAACGACGAATATGACGTGAGTCCTCCATCTGCAATCGCCCGCCTCCCTTCGACCTCCGCCCGCCCCTCTCCCTACAACTGTTCCCCTCCTTGCGCTAACCTGACGCTCTTCGCAGTTTCTCTTCAAAGGTGCGCCGACGACCAACTGACCTCCCAACACCATCGCAAGATGGGAACGACGGCACCGAATGGCGAACTGACATTTTGACCCTTTTAGTGGTGTTGATTGGAGACTCGGGTGTCGGAAAGTCCAACCTTCTCAGTCGATTTACTCGTAATGAGTTTAACCTAGACTCCAAGTCGACAATTGGCGTCGAGTTCGCCACCAGGTCCATTCAGGTCGACTCCAAGACGATCAAGGCACAGATCTGGGATACCGCCGGCCAGGAGCGATACCGCGCCATCACCTCGGCCTACTACAGAGGTGCTGTCGGTGCCCTCCTTGTCTACGACATTAGCAAGCACCAAACATACGAGAACGTCACGCGATGGCTGAAGGAGCTACGGGATCACGCAGACGCCAACATCGTCATCATGCTCGTCGGTAACAAGAGCGATTTGCGGCACCTGCGAGCTGTGCCCACGGAGGAGGCCAAGTCCTTTGCCAGTACGTTGCGGTGAAGAAACAACGGGGGATACAGGATCCTGGGTCGGCTAACATGTCATTTAGGCGAGAACCACCTCTCATTCATTGAGACGTCTGCTCTCGACGCCAGTAACGTCGAGCTCGCTTTCCAAAACATCCTGACCGGTTCGTTGTTCCTAATCCTTGCAGATAGCTTGCAAAACCTCTACCCCCTGACTTGACCTGTGTGCTGACGTCGCTTGTTCGCCCACGTACAGAGATCTACCGGATTGTATCAAGCAAAGCCCTGGATTCAGGTGACGGAGCCCAAGCCTCGATCGGAACCGGCCCTAGCATCGCGCTCAGCAAGCCTGCAGACGACAGCGCAGACAAGGGCGGCAAATGCTGTTAAAGCACTCCTACCTGAAACCTTCACGGCCTTTCAGAGGGCTACTACGGTCGATATCATGGCGTCTCTTATATGCCCCGGAATCTGTATGTCACTTGGTCTAGGAGGGGCTGTTGCATCGAGGAGTGACTAGGAATCCAACGAGTCTTTTTTATGATTTCTGAGGGGACGGAGTACAGTCTCGGCCTTTCCTTTGTTCTCCTTTATACGGCTCAGTGCGGCTTGTCTGGGATTTGACGCTTCTGACGATCGCTCTGCCATGCTTACGTAGTTGAATGAATCCATCTTAATGCCTCGGTGGTGCTCTTTGCTTGATTGCTGATGTGAGAATCGGCTCAGTAAGACAGGCCGTCATGGCCAAATAGTGTTGCATAACGTACCCCTGACTGAAGTACTAGCACCAGAGAACGTGTAAACCAGCAGGCTTGAGGCCACAACGCTACATCGGGTAGTTGGGTTGCATTGTCATGCTCACGAAGCCAAGAGTTTCGGATGGAATAATATATAATCTGACGTACCTACCCTACCCACTGTATGAGTAGAAACACAGACACATAAGTGTTGGATGGTCACCTGCATAAGCACATGAGTGCAGTACTGTGTGTTAGAGGGCAGCGTTAGTATATAGACTAAACGCAAAATATTGCAATCTCGAAATTCAAGCAGACAAGCACATTGAAGTCGATACTTGTAATTTCAGAGCCGCATACAAATAAACAGTACTTCTTAGGCGGCATCTCAAAGCAATGACAGCACGCACTTTTGATCGAGGTGGGCTGCAAGCTGCTGAGACCCACAAAGTTTCTTTCCCCCCCCAGCCCGCTCTACCACTCTTCCACACTCAGTTAGCGTTTCTCGCATTTGCTGAAGTATGGGTCAACTGTCCCACTCAACGCCCGATAAGCTCCTTATCAGCCGGAGAAAAGTAGTATAGGCCCCGGCAAAAAAAAAAAAAATTCCCTGTCGCAAACTTAGGGACGGCTTCTAATGCAGTTTCCTCCGACCATCTAGACTGCTGCAAAAGTGTTTTGCGACCAGCACACAACTCCTACGAGACCGAAAATTTGCAGTCAGCTTCTGCTGAACTCGGCGATTGAATCTTTTACATTTCTCGGCCGGGTTATCTAATACGCCGTTCAGCCATCCTCACGAAGCGGCCTATATTTTGCACCACCTCCTCGAGCCTGGCCTTTCCAGACCCTCCCGAGACTTAAAGATTGCGATTGTATATTGCATCCGCCCTAGACACGTTTTAGAGTTATCAACACCCCGGAACCCACGATGGCTGCTGTATACAAGAGCTTGTCGAAGAAGACCGACCAAAAGGCTGAGGCGCCTGCCGATGGTGTTGTAAAGAGGGCCAACAAGCAGCGTGTCTTGTTGCTCTCTAGCAGAGGCGTGACGTACAGGTATTTTTTAACACTTGAATATTTTTAGTGACAATTGCTGACCTGTATTTGCTCAGACACCGACATCTCCTCAACGACTTGGCCACCTTGATGCCTCATGCGAAGAGGTAACTCAGAAACGATTGGAATACAAGTGGATCAAGGCTAATTCTTCTCAAGAGATGTCAAGTGGGATCAGAAGTCGAACCTTTCAGGTCTTAATGAGCTCGCTGAGCTCTACAACTGCAATCACGTTAGCCATTCTCACCTCCGTTCCCCATGTATAGAAACTCACAATCAGTCAAGATCTGCTATTTCGAGGCTCGCAAAGGAAAGGATCTTTACATCTACTTGGCCAAGGTAAGAAGGACTACATTTTGGAAAGACCAATCTCTGACAGCTTATAGACGCCCAACGGCCCCTGTGTGAAGTTCCATGTGCAGAACAGTGCGTTTAGAAATACCTTGTGCAGCAACTGAGGGATTACGGCTGACAGATAACAACAGTTCATACTATGGAAGAGCTCAATTTCCCTGGAAATTGCTTGAAAGGATCTCGTCCGATCCTGTCCTTCGACAGCGCGTTTGAAACAGAACCCCATCTGCAACGTAAGTGTACCATGTCACAAGGAATTACCTATGGGCCATGTACTAATTGAATTCCAATGATAAAGTCATCAAAGAAATCCTGATCCAGCAATTTGGCGTCCCGCAGGGCACGCGCAAATCGAAACCTTTCGTCGATCGCGTCATGGGCTTCAGCTATCTTGACGGCAAGATCTGGTTGCGGAATTTTGAGATCAAGGAGCAGGAATCTAACGGACAGGAGGATGGGGAAACCGTAACCAAAGGTGGCAAGACCATTTCCACGTCACTTCAGGAAATCGGCCCTAGGGTTACCCTGACGCCCGTGATCGTTCAAGAGGGCTCATTTGGCGGACCTCTTATCTTCGAAAACAGAAACTTCGTCAGCCCCAACTTTGTGCGTGCTGATCTCAGAAGGCAGAAGGCTGCCAGGCACAACGCCCGGGCCGAGAAGGTTGTTGAACGGCTGTCAAAGAAGGGTGATCTTGGTCTCAGGTCCAAGGATGGACAGCCTGTGGCCAAGGATGAGTTGGACACTAAGGCCTTGTTTGCGTAATAATAAGATATCCATTCTGTTCCTGTAATGAATCAAAAAAGTCGTCTCAAGAGTCCAAGCACTTTCACCACTTCTTTTTGCCCGTGTCAGTAGTGCGCAGCGGAGAAGAAAGGTAAATCGGAGGAAAGGGAAAACCAAGGCTTTGAGAAAATATAAACTGAATGGAGAGCAATTGATATGCAAGACCAAGAAAGGCGGAGGAAACGAAGATGTTGTTAACGTTGCAACTAACATAACTTGAGTCTGGGTCAGTACTGCCTACCAGATTTCGCGGTGATTAGTCACTGAGTCTTACCATCCTAGCCAAAAGCCGGAGCGATACATCCCTGTCGCAATGGCACTAACGTCAACAAGGGGCCTGAATCTGCTGTAAGTGTTGTACCTTCCAGATCGGTTGCTGTTGGGTGTTTAGGTCAGCAGCAACCGGGGGTGACGTGCATGCCCTCTGCGTCACCGTCGCGTCCATCCTCCATCCAATGTTCCTAATCCCTCTGCATACATATTCTTCCGTCCATGTCACTCTAGCTTCTAGCTCCGCGTCTGTTGACCTAGTATGGCTCATCATGAAACGCACCAGCCCATACTGACGGAACTTGTGTCTTCTGGACAAACGATGACAGTCTGCATCTTCGACCTTCTTGATAGCCCCAACGCCGGGGTGATCAGAAAGTAGGCGTATTTCCATCACGCTTCGCAAGTGAATTGGTTCATCTGCGAGGCCAGAAGTGCGACACTCGCCTCATTATTCTCAATTCTGTGTCACATCAGACTACGGTCTGTTATCGCTACCGGCAGTTCTATCGTCAGTAGTCCACCACTACCTTGACCCAGGGGGCACACGTTCATCTGCCGCCGATTGATTATTCATTTACCACCAACCTGAACAACGAAACTCGTTATCAAGATCCCAAGAAAAGGATCGAATCAAAGCACAATGTTGCAGATTTCTAGTGAGTCACGCCTCAGTCTGACAAAGTAGTCTCTAACACTATGGTAGAACTGAACTGTCCTTTTACCGCTGCCAAGGGCGTTTGGCCCCTTTTTTGATAACCTTAGATTTCATATTTCAAGAAATCGTTACAGCCAGCTATCAACTGGTATCGGGTTGAAAACCGAGCTTAAGGTGGCCCGCTCGCCCCATCAGCTCACACTCTGACAGCGCCGCGAATTACAACTAGGAAAATCTTTATCAATAGTCGCTGGGTATCTTCAGAATGACTACCAGTTTTTCCTCCCTCTTTGCTTCGCTGCCCTCCCAGCCGCACTTATCTGAGTGGGGTACTGAGACGGCTGGCAAACTTGATGGTCTCGAGGGTCTCCCCATTGAGATAATCCTCGACATTTACCAACAACTCGACGTATGCAGCATCTTCTCGTTGGGCCAAGTCAACACACTCTTTCATGGACTTTTAAAAAGAAACAAGGCTGCTATCCTGTTACCGGTTCTTCAAAGGGAGTTCAGTCCGTTTACTGAACTCCTTCAAATCTACACGGCATCGGAACAGGATTTAAGCCAGTACGGCGATACTTTTCAGCCGAGAAGGGTGGTCTTCAGGCGTTTCCCAGGTGACTTGACTGGCGTCATTTTGTCACGAGGTGGTGTTCACACAAACTACGCACCATTCTCCGAGCATGTATTGTTCACCGGATCCCTCAGCAATGGCAAGCCTCCATCTACAAACGTACTTCCAGCGCCAAGGTCCGTGGCACTTGTCGATCGTGATCTTGACTCTATGCTTAGGCACTGTTTGGTTGTACGACGGTGGGAAGAATTGTATCCTCAACTTCACTGGTTCTCAACGCCTGAGGACTGTCGCCAACTCGATGACTCAGAAAAGTTCAAGCTCCGTAGAGCTCTTTATCGCTGGTGGCTCTACGCCTTCTACTTCCATGGCGAGCTTCCTCGGCCTCGAAGTGGCGGACCTGAACCGTTCGTCAACGACGTACGAACCAGCCAAATGAGGTTCCATCCTACACGTGAGTTGATGGAAATGAAAGATCTCTTCACTTCTGTAAAAATTCTTGTACGTCACTATGTTTATCCAAACCTGGAACAGAACTTGGAGCCTGTGAGTAGCCACGATTATTAAGGCGTACTGCTTCTGCTGACATCAAGCTTATAGCTCCAGCACATAAGCCCGCTCGACTCCATGATCGAGAAAACCATTCAGGAGCGCATCGTGGACACTTATGCGAAGCTTGATCCACGGGACCTTATGTTCTACTTTGAGAACTTATTCAGTTATCCCCGAAAGCGTCTAGTGACAGATGTGAACCTCAAGCACCCTAACTTTTCTCGAGATCAAGAATCGCTTGGGGCAGCAATTCAGTCTGCACTAGATGAACGTCCGTGGCTCGATGATGTTGCCAACCTAAATAGTGTGGGGAGCATTGTGAACAATGACAATGACTGCAAAGACAGGTTGAACTGTGACGGTAGCCATGACGGAACAGTTCCACCTCCTGGGGCCTTGCAACGACCACAAAATGACTGGGCGCCACCAGGAGATGATGGACGAACACTCGCAGAGCGGTATCAATTTTATCAAATCGCACAAAATGATTTGGACGATAGCCTAGACTAGAACGCGACAGATACAGACTTAGGAGAATTGACATAATATTATGTTTTCTATCTGTTTTGCGCATTGCTTCCAAGATGATTATGAATTCTACCAAATCCAGACAACCTGATGGCTTCTTTGTCAGGACTAAACCATCATATCCATCAATTCGGGAAGTCGAGAGTTGACATGCATGGTGTTCATATAATTCGAGATTTTCTGTATTCAGATGACGCAAAGACCAGTTCTTTGCTGTATCCAGGTAGCGTCTATGGCAAATCACACAGGTCATCTTGGGTAAAATGAGCTAAAACCCGACCTCAAAGTGTTCTCATTGACCTGACTTGCCTGAAGTGGGAGTTTGAGCATACGGACACTTTGTTGCAGATGATGCGTGTCTTAGTGCAAGGCTGCCGTTACAGGGGGCTGTTGTGGCGGGTGCACCCTGCAAGGCGGCGGGCGGGCTTGTGGCCAGCTCCCGCCTTGTCAGTGGCCCAAGCCTCTCATCTTGTTCAACTCACTCACTCCCAGACACTCACCTATTAATCGTCCTGCAGAGCAATTCTCGCAAAGCAATTCTCGCGCAACCGCACAGAGCTTTCTCTTTGCGCATATACTACCACTGCCTTCTTAATCATTTACTAAGATTAATCTCACTCTCCTCATACGGAAACCCTGTCTAAAGCTGTGGCCGCGCTGCTGTAACAGCTTGCGCATTTAGGAGGATCTCCAACCCGAGCAAGCTCATTCATCCTACCATTCACTGTGCATCGACCATTGCTTCTCAAAGGTCAGTGGCTAGTCTCTTGTCAGTTTTGTGTTCAAGTGTAAGGTAGGGAAGAGAAGGAATTGTGGCCTGCTGTGTTTCGGGGACAAAAGGAAGCTGCCAAAACATCCCGTTCGATGGCACCTGCCCCCTCTGCCGCCGACTCTCATCTGGATTTGATAAAAGGTGACTTAATTTGACAATCAAAATTATCAACCTGAACCGAGAGTATGTGCCAGTACGGTTCTTATTAAACTCTTGAGAAACATCATCTTCGACATTTAAATGTCAAGGTATATTCTTGTTACTACACTTCTTGCGCTTCTGAGCCTCATCATTAATGCGTTTAAGCGCGGACTTGTACACTAACTTCACGACAGACGCGCCACCTACAACTTGAGCATTGAAATCAAATTCTCTGACTTAATTGTGTTAATGAGACTGCTCTCGCCAGCCACTCATCTCAAGCGGAACGCAACTAGCCGACCCTGATACTCTTGCTGATATCTGGGCTGCAACTCCCTTTTGATTCCAGGCCAAGACAAGTTGACATTCTTCAAGCGCAACAGCAGTTTATCAGCGGGGAAACCAACCTGCTTGCGCTACTTTTCTCGGCCTGGCTGGCACCAGATCAGATTAGCCACCGTCCTCGGGGCTAGTCGGTTCGGCCTACCCTTGCATCATGGAAGGTGCCGACCAAGATGTCGTTATGGGTGGGAATGACAGACCTTCAAATCAGGCGACTACGCCCAATGGTGTTCTTGGAGTTGCTGGCGGGGATCCCAAGGCTGAAAACCATACGCCCTCTGAGGAGGAAGACGAAGAAGAATACGACGATTACGACGAGGATGTGGAGGCCCAGCAGGTCGTCAGCCAATTGCGCAGACGAGGTCTGCTTCCAACAGCCTGTTGCTATGATGACCGGATGAAACTTCACGTCAACGCCGATTTTGGAACAACGCCTCATCATCCAGAAGATCCTCGCCGCATAGAAGAAATTTTCAAGGCGTTCAAGAAGGCTGGTTTAGTCTATACAGGTCCGGAGGCAAATGTAGCCCAGGTCCTGCGAGATACTCCAACCAAGTACATGTGGCGGATTGGAGCACGTGAAGCTACCAAAGAGGAAATTCTTACAACCCACACGCCGCTTCACTACCACTGGGTTGAAGCCCTAGCGCAAATGGACTATGCGACCCTGCGGGAGACGAGCAGGCAGTACGACCAGGGTCGAGCCTCCCTCTACGTCGGTAGCCTGACTTTCACAGCAGCTCTATTGTCCTGTGGTGGTGCCATTGACACCTGCAAACACGTCGTTGAAGGAAACGTCAAAAATGCGTTTGCTGTCATCAGACCGCCTGGCCACCATGCGGAGTACGATCAACCGCTCGGGTTCTGCTTCTTCAACAATGTGCCTGTAGCCGTGAAGATATGCCAGCAGGAGTATCCTCAAGATTGCCGAAAGGTTCTTATTCTAGACTGGGACGTCCATCATGGCAATGGAATCCAAAACATCTTTTACGACGACCCTAACGTGCTGTACATCTCGCTCCACGTATACCAAAACGGAACTTTCTACCCAGGCAAGCCGGACAATCCAGATATCCCGGATGGAGGGTTAGAACACTGCGGTACTGGGCCTGGTCTCGGGAAGAACATCAACATTGGATGGCATGACCAAGGAATGGGCGACGGCGAGTACATGGCTGCGTTTCAAAAGATCATTATGCCAATCGCCAAGGAGTTTAACCCTGACCTGGTTGTTATCTCGGCAGGATTTGACGCTGCCGCAGGAGATGAGCTCGGAGGCTGTTTTGTAACGCCTACCTGCTATGCTCATATGACGCATATGCTCATGTCCTTGGCGGACGGCAAAGTCGCTGTGTGCTTGGAGGGTGGTTACAATTTGCAGGCTATCTCTACCTCAGCCGTCGCCGTTGCTCGGACCCTGATGGGAGAGCCCCCACCGAAGATGGATATACCCATGCTCAACAAGGAGGCAGCGAGGGTTCTTGCTAAAGTACAGAGCTACCAGGCACCGTTTTGGGAGTGCATGAGACCAGGCATCGTCCCTGTGCCTGAGATCCAGGAACTTAACGCGACCAGATTGCATGACCATGTAAGACTTGGTCAAAGGCAGGACCTCTCACAAAGGCATCAGATGATTCCTCTTTTCATTCAAAGAGACCATCTATTCAAGTCATATGAGAATCAGGTCCTCGTTACTCCCGACATACAGTCTGCGCGTCGGATCCTAGTCATCATCCACGACCCCCCGGAATTCCTCGCCCAGCCCGATGTTATCGATCGTCACCTTGAACTTCACAACGCATGGATTGTCGATAGTGTCGCTCAGTACATTGACTGGGCTGTCGGGGAGGATATCGCAGTGATGGATGTCAATGTCCCGAGCAAGGTGGTTCGAGACGAAGATATGGATCCTTATAACCCTAGAACTGCTGACAAGGATCTGCTCATTGAGCTTCAAGAGCTGTTGAACTATCTCTGGGATAACTATATTCAACTGTACGAAGAGGCAGAGGACATCCTACTCATGGGTGTAGGCCGTTCCTACAACGGAGTCAAGACTCTCCTCACAAGCCGAGGTACGTAATGCTTGAAACAGAGACTCATTGTTTCCCACACTGACCTAAAAAAAAAAAAAAAAAGACTGCAAAGCGCGCATTGCTGGGGTTGCTAGTTTTGTCGACGGCATGTTGCGTCCTGTAAAGTCCGACGTCGACAACGAGCTTTCCACATGGTATAAGGACCACTCGCAGATCTACGTGTCCCATGACCACCCTTGCTGGAATAGCGAGGACACACTTCGCAGAGTGACCAAGCGTCGCTTTGGTACAGTGATCCGCAGTGAAACGAATGGTGTCAATAAGATGATGCAGACGCACGCGGCGCAAGTTCAGAAGTGGATGCTAGAGAAGCTGGCGGCCCGCCAGGCAGGAGATACTACCGAAGATGAGAAAATGACTTGAAGCCTACTCGGAGGACGTGTCGTCGGATGAGGCGCGATGTTTCATCATCGGTGAGAGGGTAAGCGAATACCAGTATGTTATGCAGTAGTGGAACTAAGGTTTCTCATTTTGCATGGTGGACACTAGAACATCGTTTGGCGCGTGGTTTACCGGGGTTTTCTAGGGTGGAGGAGCAAACGATGGGTGAGAAGGATGGTGTTTATTTGGAGTTTAAGAGCGTACGGCAGTGGGAAACGACGTAGATCTCTAGTGGTCAATACATCCGCCGTAGAACTATGCTCGATTTTCATGAAGCCGAAGCCGTTTATTGCAAAAGATTGTAAACAAATGCTCCTTTGTGCGGTCCAATAACTTGCATCCTTGGATTGGTGGCCGACTGAAATGGCAGTCACAGTTAATGCAGCTGAACCAAAACACCCAAGACTGGCAAAAACCTTAACTACTCTGGATAGTTATCATAATTTTCACAATCTGATCGCATTCTTAGCTTGCTTATCATTCTCCAACTTCCTTCTCTTTTTCATTTGATAAAATAATTCTACAGCCAATGATCAGTTGTAACAGGATGTTAGGAAGGGATGAGGAAGGACCAAAATGGTCTCATACACTGAGCTCTTTGACACCCTTGGCTGTCAACTTCACTCCTAATATTTGATTGGTCCCAGCTGGACGAGTCGATGTGGGTCTCTGAAATCCATACGGAACCTCTTATTGGTTACTCATCACCTGTCCCGGACCAGGAAGATGGATAACGCCGTTCTCAGCGTCTGAGCGTGGGTACCTTTACAATTTTCAGGGGCCGGTCCAATCTGCTTGCTAGCAACCCTGCTCCATCAGACATTGGCGTTGGCGCATACTGCATAGCTGACCCTCTCAACACCACAATCGCGCGCATCACGGCGACCGCGAGCTACTGCGACCACGCCCTCACTTTCATCACTCTCAGGTTGAGTTGCTTCGGCGCCTTTCATGATGGATCGCGATCGGAGGAGCAGGTGAGTTCAAGTGTTCGCTGTCCTCTACTTCTTTTTTGGTTTCGGCCCTAGCACGCCCGGTCAAGCCCAACCTCTCCCCATGTTAGCACCCACCATGTCACCTTTGCGGGCAGCGCTTGTGAGCTGGATATGGACTACTTGTCGCATCTTGCTGCATTATCTCAAGCAATATTCTCACTTCTGCATGCTACTATGTTGGCGGCTTCCTCTGAAGTCAGCGACAAGGTGGAAGCAAAGCTATGAACGAGGCACTCATTCTTCGACGTTGTCTATTGACCACCATGGCCAAGGCACTTTTTTACATGATTGAAACAAGCTTGGTTGCAATTATTTGCTGACGAATGGTCACACAGGTATGAGGACGGCGAGGTCACTAGGTATGGCGCTGGCGAATCCTGGAGACCCTTCCCTAGAGGAGAGAGAGGAGGAGACCGCTCCCCTCGACGAGCCCGGAGCCCCCTTCGAGACCGTGACAGAGATCGGGACCGTGACCGCGACCGTGACCGCGATCGTGACAGAGACAGAGATCGAGACCGTGACCGAGACCGCGATAGAGACAGAGATAGGGACAGGGATAGGGACCGTGACAGAGATCGCGACAGAGAGCGTCCCCGCACTCCTCCTCCCTTGACCTCCGACAGCTACGTTCCTGGAAGATCTCCGCGTCGCAGATCTCGTAGCGGCGACCGGTACCGGCGTGACAGGTCGCGGGACAGAGACACACGTCCGCAAAGTGACACCTGGCGGAGGCGGGATAGAACTCGAAGTCCTGTGAGACGGCCTTCGCCAAGACGTAGCCCGTCGAGGCGCCGCAGTCCCATTGGACGATCTCCCGCTATTCGAGACGAACGTAGCGACCGCGCCAGATCTCCCCGCCGTGACAACAGAGACAGGGACCGAGATCGCGACAGGGATAGGGATAGAGAGAGAGAGAGGGAGAGGGAAAGGGACATTGATCGACGGGACGACAGGTACCGCTCGTTGCCCCCCTTTGCGCAGAGCCCAGTCTCATCCGCCCCTCTTAGAAGACGGTCGCGCTCGCCATACGGCGCTCGTGACAGGGCGCTCCGTGACAGAACTCCACCCAGGAGGTCACCGCCGCCGCCCGCCGCCCGAGGCAACTATCGGCCCCGGTCTCGTAGTACGAGCCGTCGCGGTGGTGAGAGATATCTAGGATCTTCCTACAGACGGGCGTCGCCGCCCCGAGAATCTGGCATCTCGTCGGCCATTACGTCTCGATCAGCTTCAGGCAAGTCGTCACCGCATCCTCCTTCCTCCATCCGAGCACGTTCGCGGCCGCAATCGAGGGAGCGGGAGCAGCGGGAGCAGCGAGAGCGGGAACGAGAGCGAGAGCGGGAACCCACACCTCCCCTCCAGACGGGTGCTTCTGCAACGACGTCGTCGTCCGCGACGGCGCGAGAAGCACCATCCTCGAACTCGAAGCCTGCCGTCGCCGTCGTCGCCGCCGCTGCTGCCACCCCCCAAGAGCCGGCGCTCGCGCCGGTGGCCAAGACGCCTCCTCGAGGCCCCGCCGCTTTACGTGCTCCTCCAACCGGCCCTGCCGCGACCCGAAACTTCTCTGCGCCCGCCGGCTCACCAGCTGTTCAGCCACCTAGACACCCGCAAACCCCGAGTGCGCCGCCCCCGCCTACGCGCGCAGACGCCACAAGCCCTACGATCCCCCCCGCCGGCCCTCGAGGTTACGTAGCGCCGGCACGCGGCGGCGGATACAGTGCCCGCGGTGGGCGAGGCGCCTGGCCGGCCGCGCCACCTCGTCAGACGCCAGTACCCACAACTTCTCCCTCTGCCATCGGTAACGGGCCGTCAGCAATCCCTACAGGTCCGCGTGCCAACCCCTCCAACGTCACTCCAGCAATACCGTCGGCAACGCCCAAGTCTTTCAACCCCCCCACCGGCCCTTCGTCACAACACGGTGCGCAGGGTCAGCGCCCTACCCTCGCACAAAGCATGCTCTCTACTCTCCCACCTATTATCCCTGGAGGCAAGATCGATCCGTTTCTGCTGCCGACGACCACCGGAATCACACGTGAGATCGAACCGCACTACAAGAAACTCAAGGCCGAAGAGGAAAAGGCGAGAGCCGATCTGGATGCTAAACAAGATAAGCTCCGCCAGAGCCTGCAAGTGTGGGACAAACTTGAGATGGAGTCCAAGGCATGGAAGACAAGGGTTGATCTCAGCGAGCAGAGCCTCAAGAGCTTGGCCGGCGAAGGCTTGGGGGGCGCTGCCTTTTAAACAAAAAAACAGAGGTAACAGGCGGCCAATATGGGGATCACGAGGTGATATTTTCAGGAGGAAGTTGGGAGAAGTTCATTTCACACTTTCTATTCGCGGGAGGAATCATGTTTTCTTTTTCCTTTTCCTTTTTTTTTTTTTTTTGTGGTGGTTGATGGATTGATGATGACGATGTACTACTACAAGCGGCGGGACAGCTCTAAACCCCCTTTGAAAAATCCGCACGTGTACGAATTGAGTAGACCCTTTTTTGTAAGGATAGCTAGCCTTTGGACTCGCTTGACGATACCCCAATTGAAAGGTTATAATAAGACTTGAAAATTTGGGACGAGTCCAGTTACTTATGCTGAAAAGTAAAGACAGGCCCCATCGAAAACCCGCCGCTTGTCGGCCGTTATATGCCCATTAATCTTTCCCTCTAAGTGTGTCCTCTTCGGTTTCGTCAACTGCTCCCTTGACCAGTCGACTGACTCTGCAGTAAACCCGAAGAGGTATGTATATACATGGTCTATTCTTCAACAAGCAGACGTCAAGGTTTTTAATTCGTCATGTGTAGGCTTGGCCTGACGTCCTGTTGGCATTTAATACCATGTAAAAATAGAATATACGTTTGCTGGTTGATAGGTGCAACTTTTTATTCACTAAGCTTAGACAGTCCGCCGCCCGCAACAGAGCACACAGGCTAGAAAATGAAGTAACGGGGGAACCTATATCTGGCGGTAGGCTCGGTGTTCGTTAAGTCATCATGGTCCCTTGTCATTCCGTAACCCATCATAATGTTCATCCATATCCCCCCTCGTGGCCTTCCACGAATCCTGCTAACGCCAGACAAGGAGCCAAAATATTTGTGTCAAAAGGCAAGTAGTGTTCAGTCGCACACACAACCTCCCATCGGGTGTGCAGACATAAGTGGCTCGCGCCATTTCGGGCCTCAATCTGAGTCCGAGTGTAACAAGTTCATATAAAGTACATAAAGCCGTGGCATGAAAGATAGAAAGAGAATTAGAGGGCTAGGCTTATTCAAAGTCCAAGTCGCCATCCCATTCGTCATCGGTCTCGAAATCACCCTCGTCATTGAGAAAATCGTCCATGCTGTACTGGTGTTCCCTCGGTTTCTGGTTGTCGATGTTGATATCGACAACAGTACAAAGACCTTGTATAAACATGTCGTCTGATGCGGCGAGGTCTTCTGAACTTTCTTCGGTGTTTTGGTCAGAACCACTCCCAGCAACATCTCCCAAGTTTTCATCTAGCCCGACGTCGTCACCAGAGTCAAACTCATCGCTATCTGGCTCACGGTAGGACTGCGGTTTTCGATGCTGGTCGCGAAGTTCTCTCAACGTGCTGCTGGCGCGTGAAGAAGGCCGTGATGCATGTGGTACAACGCGACTGCTCCGGCGGGTCGGCTCCACAGGAACCTTTCTGGGCTTGTGTTTCACAGTGGCCTCTTGAGCGGGTTCAGATATAGCTTGCTTACGCAGCGTGAAGTTCGGTTCTGGGTCCGTAACCGGGCGAAGGAAAACCTTCTCGAATTTCTCTTGCCATGACTTGCGAAAATCACTACGTGAGCGCCAGGGGATGTCCAGCATAGCTTTGATCGATAAGTGCCGCAGCATAGGCAGAACCGAAGCACTGTCGATGAATGACTGAAGGAGCATTTCAGCGGCTGCCATATCCCATTGCCGGAGATTCTCGAGGTGGACAACCTCAAGAGCTGAGGGCCAGTTGGGTACCTGTTCAGGGAGTAATAAATGATCGTAAAAGGGATCATTGTCATCGACCGTCTCCAAGAGGCTGAAGTACTTGAAATTCGCACGCAGCTCCTTGAGATGGGGACAGGCAGCGCCCAACATCGTAAGAAACGCTAAATTTAGCGAGCGGTTGTGATTAAGAACAAGCGCTTCCATTTGATGGCCATTCGTAATCAAGAAGGACCCGAGATTATCGGCAGTAACCTCTGCACAATTGACCAGCTCAAGACGCTTCAGGTTTGGGGGAAGCAGTGGAAAAAGCATTGTGCACATGATGGTGGAAGACTCAAAAACCAGTTGCTCGAGATTTTCCAAGGTCGAAAGAGCACTCGCGATCAACCTCACGGATTGTTCATCTTCAGCAAGCAGCTCTGGGTCAGCTCCGGGATCCTTTTCGAGTCTGACAGACGGGAGTTGATAGTTGACGAGCTTAAGCTTGCGCAAGGAAACAAAACTCGGCATTTGATGCACTTGCTTCATTCTGGCAAGACTGGCCTCCCAATTCTTGTCCATTAGCCTGGAACTCCACTGCCAACTGTGGAGGCGTGTGATGCTGGTTTTGTCTCCTGCTTCTTCGTCCGCAGTAGGTGAGACATCAAATGCTTGCCATAACTCTGCAGAATATGTCCATTTAATCGGCTCCCTTAACAGGCGATAGGGCGATTGGTCATATCCATGTAGTAGGAGAACTTCCGATAGGCGAGGTAGATTCTGCATCAATTTGACAGGAGACGTGAAACCTTGCAGGGAGACCAGTCGAACATCGATATGGAGCTCCTCAATCTTTGCTCTGTAATTGACGGCGGTCATGGAGGGTGACTTTTCGAGCAACCCTACGAGCCCTTGGGCTTTCGCTTCATCCTTGATAGGCGGCCGCCTGTAAAGCACTGTCAGAGCGGGATCTGTAAAGACCCGACATACCCCAGCCGTCCGGACAAGCCAGTTGGAGTCCAAGATGTCATGTTCATCGCCTGTGACAGCAGCATATCGAAACACTTGAACCCAAATGGCGTGCTCCATGCGAGGGTCTAGCCAGTTAGGAATAACCAAGTTTTCTAGCTTAGAAATGCCGGATTTAACCTTCTTGCGCGGAGGTCGTCCACGACTGCGGCCAGTTTTGACATTTGGAGACTTGTTCGGTGATATCTTCACAGCAATATCATCGCCAGAGTCGTCTTCTTCAGCTTCGTCAGAGGACATGTCCGCGACAGTAGTTGAACTTGTAGATTTTGACGGTCGTCCTCGCTTTTTGCTTGGATTTTTAGGGATCTGACTAGTGGTACCTTTGCCAGGTTTAGAAGTGCTGTCTTTGTTGGCGCTAGCTGCTGCGCGACTTATCCTTAATTGCTGAGTGTCGGAAGCGGCTCTTGAGATAGCCGCTCGGGCGCTTTTACGAGTGGTTTGCGGTGCTGCCTGAGAGAGCTCTTCAAAATCTTCATCGTCTTCTTCTGTAGGTGACTCGTCTTCGGAGCTTTCGCGATATTGAGGTCGAGCTTGGGTCCGGGTTCGTGGAGTTGACCTAGCGTTGGACCGGAGCTCGTGAATATCTTTAGTGGATTCACCCCGACCTTGGGATTTTGTTACACGCATTTGTGTAGGTATAGAGGATAATGGGTTGACAGCATTTCGCGATGGATTGCGGCGAGGGTTTGGGGTTGTTGCGCCTTTGCGAGAGCCGGCTGGCCGCCGTGAAGGCATGACACAAGGATGTAGTAGCCTGGGTTGCAGGGATGTATATGTCAGTATGAACCGAGGCCGACGCTGGGTATCAAGGATCAAGGGTAAGACCAAATATCCAACGGGGATGCCGCACAATAGCTATCGAAGCACTTTTGATGTGAAGCGCTCAGGAACGGCGATAAAGGCAAGCATCAGAGTAGCGCATGGCACCGAGTTGTACAGCTATGACGTTCGCGATGGAGTGGATGCGCCAGTCGATCGGAGTCCCGGAGAATACTGATTGAGTGCGCAAGAACACAAGTGCTAGTTTTTGACGCAATGTGGTATATGTAAATGACGCCAAGATCCGTGTGGAAGGTGGAGGAGGCATATGAGAGGGAAAAGTAAGTTTTGAGATATCAGTGACGAGGTGAAAGTTCACCTTTGTGAGTGAGTTGGAGTCGGATTTGGTGGGGCAAGAGCGCGCGACACTCGAACCAACAGCAGAAAGCTTGTCAGCCTTGCACTAGCGTGCTGTGTTCTCAAGGCTGCCCAGGCACTTGCCAAGGGGTGCCCCACAAACAACTGGACCGTGCGTCATTTGCAGCTAAATTTCAGGTAGCTCTCGCTGCGATGGTCGTTGGCCTTCCTAACCTTGGTAGGTAGCTTCCGCCCCGTCATGTTTGCTGCCTCTGCTGAATCTCGCCAGCAACAAACTCGTTGCAAAAAGGCTGCGCGACATAAAGACCATTATTCTGAACCAGGGAGGAGGGCTGTAAGATAGACATGTCGCCTAATGAGTGAGGTAGGCAGAAGAAATATGCGGTTCAGGCTATCCGTACACAATGAATTGAGTCTTTTCGACCAGAGTTGCGGTTGCCTTTTGGTTTTGCATTGAAGAATGTCAAAAGGTAAAGTTGTTCAAAAGAAGAGCTTGCGCGACATAAAATACCCAAGACCTCCGGAGACCCAAAGGGCCCAAAGGGCAACACCAAACCGGGTCTAGTAAGTAAGTCGACTTAGCAGGTCCAGCATCGGATGCCTGCCGCTCTCGCCTAAGAGTGAGTGGTCCCACTAATAGTCTGTCATGGCCAATGGAGAGAAGTTTTTGACTTTTGGTAAGCGGTGCAAGGCTCATAGTGTACTATGTAGTGCTAGCTATCCCCTCTGAATGGAAAGGTCTGAGTGACAACAATGGGAGAGGCCCACCCCCAAAATTCAAGTGTTCCCGGGGTGTTTGTTCCACGTCCAGAATCTCCAGATCTGAACGACGCGCTTCGGCTTCCACACACGTCTCCTCGTCCTGCATTTGCCCGTTCTCGTCTGCTAGAGCGCCACTATTCCCGTCTGCTCAAGCACGCGACTCCCTCGCTTCGCCGGGCTCACATTCATTTTTCTAGCTCTTCGGTGGCTCGTCATCTCCTTATACCTATACCCATCAGAGCCGCCACTTGAATTTTGGTTTCCCCTGTCTCAGCCAAAATCGCGAGTCGCGTCCTGCCACAACGGGTTCCACCCAGTCCATCCTCTTGGTCCTCGGCTGTCGCATTGCCTATCACAACGCCTCTCACCCGACGACACTCGTCTTTGCGCGCTGCCAGGATTTTCTTGAGCCAACATCTTGAGGCGGCACTCGCCATCTGCCAAAGACGGCTCCAGAAAAGTGCTCTTTTTCGTGCCATGAGCAGTCACCCATGGACTACTCACCTTTAATGAGCACTGAGCCGAACAAAAAAGAAACGTCTGCTTCAAACTATCCCGTCAGTGAGCTTGGCTTAGGGGCGACTGCGCCGACCGCAAGGTGCATTTAAGCCTTTCAATTCTTCAACTCTTCTGGTGCACCAAGCGGGCCTCAATCTCTATAAATCTCTTATGGTCACCCTTTTTCAACTATGACGGTTCACTCGCGGCGTCAGCGCAGTACCCCCTTTCTTCAGAGGAATATCTTGCAAGGCATGGGAAACACTCAGTCCTCGGCTCAAAAGGCCGCCGTGGGTGGAGAGCTTGCCAACGACACCGACGACAAGCGTGCCACGAAGCGTCGTCGCCTCGATACCAAAAAGACCCCTCCTCATGCCTTAGTTGACCAACTCTTCCACGCCCGCGAAGTGAGCGATGTGCAGCACAACCTATGCGTCCAGGTGAATAGAATAGTTCACAAGGACTCTAGGCGCGTCGCTCCTGCCTCTTGCGACGATGTCGTGAATCTGCGAGCCCGATGCAAGGTCATTCTCTGGCACACATCTGACTCTACCAACCCCTTGTGGTGCAACAGTCAAGTTTGCGACATCAAATCCTTCAAGGATCCTGGCGGTCCACTGCGCATGGCACGCGTATATCTGCCTCGGCCTTTTTACATTCCCAAGGATTGCATGCGCGTCAATCACCCGGAAGATAACTCCTTCGATTTGGGCAATGACTACCGCCTCTGTGTTGAGTTGGAAGCGGCCGGCCCGACTTATTGGCCTCCGATTATTTTGAATCCCTCTGTCGAGGAGATGGGTCGCGCTCAGAAGGCCGAGGCCCTCCGCTGGGTTTTTCATGCGAACATGTTCAACCTGTTCTCCAAAAAGCCGGCCAGCTTGAATCTGAAGGTGAAAAAGGGCCCCTCGGCACTATCATCAACGGATCATGTTATCGAGGTGGACGCCCAGTGGACAACAGCTTTTGAGGCTACTGCCATCCGACCTCTGGAGGAGGGGGTCAAGCCGTCCATTACTGTCCATCCAGACGTCGCGGGCGATGACTTCCTTGCAAATGCGCCGCAGTTTGACAGTCCGCCGGGAACTCCGGCTAAGGATTTGAGAAGCAATGTTGGGACTCCAGTCAAGGCCATGAGGAATGGCCTCGTCAATGGAGATGGCCATGATGATGATGAATTGGAAGAGGAACTCACGCCAAACCGGTCTCTTAGGGTACGCGGCACCAAGAATTACAACCTAAAAGTTTTGAGCGACAAAGCTCAAGGCAAAGAAAGGAAGCGAAGGAAGCGCAGGAACACCAACGCCATCGAAGAAGGGAGCGTCACCTACTTCTTGCCTAGCGAGCAAGTCAACTTGGACTCCTTCCGCTGCATCACCTGCGGTATGCCGCATGGAACCCTCACTCAGTTACAGGCGCATCTTGTCAACCAGCACGCCGAGTATGACTACATTCCACACTCCAATGGTCGGGCTGCGGAATTTCAGGTCTCACACCGGTACGAGTTGTACACATTTGGCGCAGAGCCCTTTTCTCTTCGACGTCCGACCAAGGTTTTTGATTTGGATTCTTTTGCCGAGGGGAACATTTCGCTCTCAACACCACAGTTCGACCGGGAGGACAAGGCTACCCTAGCTGCTCAGCCCCGGGGTCGAAGTAGACAGTCAACAGCGAGGCTGTCACACCCCCAGGTTTGATGTTTCTTGCCGGGTTTTGATGAAAAAAACTGCTAACAGTGCATAGACACATTCTAAACTTCTTATCCCGGATATCAAGCAGACGCTGTATGATCCAATCACGCGGGCTACACTGGAGCCGGGGACAGAATACAAGAAACCAGCACCTAGCGATCAATGGCTTATTCAGTGGCATCGGGACGCTTTGGCGGATTTCTCTGACGTTCCACCGGACGAACGAGAGTACATGCAGGAATGGGATAAGTTTATGCTTACGAAACGCATATCTTCAAGCATTTACTTCCCTCGTGCTTGGTTAAATTTCGTTCGGCTCAAAGCGGACTGGCTACTCTCGTCTCAATCTCGCATGATTGAGTTTGGGAAGCATTTCACGTACCTTTTGGCCAGAAGTAGTCTCGACCACAGCACCGTTGAAGAGGCTCTCGAGTATATCGCCGCCTGCAGGGCGAAGCTTGGTGTGAGGAATGGCGATCATGCCCCGCCAGCACCGAAAGAGTCACCCCAGGGACCACACCTTCGAAAGAGCGCCGCTGGTTGTCAAGTGTGTGGACTTGCAGTCTTGGGTCCTAGGCTGCTGTTATGTGCCAACTCTGTAAGTTTGGCGTAGAACCTCGAGGAACAGCTCAAATGACATAAGCTAATATACTCGAAATAGCAATGCGTAAAGCGTCTTTATCACTCGGACTGCATCAGCGAGAACGCAAAGATGAGCGTCGAAGACGATGATTGGGTCTGCAATCAATGTTTCGATCGTCCGGCCGCAGAGCGAACTTAGGAAGCGCCTCTCAAAGGCAGGCGCAAAATCGTACGAAAGAAGTTGCCTAGGAGCAGCTGAGCAAGACGGGTGTTAATTTCTCACTTCATAAAGCGTACGCATCTGCATAGGCCTGGCGTCATCTCATGGGAGGCGTCGATAGAAATGGATTACTTAGAAACATTGAGCATATGACGTTTAATATGAACAAACTTACGTGGAAGCATACGACTCCCTCTGTGTGCTCCCTTTGGGGGAAAAGTTGTGTGACAGCCAGCTTTGTTACAATTGGATGCGAAATACAGACCATTTACAGTGGCGCAAGTTGATGTTTGTCCTTCCTTTTTTTTTTTTTTTTTTGGTGAAAAAAAAGACGTCTTATTTCGAAATTTCTTATGCCCAGCCCAGGCGCCGTTCCCTATTGCACATCAAAGCATCAACAAGCTTGGAGCAGCTGCTAATCTCTCAAGCGTACCATTACATATTGCCCCCCCCTCGTTTTCACCCAGTCGGGATGAAGCTATCGCGGGGCCCCCCTTTTTATTTTAAAATCTGTACTTGCTCTCCTTCTTCTCCTTGTTGCGCTTCTCATCAACCTTCTGTCGCTTCCTCGACTCCTGCGCAATCATCTCGGACAGATCCTCCTCGTACGCCCACTTGGCGCCGATACCATCCTCGCGCTTGCCCTCCTCGAATCGCCTGCGCACCTCGTCCTTGCTGAGACCGTCGTTCTGCTGCAAAGAGTCGACGTCGATCGCGACGTCGACATCACCGGGCTTCTTGCGCTTGCGGCTGTCGTCTTCCTGGCCCAGTACCGGCATGTTGCTACCCTTGAGGTCGTATACCCTGTCGCTGCCAAAGAATCCCTCGGTGCGCTGCTGGCGCTCGGGGATGACTTGGTAGGCAGACCGGGGGTGCGAGCTCTCCTCTGTGTCGTAGCCACGCCGTTGCTTCCGTAGATCCATCTCGCCCGCCACTGATGTCTCGACACCATGACCTGGGTAGTCTGTCGGTACGGAAGAAACCATACCGCCGGAGGTCTCAATACCGCTCGGTGATTGCAGACCGGCGGCCGCATCCTCATCTTCCTCCTCCTCGTCGTCTGACTCTTCCTCTGATTCTTCCTCCTCGGACTCCTCATCACGCGGTTGAAGCTCACCCCAAAGTGTCTTCTCGACGGGCTCGCCCGTAGCAAGGGGTTGAGCAACTTGTTGTTGTGCAGGAGCGCCGGGTTGGTTCGTGAGACCGAATACGTCTCCGCCGTACAGCGGCCTGTTGAACTCGTCTACTGGAGGCTTACCCCAGCCGCCCGGGTGGAAGCCCCAAGAGCCACCTGGTGGTGGCGGCGCGTTGAGACCAGGAATCTTGAGGGTAGGATATGACGGAGGAGGACCAAAGCGCTGCTGGTTGATGAGCCATGGTGGAGGGGCACCCGGTGGCATGCCCAAAGCTTCCTTGGTGGCCTCGCTGAGCTCACCGGGTCTGAAGTGTTGAAAGTCAACTTCACTCTCCTTGCCCTCGTAGTACACCTCACCAAAGCGAGTGAGCTCCGGCTTGGTCTGGAAACGGAAGAACGCGTCGTAGAGTTTCTGGTAATCTATATCCAGTTTGCCCATCTTGGGAGCAACTCGCTCGCGTTGTTTCTGCTTCAATGACTGCTGTTCTTGCTTCTCGAGAACTGCGTCACGCATCTCCGTGATACCAGTCTCGGCAATGAATTTAGGGAGTCTGAAAGGCGGCTTCTCGATACCTCTCTTTGAAGATAGGTATTCTCGCTTAAGCTGCCAATGGCCCGGCACAGGTACAACATTCCTTTGCGCCTTGATCTGCACCAACAATCGCGGATCGGCCGAAGAAACATCTTGCCATTCAACGACGTCAGGTATTTTGACCAAAGCCTTCAACTCGGCGATAGAAAGTTTGTTGAGTTGTTTTCGCTTCTTCTTGGACAGTTTTGTCTGTCCTGTGGCCTCCTCATCCTCACTGGGAATGTCGTCCTGGTCCCAAATAACCTCGCCCTGGTTTCCAGCGTTGGCTTCCTTGGCAACTTCGTCTTCTTCTAATGACGCGCCGAACTTTTGGAAAATGTCTTTGTACATCGCAAACGCCTCATCGTCGTCGGGAGAAATGTCGTCGACCGGGCCATCAGCTTCGGCCTTGACGCTGGTTTCGGCATCCTTCTTAACATCGAGGTCCCCAGCGGGCTTCTCCTGATTTTCTACATTTTCCGGCTTCTCCTCATCGTTGGTCTCGGTGGGCTGCGTGGTGGTCTGGTCGCCGTTAGTATCGCGAGTACATAAGAATCGAGCAAGAGCGCGTACCTCTGCCTGGGCTTTCTTCTGCTCCTTCTTCTTTGCTCGGCGCATTTGATTCTTGGTCATCTTTGGGGCCGCCATTTTGAATCAAGTTGCGCGGCAGTGCTGAACGATTTGGGTGCGGCTTGGGTAACGACGTATGCGAGAACTGCGAAGGTAAGGAATCGTCTAGGGTCTCGGCGAGGTCGCATGCTTTTCTTTCGCAACACGAAGAAATCAAGTTGTCGCCAGCGCACGCGGCGTGTAGATCGATCAAGCCCGGATCGCAAATCGATGTCAGACGGGGTTTTGTCGAAGGCGAATTGTGAACAAGTCCACTGAGGCCTGGAGGCGATTGGCGATGCGTGACAGCCGCGCCAAACTTTTGGAGGCTGAACAATGATAAGGTGGGTCCTCGACTCTGCATCGACCTCCGGTACGTACCGAATGGGTTTGACTTCCGCCGCATGGAATTGGAGCTCTGGCTCGCCGGGTCTATCGGACAAGGATGATGTTCGGAATACCGCAAAATGTTTAATCCAGCTGCACCACCACTGCCATCACGCAGGTGTCAGTTGGTCACTCAGCGGGTTTAGTGGGCTTAGTGGCCTTGGTGGGCTTCCGTGGGGGCATGTTTGCCCCTGGCTATGCAGGGATGACAGCCACTGAAAACAGCCATTCGCAGGTGCTGACGCTACACCGTGGTGATTCTGATTGATTGAGATGAGGACAGCTTCCCCAATACGGATACGGAGTCGATATCGCTTTGGGGTCTCGAGACTTTTTACACGAGCAGACAGTCGCTACTCCCTCCACCATCACAGCGCCCATCTGATTTCTCTCGACTCTATGCGACTCTAGAGACAATGCTTCAACTCTTGCAGCTCTAAACTTTCTTCGCGCATAATTGCCGGATCTGTCGCTCGTTTACAACAACTCAAGGCCCAGGTATCATTAATTTAAAAGCCTTTTTTTCGCATTATCAGCGGCCTGGGTTGGGTCCCTCGATACCAGAGTATGTCCCCGCCAAATTTCCCTAACTGTTCGCGTCATGGCTCGCTCCACAATGTCCGTCTCCTCGATACAAACCTCTTCTGACTATCGATCGCAGCATTCCACCAGAAGATCGAGCGCCAACAACAGCAGCGTCTCTTCTGCCAGAGGCAGCATGGAGAAATTCCCCGATCACATCGATTCACACCTCACCAATGGTAGCTCGAGGTCGACAAGCCCCGGGAAGACCAACGGTTACGCGCTCCCAGGAGCATCCACCGGCGGTGACCGCTGGCAGCCGAGGAAAGACAGCATTCAGGGTCGCGCCGCTAGATGGGGCGCATCAGGACAGCCGGCGACCCGCTATGGCCATGGCAGACAAAAGAGTCTTGGCGATGCCATTCACAACATAAGGACGAGAGGCGGAAGCGTCAGCCAAAACGCCCACGAGATCGCCGATGCGCTGCGGGCCCCTGTCTCTCCTAGGCTGATTGTGAGTGATTCAAACACAGTTTGATCCTGGTGCTGGCGCTGACAGTCGCATTATAGGTGCTCTGCGTTCTCTGGTACACCTCGTCAGCTCTCACCAACACCTCTTCAAAATCAATCCTCACTGCGTTCGACAAACCTGCGACGCTGACATTGATTCAATTCGCCTTCGTGGCGACGTATTGTATCCTCTTCGCCTGGCTGGCCAACATTTTCCCGAACCTCAAAACGACGATACCAGCACTTAAGCATGGAATTCGCTACCCCTCCCGCGATGTCATTAAGACGACGATGCCCCTCGCAGCGTTCCAGATCTTTGGGCACTTACTAAGCTCAACGGCGACGTCCAAGATTCCTGTTTCGCTTGTCCACACCATCAAGGGCCTCTCCCCCCTGTTCACGGTTCTTGCCTACCGACTCATTTTCAACATTCGGTATTCAGTAAATACTTATTTGTCACTGGTGCCTTTGACTCTCGGTGTTATGCTGGCATGCTCAGGCAAGCACAACAAGTACAGCGGCGAGCTGTTGGGCATATTATATGCGCTCCTGGCCACCATCATCTTTGTGACGCAAAATATCTTCTCGAAGCGTCTCTTCAATGAGGCTGCCAAGGCGGAGGCCGAGGGTATGTCGGCCAGGTCTCAAAAGCTTGACAAGCTGAACTTGCTCTGCTACTCATCTGGCATGGCTTTCGTGCTGACCGTGCCTATCTGGTTCTGGAGCGAGGGAACTGGCATTATCCGTGATGTTCTCCACGATGGCGCAGTTGATCTGAATGAGAAGGCCGGATCCTTTGATCACGGTCGTCTGACTATGGAGTTTATCTTCAACGGCACCTTCCATTTTGGACAAAACATTCTTGCTTTTGTTCTGTTGTCACTTGTGTCTCCAGTGACATATTCAGTGGCCAGTCTGATCAAGCGCGTCTTCGTCATTGTCATCGCCATTATCTGGTTCCGGAACCAGACGACTTTTCTTCAGGGAGTTGGTATTGCCTTGACCTTTGTCGGCCTCTACCTTTATGACCGGACCCACGACCGAGACAAAGCAGATCGTAAGGCCAATCTGATGGAGGGCAAGCAGGAACCCCTTCTGCCCTTGAACACCAAAGAAGCTTTGAACAAAAGCCAAAATGCGCCGGTCTTTGAGAGCCCCATGCTGTCCGCTGGAGCCTTCCAGTCATACAGCAATGGACACTCGCCGCATGGCGATGACGGCAAAAAGTCAGACGGGCCGAGTAATGGTCGGTCCCGTGGTGGTAGCAACGCCGCCTGGCTCGCTCCAGGTACGAAGCAAGAAGACACTTGGCGGCTTGGAGACCGACAGGCTGGCATGTAAAGCTATGTATTGTTTTTGTGTTTGATTTCCAGGACTTTCAATGTATTATCACGATAAGCGCAAATCACAGGATGGGCAAACAACGAGGTGGATGAACAAAACACACAAAATCACATGCTCTGTATGGTTTGAAATGTAACGGAGTACGCCTGCGCGGGGTATAGACTACACCCGCGGTTGCATTGAGTGAGGTCACCCTCCAGAATCCAGACTGACAGGCAAAAGGGCAATGCGCATGTGGGAGTGGTGGAAGAGGAGGAGGGTATGGTATATAGATGGCTCTGGCGTTCGGGTCATGGCGCTTTCTTTGGGTTCCGACGGTTCCGCGGCCACATCGCTTACATAGGATGGACTGAACTCCCCGACTGTGCGATTCGATTCGAGGTGTCAAAATTACAGGCGATACGATAAGTGGGCAGATACCCGCGGGAGAAACAACGAACGCATGTTTGGTCTGGAACTACTATGCTGTAATGTATCGTGATTGAGAAAAAGAAAATGGATATCCAATATTTCATATTAACATACGTATACATCATGAACTATGTGCGCTTAGTCAACAAGCCATTCCTCTACTTCGATGCCAAGGCTTCTTCCCACGCCTCTGACGACGTCCCATCCTGCATTGATCCTCCATTTGCCGCCCCTGTCCATCGGGTCTCCGGCCGTGCCAACCTTCATCAACAGTCTCAAGCTGGCCAGTGTTGAGATGGCCATGCCGACGTCCCCGTCCACCACACCCCCGCTACTTAACATGCTATCGGCAGCCCACTCGCTACGCAATGCCGCAAATATCGCCAGCATGCGCTCCAGGACGAAGGCGTGGGCACCGAGAAGTTTCCGCGAGATCTTGCGGTGCTTGCTAGGGCGACCACGCTTCGGTGCCACGAAGCCGCCGCCACGACGTTTGCGGCGGCCGTGATGGAAGGTCGAAAAGACGGTCAAGTCATGCCGCGCAGCGTTGTGAGAGGCCAAATAGGCCGCAAGTAGTAACAAGCGGGCTGTGGTGGGCAGCAAGGTTGTCAGTTCGGTGGTAGCAGAAGCACCAGTTGCCTGTTGAGAAGCCGCATGCCTGGAGGGCGTGCCTGGTGGTCCATTGCCATTCGCGGCGGCGCCCGAGATAGCAGCACCAGGCTTAATAGCCACAAGGCTTGGGTTCAGAAGCGTCTCATCCTGGAAGTGCACGCGGGATGCAATGAGGAGCTTGGAGAACTCGCGCGGGCCATGCGTTCTCGCCAGTATTGGTGCCACGAAACGCGGCCAGAGGGCCTCGCAGCTGTGCCGGCACGAGGGCAAAGTTCGTGCGGCCGAGTTTGTGAGCGCATCGCATACGGCACCGCAGAAGCGAGTCCAGAGGAAATTTGTGTCATCTTGCGTCGTAGTTGGGGTCGGCGGCGGGGGAGAGGCGGACAGAATCTTAACGAATTCTTGTTTCGTGTAGTTTGGAAACTGAATGTGAGGTGCGAGGGGAGATCGGAGGAAGGAGGGAGAGGGGGCGGTGACGATGAAGACGCAGGTCAGGCATGGTATCTGGTTTGCGGTGTCAGCAGCGTAGGCAACAAGGAAGAGGTTAAAATAACTGACTATTTCGGACAACCTCGCCAATGCGGGAAGTAGAGTCGGAGGTGCGTCTCTCTGGCGGTCAATTGAGTCGAAGACAAGCACTAGTCTCCAGCCTTCAGGTCTCTGGGTGTACTTCAGCATTTTGCAGAGCTCAACTGTCAGTTGCGCCAGCGTTTCACAATTCTTGGGCGGTGATTCCCAGTTTATAGCATCTGCAACAGCGCCCACGGCCCGCTCGAAAAGATGTCGACCGGTGATACATTGTATTGAGTTGACGATCGCGTACTTGAGAGAGGATTCGTCTTGAGAGCTGTTGTCGACGTTTTCGCTGAGGCTGAGCAGGAGGGACTCAACGACGGCGGACTTCCCGGTGGCTTCCGTGCCGTATATCACAAGGTTCTGGCAAGGTACTGCCACTGGCTATAGTAATTGTTAGTATTTGATCCAAACAAAGCTGGAGGAAAGCGCATCATGGAAGTACTTGCGTGGAGGAGAGTAGCGAGAGACCGAATCTGAAGTTCGCGACAGGGATAGCGCTCAAACAAAGGAGAAAGAAGAAGCTCTTCTGGGAGCTGAAAAAGTGACCCCATTTCGATTGGGGCTGCTTCCCGCCACCTCGACTTTGCGATTCCAGTAGCTATCACGGGCACTTGTCCGGAAGAAACAATCGGAGTATCGGCCGAGAAGAGGGTCAACCAGTCGCGTTACGTTAAGTTGGAAGAACCAGTCATAAACGCGAAGTCATGTGACTCGGCACCCTTCCGTCAGCAACGGAGGAACGGTCCATCTCTGCCGCCTTCGGGGAAAGCTCTGACCAAGCCCGTGATGGGGCCCAAGCGCTTACGCCGATGTACCCACCAGCTTCTAGGCCCAGTGGCCGCGCCCGCACCTTAGCGTCCAAAAGGTCAAACGTGCTCGAATCCAAATCAAATTCCCCAATAAGAATTACCGGTCAGGGAGGAGGCAGGGCGGGAGGCGCAGGCGTTTGTGCCATTTGGGGATGTGCAAATCAGGCTGCCAAATGCTGGCTGCGTCAGCCACTTACCCGTCCTTTTCCTGCACAAGGTTGTTTGTCCACGTACACATATATGGAATACGTGTGATCAATCTAGGATGTTTGCCTGCGTCGTCCTGAACTTGGCTCGTCTTAGTCATTTCTTGGCTTTTGTCACCTTGTAATAACCATATTCTGTCGACAGGATTCGCCTGCTTTGCCTGCATACTCGCCCACATAATAGCTCACCCCGACGCTCTACCGCCCGGTCTCTCTGGTTGAACCCAGCTCAAGTGGGGTCACCATTTGATACACGCATTGTGGCAGTGAACCAACGGAATCCAGCTGGACAACGATTTGAATTGTTCGCGAGGCTTCGCGTCTACCACGTCCATCAAAATCGTTTCGATTGGTACTCGGCAGTTCTCAGTTGCAACTTACCTGATCAAACAAAGTTGACCATTGACTTGTCGCCCAGCTAATCAGCGCAGCCGAGGGCGTTTTTGACGGCTTCGTCTGATCGCTGGACGTCTCATTCCGTCAGCAACGTCACCCGCTCACGGAGCTTTGTTTCAACTCGACGAGGTCGTCGTTGACAGCGTCCCTTGGGAGAGAGAAAAAAAGGGTCCGAGCATTCCTCCCAACGTCTGACTTCACGCCATTGCAACAACATTCGTTGCCACTACCGGAGCCTTTTCCTCTTACATCCTCATCCCCAAAATCATCCATCTATCCCCACGGCGTTATCCACCGTGAGGCAAGGTCACCAGCCCTCCCAAGAGAGCCTGTCATCGGACATAGCGCAGCAGCCAAGGCCTCAATGACACAATGACCATTATCTCAAGTGCCGGACAAATGGTCGCCGATACCGCCGCCAAACCAACTTCTCCGCCAGAGGATAAGCCGTACCACTCAAAACGGCCTCACAAGAAGTCGAGGACGGGTTGTAGAAACTGTAAAACACGCAAGGTCAAGTGCGATGAGGCGCGTCCAACATGTCGCAACTGCGTGCTCCGCAAGGCCGAGTGTGTCTACCCCGGACCGTCCCACTCCCATGCCGATCACACCCCGGGATCGCCTTCATCTTCCTCTGGCTCAACCTCATCTCGCGCTCACACGCCGGGGCATAGTGGTGATGAAGACTTCAACGCGCTGGTCGTCAAGGAGCCCCTGTACCTCCCTTCCAACCACCACGATGCTACTGACATGAAATTGTTATGGTTCTACACCACAAATACCTTCACATCATTCGCTACCCAAGCGGGAAGAGTGAAGCGGATTGATGACATCTTAAGAGTCAAGATCCCTTCCCATGCGTTTGAGAGCCCATTTCTGATGGACTGTCTATTGGGTACTTCGGCCCTTCAGCTGCAGCACCTCAAACAAGATATCGCGCCGTCGCGCGCTCTCCGCTATCGGGCCCGCGCCTTCGAGGGTTACCGTAAAGCCGTCGAGGAGTTTAAGCCCGAGACGTTCCCTGCTCTCATTGCAACTTCACTACTCCTGACTGCCTTATCATCTCAAATGTTCCGTGAGGCCGGCACAAAGGAGCTCTATATCATCGACTGGATGATAGTCTGGCGCGGGATCGGTCTCATGATCGACATGGCCACGCCGCAGACCGTCTGGGACTCGGGCATGGCCGAGCTCTTCTTCCGGCCGCCCATCGACCTCGATAAGGCCGCTCTGCACATTCCCAACAACCTGCTTTTCATGATCTCCTCAATCCGTCCCGGGGACCCAGACTTCGAAGACGTGTCCACCTACTACGACACGCTCAAGTACCTCGGCTCGCTCTACTCGGAGCTGATCCACGGCTTCGGGCCCATCATGACCCTACGTGTCGTGACGTGGTTCACCTTCATCCCCAAGGGCTTCGTCGAGCTGGGTCGGCAGAAGAGGCCCCGCGCGCTAGTCATCCTGGCGCATTATCTAATGTTCATGAAAGCCGTCCAGAACTTGTGGTGGATCGACGGCATCGCCGATCGTGAGATCGCGGGAATCTCCAGCCACCTCGGAGAGACATGGTCCAACGAGCTCGCCGCGCCCCGCCTGGCCCTTCTCCTCAACGACCGTACAGACGTCGCGCGTCTGCTACTGAATGACCCAGAATGGCAGTCGCCCATCGACTTCTTCAGCGAACCCACGCGGGATCCGAGGGCGGAGGCGCTCACGTGGGTCGACGACAGCGGCAAACGGTCCAGGTCTATGCCCAAACACGTGGGCGCCTTGTACCCTTGCGACCCTGCTCCAAGGACGACACCCTGGGAGGATGAGGGTTTTCATCCCGACCCGTTGATACTTTCTGCACCGAACAGGGACTACGCCGGTGCGGTGTTGGGAACCATCGATTTGGGTATTCAGGATATGGACATGTCCAGGTAGCAACGTCTATTGCCTCTGGCGGGGTGGGAGAAGGGATACGCGGGGCGGCGTTTGGTAAAATACCCAGTTCAATACTTTTATGGCCTGCAGCGATTTACACCAAATTATCGACCAGAGAATAATCCGTAGTTTGGATAGAGATAAATTAGTCCAGTTACTTATGCTCAATGATACACAGTTCGTCAGTAGCTCTAAGGTAACTCACAGGAAAACCTGGCATCGAGAGGTACCAATCATCGACATGACATTGAAACTGAGGTAGCCATTCCATGTTATAAGCTGGTCCGAAAGAAGAAGCAGTAGCAGTGCTTACGTAGTCCAATGTAGCAAGAGAGAGCCCTCTCAACCGTTGCTGTAGCCCGCTAAAGCTATGTGGCTCTGACAACAGTTTCTTCGCAGCAGGCTAGTTCTGTCTCGGTATGCTGCCTATGCCACTTACATTCTTAATTCAAGCAACATTCACAGCTCAAGAGGTTAAAGAGTAACAGAAGACTTCATATTTAGAGAGCTAAGAAAGTAGTAACAGATTGGCCATAGTAAAAGAAAGAAGCTAGGAAATACAGAACTAAAGAAGAAAGGCATAGCCACACATTTTACGCCAGATTATCAGCAGTCTTGCTTTCCTCCAAGTTGAGTCTATACGCGCGAAACTTATGATTAGCTTCATGGTCCATCATGCTGTTTGAATACAATCTAGCATCGCACCCTGGCCAACGGCATTCAATCCTCACATCTCGCGGTCCTGGAACGTAAGCTGCAGCGTCTGGGTGCTCCTTATTTCTATGGTTAATAAGATCTTTCTCCCGAGCGTAGCCTTTGGCGCCAGTCTTGTTACAACCAGCAACGGTGCAAGGATACGGGGTGAAGTCGTGAACCGTCTTCATATGTTTTGTGTACTCGGCCTGTGTGTTGAAAGGTTTGTTTCGATTCTGTTCTTCCTCACTCATGTGTTTAAAAGACTCATCCTGGTGTGAGGAACAGCGAGGATGAGGACACACGGGCGGAACTTGGTACTTGCCGCGCCGAGAAGGGAGAATATCACCAATCTTTTCTTCCGCTTCGAACTTGTGGTATCCTCTAATATGCTGTAGTAGGTGGTCTCTTCTTCTGAATCCATTATTGCCGCGATGCCGTTTACAGAACTGGCAGGGGTACTTGGGCATGTCGTTTCCAAGAGAATCGAGGTGTCGGTTGAGGACGTCAAGTCGAGCGAACTTCTTGCCGCAAACACAAGCAAATGGGCTGTGCTGTGCCTCGTTGGCGTGTCTTTCGAGTCCCGCCTTGTAGGGAAAACTCTCCATACACTCTACGCAAGCAAACGGATGCTCGGTCTCTACCCGGCCGTGGTTCTGGAGGTGAGGCCTCCGGTGATGGGCATCCCGTTCGCCAATGGTCACGAATCTCTCGTCACAACCAGTCACTTTGCATCTGTATGCCTTGTGCCGAAATCCCCGGGCGTGCCATTCTAGGGCGAAACCATATATGACCTGCTCGCCACATTCTGCACACTTAGACTGCCGGTATGACGCTGCGGTGTTGGTAGACGGAGGAAGGGTTTGTGGTAAGGACGAAGCCGGGGAATCAGACAGTGCATAGGAATTGTAATCACTTTTTCCAATAGGCATTGGGAAGGAGACATTTCCAGTAAGAGGATTTCTGTACAGAATGAGCTATGGCAATAGCCAATCAGATATAAATGAGGCTGACTTACAAGTGGTCTGTGCCAGTTTCAAAAGACATGTCCCACGACCTGACACCCTTTTTGTTAGCAAGCGGTAAAAAAAAAAACTCTCACGATTCCGGGCCTTCTGCAGGGCTGAAAACGCCAACGCCGGCGTGGTTGACAGCATAGCCAATGGGGTCGAGCAGTTCTGCCCAACTCATGTCGGCCACGTTGACGGGATTGTCCAGCTCAGCAAGGAACTTGTCGAATTCGGTAGGGGTGAGGTTGTCAGACATGGTGGCGGAAGGTAAGGTGGTTGAGGTGCGTTGAAGCGGCGATGGAAAATCAGGCTGCGAGGAGCTGGATGCTGGGGGGAAAGTGACGATCGAGACGTAGAAGCTGTTGGTCTCGGGCAAGGAACGAGGAAGGGGACGCGCCATGCTTATCTCTTGGCCGGAGGGTTATGTCGCTGCTTTACCACTTCTCCCATGAGCATGTATAAAAGCTGGTTAAGGCGGCATATCTTGGCGTGTAACGTTGATGAGAGATGAGAGTCGTGATAGGCTATAGAGCCAAGCCGCCTTCCGCCCTATTTGTCTGGACGGTGAACTGACACCCTTTTTGTGTGCATTTCAAACGACACTATAGAAAAAGTAGCTGCAAGTGAACGAAAAAGGAACCGCCTGTCACGGTCTGGTCCCTATTGGTTGGCAATCTCTACTTTGGGTTGCTCTGGTTTCTGGGATTACCAGTTCACAGACACATGAGCGAGAAACCAGCGCTGGAAACACTACTATAATTACTCAAAAAAATACTTATGAATTTTCCATAATAATAGACCTTAAAACACGAGACCATTCGGACACTCGGGTGTCTGCTTGAGTACCTGCATGACCTCCTCGCCCCAAAGGGCCCAGCAGGAGCAGCACAAGCGCAAACCCCATTAACACCCGAGGTCTAACCTGAAGACCAACGCCCGTTTTTCAACCTCCAAAGCCCAAAAGTCCCTCTGCCTTCACATAGTAGACTGCCAACAAGAAGACCCTAAATGGCGTTTTTGGCGTAACAAGCCAAGGGCCCAAACTTGTTCTCCGTGGCATCCCACCACGTAGCTCCAACCATCGCCGGCTCGCAGCCCATGCTGACTTCAAATTTCCAGGAAAGCTTACCCCGCTCAGTCTCAGAGCACTCATAGTCATGTGGCCCCAGACCTGGAAAAATGGGAAAGACGATTCGGTTAGTGAACAAGGAGCAAGAACAAGAATGAAATTTGGGTTTGCACCAAAACTTACACATGAAAAACTGCCTGAGGTTTTCCCGGAGACTTCTGCAGACTTTGGAGACGTTGTCAACGTTCTCTGCGGTGATCTCGTAGGTCATCATGAAGACAAAGGGACTAGTCGGCGACACGAAGCAGGAAGTCCGCATTTTCTTCTCGTCGTCTCGACGGAGATTTTGACGCATGTCGAGATCTGCGTGACCAGTCGGACTCAGGGTCTTTTCGCTGGAGATGGTTGGTTCGGGGTTAGAGGTCGAGACGAGAGTGGCAGGCACGCCGTCCGGTCCAAATGGCTTCAACACGGGGGTTCCAAATGCTCCTGCAGCTAGGGCAAGGAGAGAGACTGTAGTGAACTTCATGTTTGCTGGATGTTGTGTTGCGAAGATGGTATCAGATGATTGTAGGTATGGTAGCTGTATCCTGAGTATCACCTTTGAGATGTGAATGAACAAGAAAGTAGATGATTTGCAAATCACATCGTCGACTTTATAATGTTTAACATTTTCTGGTGGACGTCTCCGTTGACCTAACGGAGTTTACTTGAGTCTTTGAGCCAAATTCCAGTTGAAGCTTAACCGTGGCCCAGCAGAATTTTGAAGGCTATGCTGTACAGATGCAACCCGGTTGACTAGCTGGGTCCCCAACGCAAGGGCAGCTATGAACAGAAGTATCCAACCCTGCAGGGTTCTTCTGTTTGTTGTGGATATTGACATGCGCGGTGTAAAACTGCTTTCAGGGAGAGCCAAGTTGAGAGCAGAACATTGAAAATGGGGCAAGTCGTTATTCTTGGGGTTTACATTGCCGACAGTATCACAGAGAGGACGAATAAAAATTTGGAACCGTGAGTAAGAATCGAATTCAATCAATCTAAAAGAGCCAATAAACGATACGTCATCAATAGCATTAAAAAACAAAACTCCAATAGAAACATGCAATGTCGTTTGCTTCCCTTTTCCGCGGAAGCCACTCATCCAACCGTGATATCTTTACCAACAATCTCGCAAGGAAAAACCCCAGCCATGTTAGCACACTATACAATCCACCTACTGCTCAAACAAACGGGCCCCGGGGTTGCCCAAGAGGACCTCAAATGTCTTCTCAATCTTGTCCAACAGCTCCTTGGCGTGTCCTGCCCACGACTCAAACGTCACAATCTCAATGGTCAACTTGTCTCCCTGGGGGAACGCCTGGATCTTCCACTCGCGCAAAGGCTCCTGGTGCGGGTAGATAGTCTCCATTCTGCTGCTCGCCGACGAGAAGCCGAGCGTCTCGACGTGCTCGACATCCTGGTGGACCACAGTGTCGAACCAGTCAACAGAGGCGGGCCAGTCAGTGCAAAGCTTCGCAATCTCCTTGAGGCCAATGCCCTCGTGGGCCGAGCTGGAGATGTGCTGCTCCTGCACAAGATTGAGCAGGTCAATCACCGTCCAGTCATCCTCAAACTTGACACGGACAGGCACGTATTGCCAGCAGGGGCCGACAACCATGTCGGCGTTGGGGAAATCGATGTTACGGCCGCTGACAACCTCGCCAAAGGTGACATCCCTGGTGTCGAGGAGACGGGCGAGGGTAAGAGCCCAGGCGGCAGTGGGAAGAGTCGCAATGGTCACGTCCTTGGAGCGCGACGAGATGTCAAAGGTTCTGTCGATGGCATAATGCTGTCTCTGGGTCACTGGGGTATCGGGCTTGAGGACGGAGACAGACGAGCCTTGGAGGAGCTCCTTCCAATAGTCGATGCTCTGAGGGATGTTGGACTTGACCACGTGGCTGACGAAGGAAGAGAAGGGAAGAGACTTGGGCACCGGCTTGCCCTCGTGCAGGGCGGAAAGCTGATGGAGCATCAGGGGCAGGCAGATCTCGTCATACTGCGCGTGAGAGACGCGGAAGATCAGGGCTGATTGGCCGTTGGTGCTGTGAACAAAGAACCACTTGACAAAGACGGAGCCGAGCGGCATCCGCGTCTGAACATCGAGGTTGCAAAGATGCTTGGTGAAGGTCTCGACATCACTGTCAATCTCGTACTCCTCCACGGGAGTCTTCACGTCTTCGAGAACAACGCTCACGCAGGTGCCATTGTGTTGGACGAACACTGACCGGAGCACCTCGTTCCGAGAAACCAATTCTTGGCAGCTTTGGAACAGACGTGGGCGGTCAACGTCGCTCTCAAAGTACATGGCCTCGTAACGTGCAGAGAATCTTGGGATCTCAATGGTTCCCTTGACAGCAACCTCTTGCAGCGGCCTTGCTGGGAAAGCATCCACAATCTTCCATGATTGGTCTGCCAGCAAGGGGCGTAGACTTTCAACCACGTCGGTGCCAGCGTTCTCTAGCAGCTCGAAAGGCACGATGGCCTTGGTCGATTCTTCAGAGTCTTGTGTAGGCTCTGAATCCTGGAGAACAGACGCCATGTCATATAACGTCCGCTTCGAGAAGACCTGATTGACGGTAAGGGTGAAACCAGCCAGGCGAGCTTCGGAGACGAGCTTCATAGCCCCTATTGAGTCACCACCCAGTCTGAAGAAGCTGTCGTTGAGGCCAATATCACTCTCGGCGAGCTTGAGCACGCGGCTCCAAAGAGTCCGCAGGCGTCTCTGCTTGGAAGATGTAGCAGAGATGCGCTTCGTGGGAGCCTTGGGGGCAGTGGTAGCCTTCTGAACCAGATCGCTCTTCTTGCCGGCATATTGAATGGTTCCATCCGGGTTGAACTTGGCAAGTCGATCCGTCTTGTAGAACCTAGCTCCATCTTTGCTCTCTGTCCAGGGGGCATGATCAAGCGTAGAAAGTGCCAGCTCAGCTTTGCTGACGATAACTAGCTCACCCACAACACCTGGGGGCGCGAGACGTCCAGCATCGCTGGAGTTGATAATCCATGCAGCCTCGGCTTCAGGGTATTCTGCCTGTACGTTTTTCAGGCTCTCAGTGCTCAAGCGAGACACCTCAGCCTGGTCCTCTTGCGTGAGGTACTTAACATCAGCAAGCGGCGTGTCGGTAAGCTGGCACATCTGTTGTGCCACTTGGGAGAATTGGGCCAGAGCCTTCTCCATCAAAGGCTTTCCAACGGTCTTGGAGTCGAAGCTGGCCATTACCAAGAATCCCTTGGGATCCGTAGAGCAGACAAGCATCAGAGCGTAGGTGTTGAACTTGAGAGCCTCCTGCGCAGCTTCCGCATCACCGGCAGGAACAAGTCGATTCGCAGGGTACTTGTTGAACTCCTCCTGATCGACGCCGTCGGCGCTAGGGTGAAGAACGATACCGGTGCGGAGCTCGCAAGCTTCAAGAGCGTCGGGACTCAGACGGCGGATGTGTTGAAGACCAGTGTGCTCGTAAGGGATTTGCTGGACGGTCTGGTCCTGGATGTCGTGCAGGAAGTCGCTGACGGTAGTTTCACCGTTGACTTGGACTCTGAAGGGGACAGTGGTAATCATCGGGCCCTCAATCTCATCGGCGCCCCTGATGGGAGCGTTGCGTCCAGTGAGCGTCTCGCCGAAGACGACATCGGATGATGCAGTGTAGTGAGACGCGACGTAGGCCCACGCACCGCGGATGACAGTGGCAACCGTAGTGTTGGAAGCAGGTCTGCCAGTCAAAGGAACGTAGACCTCGAGCAAAGAGTCAGCCTGAGTTTGATAACCAGGGTACGGCAGGGCGGGGAATTGAGTGCCTGTCGCGCCCTGAAGCTGATCGCGCCAGTAAGTTTCGGCAGCGGCTCGGTCCATGGTGTTGAGGTACTTGATGAAGTCTTTGAACTCGGCAGGACGCTGAACTCTCTGACCGTCGAAAGCCTTGTTGACCTTGTCGACGACCAAAGGCATGGACCAACCGTCATAGAGAGCGTGATGCATTGTCAGCACAAAGTGAACCTTGCCAGTCTCCTTCTCGGTGATGAGAGCGTAACGAACGAGGGGCTTGCCGAGGTCAGTGGCTTCGTCTCGGTCCTTGATAAGGTAGCTCTGCAGATCGTCGCCAATGTACCAGGGAATGTCCTCCTTTACGACAACTTGAGCGAGACCGCGACCAGGAACTTGGACAATTCTAGTGCGTAGGATAGGGCAGTCTGCAGCCGCGATGTCGAAGGCCTTACGAAGCTTTTCAGCAGTCTCCGCATCAGGAAGGTCAACGACTCTTTGGGCCACATAAGCCTCCTTGACCTTAGCTGAGAGGGCCATGAGTCCCTCCTGAAGAGGCGTGCAAGGGTAGATATCCTCGATCGTAGACTCGTCGATGCCGCACAGTTTGGCAGATTCGATGCGGGCCTCCTCAGGGGTCCACCCTTCCTCAAGCAGGGAGAAAGGTGCGATAGTAGCATCATCATCCTTGGAAGCCTTGGTTGCGTTCAGTGCCATTTCCTTGAGCGTGGGGAAGTTGAAAATGGTCGCGACAGTAAGGACAATGCCCTCCTCTCTGGCGGCAGCAACCAACTTCATGGCCTTGAGGGAGTCACCGCCGAGAGCGAAGAAGCTGTCATGGAGACCGATAGGGGCATCGCTGCCGAGAAGCTTGGCCCAGACCTGCTGCAAAGCCTTCTCCATCTCAGTCTCAGGCTCGCTCTTCTCAGTGGGGGCGACACGGAGACGTGCAACCTGCTCTCGTGTCATCGAGGCACCAAGCTCACGCAACTTCTTGCGATCGATCTTTCCGGAAACGAGAGACGGCATCTTACGAAGGGGAATGTAGGCAGAGGGGACCATATAGCGAGGGATTTCAGCTCCAAGGGCAACGTCGATCTCGGCGATGGCCTGGCTGAACTCGGGCGAGAAGACGGTGACATCGCCCTCGGTGTCTGGAGAATCGACGGGGTTTTGCTCGACGATAAAGGCGACAAGGGTAGGCTCGCTGCCGCCGGGCTTGATGACCTCTGCCACAATCTTGATACCCGAGGGCATCTTACCCCTGAGGTGGTGCTCTACCTCAGCCAGCTCGATTCTCTGGCCACGGAGCTTGACTTGCTGGTCCTTGCGGCCGACGAAGGCAATAGAACCGGTTCCATCAGGGTCGTAACGAACCAGGTCACCAGTCTTGTAAAGGCGGCCATGTCTACCCCGAGCGGGTCCGCCGCCGGCAACAAGCCAAGAGGGATCCTCGATGAAGACCTCGTCAGTCTTGGCTTTGTCGTTGAGGTATCCCAGTCCAACAACGGGGCCTTCAATAAGAAGCTCGCCCACAGCGCCAACAGGCATCAGACGCTCATGGTCATCGGGGTCAACGATCCAAGTGAGACCACCAACGCCCTTGCCGATGTTGGTAGAGGCCTTGACGTTGTTGTTGATGGTGCAGCCAACAGTGCATTCTGAGGGACCGTAGGCGATGATGACGCTCGTGGTCTTGCTCCATGTTGAAGCGTCGCCGGCGGATACGGCCTCACCTCCGAGACCAAGGACTTCAAGAGAAGGAATAATATCGGCATCCAGCACACGAGCGACGGAGGGGGTCATGTGTGCCATGTTGCACTTGCTATTACGGATAGCACCGCTGAGGTCATTCATGCGCTCCTCATCTGACGGGATACAGAGGCAGCCGCCAGCGGCATATGTGCAGAGCATGCAGTCGATGCTGACATCGAAAGCATATGATGCGAAATCAAAGCAGCGAGAATGCGCGCGGTATCCGACAGCGTCGCCACGAGGGACGGCACCACTGGTGAAGTTTTCATGGGAAATCATGACACCCTTAGGCTTTCCTGTGCTGCCGGAGGTGAACTGGATGTAGAGAGGAGATGAAGGAGGAACAAAAGGCAGCTCAGAGGCTAGCTCCAGGGAGTCGGATTTGATGACCTCTTCAGAAGCGATGATTACAGTTCCCTCGGGTGCAATACGACGTCCAAGCTCACTTTGAAGTTGCGACGTCACGACAATCGTTGCACCGGTCTGCTCAACGATGGTGCGGAGACGGGCCTCAGGCTGGCTAGGGTCGGTAAGCGCAAAGGCAGCGCCGGCCTTCATGACAGCCAAGAGAGCTACCGTTGTCCACCTTGACTTCTCAAAGCACATAGGCACTGTCGAGCCGACCTTGACCCCGCGGTGAACTAGATGACGCGCAAGGCGGGTAGAGAGTTGCTCTATCTCTCCGTAGGTGAAGTTTCCGTCCCAGGACTCGACCGCTGGCCTGTCGGGGCCGTTGGCGGCAACTTCTGAAATGATATCTTGAGTACATCTCTGAATATTCGGCGGAAGTTCGGCGTTCCATGTCCAGATCTGCTCAAGGTCTTTGGCGGTAGGTCCAACTGTGTCTCCAACGAGGCGTTCGGGCTTTTCCAAGATTGTAGTGAGGATCTCAACGAAGGCGTCGAGCTGGTAGATGGCATGACGGTAAGACAGGGCGGCCCGATTCCACTGAGCCTTGATCGCCATCTGGTTTTCAAGAATCGTCGCCTCGATCTGGTATGTCCACTGAAGCTACAGATCAGCATTGAAACGCGAAAGACTTGGGGGGTTATTGTTGCGGATTAGAGCTAGCAAGTCTACGTACGTCATGAGATCTCTTAGAGGGCGTCTTTTCAACGCCGCTTTGTGCAGGCGTCCCATTATTGAAGTAAATGACTGGGACCGTCTGCGCATCACCAATCTGCTCATTCACGTCGAGTTTCTTGATTGCCTGCAAAGCTTCGGCGACCGAGTTGCTGTTGTTGAATGGAGCTTCGCTAAGACTTAAGCTGTTGTGTGTGGTAGAGGACGGTTGCTGGTCATCCCCCGTTCTAAATCCCCAGTTGACACGGCTGAGACCGTCGTCGTTGTTGCGGTAGAGCACGAGCAGCCATGAGAGCAGAAGCTCAAGTGTGTAAGCGGCCACGCCGCTTTGTGCATCGTCGCGGGGCGTTATGGCAATGGACCTTGACGAGGATGGGTCAGTGGTGCCATTGATCAGGCCATTGAGGCCTTCTGTACGGTCAGTTTCTTGAAAGGCGGTGCCGCCGCCTTCGCCATCTCGCAAATGCATGGCTCGTCTTGTTTAGTTTCCGTAGATCGGAGGCGGGGGAGGGGCAACGAGCGTTATGAGGAAGGGCGAGATTGGACTTGCAGCATCTCACAAGCTGGCTAGAAAAGAACTTGAGCTGTAACAGTTTGGAGTTGATGTTTCTACTTTTCTGTGACGAGAACAATCGGCAGGGTGGGGAGCTACCCTTCTCGCGCGAAGTTCCTTCATGTGAACTACAAGAGGCTCTTATGTGCGTGCAATTCTGCAGCTCGTCGGGCCGCATCCTTGCATGCGTACAGGAGAGGTTACCAACTCTGCTGGATCAACGAACACCCCATGACCGGTACCGCGGCCGAGCTATGCCCCCCTCGAAAACCGAGCAGGTGAAAGGCGCAGACCAGGCCATTCATGTCTTGATGAAGGGCAGATGCGCGCCACAACGGCGTAAGGTCCCTAATCCATGAAGCTGTTCCGGGTGGGTAGGGTATGTACTGAGCTACACATGGCCGGCACGAACAAATGGACCTAACGATGCGGAACTATACCACCATGGTAGGTGATACCACTTTAGCGAGAGGACATCAGATGCGAATGAGTTGAGCACACCCTCGTAGTACCAATAGGGCAAGAGTTTCATGACGGGTCCCTTTGCACGAAGACGCCATCTCATCATACGTTGAAGGGGGAGGGGGGTGTGAAGAAGTCTGGACCAATGCTACCCTGCAGACAGGGACAGAAGAGGGAAGAGTACAGAGCGGTACCTGACCGGGGGTTTGAAGAACGGATCTGATTAGGAGCGCGCCAAGGGGCGTGTCCGCATGTGGGTCGGAGGCAAGGTCGGGGTCAGCGCCGTGCCTTGAAAGAAAATTTCTCTCGTCAATCAATACCTTGTGAGGTGCGCACAAAAGACACACCCGCTCGAATACACGGATCTGATAACTTTAACGGACTTCCATTGCCGGGGTGTGTGTGTGAGAGAGAGAGAGTGAGAGAGACACCAGAGTTGCCATTGCCTCATAGTTGTCTGGGCCGATGTGGGGGGACGGAGTTGCTCGTAGGGACACTAAGTAACGTAAAATACAACATGGACCCAGCGAGAAGCTGCTCAATGGGCCAGAAGTGTTTCAACAACCACAGCAACTTATTAAGCCGTGGGGAAGAGCCGTGTCTTGGATTGCGGCATTTCCTCGAGCCCCCTTCAAGGATTACACGTAATAGTAGGAAGTGCCGCGTCAACCATGAGTATTGGGCGAATCTAGGGCTCGGCAATTAAACCCGCTTCGAAGGGATTGCGGGACGGAAAGATCCAGTTTCTGAGGAAAAGTGTTTGAGCAGAGCGTCAGGCTAAATAGCCATACCACGCACAGTGATCGGAGAACGAGGTGGGATGCCGACCTTTTTGTTGCTGAGTCCGACGTATCACTTCGACGCATGAGATTTCTGTCGATGAGCATCGACCCTCCGTCTCAGAAAACAAGATTCAGACTCACTGCTTAGGAAAGCACGCTGCAGCCAGTACACTAAAGTTTAACCTAACCTCCTCGACGCCTTACCGACAGAAGCAATGGGACTTACCGTCTTACCCGCTTTAATTCCCGACATACCCAAAGTGTACGATGCGTACTTCGCGGCGTTCAAGGGGTCGGCGATACTCGATCTCCTATTCCCCTCAGGGATAGACGATGGTTTCCGCGAGGGCCACACAAAGCACACACTTAGCTACTGGCATACGAGCGGAACCCAGTACACGGTCAAGTGCGTCGACGCGGAGACTGGCGAGGTCGTGGGAATGGCCTTATGGGACGTTTTCCTCAAGGAGCGCACCCCTGAAGAGTACAAGAACCCCGGCGTCACCTGGCTCGAGGGTGAACAGAGAGAGAGGGCCGAGGAGTTGATCAACCCGATCTGTGACGCCAAAGCAAAGATTTGGGGTGGCAGGAGACATGTTTGTAAGTGGAACCCGTGTCTTTCCTTTCCTTCACAGCCCCAGTTTCTTCCTCGAGAGAATTTTCGGTGCCCCATTTTGCTCAACCTGCTAATGACACATGTTTTCCCCCCACGATGTAGACTGTCATGTTGTTGCAGTAAAGCCTGAGCACCAAAGACGTGGTGCTGGCGCACTTTTGACAAAATGGGGGCTTGACATGGCCGAGTTGGCGGGCTTGCCGGTTTACCTTGAGTCGTCAGAAGAAGGCTTCCCGCTTTACAAGCGGTTGGGTTTTGAGGTGCTGGACGAGAAGATTGTACACCGGGCTGGACTGGTGGGCACTGAGAAGGATGTTGAGGTTCCCTTGATGGTCAAGATGCCATCCTGTGCGAAAGGGCTGACTTTCAAGCAATGGCGGTCTCAAGGATACCCGCCGTTGAAGTAAGCAAGCGGCTTGGGTGCTTGGCTGGTAGCAATGTCGGTATGATAATACGTCGTTAGTGTGCCGAGCCACGATCAATCTGCAAGCCTGCAAGCCATTCTGCGAAGAAAAGGATCAAGTGCCTGGATTCTTTCCTTTCAAACCTTCGTGTTCTGTGCTTGTATATTACAGCGACATGGCATAGGCATACCCTTGCCTGCATGAAGGATAGGGTGCCCAGCCGACTGAATCGATGTGAGAAGGTAATGAATTCCAAAGTGGACTAAGGTCGGAACAGTGGGAGGGAGGGAGGGAGGGAGGGGGAGGGGGGTGTCCTCAGATGGCGTGAGAACGAGAACAAAAATACAAAGGTACTGGTACAGCCACCTGTCCCCTCTATGGAAGTGGACAGTAGTGGGTAAATGTGGACTATGCAACCTGACGTCTTGGGAAGAAGCGAGTTGATGTCGATCCATGGATTGGCGTGGAGTTTTGGGAAGGTCGCGGACGAAAACCGATTTCGGAGGGTGTGGAAGCGAGGGAGGTGAGGTAAAATATGGAAGGAGGGATGAACACCAAAGAGGGGCAACGCATGGTGGGGGGAGGAGAAGGAGAAGAAGAAAATTTTGCACAGAGAAACCGAAATGTTCCTTCCGTAATCTTATCTGATCCAAGATGTGATTGATTAGATCAAGTCCCGAACCTATCCGAATCGATGACAGGGGTGGGGTGGGACCATAACGCCAGAATATGGGGTCACACCTTTACTGACTGGTTGCACTTGGCCTGGTTACCAGGGGGGGGCCACGCAGGGGGCGGCGTCAAGGCGGCCATTTACCAATTTCATCCTACTTTCCATGCACGTACACATGTCATGGAATGTAGACGGACGACTTTCAAACGCACATCCTTGCCCAACTGTGCAGAGTACCATCAACTAACACGATAGATGGTCTCGATGGCTCATGGCCCATTACTCAACGCTACCGACCAGTAGTGCTAATGGCCAGTTTGGTCGCCCTACCTTGGCGCAAGCAGCTCCATAACGACTCGCAAAAGCCCCCCTCTGTACTCAACATGTACTCTCTGACGTGCGAAGCTGTTGCCGGTTCGGTTTAGGCCGAGCTGACTGCATGCATTGACTAAACGAACAAGTCTCGATTCCAAAGGCGCGCGAGTTCGCAGCCTCCCGCGTGGGGTGATGCTTTTTCTTGGGGACAGAGGCCGTAGAACCAGGAAAAGCCAAGCGCAGCCAGCCCAGTTCGGCGAAGTGGAGGACCCTCGCTCGCTTCTTGCTGGATCCAGATGATCCCCGAGGTCCGTTCCTCGGTACAGTGACGCAGATACAGGGCCCTGGACATGGATTGTCGACACACGCCAGTTATTTCTGCCATACGAACCCAAGCGGGCGGCAACACTGAAAGACGATCGCGAAGTCCCTCCTACTTTCCATAGACAAACCTAATCTGAAGGCGACGACGAACAACGACGACAAAATCTTGCTCTTGTAGAACCTTCAGCCGAGTATCCATCACCTACAACCGTCTTGCCATTGACACAATGGCCGTAGAACCGTCAACTACCCCCGTTTCAGAGCCTTTTGCTCCCACGCACAGACTGTCGATTCTTCACGGACCGCGAGACCCTCCTCTGGTCGACCTGAGCCTCGGCGAGCTTCTGGAGCTCCAGACATATCAGCATGGCACCAAAGAGTGTTTGGTGATTCCCTGGACCGGTGCAAGATGGACATACAATGAGCTCAACCAGCAGAGCTTGCTGCTCGCGCAGGCGCTTCTGAAGATGGGCATCAAGGCGGGAGACAGAGTGGGCGTGATGGCCGGTAACTGCGAGCAGTATGCATCCATCTTCTTCGCTGTGGCCAGAGTTGGTGCCATTCTTGTCATCCTGAACAACACATATACGCCTAGTGAGGCTATGTATGCTGTTCAATTCTCAGGTAGGTCTGGACAGGTGTGTGTTAGTAAAGTTTTTATGCTCACAGACACTTAGAATGCAAGATCCTCTTCACCACCAAGCAAATCGGCAGACTCGACAACCAGCCATTCTTGACTCAATTGGCCAATGAAGTGAACGCGCCCCAAGTCATCATGATCCGCGGTGACACCAGCGGTTACCAAACATACGATGAGCTCATCAAGTCGAGCTCACGGCAAAGCCCGAGGGAGCTGCACCTTGCCATGAGCAAGGTCGTTCCTCATCAAGTCTGCAACCTCCAGTTTACCAGCGGTACCACTGGCCGTCCCAAGGCTGCTATGCTTACCCATCAGTGAGATTCTGTGCTCCTAGACAAGACGAGAATGCCGCTAACATTTAACACAGCAATGTCGTCAACAACGCTCGCTTCATTGGCGACCGCATGAGGTTAACCCCCGATGACTGCCTCTGCTGCCCTCCTCCTCTGTTCCACTGCTTCGGTCTCGTTCTCGGCCTGCTCTCCGTCATCACCCATGGTGCCAAGATCGTCTACCCGGCGGAAACCTTCGATACACATGCTACCCTTAAGGCCATTCTCGAGGAGGACTGCACGGCGCTCCACGGCGTACCTGCCATGTTTGACTCTTTGTTCCAGGCAGCGCCAGACGATTTCAAGTCATCCAAGATCCGTACAGGTATCGTAGCTGGCGCTCCCGTGCCTCGTTATCTGATGGAACTCATGGTGAACCGCCTTGGCATGAAGGAGTTCACTAGCAGTTACGGTCTTACGGAGGCATCTCCCACCTGCTTCAACGCGTTCACCGACGACGCTCTGGGCAAGAGACTGACGACGGTTGGTACTCTGATGCCGCACGCCTCGGCCAAGATCGTCGACAGAGACGGCAATATCGTTCCCATGGGTGAACGCGGCGAGCTGTGCATGGCCGGTTACCAACTCCAGGCTGGATACTGGAACAACTCGGAGAAGACCAACGAGGTCATGGTCCGCGACTCTGCGGGCGTTTTGTGGTTGCACACTGGTGACGAGGCCGTCTTTGACGATGAGGGGTACTGCTCGATTACCGGCCGTTTCAAGGACATTATCATTCGAGGTTAGTTCAGACACTGATGCCAGCTCTGCTGCCGTATGGCCACATGCTAAATAACTGAACCAATTGTAGGTGGCGAGAATATTTACCCGCTCGAGATCGAGGAGCGTCTCATGGCCCATCCTTCCATCGCTCAGGCCATCGTCGTCGGTCTCAAGGACGAGCACTACGGCGAAGTTGTAGGCGCCTTCGTACGTCGCGCCGAGAACAGCGAGAAGCCGACGTTCCAAGAGCTCAAGGACTGGGTGCGTCAGCGTCTCGGCGGCCACAAGAGCCCTGCGCACATATTCTGGCTCGGCGAGGACGGTGTGCCTGGCAACGTGCCCCTAACGGGCAGCGGCAAGGTCCGCAAGTTCGAGATGGCCAAGGTCGGCGACGAGCTCCTCAAGAAGAGCAAGTTGTCCGCCAAGTTGTAATTTGTAAAGCGACTAGAGATGGAACGGGAGTGCATAGAGCGATACCATACAAAAATGCTTTTCTCTTTTTTCTTTTCTTTTTGGTGGCTTTCTTTTGGGCAAGACTTTGGATAAACGGAACGCCTGTTGTCAAATTTATCTCTCATAAAATCCGAACAGAGTTTTCTTATGCATCTGGATGGACCTTTGGAAAGCTTACTCTCCTTATGTGCAGATCTTCAGCTCCATGTGTATTGAAAGTTAAGACGGTCGCATCGGCCTTGACGCTCGAACGAGGCTTCATGGGGGAGTCCTGGCGACGTAAAAAAAAAATGCGGGGAATCCGCGGGCGAGCAGTGAGTCAACGGGGGGTGCTCCAGTGAGGCCAAAATAACCACCTTGTCAGCAGCTCGAAGGATTTGAGCCCGTCTGCACTCTCGTCTCGCAACCACGCAAACTAGAGTAAATCAGGCAGCTGGTTTCCATCAGTAGATTGTCAAAATCTCGCCACAACATCAATTTCCCTCCACGGTCTAACCTGGTCACGGGCAAATTGGGTTTGTAATTGTGGATTTGCCTATTTTGATACGTCTCCGAGAGAGAAAATGAGACGTCCTGTGTAAGTGCGTGCGACTCGCCCGAATCTACCGCCGGCGACCTCTAGTACTGCTGCAGCCAAACAGAGGGAGTGAGTCATCGCGCGTCTGCATTCATGAACGGTTGTAAAAGATTGGCAGACGAAAGATATAATTGAAGTCTGTTCCCGCGGCGTCCGTCATTGGGAACCTACAAGCAAGCAAGCAAGCTCTAAAGAGTGAATCTCACCCACTTTCAATTAGGTCACAACTAAACCAGTAAATTACAATGGCCCAAGAAACACCAGAAATCATCTTGTCCCTGGCGGCAGCATACCCCCACGACCCAAAACACCTTGACGCCATTCTCGTCCCCCAGCTAGCCCACCGTCTCCGCCTGACGACCTTGTGGTCCATTGCCCCGTCCTCCCGCGTGCTCGACATCGGATGCGGACAGGGCGACTCCGCTCTCGTCCTGTCCCACGCCGTGGCACCGGATGCCACCTCCACCCCCGGCTCCGGCTCCGGCTCCGGCCCCGCCGCTGAACCAGGCCATGTGACGGCGCTGGACCCCGCCCCAGGCGACTACGGCAGCCCGTACACGCTCGCCCAATCCCAATCGTACATCCTGAAATCGGAACGCTACGGCCCCAGAATCACCTTCCATCAGTCCGACGCCCCGTCCTATCTCGCCTCCCACCCCCTGGAGAGATTCGACTCCGCCACCCTTTGCCATTCGCTATGGTACTTCCCTTCCCGTGACGCCGTCGCGGGCCTCTTCGACAGCCTTTACTCCTCGGGCCGGATCGACAGGCTCTGTTTCGCCGAGTACTCCCTGAAAGCAACCTCGCCATCGCAGGTACCCCATGAGCTTGCCGTCGAGGCCCAGCGCCGCTTTCATAGCCTCCGCGAAGACCGCGGGTTCACGCTTAGCCAGTCCAACGTCCGTGGCGCCCTTGATCCGGAGGAGCTTATCCATCTGGCAGAAAAGGCCGGGTGGAAGCTCCATGAGAAGGGTGCCGTTGAAACCCCAGGGATGCTAGACGGGCAATGGGAAGTCGGGGCCGTACTGGCGCCCGATTGGGTCGAGGAGTTGACGAATGAGAAACTTGGACCAGAGGCGGAGGAGGAGTTGCTTGGATTTGTAGCTAAGATAAGAGCGGCTGCTGATGAACTGAGGCAGAAAGGAGATAAAATAGCGACGATGGACGCCACGTGGGTTGTCATGCAACGTTAGGTTGAGCAATTGATGAATAGAACAAAGCGATACTTCATTACATGTTAGTTATGATATACTCTAGGTCTTACTTGAGAGTTTGAAGTCCCGCTGTCCCATCTCACACCACCGTGCCCTCTTATCATTTACTTGAAGCTCTCGATTCTGATATCTTTCCATACAGCGGTTGCAACTATTGCCAAAACCAAAACAGAAGTAGCCACAGTCAGCATGACGCTTTGGGCGTCGCCGTAGGCACGAACAATAGAAATTTTTTGTACGGACCCCTCCGGGTACGATATCTGTGTTGTCAGGCTACCGTATATGCCGCTGAGGTAGTCATTGATACTATCTTTGGTACTGTTTCTGGCGTCACCCTTAGCATCAGCGACAAGATACTCCTTGAGTTTCGCAGAGAATACTCCTTGCCAGATGGCGGCGGCCACCGTCGAACCAACAGCACCGCCAAGGCTGGAAAACATGCTCTCGACAGCCAGAACTACGGCCACGTACTGGCGCTCAGTAAATCGATGCTCTACGGCGGCCATTACGGCAATCTGCTTGCAGACGGAGAGCGTCCCACCTGCCAAGGCAACTAGTACCTGGCACAAGATGATGTAGCCAATGTCAAAGTCCGGCCCAAGGTGGAGCATGAGACCGACGCCGGCGATCATTAGCGGTACGCCAAAGTAGAGAGCGAGCCACTTGAACCGGCCTGACCAGCGGACAATGGCGCCAACAACAAGGGACCAGAGGCAAGCGACGGTGCTGTAGATATTGGTTATGTAGCTCGCCTGGTTCAAGTCGAGGCCAATGACAACCTGTAAAAAGGAGGAAAAGTAGGCGCTCCAGGTGTAGTAACTGACGAGGAGGACGGCTGCGAGACAGCAGGCACCAAGAACTGTACGGTCGTTTAATAACTTCCAGGGGAGGAACTTAACTGGTGCCCAGAATATCTCCCATAGCGCGAATGCAACGACTAGTACACCGCCAATTACGATCAAAGCAATGATGGACGGCGACTGCAAGCCCTCGGGATGTTTGCTGTAAAGGTTGAATGGGAACAGGAACAGTGCAGAACCTGCGACGACGAGAACCACACCAACAATGTCAAACTCCACCAAGTAGAACTTTATGGCTTCCTAAGTTGTCCTCTGGCTATCGTTTTTGGAGACGAATCCTTGTCCTAAGGAAGCGTTATAATTGCGCCTGAAAAGCCAAAACAGCGGGAAATTAATGATAGGAGTGACAACGGCGAATATGCCGAAGCCCCAGGCAAATCCAATGCCAGCGAGTATTCTTGTGGCAATATGGCCACCCAGCCAGGTGGTTATGATGTATGGAGACGAGGCAAACGCAAATATCAGGGCTCGATTTCTGAGGGCAGAGGTGTCGGTAATGAATACGCTCATGGTATAGGTTAGTCCGTTATAGCTGGGACCGTATTAGAAATGGGATGGCGTAGGACCAGTTAGGCGTAGACTTACCCAACCCAGTAAAGGACCTGAGCGGTAGCATACATCTCAACGTTTTTGCAAGCTGCCATTATGACCAAGCCGATGGTCAGGAGCGCCACGCAGAGCGCAAACCCGTGAGGACGGCCCCAGATGTCAAGTAGCTTGGCAAGGGGCAATTTGACTAGGCCTCCAATTAGACTGCTTATGACAGTGATAGTCGCCGTTAATGAGTGCTGCTGAAAACTGCTGGTAATATAAGGTGTGAGATTGCCAGCAATACCCTGTTGCATAGTGTTGATGAAGTAGATGCACCAAACCATGGCATAGGCCAGGATAAGTGCCTTTTTAGACCAGCTCTCTGTAGCAACTTCCTCCTTTTCGAGCTCATTGGCCATTCTGAGTCGCAAAGAGTGACGATGATGCGTGACAACAGCGAGGGTTGACAGGTACCGCGAGAATAAAGATACGGCGAGGATGGGCGAGATGGGCAAAGACTGAGGCGATGGCGATGATGGAAGATGGAGGAAACAACAGAAAACAAAAATGCATTCTACCAAATGTATGAGAAAGGATGCTTTAGGCTGGTTCTTACCTTTTTTTCTTTTTTGGTGGTCGAGTTTCGCAATGGTTCCTGCTGCACCAATTCCTCAATCTTGGATAGTATTTTCGTCATAAGGAGATATGCTATATAACGGCTAGCTTCTACCTACCAAGACTCACTAAAAGTAACTAAGTATCAGTCAATGCCTTCTTGGGCATTTCTGTGCTCATTGGAGATAAGACAGAGTTGGCCTTGACTATTTGTAGATTTGTAGTGTACTAGACCAGTACTATTCCTGTGATGTCCATCTATGGATGTAATGAGACGACGGCGCAAACTCCTAGGCAATCACAACTGCAACATCTAAGCGGATGGATGCAAAGAGATTAGGGAACATAACGTGATAAGCTAATGGGAATGCCCTCTTCTTTGTAGCAGCTAAGATCTGATAAGCTCCGTTAAAATCATTGATGAAGAGTAGCTCTACTACTAGGCTTGGGCCATTATTCTTCTTTCCCCCATCCTTCGTGCTCCAAAATGCATATCAGTAGCAAGCAAGGCAGGTACCAGGCCGCAGCTACAAGTTATCAATCTCAGCAGTTCCAAGGCCGATAGTGGGCAATCACAGTGGAGCTTCAGGTACCCCGTCAACCCGTGTGGAAAGAAGCATCGGGACAAATTGTCCGTTATGGGTGCTCTACCGACATGCTTAGTGCAGGCTCGTTGTTGGAGAAAGGCTACTAGTATACAGCTTCCAAGTTCAAGTTGGATATGGGCGGCACAGCAGAGTCAGTGCCAGGCGCCGGTTGACGGCCGGCAGATGAGACTTGGCAGACGGGGAGATCCGAGAGGGATTCAATGACTTGGTGAGAGATGGATGCTCCGAAGAGCGGACGAAGCCTGAAAGCTTGTCGGTCGGGAAACAGTGACAGCCAGCCACCCTGTCTCAGAGCTGTGCTGTGCCGCTGTGCGAAGACTTGCTTTTCGTCCCACTCCTTTGAGAAGGGTGGAGAGAAAGCAGAATCGTGTACCCTGAATCTGTTGATCTCAAGAGGGTCCTCTCTCTGCCAGGGATTTGACAAAACAGGACTCTTCGTCCGAATATGAGCCCACAAGGGTTGGGCCGTACTATGTATGTACTCTACGTAGTGTATGCATATACACACACGCCCTTCTGGCAGGGGTTACGGTTATGTTCGGGATGGGGCACGTACTGCTGTACCGATACCCTCATCTGTTGCTGTCCCCACCATCTAACACATCCACCCCACCTTACCCACCCTCTGTGCCTCTGCCCCGCCTCGAGAAATTTTTCTCTTGATCTTATCTGATCTAGCTGGTGGCCGTTTCTGTGTGGACCGAGACTGTCTCCGACGCCGGAGCTATCGCCGAACTGGGTCCGAATAAAGTTATCAGATCCGCCAAGTGAAGCCAGTGCAGCCACCTTCCCTGGAGGAAGCGGTAGGTACGCATGTCAAAACAGCAAGGGATGAACCACACAGAGACCCGTTTCTCGTTAATTCCGAAAACCTGTTGAACACTTTCCATCCAGGACCGAAGCTGGATTGGGGTAGAAAAAAGAGTCATTTCGGAGCTTTTCGTCTTTCATCGCCTACGACCCGAGGTCTTGGCCGCTGCGAGTGCGTGGCGCGGATCAGTATCAACGGGGGATCCCTTCCACCTCCCATGTTCACTTCCATTTCCATCCATCAGCGCTCGATTCATTCCCACCCTTTGGGTACATTTTTGTACCTCGTTTCGCATCTAAGTAAACCCCCCCCCTCCTTTGAGGCTGCCGCAAAGCCAAGACCCAAGTGTACCCCGCCGTCAACCTCCTCTGACCACCGCAACCCTCAAACTGATGATTGACGGTGTGCTGGAGCGATGTCATGGGCCCGGTCCTGGAGCTGCAAGCCGCTTTGGATGCTTGCTCGATAGTCGTCTGGCCCGCAGCCATTGAAGAAAATTTTGAGGCATGGCCTGGCAAGGCAAAAATGGCAACGAGCCGGGGGTTTCCGTTACAAAGTAGGGGTGGCCGGGGTTGCTTTACTGCAGTCGGCTCATGGGATTCGGCATCTTTGTCCAAACGGAGTAGGCGGTGGTGACATAGTCTGCTTGTGAAGCTCCGAGTTCGAAGCTCGCTTCCTCTCCCAACTTTCCACGATCTTTCTCTCTCTCTCGTCGAGGCAGCTTCAAACCTGTGATACCAATTGCGTCCATTCCGAGCAAGCTTAGAGGACGTTTCATACCCATTGATTCTCTGTCACAGCTTGTTTTCTCTTTCCAATCAATTCACGGTACTTTTACAGCTTCACTGAAAGACCTAGCACCGCAGCCATGTCGGCACCCGTCTCTCTCTCCTCCCTCTCCCCCGAGAAGAGCATTATCAAGCTCCCTCACCCATACCACGCCGAATACGCGGTCCAGCGCGCTTTCAACCATGATACCTTTGCCGGCAAGACTGCTGAGGGCGGCCTTCACTTCTACCGCCTAGTCCCTCTTCCCTCCAACTCTAGCGACGCCAAGCAGACCCCCCTCCCCGAGCGTCTGCACAGCGAGAACCTCTACTTCACAGAGCCCGCGGACCTCAAGTCCAGCGAGCTGCCCGCCGACTCCAACAACAGCGCCTGGGCTCGTTCCCGCCGCTCCCCAAGCACCGTCTTCTCCTGGGACGGCAAGACCGCGCCCACTCTCGCACAGGCATGGCTCCTCGTCTACGTCCTCTGGGTCGTTCGCCCATCCGACGAGCTCCAGCGCCTAGAGCTTCGCGGTGCCGGCGCCGCCACCCTCGCTCAGCAGCTCCGTGACGTCCTGCTGGCCATTGAGCACCCCATCCAGAACGAGACCCAGAAGCCCGCCGCCTCTGCCGAGCAGGCCACCGTCGTCCTCCTCCGCAGCGCCTTCTGGCAGGGCGCCGGCTCCCCCTTCGGACCCCGTCCTGTTTGGCTGCCGGCTGAGTCCCCGGCGAGCCTCGAGCGTCCTCTGTCCTCGTACCCCATCACCCCCCTCCAGCACACCATGACCGCCGTCCCGGCCTCTGACCCGGCGAATCCCAACCTTTACCAGCAGGCCTGGCACCCCATCCGCCCGGCCAAGCCTGCGCCGGGTTCCACCGTCTACAGTCGCTGGATTCCTCACCTGCGCGAGACCTTCTCCATGGTCGCGCTCGACTACCACAACCCGGAGCACCTGCGCCTCTTCCACGAGTGGCAGAATGACCCCCGCGTGTCTCAGGGCTGGAACGAGACGGGCACTCTCGACCAGCACCGTGAGTACCTGCGCAAGATCGACGAGGACCCCCACCAATTCGCTATTCTCGCTGCTTGGGAGGACACTTTCTTCGCCTACTTTGAGGTCTACTGGGCCAAGGTTCGTGTTTCCCCACCTTCTCCATTTCCACCGGGGTCGGTCAACAATCAAGTTACTAACACGTGCAATTACAGGAGGACAAGCTGGGAGGTTACTACGACGCACAGGACTGGGATCGCGGCCGCCACTCCCTGGTCGGAGACGTCCGCTTCCGCGGCCCCCACCGCGTGAGCGCCTGGTGGTCGTCGCTGATGCACTTCCTCTACCTCGACGACCCGCGCACCACCTGGGTCGTCGGCGAGCCCAAAAAGACAAACGACACCGTCCTCATGTACGACTTCATGCACGGTTTCGGCCTCGACAAGTTCGTCGACCTGCCTCACAAGCGCAGCGCCTTCGTGCGCTGCTCCCGCGAGCGCTTCTTCCAGCTGTGCCCACTCGGCGAGAACGAGAAGGTCGTCGGTGGTATGCGCCTGGGACTTGTGCCCAAGTTGTAAAATAAGAAAAACGAAGACAGAAAAAAAAAAAAGGATGGTGGGTTGGTGGTGGGGTATTCCCTGGGGTGGATGTGACGAGAGAGTAGTTTGTACGTAAGAAAAGTGCCGGCAGTGATTCCAGTTATTCAATACCAAATGAGAATGTAGAGTTTTTTGTTCAAGAATTATTATTTTTTTTTTTTTTTTTGGAGCACTTTTTGTCTTATCAATCAGAATCATGCTGCTGCATACTATTTACAACGTTCAACTTTCGCCGCACAAATGGAACAATGTCCATCGATTGATGTATTTCATAAAAAGTTATTCCATTTTGTTTTTTTATGTCTAGGCAATTTTGATCTAAACTACCGGACGGACATATCGTCGTCGTCATCATTACTCCCCCTACCCACCAACACCGTAAAACCCAAAAGAACATGAAGGAAAAAAAAAAAAAAAAAAAAAAAAAAAACAACCCAAATTTTTAAACCATCAAAGCAGAGCGTAATATCAGTTGTCGACCTTTCCGAGTCCCATGTGACCCCAGCAGACTGAAACACACATGAATGTTAGCATCATTACACTATACAATATACAGAAGGGTGGTGGTGGGTATGGGGACTCACTATCGAAGCCGAGGTCGTCGCGGAAGTATGATTGCATAACGTCCTCGCCCCACTGGGTACCCGTAGTCGGGCTGCTGGCAACGGCCTTCTTGCCGACGGCAAGGCCAATCATGGGGTCGACGTGACCGAGCTCAGAGAACTTGGGCTGGTGGGTCTGGTTCGTCAGCTTGACCAGCATGAGCTGGTGAACGTTGATGGCAGCCATGTGGCCGTGGTGCATGGCGGTGCCGCAACGCTTGATGCCGGACCACTTGGCGATGTCGCCGACGGCGATGTGGTCGGAGGCGTTGGGGATGTCAGAGGACAGCACAAGGCTGGGGTTGACGTGGATGTAGCCCTCCTCGTCCTTGGCGGCAGCGGGGAAGTAGTCAGTCGACGGCACACTGCGGGAGATGGCCATGACGACCTCGCTGGTAATGAGCTTGTGGCCGTTGGTGAACTCGACCTCGTACCGCGCGCGGCCGCCAGCGGCCGGCGTGTCGAGCTTGCGCGTCTCCTTGACACGGTGGTTGAGGAGCACCTCAACGCCGGCCTCTATGGTCAGCTCGAGGGCCTTGTCTTTGCACTCATCGGAGAGACCCTCGGATGAGAGGAGCTTGTCACGGGAGTGGACGAGGGTGACCTTGCTGTCGGGCTCGACGAGCTTCAGCTCAGCGGCCATCTCGATACCGACGGCACCACCTCCGACGACGACAACGCCGTCGGGGGCATTACGGACGGCGTGGATTTGCTCTTCGGCCTCCAGAAGGAACTGCTTCCTGGTGAGGGATTGTGGCACAACGGGGAACTGTCTGCGAAGGCCGGAGGCGCCAACGAAGAAGTCGTAGGAGTAGTCCTGGGGCTGCTTCGTGACGTGGTCGAGGACGGTTGCCGTCTTGGTGGCCGGGTCAACCTTGCTGACGCTACCTTGGACGAAGCGAACGTTGGGCCGTTGCAGGGCGGGAATATCTTGGAACTTGACCCAGGACTTGGCGGCGTACTTGGGGTCGGCGAAGGCGAGCGGGGAGCCGATCAAGTGGACTAAGAAGGCATGGTCAGCGATCGCGTGGTCAGAGAACTAGACTAGGCCTGGACAGTTTCTCTTACAGAAGCCATCACGCTCGTCGGCAATGGTGATCTCGAGAGGGATCTTGGTGAAGTCGGGGTGGTGCTCGTAGGGGGTGTGAGCGAGACGCGGCGACTCGCCCTTGCTGAGGTCCAGGAGGTTAAGGGCCGTGGACATGCCAGCATACGAAGTGCCGGCGACGAACACCTTGAAGGGGGCGATGGTCGGAAGAGAGCCCATGTTGTCTTCTGTATTATTGAGGCCGGACTGGATAGTCGATTCTACGTCTAAGGCAGGAGAAGAGATGGAAGAGAAAGAACGGCGGGAACAACTAATGAAAGTCTCAAACGACAAAGTATGGTTGGGGAGGCAGGTAGATGCAACAGAAGAGAGCGGCGAGGAGGCAGTTGTAGACGGGAACATGTGTGTACTAGAGAGTAGCAAACACGAAGATAGGGTCCGCCGGAAGCCGAGCGGGCCTGGATCGGAACGGGGTCGGTTTGCGCGAGGGGCATTACTGAGACTGGCTAAACTTGCCCAACAAACTTTACCAAATGCTTTCAACAGGGACCCAGTATCACCCCTCCATGGCTGGGGATAAGAGGGTAGCAACGGGAGGGGCAAGTTCAGCCGAGGACGGGTCCGAAGGAAGAAGCAGCCTGCAGCCGAGACAGCAGGATGAAGGGCAATCTGGATCCGCTGGGCCATGGTCATGGCGATCGAGGGGGCCGGAGAGCGAAACAGCAAAGAGGAGGGGGGGGATACAGCAGCGGAGATGACAGCATTATTGGGTGGACTTGGGCGGCGGAACTTTGGGCTCTTGGGAAGGGATCCTAAGTATGTATTGATGCGACGCTGGAACGTACAGAAATAAAATGGGTAACGGCAGTACACTACGGGAATACCAGGAGGGGATCGGCCAAATTGCTGATGTAGCTGTCCCGTTGAGTTGAAGCGGGTTTTTGGTTAGTTCGGATCCTTTTGGGGGGATTATCAGATGGTCGAGGAGTTAAAGTTATCAGATCCGTCCAAAGGCTGCACGAGCAAGCCACTCCCAGTGCCGGGACAAAAGTCGGTTTCCCTTAGCGGCCTAAAGTGGACTGGCTAGCAGAATCAACCCGTTACATAATGGAGCCAAGTAAAAAAGGTACTATGTAGTACGTGTTCCGGGGCTGCGCCTCCTTCTGAGTGGACGCTTCGATGTGCTAGACGCCAGCAAACTCGGGTTCAATTCTGTTCATCTTCATCAGTTTGGTTTCTTTTTTGGCTGCCGTCCAGCCGTTCAAAGTGATCAGCCTTTGGAGCTACCGGGTCCAAAATCTCGAGGCCGCGGGGCGACTCCATATTGCGACACTTATGCCCAATGGCCTCCCCTAATGTGAATTCTAGCTGGAGCACGCTGAGTGGGTGGGTGTGTAAATGAATGACTTGGTGGGTGGGTGCGACGGTGTGTGGGCGGTAGCAACCCAGATGCGCCATTTTCTACGGAGCTGTCCATTTGAAAAACTCGCCCTGAAAGAAGGGAAAATGTACTTAATGTGTCGACGGGTCTCGTACACTCGCAGGGGAGCAAGGATGCTGCAGTACTGTAGATGTACACTAGAGAGTACTCGCACTTATGAAGGCCTTACTTTATTCGGAAAGGATGCGCCGTCCTCCGCCAAGATAAATTATCTGATCCGGACCCACATACCGGCATCGGCCCCACCATCGCCATCCCTGGTTCCTCGTCGTCCAGTTTCCTCAAACTCTCAACATCAACTACCAATTCTTTGTCCCACTCATGCATCTTCTGCCAGGATATCCGAGGTACATTTCACGTGCGCAATTTGTAACAAAGTACGTATGTCACTGCGTTTGCAGTTCTGGAGACAGGCTGAGCAAGTTAAAAAAAAAAAAAATAGCCACCTTTGGGTATCGTTCTCCATCTTTCGCTGGATACGCCACGATACTCTCACGCTATCGTATTGCTATCGCGTAGCTATCGCGCACCCTCGGGTTTTCTTAAACGCCGTAGCGGGGTCTTGGCAATGACTTGTACTGTCATCGAGCCTTAACCAGCTGAAAGACCCTTACTAAACTGGGGTAAATGACAGAATAGCTCCTCCATGATGTAAGGTATTCCTAGCTCCGTGAGCCGAGTCTCCGAGATGGTTTTTGCTGCGGCTGCTTGTCCATACTCATGATGAAGCCACTACTTCTTGCCGGCTCTGGCAGAAAGGCGCAACATCTCTGGCTTTGTTTGACAACCCTGGTTCTTGGTGGGAAGCTGCACTACCATGGCTGTAGACCAAGATGTGAGACCGGCAGCAGCCGAACATGCTGTTAATGATACTTCAAATGTCACAGAGCAGGAGCAAACTCCAGTGGCTGCGGGGCAGGGTGTAAGTTGGACAATCGATTTTGCAACCTCGACGTTTCTTTTTTGCTCAGGAGCTAACACGTTTGCTCAGCGTTTCGAAACCTTCTTCAGCTACTTCCGCCTGCTCTTCTACGCCGAACCAACATGGATCGATGTTCTACTCTTCGTCGTGGGCAGCATCACGGCTGCTGCGGCCGGTGTGCCTTTTCCGTTGATGGGAATTCTGTTCGGTCAACTCATTGATGACATGAACGGCGCCTCATGCTCCAGTGCAGTTGGCGACGCCGACACCTTCCAGGCCGCCGTCAACGACAAGGTCCTCACACTCGTTTACATCAGTATCGGCAGCTTTGTGCTGATTTATTGCTATACCACATCCTGGAGTATGTTAAGCCAAAGGCTTGCCCAGCGTTTCCGGGAGAAATACTTTCAGAGTTTGCTGCGACAGGACGCCGGCTTCTTCGAGAACCGACAAGCAGGAGAGGTTTCTTCGCGTCTGAACTCTGATATCCAGACCATTCAGACTGGAGCGTCTGAGAAGGTGGGAATCTTCATTGCAACGATCTCGTTCTTTATTACGGCCTACGTCATCGGCTTCATCAAATATGCCAAGCTCGCGGGTATGCTGGTTTCTCTAATCCCTGCATTCCTGCTCATGTCTATCATCTGCGGTGGATTCGTCCAGAAATGGACCGGAACCATGTCTGATGGCATAGCCAAAGCCTCATCCATCGCATCTGAGGCCCTCTCACATGTCGCCGTGGTCCAAGCCTTTGGGGCTGGACCCCGTTTGGAGGCCAAGTTCTCGTCGCATATGATGCATGCCCAGAAAGAGGGCATCAAAAAGGCCATTGCAGCGGCAACACAGGCCGGCTTCCTGTACTTTCTTGCATATTCCGCCAACGCACTTGCTTATTGGCAGGGAAGCAAGGCCATCTCGGAGACTGTTGCTGGACGAGGTAACGGGACTTCAGTCGGAGACATCTACACTGTCGTGTTCCTCATTGTTGATGGTATGTAGCACAAAGAGCCAACAAGTACCTTTTGTTTACTAACTATATCTATAGCCTGCATCATGCTCGGCACCATTGCGCCTTTGCTACCCCTTTTTGGATCTGCCTCGGCTGCGTTTGTCAAGCTTCGGAAGGACATCGAGTTTCGTTCCGATATTGACTCTGTGACCGAGGACGGCGAGAAGCTGCCCGCTACTATTGAGGGATCAGTTGAATTGCGCGGCGTGACTTTTGCATACCCCTCGCGACCTGACCAGAACGTGCTCAAAAAAGTGTCTCTCGTTTGTCCAGGTGGAAAATACACTGCCATTGTCGGTCTGTCAGGAAGTGGCAAGTCGACAATTGCCGGCTTGGCCACAAGACTTTATGATCCGAAAGAAGGCACTGTTCTTCTAGATGGCCGTGACATCCGGAATTTGAATGTGAGAAATGTGCGCAGTTACATCAGCCTGGTTCAGCAAGAGCCCTCGCTCCTTGACCGCTCCGTCCTCGAAAATATTGCTCTTGGCCTCGTCAATTCTCCAAAGGAGGAACATCAAGGTCTCAAGGCTGCCCTTCACGGGCCTCAACTGGCGCAGCTCGCGGATGATGTGCAGAGAGGCGCCGACCTTGATACTGCAGCTCAGGCGTATGGGCCCGAAGTGGTCGAGATTGCAAAGCTAGTCCAGCATGCCGCGGACCTTGCCGATGCGACCTCCTTTATATATCGTCTCAGACATGGCTTCGGAACGCCTGTTGGTACTGGTGGCAAGCTGGTTAGCGGTGGCCAGACGCAGCGCGTGGCACTCGCCCGAGCTCTCATTCGTGACCCCAAGATCCTAATTCTTGACGAGGCTACTGCAGCGCTGGATTCTGCCAGCGAACATCGAATTCAGACAGCTGTAGAGAGTGTTTCCAAAGGCCGCACCCTGATTTCCATCGCTCATCGTCTTTCTACGATCAAGAACGCCGATAACATTATTGTCATGAACGCCGGCGACATTGTCGAACAAGGAACTCACACCGACTTGATCGCCCGCAACGGAGCCTACGCAAACCTCGTGAGGCTGCAAAATATCCACACGACCGAAGAAGATGTGGCCCCCTCGCGTGCTAGCACGGCAGTCGAATCGTTGGACAACATCGAGATCGAAAAGGGCGGCGTTGATCCCACAGACCTCGCCAAGGCTATCACTGAGGCTGAAGGAAAAGAAACCAAGAAGGACCCCAAGAAGACGGCCGCAGAGGAACTCCTAGCCAGCGGGCTTGACAGTAACAAGTCAGCGTGGCAAGTGACCAAGAAGTTGGGAGGTATGATCCGTCCTCACTCTCTGTGGCTCGTCCTTGCAATGGTCGCCGCCTTCATTGTCGGCTGCACTTACAGCGCTTCCGGAACCATCTTTGGTTATGCCATTGGATCCGCCAGCCCATGCAACTCACCTAGCTACATCTCCAGCAAAGGCTCGTTCTATGCCGGCCTGTTTTTCATGTTAGCCTGTGTTGAACTTGTCGCGAACCTGGCCAGCTGGTCTGCCTTCGGATTTCTCGCCGAGAAGCTGCTGTACCGAATCCGTGTGCTCTCTTTCCGTTCCCTCTTCCAGCAGGAGCTTGAATGGCACCAGTCCGAGAATCGCAATCCCACGACACTTCTTTCAGTCATCACAAAGGACGCGGCTGCCATAGGCGGCTTTAGCGGTTCCATCATGGGCACCATCTTCGCCGTGGTCGTGAACCTCCTTGTTGCAATCATCTATTCGCACATTCTAGCCTGGAGAATCGCTATTGTGTGTCTCGTGATTTTACCTATTCTTCTCGGTTCAGGCATTATGCAAATCCGAGTTCTCTCCAGGTTCGAGGAGAAGCACGCCGGAGCATACGCTCAAGCCGTTGGCATCACCGTCGAGTCCGTCAACTCCATCAAGACCGTCGCTACTCTGTCTCTTGAACATGAAGTTCTGGGCCAGTATAAGCGCGCTCTCAAGGGACCCAAGAAGGAGGTTATCTCTGCCAGCGCCATAGCCAACATTTGGCTGGCCATCGCCAACAGTACGGGCAACATCATCTACGCCTTTGCGTATTGGTGGGGCTCGAAGCAAATCGCAGAGGGCCGGTACACCCAAACGCAGTTCCTCATCATCCTCGTCGCCATGCTTGTTGGCGCTCAGCTCTGGGGCCAAATGTTCAGTCTGGCGCCAGAGGTGACGCGCGCCCGAATGGCTGCATCCAGAATCTTTAGCCTTCTGGACCTTGACAATTCCGAGGCTACTCCTTCAAGCAAAGATACGGATGCCTCTTGTAAGGGCAAGGAGAAGGATGTCGAGGCTCTTGCCGAATCCAAGCCGCGCCCTAGCGCAGGACGAGGCGGCGTAAGCATCAGCTTCAAGAACGTTTCCTTCGCCTATCCCGCCCGCCCTGAGGTCCAGATCCTAGATAACATGTCCTTCACCATCCAGCCAGGCCAATTCTGTGGTCTGGTAGGCCCCTCGGGTGCCGGAAAATCCACCGTAATGGCCATTGTTCAGCGCATGTACACTCCAAGCACCGGCACAGTCGAGATTGACGGCATGGATATCTCCAAGTTCTCAGGCACTGACTTCCGCGACGACATTGCCGTCGTGCCCCAAGATAGCGCCCTCTTCGACGGCAGCGTCAAGTTCAACGTCGGCCTCGGCGCCAGGCCGGGCCAGGACGCATCTGACCAAGAAATCGAAGAGGCATGCCGCCTGGCCAATATCCACGAAACCATCGCTGCTCTGCCCCAGGGATACGATACTGAGTGCGGCCCCAACGGCTCGCAGCTCTCCGGCGGCCAGCGACAGCGCATCGCGATCGCGAGGGCGCTGGTGAGAAAACCCCGCCTGCTGCTCCTGGACGAGAGCACGAGCGCTCTCGACGCGGAGAGTGAAAAGGCTCTGCAGGAAGGTCTGGAGCGCGCGGCCCGCGGCATAACGGTTATCGCCATCGCCCACAGGCTACACACGGTTCGCAAGGCGGACGTCATCTTCGTCGTGGAGGCAGGTGCCGTTGCAGCCAAGGGCCGGCATGAAGAGCTCATGGAGAAGAGTGAGAGCTATCGTCTCAACGCCATGCAGCAGATGCTCGGCCATTAACGGTACCGCGGCAAGACCATTTTTCACTTTTTTTTTTTTTTTTTTTTTTCCATGTCCATGCTTTGATGTGTGTATGGTATCGTATCGCATGTATGTATGTATTTATCAAGTGTACGCGGGGGGAGGGAAAGATTTGGATGGTATTATTGCAAGGCGTTATCTTTAGACGGACAGTTCAGAGCATAAATTTCAGACGTCAGAATGCGATCTGTTCGCGACTTTTCATTCTCTGCATGTTTTGGTCCCCCCCTCCCCCCGCAGACCCCGGGGTTTTCACAGCACTCCGTCGCCCCGATGCCTCTCGAGATCATTATGCATGATACCGGACAGTCCGAAATGAGTACTGCTGGCGGTTTCGCGGAGTTTTTAACTCACCGTACGGGTCAGACGAACTCTTTGACCTTCAGGGGGCTGTGAGGCGGGACTTGCATGTTTTACAGTCGCAAGTACGTCGGATTATGCGCCGCCGCCGCCGTCTACAGAGCGGCTAGTCACCATATGGCAAGAGATATATCCCAAACTTCAGATGACACGGAGACAAGGTACTACTATCCAGAAAACAGAATTAGAGAAACGTGTCTGATAATGATGATGATGATACGCTGCCAAAATTGCCAACACCAAGAAAGGATCACGAATTAAAAGAAGGAAAAAATGATACAATTCACAAAGAATGTCACCGTAGATGCAAGGAGAGATGAGGTAGAAGGCTACTGAGCATGCGTTCTAAGGAAACCACTTAAAATTCATAAGCCCAATTTCCATGACAAAAAAGTCTACGCGAGCCTTCAATGCTTGGTTGCGATCCCAAGCCGCGCAAAGGGTTCTATAATCGGCCAAGGCCGCGCCTGACCCTGTCCTGTGACCCCGCGCGATAACGTGACTTGCGTTTCTTCATAAGCCCCTACTTGGGGAAATCCGATATCCTTGCTAGAGAAAACCCATTCCTAAAGTGATGAACCAGAGCAGAACCGAAACGCCGTGAACATTCTGAAGCTGTGTCGTCAGAAGTGTGCAAGCTCACGCTGTCTCGAAACCGCCAAAGGTGTTCTCGCCCGAGTACGTGATGTACAGGAAGCTAGAAGAAAAGTTAGCATGCTGCGACCAGGTTGCGCGGAGGAAGAGGTGAGCATACCCATCTTCGTCCTTGTGCTCTTCGTAGATGCTGCTCATAAGAGCTGCGGTAGGCGGCAGGACTTCATCGACGAAGATAAAGATAGCCTTCTCAGGGGAGAGCTTGATACGCTTGCGGATGACGTAGACAAACTGTCCAACAGTCAAGTCCGCAGGAACGAGGTACTTCTTCTTGTCGATCGTAGCGATGTCAGACTTCTCAACCTTCTCGCAAATAACCTATTAAGAGGATGATGGTTAGCTCGGAGCTTTCAAATGGCTTGCCACTTAGATCGGCGGTGACGGTCGGGGAACGTGGGGCACCGGCGATAACCGCGAAGCTGACGAATGCAGCAGGTGCCGACAACGATGAAGCTTCTCTGCGAACACCGACAAGAACGGCAATGAAAGGGAATACTTACAGGAATACGGTCAGAGTACTTCTGGCGGATACGTTCGGCCTCGGCCTTGCGCTTCTCGAAGGGGTGCTCGTCCTTGAACTTGGATCGCATGATGAAGGTGTTGTCGGTGGGTGATGAGGTAGTTGTGGGTTTCTCAGTGGTTTGCGCCCCGGGGGAGTGCGGGCGACGTTCTAGTTATAGATGGCTAGATGCTTGTGCGAGAAGTGGTGATGACAGATGCGGAAGAAGTATGTAGAAGGGAGAGTTTTAGGTAACGAGGGGCTGTTTGCGAAGGCAGAAGAGGTAAGGCGAGGCAAGGTATGGTCGGTAGGTTGCCGCCTTGGGGTTGCCTTGGGGGTTGGTCAGACACGGGGAATGGGCGGTCACTGAGTGAATGTCTGGCGGCGGGTGGCTCAGGCGGGATGCGTACTGTTTCTGGTACCAAGATAGGCAGGAACCTTAGGAGAGGTACCTCTGCACTGTATGGTTGCGCTGCCTAGGATGGACTTACGGTATGACTAAGCAGACCAGAAGGCGCACTACCAACGCCAGCCCCGCTTCGTCTTCCCCTGTTCACCCAACTGGTCCTTCCTCAGAGGCAGCTCAACCTCTAACAAGGTACCTTATCCTTATCGGATTATCGGAGCGGGGCAAGACACCGATGCCACAGCCAGTCAATCAGTGCAGGTGCACAGGGTACTGTAACAAGATTGGCACTCAGTAGTGCAGGTGACCACTGGCCGGACCACGCCGCCACTTGACGGCTGGCAGACTCGTCCGCCTTTTTGATCTGACAAGCTTGAGTCACTGGAGGCCCTGGCACACTGTCCTTGGTGCCGTTTCTGACTCCCTAACGATCTGTAAAAGTCTCACGGGATTACCGTAGTAATGACCTCCTGATACGTGCACGCTTCTGCTTGTCTGTGCATGAATTTTGTACCAGCCCTCAAAGCCTTGAAGTGCTTTGTCGTCATCGGGGAGACTTGCGATGTTTGCATTGGACGTCCTCGCCTTGACGTCATTCTTCCCCAGTAAGAGGTGACAGTGAAGACTTGGAGAGAGAAGAGTCAAGTACAGCCCACCCTTGCCCGGGGCTGCAATGAAAGATTAGAACAGTTTACAATACATGCCCACACTGTCTGACCTTATCTGTCCAGCTTACTTAATGTGCCCCACTATGGACCTCCGATAACCGACTATGCAGGTGACCGAATGAATCGGACAACAGCCGTAGTCTTTCCCCAGAGATTTCAAAAGCGTTGATTATTCGATACAAGTACTGAAAGGGGAAGGAAGTCTTTTTGAGGAACGGAGCTCCAAGGCCTTACGATCTACAACATGATATGACGAAGGCCTTTAGAAAAGGAAAAGGAACGAAAAATAAAATCATGCCATTGTCCGGCTCACTTCTCATCACTAGACCCTATGTAGCATTTGTAAAGCTCCAGACTCAGACGGCCCGAGGAGTTGGATAATGCTGCCCTGGGGCTCGGCCTCAGGCATGGTGCTCTCCCACTGGCCAGGCATAGACGACCAACTAGCTATGGAAGGCGGTAAGGCGTCTCCGGCGTTCAAGGCGGCAATTTGTTCCTCACCCCACCTTTTGAATCGGCCCCTGGGGACGCAGCTCTCCGTCGTCGTCGCTTCAGTGACCAGGGTCCCGCCTATTGAACGTGGAACGATTGCCGAATTTACTTTTACAGCTGGCCTGACTGGCTCGAACGACGTCCAGTCAGTCCATGATCGCTACCAGTGGCCTTATGCTTCTCAGTCCAAAATAATCATCCGATTTTTCTGTACCCCAAGTCACTCCTTTTCTTTCCCTTTTTAGATTTACTTGTATTTATATCTGTTCTCGTCATGGCGTCTATAAAGAATTCACAGAGGCTGCTTGCACAACTCAGCAGTTCCCGCATCAGCATCGCCAGCCAGCTCCGACAACCGCAATTGGGTCGCAGACTCGTCTCAACCTCCGCAAAGTATCATTCTAAGGGTCAACAGTCCAACCCTGTCTTCACCCGCTTTCTAATTGGAGCAATTGGTATTGCCGCAGCGGCACCCCTCGCCTACAAGATGGTACTGAACCTACCTATATACTCTCCACACACCACCCACCACTGCCGGTGCTTCCGTCTTTCAACATCAATTGCTAACAATCAACGTTGGAATAATGCAGGCCGTTCAGGAACCCTTCGAGCTCGATACCGTATCGCTGGCCGAGCGTGACGCTCTTACCAAGCAGGATGCCGAGATCACTACCGACTCGCCTATGCGCCTGCGCATGGAGAAGTTCATCAAGGAGCAGCAGCAGATTATTGTGAAGGAACTTGAGAGGGTTGATGGAGGCAAGTTCCGCAGAGATGAATGGAGCCGCAAGGAAGGCGGCGGCGGTATCACCTGCGTTCTTCAGGATGGCAACGTCTTCGAGAAGGGCGGTGTTGGTGTTTCCGTCGTCTACGGAACTCTTCCCAAGCCCGCCATTGCCAAGATGCGCGTGAACCACAAGAATCTGGACGACAGCGTCGACGCTCTCCCCTTCTTTGCCGCCGGCCTGAGCATGGTCTTGCATCCCAAGAACCCCATGGCCCCGACTGTTCACCTCAACTACCGCTACTTCGAGACGACACACCCCGACGGCACCTCGAATGCTTGGTGGTTCGGTGGTGGCAGTGACCTGACCCCCTCCTACCTCTTTGACGAGGACGCAGTCCACTTCCATAAGACCTTGAAGGAGACATGCGACGCGCACGACAAGAGCTACTACCCCCGTTTCAAGAAGTGGTGCGACGAGTACTTTTACAACAAGCATCGTAACGAGTGCCGCGGTGTGGGCGGCATCTTCTTCGATGATCTCGATGAGACGGAAAAGGACCGTGAGAACACCTTCGCCTTCATCCAGGACTGCCTTAAGTCTTTCCTGCCCGGCTACATCCCCATCCTTGAGAAGAGGAAGGACATGCCATTCAACGAGCAGGAGAAGGACTGGCAGCAGATTCGCCGCGGCAAGTACGTTGAATTCAACCTGGTCCACGACCGTGGAACCGCCTTCGGCCTAAACACCCCTGGCTCGAGAGTTGAAAGTATCCTGATGAGCTTGCCCCTGACTGCAAGCTGGAAGTACATGCATGAACCGGAACCCAAGAGCCGCGAGCAGCGTCTCGTTGACGTGCTGAGGGCTCCCAAGGAGTGGGTTTAGTTCAAAGCTAGAGGGTTAAAAGGCTTGGGATATGGATCAATGGATGCGAGCGACATTTGCTGTACTACTATGCCCAATTTATGGCGGACATAATGAGATTAGACAAAAGCCATCAGGCGGCAAAACTTCAACAAGAGACTTTTTTCTTCTGTTAATCTTCTGTAGTTTTCTCAGTTGTTTGGTGATGTGTTCCTCCCCTCGCAGGGCGTCTTTGGAGATAGATGCCTCGGCGTTAACGTCCACCCAAACACCAGGATTTGGATTGCATCTCAACTACACATCAACACACTTACCCAACAATCTGCGATACAGAGTTTTGCTTCACTCTGCACCAATTCAGGCAGGACGGCAATAATATGTCACCTCAACCCAACAATTCAACACCGGCAACTCCCCGTGCGGTCCTCACAAGTCTTATTGACACCCTCACGTCAGCTCCCCTTCCCCCCTCGTCGACGTCACCGACAAACGCCGATAACCCCCTCCAAGGACTCCCGCAATCACACCGTCCGCTCCTACTGACCCTCCACGTAATTTTTCCCTCGATAGTCCTCCCTGCCTTGGACCTCCTAGACCGCAATCTCGTTACCCGCGTACTCTTGGACAAAACTACTGTCAGTGACTCTGACAGCTTAATCCCTGCCATTGACCCCGCAGACCTGCACCACCGGCAGTCACAGCAACAACCGTCTGGCGATGACAAGGACGCGGGTGACCGGGGTGTCGAAGACATGACAGCCGGCTCCAGCCGGCGCGAACCCGCCGCATTCCACCTCGTCCGCTCCGTGGCGTCCACCATGTCCCGGCATAACAAGGCCGCCGGCGCAGCCATGGCCTCCGCGACGACTACGTATCTTGTTCAGCTTGATGCGTGGAACTGCACATGCGCCAACTTCGCCTTTGAAGCGTTTCCTGCCACTGGTCAAGCACACGACTTGGAGGTGTTGAGTGCCAACTCAGTGGAGGATTCACATGAGGTAAAACCTCACGAGTGGCAGTTTGGGGGATCAAGCCTGGATGGTATCGATTATGGAGGGGTGCCTTGTTGCAAGCACCTGCTTGCCAGTCTACTCTCAGAGCAGTGGAGGGATGTTCTCGGCAGCTACGTTGCGGAAAGGAGAGTGAACCGGGAGGAGATGGCGGGATTAGTTGCAGACGTATAAGTAATCACAGGAAGAGAGGCGTGGACAACTAGGACCTCAAAAGTCATCTGTTCAAAACATGCTATCATTGTACAAGGCATACTCTTTTCTTGCGAATATGCCTGTTCCCGCCCCGGCCTGCCCTCCTGGACGCCGAGATATTATGACATGCACCCACGGTCCCAATTGTCTATCACGGGTATCAGTCCCCGTGTTTGTGTTCCTATCCGCCTGCCATTGTCACATCCATGTCATCTATTTCTTCTTCTCCTTTGCATCCTTGTCCTTCTCGGATTCCTTGGGCTCGCCGTTGACGCCATTCACCTTATCGTCCTTCTTCTCATCCTTGCTGTTTGCCTCATCCTTCTTGGCTTCTTTCTCCTCCTGCTGCTGTCGGTTCTGGATTTTGTTCTCAATGAGATCGTGGAAGGCCGTAATGGCGCGAATCAAACTGCTGAGGTAGATGGCCATAAGCTGGTCGTTGGTCTTGATGCTCATAGCATGAGTGAGCTCGCCACCGCTCGACTTTTCGTCGCCCTTTGGCGTCGACAGGTTAGGCAGAAGGTTGAAGACGTCCTGGAGGTTGCCCAGGATGGCGTGGTTAACTGGGAGCTGTCCGTCGAGGACTTTCTGGAGGTAGGCACCAATGTCGCGAAGACGGAGGTGCAGTCCTTGGAGGGACTGGAGCTGGTTCGTTATCCGAGTCGACAGAGTGCCGACTGCGACGTCGCGAATATCGCGAAGAAGGTGCTCGACACCAATCTCCTCTGCTTCCTCGGCCTCGATAATCGATGGGGTGTGGACAAAGGTTCTCGACGTAGTTGTACCATCCTGGATGCACTACGTCAGCGATAGGGTCTCCAGCTTAGGTTACTGCAGCACTCACATCCTTGATCTCCTCCACTGCAAAGTATGCATCTGTGGGCACACCTGCTTCCTTCGGTTGTACATCGATAATGACTAGGAGAGGGTTTGGGGTGTAGCGCTTGAAAAGCTCGTTGATCTCCAAATCCGACGCTCGCAGCTTGGGGCCAGAGTGGTACCAGCCGATCAGCTTTTCTCTTGCGTTGACCTTCTTGAACATGTCGTTCATACCCTCAACGTAGTTGTGGTCCAAGAACCACACTGAGGGGTCCTTGTCATCCTCCTCGAATGGTACTGTACGAAATGTCAGCCTCGTGGGGGTAGTCCAGTGATGCCCATAACGACAGGATGATCGTACCTGCGAAACTGTTCGACACACGGACGTTCTTGCCATCGTTGGAGCCCAGGAGGACTCCCACCACTCTACGTTTCGATCCCTTGACTACCGCCCGGTTGTAGTGATCGACAACAGAAAGAAGCACAAGAGGGGCAACGGAGACATTCCGTGTGACGAGAGACAAAGTCTCTGCGGTGGTGGCAGGCATGATAGAGGAGTCTTCGTAGCTTCGTAAGGTCGAATGGATCAGGGTTCGTGACGGATGGAGGGTTGGCGAGGCGGCGGTGATTTGGATGTGATGTAGTGAGTACTGTGAGGTATTGGTGGTGTCGTACTGCTGAGGCTGCCTTCCCACCCAGCTTAGCTACGAATCGGGCTTAGGCGCAAACGAAAGCTCGAGCCTCGCCAAGTCACGTGGTGAAATAGTCAGCAAACGGAATTGATCTCGATTACCTAATCGGATGCACTAGTTGGCTGACAAAGGCAGAAGAAATCACCAGCCACTTGCGGCCTTGCAAAACGCCACAGATGGGGAGCTAGTCCTCCGAGTTTAGTCATCATTCGCGATCAAGATCCCGCGACAACCAAGTCCGGCGTCGGCCCCCTGTTGGATCCATCCTTTGCATGCGTGCCATGCTCACTGAGTAATGAGCTTGACGTCGGATTTATTTCCATCTCAGAACGGGTACTAAGGGGCGCGTCCCAACAAGTGACATCTGAACACGAAGCCTACAAGTGCTTCTCGGAGAATTGCGGGTGACTAGGATGACCCTTAGAGACTCACATGCCGCACCGAATATGTCCTCGAGGCCAAACCTAGCCGAGTGACCTCATACCAAGGCGTCCCATCCGGTGCACCGGGGGCTGGTTTTTTCGACAGCTTCTGAAGGCGTCCCTTATCCGCAAGCTACCTAGCGGTGGTTGCAGCAGTCACGCAGCGCACTTTAGAGGCAGAAATACGTACCTTGTGCTGAGCCTCGGCGGAGAGGGAACGGAGTGAACCAACCAATAACAGGCGGAGCGCTGTAACGGAAGCGCAGCCAGTGGTACCCAGGCGGAAATATGGAGAGGCGTGTTACGCTGCGAAACAGCCGAACGAACGCCTGCCACCCTGTTCCCCAGCAGAGGACCAAGTACCAGATCTAGCCAATCATGCACCCCAGCCACAGCGCCGTGGTCGCCTGGCGGCCTGTCACCTGGGCTCAACGGGGCTACTTTCGCCAGGCGCAAAGCTCGGTACGGTGCAGTTACAACCAGGTGCAGCGGAACTTGGTGCAGTCCAGGACCTTTAGGTGGTACCTGGCACACTGGGGACGGAAACCTGGGTGACCTTAGCCCGGTAACAAGGCCTTGCAGCAATTCTCAACCTCTTTCGCAATTATTTTTCCCGCAAAGCTTTGTTGCTTCCCCAGTCCTCCAACCTAACCTTGACTCCTCTCCTCTCTTCCTCCTCTTTTCCCCTTCTCACTTGAGTAGCCTCTTCTCGCATCTCTTCGCCCAATTTCCCAAGCCTCGGTCCGGCCTCTATTCAACTCTTTACAAGCCGTCAAAATGAGCAGTCTCGTCGAGGAAGCCGTCAAGAAGCTGACCAACACGGTCGAGAGCCTCGAGTCCAGAATCAAGGCTCTGGAGGACCGCGCGGCTGGCGGCTCTGGCAAGGTCACCACTGAGGAGGTTCGCATGATCCTTATTGGACCCCCCGGTGCCGGTATGCTATCCCAATTGAGCCCTTCGGCTCTCGTTGTCTTGTCGCAACCGCCATGCTGATACCTCAACTCCGCGCAGGCAAGGGCACTCAAGCTCCCAAGATCAAGGAGAAGTTCAACTGCTGCCACTTGGTAAGTCAATTGACATCCAACTACCCTGTTTGGGTCTTGGGAATATTATTAACAGCGATATCTACCTTTAGGCCACTGGTGACATGCTGCGATCGCAAGTCGCCAAGAAGACTCCTCTTGGTCGGGAAGCCAAGAAGATCATGGACCAAGGTGGCCTTGTCAGCGATGACATCGTCATTGGCATGATCAAGGAGGAGTTGGAGAACAACAAGGAGTGCAAGGGAGGGTATGTCGCATCCATCCTCTGCTACGAACCCTGCAGAAGCACCGTCGAAAGACGTGGCGACTGTCACAAGAATTTGTAGACACTAACTAAATTCAACCTGCAGCTTCATCCTCGATGGCTTCCCCCGCACAGTCCCCCAGGCTGAGGGTCTCGATGCCATGCTGAAGGAGCGCAACCAGAAGCTCCAGCACGCTGTTGAGCTGCAGATCGACGATTCCCTGCTCGTTGCTCGCATCACTGGTCGTCTGGTCCACCCCGCCTCCGGCCGTAGCTACCACAGCACCTTCAACCCTCCTAAGGAGTACATGAAGGACGACATCACAGGCGAGCCCCTCATTCAGCGCTCCGACGACAACCCGGATGCCCTCAAGAAGCGTCTCGCTACCTACCACGCCCAAACGGCCCCCGTCGTCGGCTACTACAAGCAGACCGGCATCTGGAAGGGTCTTGATGCTTCCCAGGAGCCCGGCCAGGTCTGGAAGAACATGCTCAACATCTTCGAGAGCCAGCGCAACGGCGGTCACGCCTCCGGCATTCTCAGCCGCATCGCCCAGAAGAACTAAGGAGATTGGCTCGAGGCTGATCTTCTCCTGGCCGCCGCCCGCCATGCCCCACATGCGCGCGCGCAGCAACCGCACATTTGAAGAAGCTGGGAGGTTCACTTGATCGTTCCCCTCGTTTTTTGGCGCCCGAAATTCTCTCGGAAACCACGGCCTGCAGAGACGTGGATCGGAGGAGACTTTATTGTGGAACATTTTTAATGGGACATGAAAGGGATCGAGGGAAAGGATATCTTTTCCCATACCGTCATCCACGACTTGGCCAAGCAGACTGTATTTTTTTGCGACTGACATTTTGGGAGTCACGGAGGACACGTCGGAACTTCTCGAACTTCTTCCCCAACCCGCAACAAACCCGAACCTATCGTGTAGAAAAACCACCCTATATTGCACGCTTGTATGTAACACAACAATTACTGTCTCACTAATAACCAAAACCGGAGGTTTGCAGTTGGATGGGAACCGAATACAAAGTTATTCTTCAAATCACCCTAGGCTTGATTTCCGGCGTTTCGAGTGATGTACGTGAACCAAAAAACACAAAAAAAAGAAAAGGTGAAGAACAATCAAAAAACGACACGTTCGTTGCATCATTCGGTTCCTGTGGCGCCGAGTTCGGGCGCCTTCGGCAATTGTGTCTTACCTGGCCTGTTCTGTGTAGCTGCAAATGTGGGGCCGGTTTCCCCGACTTCCGCCCTCCGAGGTTGAAGATTGGGAAAGGAAAACTGGTCCCCTCGTTGTAATGCCCAGCTTGCCCCGTGTTAGCCGAACGACACTGGGAGACGAATTCCTCCTTGACGGATTCGGGCGGGACTGTCGGCTCTCAATGGCAGCATGACGAGACCCCGCGTGTCAGTTGAATTATGGGAAATGCATACAGTATACATCAGATGAGCCTAATGGAGAATGGCCAATGATGACTTATAATGGGTGTATATCTATACTCCGTCCATTTTCTATATCACCAAAGGCCAGGGTGAAAACGGGCTTGCGCCATCCCAACGCGCTAGAAACTATACACAAAGAAATTTCAGACACAAAGAAGTCTGAGCAAAGAGAACAAGGAAACAAGACAAGAGAACCCGTTGAAAGGAGCAAAGTGCCACCCACCACCGCGCGATGCAATGCAATGCTCCCGAGATGCAGGCCAGACAAGCCATTCCCTCCGATCCCAACGCCACAATGCAGTCTGCTACTACAGAGCCAAAGTTCCAGAAAAGGTAAGATAAGTTTCAATAAAGGGGACACAGTGCCAAAAGAGGCTAGATGTTCACGCTCGGTTGCTGTACTGGGTGAATAGGACACTTCGGGCTGCTCTACCTCCTAGGAGTGGCTGAAGGTTGGATGTCAGCATTCACGCAAATCACAAAGTTGTAAGGGAGCTCTCATACCATTGACCATTTGTCTTTGCTTGCCCAGCCAGCTCTTAGGCACCTCGTTCCTCCGTTGCAACACCACGTGGTTGCTCTGAATACGACTAGTAAGGTCGTACCATGCAGTAGCAATGAGGGCATTTTCGCGTTGGAGATTCTTGATAATTTGATCGCTCGCAGCCTGGCCATTCATCAGTCATTTCACATTGATAGGGGACCACGAAGACGGAAGTGATAAAAGTGAAAGTAAAACGTACCTTCTGTGCAGCGGCTGCTTCTCCACCCTCCGCTGCCTTGAGCTTCCGTTGCAAGTCGTACTTGTCTTGCTCGGACTTCTCCAGTTGCTAGGATGAGCTCATTGTCAGTCATAACTGTACATACTCCCAAGTAAAAGTTTCACGTCGCAGAATCCAATCTGAGACGACGCAAAAATGAAAGTGATGGAGAGGGGGAGCGCGGTGGTGACTTTTGCCGCCCAAATATCTTGCTTGTCACAGTCCTGATCCATCCCTTTTCCTGAGAAATCCTCTTTTGCAGTGGACGGGCTTCCACAAACTTATGGTGATAAGAGGGAGCTAGGGGCCGGAAATCGGGGTTGCTGTCATACAAGACAGCTAGCCGCGGCAATGCCGGCAGCTGGAGACCACCGACCTCGATTTTATGTATAGGAGGAGGCTTGAAATCACTCACCGATTGACGTTCTTTGAGTCGCACACGAAGCTTCTCGACCTTATCCTGGAGCTTCTGGACAGCCTCAGCAGGCTCTCCGGAGTCTTGCCGTCCCTCCTTGGCATCGTCCAGCTCCTTCCGAAGCTTATCCTTCTCGAGCAAGGCGCTAATAAGTGAGCTTTGTCGGTTCTCCAGGTCAGTACTCAGGTTTTTGATTTGTTGGCGAGCAGCCTCAAGCTCCTCTCGAATCGATCCCGAGATGAGCTGGTCGGTAGACTTGAGTTCCTCCAGGGCATTAACGCTGTCCTTTGCAACAGCTGAAAGATCCGTTCTTGCGCTAAGCAGTTCACGGTCCTTGTCGGCAAGTTGAGCTTGAACCTCGCTCAACTTGCGCTTTTCAGCCTGTAGCTCGTGGGTCATCTGGGCGACTTGGATTTTCAAATTGGCAAGTACTTCGCTGTAGTAGTATTCCTGGGTTAGCACGCGCTTCAAACCAAACGGGAGAGCCGAGTTAACGAGTTCCACTAACTTTTCGCCGCCACTGCCTATCAAGGCACTGACTTGAGCTTCCGCAAGCTGGTGCTTCTCGAAGGTGTCATTATAAGTACCCTGAAGACGCTCTCGCTGTCGTCGTTCATCCTCGAGGTCTTGTCGTAGTCTAGCGTTCTCTGACGCGAAGCCCATACCGTTCCGGAGTAAGTTGTTCTCGGCCTTGAGACGCGAGACCTCTAGGCTAAGGTTAGGTGGGGCACTGCTGCCAGCGCTGTCGAGCTCCTGCTCGAGGCTGAAGCCCGCAGAGGCGGCATCAGGGGACATGGCTGACTGGCCCGTGCCTGAGTTAATCTGCTCTTGTAGCTCAGCAATAAGTCGTTCATCGGAAAGACGTTGTGCGTCGAGAGATGCCAGGCGGGCTCTCAGTTGCATAGTATCATCGTGAAGAGCCCTGCGCTGGGTATCCAGTTCGACGTACTGCAGCTCGTAGTCTCTGAGCTTAGAAGCGTACTGCTCGTTGGTTTGCTCCAATGCCTGGTTTCTCTTAAGAACCTTCTCATACTCAATGAGATCGCGCTGCATCTGCTCCTTTTCATAAAGCAAGTTGTCCATCTCCTTCGACAGCGTGGACTGAGCCTCGAGCTTCTGCTTATACCGCTCCACCATGTTGGCCTTGCGAGAGAGTTCCTCATTCTTGAACCGCAGCTCTTTGACCTCGTCATCAAGGGCCTCCAGCTTCTGAGTCTTGGCTTTGAGCGCGGAGACCTCGCTTGCCAGTCGCTCCTTGGCAATGCGATCATCTTCGGCCTGCGCCTCTTGGTTGGCGATGAGCTCGTCCTGCTCCCGAAGTTTCAACTCCAGTGACCTGATGACCTCCTTTCCAGCGCCATCCTGAGCACTGTGGAATGCCTCCAGTTCTCTGCCCTTTGCAACAACCTCGTCCTTCAGGTCGTCATAGCTTTCCTGCAGATGACCCAAGCGAGTCTCCATATCCGCGAGCAGCTTCCCCTTTTTGTCCAGTTCAGAACGAAGACGGATATTGTCAGCCTCCATAGCAAGATCGACATCGTGGCTTTCGTGAGCAACGTCGGAAGTCTCGTCCAAATCCGCCGCATCGGCCTCATCTATCGCCGTCCTCATATCCTGGGTAATCCGCTGCAACTGGAAGAGAACCGACTTATCCGAGATGTCTGTGGTGATGCGAATAACGTATCGCTCATTGTTACTGCCTAGCATCGCGATAGCAAAGAGCACGGCAAGGAGCTTTGAAAACCTTTGGGTGAGCAAAACGAATCTATTGGACAGCTGGGGTTGCGACATGGTGCCTACCTGGGAGATGGCCTCCGGCTGCGCTTCCCTAGACCTAGGACGAATGTCGGCGGCCTTGACCTTAGCGGAAAGACCTGGGCACTCGCGATAGACCAGCCTGTTGATACCCTTGTAGACATCGTAGAGCGTGCCTTCGCTGGTGTTCTGGTCGAAGGAGGGGTCGAGGTCCTGGAGAACCTGGGAAAGGAGATGGCCGTCAAGGAAGTCTACTATTGACTCAGCCTTCTTGTCGAGGGGAAACGTATTCGCCTACAGAGAAATAGCAAGTTAGTACGAAGATTTTGGTAACAGTCAGCAGGCAGTACTGTGCGGCTGGTCAGGAGAGGAGGAGGATGATCCTCTGGGAGCGCCGCAGAGAATGACTTACCCATTGCACCAGCGCGGCCTGCGCGCTCTCTGAGTAGGGCATGATGCAGCCCGGTGTCGCGTCGTAACTTTCGTCGCAGTCGCAGTCGTAGTTTGTTTGTCCTCTTCTGCGAGGTTTGTAGATAGTCTGGCTGCCCTCGTCTAGGATTTTGAAGCAGCACGTGGAAAAGGACCGGGCCGGGTTTGGGTTCCACTAAGTTCGTCGTTGTGTTCGCGCTTGTTGCATGTCAAAGCGGCAGGAACTGGTGTCTGATTCCATGGACCCAGAAAGCTCGTATCACATCCAGGTAAGCAGTCGGACGGTACAAGGTAGGGGATGGGAGGATAAGGTATTAAAAGGTTTGGTTGAAGCTCTCGTCGGCTGAGGAAGGGCGGTGAAAGGCAAAAAATGGGAGTAAGGTTTTGTTCACGCACAGGTGGTGAAAGGGAACCAACGGGTTGTAGGTACAATGAGTGCAGGGAACAAAAAATGGTGTCTCGTCGTCCGAAGACAGACGCATTGCTCACGTCCGACCGTCTGCTACTATGTCGAGTCCACTTCAATCGTGTATGACCTGCATTAAGCTCCCCTTATCGATTGCCAAAGGCAGCTAGGGAGGGAAGATTGAGGCAGCGGGTTTTAGCATCGTCACTGCAGGTACCTTGTGCCGCAAAAGCCCTCTATGGCCCCCGGTATATACAAGCTACAGGTATCCGTACATCCCTTACATTAAGGTATCTCCCGCCCCCAAGCCCGAAACTCCAAGTGACGCGAAGCGGGACGAATGCCCAGGGGCTTGATGCTACAGTGGGGCTCACACTCCACGAGGGACCACTGACAACGCTTTTTTGTCCTTTGACCCCTGAAGCAGTGTGGAAGGAGCCAAACATATTGCGCCGCATGGGCACATAGTGAGTCTCCCGACCTGCATAACAATGCAGAGCAAATCCCGCCAATTTTCCTTTTGATGAGGGTGCCTACAGAAACCGAATGCCTCAATGAAAGGCTTATTTGAACTGTGTTTGTTCCTCATAGCCAGTTGATCACCAACAGCAAACATGATACGTTGTCACAGGGATTACAGCCCTTGTTCAAAGTCTTTATTGGGTGAATAGCAGGCATGTCTCCAGAACAGGGCCGCACACGGGCAAAGCAGCCCTATGTTCCTCTCTGTCCGTGGTCTTGACACAGACTTACTTTGGATGCCCCTTGAGCGCTGCCTAGGCCAGCCCCCCTCCCTCCAATATCATTCTCAACGTTCCGTCGGATCCAACTAATGCTCTGCTGCTGCGTACTTCAGCTGGAATGCTCACATGGGTTCCTCCGTAAACCCCAGAGAGTTGGAGAGGTTTTGTGCGGTATGAACTAATGATCGTAGGATTCTTGAGACGTCTTGTTTCTCTGCCTACGGAGGTCCCAAACGCTAGCAACTGCTCCTGTTCCTCTCCAGCTCCTTCGCACCTCAAGTGAGACCCAGATGACCCTCGCGCTTCTCTAAAGAGACACTGATTCCTTCTGATCATGGCTCCTGGAGGTCTCCCCCACAACGCGCTTTGACTCCAATGTGACATTACCAGGAATTCTGCACAAATTCTAGCTTTTCCACCCCCAACTGGAACACTGCCGCCATCTGCAGGTGTTCATTGCAAACTGAAGCCTTCATTTCGCGGAGGCCAGCGTCGTACTATGCCACAACTACCCTTCGCAACATACCTGCAATATGAAGGCACTCTGGACGATACGCAAGCCTGCAGAATGAAATTACACCACCCAGTGACATATCCATTTCTCATCACGTTGAATGGAGATCCTGGGCCGATTAGTGGAGTAGCTAGAAGATGCAGAAATCCGCTTTTGATCTACACATCTGCTTGCCGCACACGATCAACACTCCACACTATCAGTACATCACAGCAACCATAAACTAGGAGGCTGAAGGGGTGCCATGAGATTTGCCGGCATCTGGTATTGACGTCGTCATGGATTTCTGAGCCGCATCCGTTCTTCCTTTTGACCAGCCACTGGGCTACACTAACGCCGGATTCTTCACTGACACTGAAACCCCAAAACGCCATTCATGAAGTTGGTAGTCCAGGCTACGCTCGAGTCTTGGAGAAAATGTATGCTTTAATATTGGTTTTTGTTTACGGCATTAGAGAAGGTCCGAACCAGCAGGGATCCCAACCCTCTCGTAACCATACGTAGAAAAGTGTGTCCGAAGACACTGCAGAACGGTGGAAACTCCTGACTCCGGGGCAATTAGCCCGTCTATGACGAAAATAGGAGATAAAAAAGTGCCTCCTTGCTTGTCCCTGTCGCAGCCGCCGGGAAGGGGGCGGATATCATTTGTCCTCGTGACCTAGTCCAGCCAAAGTCATTTTTACTAGTCGAATCTTTCACACAAATATCGTATCGCAGGTCGTGCCAACGGGGGGTGGCATCTTCGTTTCGATGAAGCGATGCATCAGCTTTAGCCGCTGACGATCTGGTCTTCGTCGACGTTCATTCCCTCACCACCCAAAGCCTTGACAGACTCAAGAACCTTGACGGGTGTGACGGCAGCAAAGCCCCTTACCGCGAATGTTAGCTGCCGCAGGCTGCCATATACTCCTAATAATGGTGTTAATTCTCACCTGAAGAGTTCGGTCATGGAGTAGGTATGAGTGATCTGTCCGCCGGCGTCCAGAATGGCTTGCTTGGCGCTGTCAATCATGGCGTCCGTAATGGATGTCTTGTCGGTCCAGATGATAACGGACTTCATCTGGTCGACGGCGAGAACGCCGGGTGCGACAGTAAGGGCAGCGACAAGGAAAGCGAAGGGTCTCATTGTGACTGGTTGACTCGAGGGTCGTCGGAATCTAGGAAGTCTGGCGTCGAGTGCTTGGAGAGTAAAGTGGGCGGGTAGTTCGGGAAAGTAAAATCGAGCGACAAAAAGTATTGATCGATATCGAGGGTTGCACGAACTGGCGGAAATGGCGAGGAAGGTCTGTAAATGAAGCAGCCCAGGGGTTGACGTGTGGGGGGGGAGTTCACGGGTATTAAATCGCTGTTTGCTGGAGACGGAGACGGATTGAGGAAGGGATGGGTGGATGGTTACTGGTCATTTTAGGGACGAGCAAGTAAGGTAGGTAAGTACCTCACTCATCACCTTACTAGCGACGTCAACCTTAGTTACCACCTGCCCCGTACGGCGCGGTAAGCACTGCGCATAGTCAGGAGCCAGCCGGTAGCAGCCGTCATTGGGCCCCTGTGTGTCCACCTCTGCAAACGGTGGACCCCGGCAGTGACAGGATAACCCGACAATGGGGTGGCTAACAATTTGCATGCGCATGTGCACCCAAACCAATTTTGGCGGTTCCGTCCGGCTCTCTGCTGCTCTGTTGCTAGGGATGGTGTGGCAAAGGTCTTGGCACAGCTTCACACTCGCAACAGAAGTCCTGTTCCTCCGCATTGTGTGCTTCGTCCATTTAGACTCGGCCTTCCCTGTCTGAAAGGTCGGTTTAGCGGGAAGAGGTCATCTCTTTAGGCGACTACAGAATTGTGTAATAAATTTTCAGCCACCTTATCAGCTCACTACATAACGAAACATTCAATGAACATTGTGGTGACTGGCAGGTAGGCACCGGTCGTAAGTAGCTGCCCTAATAGTGCTATCGGCCATTCTGCAGTCCGTCCGTCCCGCTAGAGGGGCAACCAAGTGTGACGAGTGACATGTCAGGAGCAATTAGATGGGTGCCTGTCATAACCCGGCTCACGTGTACAACAGTGTCCGGTCCAACCGATGACAAGACTTACACAGAGACACTCAGTTGGCCGTTGTCGGATGCGATGGTAGAAGAAAGATATGCCAACTCCCCCAACCAACAAGTCAACTCTGTCATAGCATCACTTAACAAATTAAGAAATTTGCTTGGGGAAATTACTGCTATTACAAGTGCAACGACAGTACGACTCATGACCAAGCTAATTGTACTCCTAATAGTAAACCATATGCATAGATCCTCAACGCCGATTCATGATCCCACCCTCAAAATCAAGTTGTAGTCGTTTAAGCTGCATAGACACGAGCCATTGGTGTAATGCAGGTGCTGGAGGCCACGTCGTTGAGGAATTAGCAGAGTAACCGCAAGGCCTTAGGAGGCCTCTATCCCTTTGCACTACCTGCCATGCTGTCATTGTCACCCCAGATATCCTTAGTTTCCTGCTCAACCGCCTGCATCGCAACAGCAACATCCTCAAGTTTAGCCACCACATCCAAGACACCCTGGTTGACTCGCTGGAAGTACCGGTCGTTGGCCTCCCGCCTTTTCCGGGCAAGCAGAATGTCAACTTCCGTCTCTTGTTCAAGCTTAGCACCGAGGCGCTCCGTTCCACCGCTACTGCCTGGGCGGGCGCTACCTGTGGTGCTTCGCGGGCCATCCCCACCATCTGATGCCATACCCGTCTCTCCCAAAACTGCGCCTTTCAAATTGCGAACCTCGTCTCCAGCTGCTGATGCGTTGGAGCGCTGGCCGGTTTCGATAGCATCATCAGCCTCGCTGCGTGCCCAAGCTTGAGCCAGAGCGATCTGGGCAGCACGCAGTTCCTCTAGTTTGCGGTCATGATCAGGTCCAAAGACGTGGGTTCCGCCCGACGCCGACAGCTCGACCTCCTCAAGCGTGGCTTGCATTTCAGCCCATAAGGCGTCGGTCCTGTCGGTGCTGCGGGCACTGTCGGCCGTCCTGAGGTTCCGGGCCGGCCGCGCGACGGAGGGCGTGACCACCGAGCCGGTATGAAGAGATCCGTTGCGTTGCAGATTCATGGCTTGCGGCGGTAGAGGTGAGACGCCTGCAGATGAAGACGCCTGCGGCGCTCCTGGCGCGAGGATACCCGGTAGAGAGGCATGAGAGGCAGCAGGAGAGGGATGGAGGAAGAGGGAGGGAGGGGGGTCGCGCAGCTTTCCTTTACTCTTGGCGGATTGAGACATGCCTACATTTTGCTTGTCATCGTGAGCATTCCAAGCTCCGGACTTGACGCCTGAGACACCATCTATTGATTCTGACAGCATCTCATCGGATTGGTTGAGAGGGCGGATGGGTAGTAGACCTGGGGGGTACCCTGGCCATGCCCAAAAGACGTGGGGTTACCAGCTAGGAGCTCTCAAGGCCGGTGCATGATTGGATAGGATGAGTGGATATGGAAACCAGCATCAGCCACTCATAGTCTCCTCAGCCGCCAGGGTTTTTCTCGCTCGCTTGGAGCTCGAGCCACCACACACGTGACCGCAACTTTCGTTCTTCCCCTCTAGGGCCACCAAACCCTACGAAAATTACCAGCCAGCCTCAGTTGGGTCAGTCAACTTTTTCGTTGTACGCAGGCCAATCCATCACCACCAAGTCAAGACTCGCGATACCCCCAAACCAATCGGTACGTTTGGCCCATCATACCCAAGCCCTCGCATCCGTTGCCGACGATTTTCAAAACCCGACGACGACGAATTTCCCGATCAAACGCTTTTCACTTTTTAGAGACCTCTTGAACTGACGATATAACCTTAAAGCAACCATGCCTCGTGGACTTAACGCGGCGCGCAAGCTGCGCCTTAACCGTAAGGACCAGAAGTGGTCTGACCTTGGATACAAGAAGCGCGCCCTCGGTACCGCTTTCAAGTCCTCTCCCTTCGGTGGTTCCTCCCACGCCAAGGGCATCGTCCTCGAGAAGGTCGGTGTTGAGGCCAAGCAGCCCAACTCCGCTATCCGAAAGTGCGTTCGTGTTCAGTTGATCAAGAACGGCAAGAAGGTCACTGCTTTCGGTACGATACCCCCTACCGACTTTTCGTTTTTTTTTTTTTTTAGTACGGTGGTGGAAGATGGATTGCTTGGGAGCAATTGGAAAGAGACTGAAGTGGCAAGGAAGTGCAGAGATGCTGACGTGTGAATCGCTTTTAGTCCCCAATGACGGTTGCTTGAACTTCGTCGACGAGAACGACGAGGTCCTCCTGGCTGGTTTCGGTCGCAAGGGCAAGGCCAAGGGTGATATCCCCGGTGTTCGTTTCAAGGTCGTGAAGGTCTCTGGTGTCGGTCTGCTCGCTCTGTGGAAGGAGAAGAAGGAGAAGCCCAGATCCTAAACGCGAGGCTCGACAAGCAGGGAAGGCAGAGGAAGAAAATTCGGCACTCGGAGTTTTACGCTTGCATTGGCATCACACGGTTATGGTCCTGACTACTGCGGGTAGACTTTGGTCGATGAAATAAAACATCATGAAAGTCACCAAACGGACATGAGGCATTGCATCGTCATACATTGACACAAAAAAGGGGCATTGGGCGTGATGAACAGGGTATTCCGATTTCTATGTGCTATGAATACAGATGATGTTGGTACATTTGCTTACGCCTTCTGGGTCTCCGCCTCCTCCGTCTCGTCACCTTGAATATATCGTACAACGTAGTCGGCGGCGAGGCCTAGACTAATAACACCACCTGTAAGCCAGCAGCCATTGCAGAACCACCACCAGCAGTCCTTGACACTCTTGAGATTGACCCGCTTGATCATGATACCAAGCGTCACTGCGGCACCACCACAGCTTCCAATGTAGAAAAGCGGGCCAGCACCGGCAGCGAAGCCTGCGAGACCTAACAGACCAATCTGTACCGCGGCCAAGCCGGTCAGGACCTGCTTGGTCTCGGCATCGTGCTTCAATGCAATGCTTTTGATGCCCGCCTTGGCGTCATCCTTGATATCCTGGTGCGCGTAGATCATGTCATACAACACGGTCCACGCGACATTCGACGTGTACAGACACGCTGCAGCCATCAATGCTCCACTGTTAGAGAGCAAATCGATACCGAGGGCTGGGAACCCCATCATGGCACCCCAGGAGAAGGTCAGTCCGAGGACAGCCTGGGGATAGTAGGTGACGCGTTTGGCGAGGGGGTAGGATGCAACGAGGAACAGACTGGGGATGCCATAGAACAAACAAGATGTAGGGAACTGAACCAGGACAGCCAGCCCGGCTAGGAGCTGAGCACCTGTGAAGACCAAGCCATTGAAAGGGGTAATAGCGCCCCGAGCGATGGGCCGAAATTTGGTTCTCGTTACATGCGGATCAAGGTTACGGTCCCAAAGGTCGTTGATGGTACAGCCAGCGCTACGCATGATGAGGGCGCCCGTGGCGAAAAGGAGTGTCGTGCCAATGACTGCGCCGGGTGTTGCCATAGCCATTGGCGCAGCCATGAGCGTCGAAAAAAGGCAGGGAAAGAAGAGATAGTACGTGCCCACCGGCTTGTCAATCCGGATGAGCTCGGCGTACGGAACCCATGACGCCGGAAGATGCGAGAGAAACCCGGTCGTGGGTGGCTTGTAAACGGGTTCGGCCGTAGGTGAGACCACGGAGTTGTCATGCATCACTGAAGCCGTAAGGCATTTTGAAGATGTATGCAAGGCAGTCTGTTGTTGGCGGGCCAATCTCCGGAGGGTAAGACTCATGATGGGCTTCTTATGCGCTTGCAATCCAAATCTCGTGGAGCCATTGCTGGGCAAAAGCACATTTGCCCGTAACGACGGCTGGCATGCCGCCCGCAAGGTGCCTCTCAACAGATTCACTTGCCTCATATCTACTCACTGCAAAGATATTAGTCTGTGATTTGTTGAAGGTTTCTGGAACTTGAATGCCCAGAAAGGTAGTAGATAAGTGTCCTTGTTTCCCTGGTGTAGCTATATAGCATTGAAATAAAAAGAATAGTCTAGAAGAAAAGGTGTAAAAATGAGTCTTCCGGAAGATCCGAACTTTGCGTACATATATACAAAATGGTGGCAGACAATGAGAAACGGCCTACTCATGTATGTGAGTGTCAATCCGAGGGCGGATCTCTCTCCCATGAGCCTTGCTCAAAAAGATGGTAGTGCTTATACGCCCGAATGCCAGAGGCATTGGCAGAAGCTGAAGGCTACTTTCCTCTTGACGAATAATTCAATTGCAGAGAGAGACACATAGAAGGAATCGAGACTCACCGTCACCCTGAGAACGAGTTAAGCTGGTTTTCCACCGACTTATTAGACGTTCAACTTTTTCATCGAAGAAAACGAAATTTGGGAGCTGCAGGTGAAGACCCTTGAATTATGTGGGTGGCAGGCCTCGCCGGCCCGTCACGTGGGCTGACGGCCGCCACCACTGGTCTTAGCCAGCCTCCACAGCCCTCTAGCCAGTTAGTTAGTTCTTCCAACCAACAACACCACTTTTCCCATTCTGAGCGTTCTGTGCTGGTTTCGCCCACAAATTACGTGTGGTCCGTGCTACAGTACCGTATCTGATTGGCTGCACAGCAAGCTTCCTTGCCTGTACAACTTTTTGCTGCGAATCCGTCAGCCTCGCTCAACGTCACTTGCGCTGCGACGCGCGACACGCTCGGGTGGCTGCTACCGTGATAATCCACCACCTGTTGCGCCTTCTTCTTCCATACCGCACGACAGCTCTCTCTCTCCAATGCCCAAGAGACTTAAGTCACGTCAATCTTCCCAAGTTTTAGGGCATTCGGCTCGAGTGCTGCGCGAATGAATACTTCGCCGTCGCTTCTGTAACCTCCACCCCACCTTGCGCGATGATTCTCAGCCTTCAAAATGCCGACCTCGTTGCATCCCCAGGCGAAGTTTGATCCGATTCCCCCGGATCTGGATCTTCACGATCTCGTCGATCGGACCCCTAACTTCGAATGGGTTCTACGAATTTCGACTGCGCAAATTCAAGGATTGGGCCCTCAAGAGTTCGAGAAACTGGTACAGCTTCAAGTCATTCAGGGCGGAAAGCCTTTAGTGATTGAGAAATGGAACGATGTTCTTCCTAAATGGCTGTTCAGTGCAGAATGGCTGGAGAAGACATATGACAAAAAGCGTAGGTATCTATGCTTTCGTAACACATCCGTCATCTAACGTGTCCGCAGAGGAGAGTGTCCGTGACATTGGTAGTCAGAGTGAAATACCCATGACAACGGGCCACTACCTCCGAGCGATGAAGCAGCTTGCCAACCAATGGACGCCTAGTAATTTCCGCGATGAGCGACGACAACGCCTCTACCTTAAGGACATCGACTGCCCACCTGGATGGCACGAGCACCTGCAGAAAGTCATTCCTCCGAACCTGTTTTACATGAACGAAAATGCGACGGAGAAGGGGGGTGCGGAGAACCAAGCTAGCGATGTTTTTCGTGGCCTAGGCGAGAAGACAATAGCTCCAGCGGGAGATCTCATGTCGAGTCTACCCGAAGAGATGCGGGCACAAAACTTGATGTGCTATATTGGCCATGAAGGGACGTATACCCCGGCGCATCGTGAAATGTGTGCCAGTTTGGGACAAAACATCATGGTTGAAGCCTCTGGGAGCGAAAATGGAGAAAAGCCAGGAAGTTCCATATGGTTCATGACGGAGACCAAAGACCGCGAAGTTGTCCGAGAATACTTTCTTTCGATGCTTGGACACGACATCGAAATCGAGAAACACTTCGCACAGATCAATGCTTGGAAGAAGGCAACCTTCCCCGTTTACATCGTTGAACAAAAGCCTGGCGATTTTATTCTTATTCCGCCTCTGGCTCCTCACCAAGTGTGGAATAGGGGCACCCGCACCATGAAGGTTGCATGGAACCGAACAACAGTTGAAACACTGGACATGGCGCTCCATGAAGCTCTCCCGAAGGCCCGGCTTGTCTGTCGGGATGAACAGTACAAGAACAAGGCTATCATATACTACACTTTGAAGAAGTACCACGCACAGATACTACAGGCAGATGAGAAGAGCGAAATGGGTCTTCTTGGATTAAGATCTGAACCATTCCGCTCTTCATCGCGCTTCAAACAGCTTGCCAAAGACTTCCGGCATCTCTTCTTCCTGTTCGCCGAGATCCTTGTCGACGAAATGTTTGCTACTAAGGAGAACAACGTCGAATACATTGAGTACGACTCGTGCGTTACCTGCTCATATTGCAGATCAAACATCTTCAACAGATTCTTAACGTGCAAGCATTGCGTTCGACTTCTCGTGAATGGGGATGAGGACGCATATGATGTTTGCATGGAGTGCTACGCCATGGGACGGTCTTGCCTCTGCATGTCAAAGCTTCAGTGGTGCGAGCAGTGGAAGTGGTCGGAGCTCGTGGAAAACTATGAAGTATGGCGGACTATGGTCATCCAGAATGATGGCTTTGTCGACATAGAGCTGTCACCTCAACCTCTTGAGATCGCTCGTAGTCGACGTGGCAAGAAGGCACTCGCCCAGATCTGTCAAGAAGGCCTGCGCAAGCGGCCATTCAAAGACATCTCCAAAATTGAGGAAGAAAAGCGTCTCAGTGAATCAGACGAAGAACCGGACCTTGATGACAATGGCAAGCCGAAGAAGAAGTACAAGCGGAAGAAGAAGAAGGGGGACGTTCGCCGCTGTCATATTTGTTGCCACAAAGATTACGCGTACAAGATCCATGTGTGCTCGAATCCTGAGTGCAATGAAGGCTTCTGTTACGGAGTACTTTACCGTGCGTTTGATCTCATGCCTCAGGCGGTACAGGAGAACGAGAACTGGCTCTGCCCAAGATGTTTGGGAATTTGCAATTGTGCAGCATGCCGTCGTGCCGGGACGACCAATCCGTACACACCGAAGAACACTCTTCTCGGCCACGATACTCGGCCGATCGCCGATGACCGCAGTGTCGAAGTCTTAGTTGACTTTCGCGTGCACAACTTGAGTTGGTTAAAGGCAGCGGGTGAAGAAGGTCGCAGCACAAACAGCAAACGAATGAAGCAATTGAGAGAGCAGGCCGATACTGCAAAAGCCCAAGAGCCAGCGACGGCAACCGCTGAGGAGATTGCCAACGGAGCCAACAATGCTGCTCCCACTGAGGATGTGGTGACCAGCTATGGAGACCAGAGCCATATCCTTGGAGAGCAAGAAATACAGCAATACCCTGGTGAAAATGGTCTCGACGGTGATATTGGTGCGCCTCAGATGCAACAGGATCAGGTCGCGGCATATGCCGACATGGGATTGAATGGCGGCTGGGACCAGTCGGCATACCCAGACCCTATGGGTATAGGAGGGCAGCGCATGCTTGGTATGGGCTACTACGAGCAAGCTGGGCCCGATCAAATTCTCTTCGACCCATTCCAGATGCCTTCTGCTGATACTATGGTGTTCGACGAGGAAGCTGAGTTTCTTAAGAAGACTCTCAGGGCTGTGAAGAGAAAAGCAAGGCTGGAGAATGACATGGATCCTGACTTTAGTGCCCCTCGGAGCCACCACAAGAAGAAGCAGAGGAAAGACAACGCTGCGGACGAGTCCGCAATGGATCCTGCACTGTTTGACTCAGCGCTTTCAGCCGCAGTTACTGCAACCGCACAAACGGAAGGCGAATCGGGTGCAACAGGTGAAGCTGGCACACCTCTTGAGGACGAGGCGCCCAGGCAACCACCAGGAGAGGTAGAGCAGTCCACAGAAGAGCGGCGATCAAAAGGTGGATGGGCGACCCCTTGGCCCCCGTCTTATCCTGCAAACATCCCAGAACTGCGGCATGCAAAACCCAGGATCTCCTATGCTGAAATCGAAGAACCCGTGATCGACGACCCAGACGACATTGTCCCTGCGTTCAAGGATAAGCCACCAGTTGAGAACGATGAGCCTCAACCCGGTGACAGTAGTACCGATCCTCTGGATCTTGCTTCAGATGCTGTTCGCGCTCTCATCCAGAAGGGAACTGACGCCACTACTGCGGCAGCCGCTGAGACACCTAAGGCTCCTAAGAGGCGAGGAAGGCCACCAAAGAGTGCAAGTTCTACGCCAGCCTCAGTAACCAGGGCTGCTGCCGTGCCCAAACCGTCCGCATCAGATGCTGCAGCAAAGAAACGAGAGGAGCGTGCATCACGAAGGTCGCGTCTCAGTGGTGTCGTCACTATTGACGGGGCCAGTTCATTCAATGCCCGAAACAATAACTACGCCGAGGATAACGACAACAGTGAAACCGAAGACAGGAGATATGACACAACTGAAGCTGAGCTTGAGGCTCAGCTAGATCAGGATTTGGCTGGTGAAGATGTTCCTGAGCAAACGCTTACGAAATCTGTCGAGTCCAAAAAGACTGGGACGAGTGAGCAACCAGTTAAGAGGGGTCGTGGCCGACCTCCCAAGCGCAAGATTGTCACTCCTACTGAAGAGGAGGACGAGGATGATAAATCTCCACCCCCGCCTCCAGCTGGCAGAAGTGGAATGATGTCTATGGCGGCCCGCGTCGCGGCCCGTGGTGGGAAATTTAAGATCACTTCTCGTAAATCACGAGGACGCAGTGCTAAAGACACTCCAACTGGGACACGGGAGCCATCAAAGTCGCCAAGCCCGCCGCCTCCAGAAAGCCCAGCTATGCTGCCGAATGAGCCACAGGAAGATCCGACTCCAGACAGGACACCATCTCCTCCAACTGCGTCAGGTAGGCGCCGGCGGGGGGGAGAGAAAGACGAAGACTTCGCCGCTGCGGCGGAATCACCATCGTCTGTATCGTCCTCTGACTCGGGCATTCCAGGTATTAGCCCGCGGCCTCTGCCGCCAAGACGATCCATGGCCTCGGGCGGTCCCACGATAGTCAGACTTGGTTCGCACTCCGAGTCTGAGAGCGACATATCCTCTTCCTCGGAATCTGAGAGCGGCATAGGTGCTCCTGGCCATGCGCGTGGTTCGCAGAGCGGTAGAGGCAGAGGCAGAGGTAGAGGCCGGGGTCGTGGTCGTGGTCGTGGTCGTGGACGGGGACGTGGCCGAGGACGTGGTCGAGGTGTTTGAGGATTTATGAGGAACCGACAAGCAGAAACCTGCTTGTATTTTGTGTTTCCTACTTGTAAAAAGAAAAGATCATAGCAGGCGTTGGGGGGGAACGAGGGCGTTTTTAAGCACATGATACCATAAGAGGAGACTCAGATAGATTCTTCGCACGGCACTTTTTTCACCATCATACGAAAGGATATTCTCTCCAATAGTACCAGGGGCAGTTTGTGATGTCACGCTTGTGAAATTGCTCAAATAGCTGTCAAGTTTGATCCTCGCAGTAAATGGACATGACCAAATCACAAATGTCGACCAAGGTAGATGATTGCCTCGTAAAGGTATCAATTCAGCTCTTCTCTCTTCTCTTGTGCTGCATTACTCAAAACAATTTCTACGCCCCTCAAAAAAGCGATTCGTCTTTCATCTTTTTTTCCTCCCTTTGGACGTTTGCCCCGTTTGGCCCTTTTTCATCCCCATGCTTAAATGTACAAAAAAAGAAAGGAAGGAAGGAATAAGAACGCATCCAACGCGCATCGTATGCCATTCCCTGTCGTAACCCTATCTGTCTTACTCCGCTGAAGCCCTGGCGAGAGCCTCGTGAAGGTGAGGCGGGAAGCGATAGCGCAGCTGGCTGGTATAGGTGGTGAGGTCGAGAGTCATCTGCTTCATCTGTTCGACCATCATACGGCGAGTACCCTCGTTGCCGCTGAACTGGCCGCCAGTGAGCTGGTCGCGCTGGCGAGTGCAGCAGATGATGGTCCACATGAGCAGGTTGGGTACGTTGATGGAGACAGGCTGGGACAGACCCGAGAACTTGGAGGCATAGGCGCGGATGACACTAGGGTCGCCACTGGCATCAAGGGGGAGAATCTCGAGGGAGCGGATTTTCTGCATGGATTTATGTGAGCAAACTTGAAAAAAAGATAGCCGAGTTATGGGAAGGTGAGAGAAACTTACGTCGAGACACTGAGCCCACTGGCCGGCTTCGACGAGGGACTTGATGGTGCTCATCTCAAGCAGGACGCGGCAAGCGACCTTGTTCTGATCTTGAATCTTACGGTGGAACATGGCATCGCGCTCGTACATGGACATCATGGTACGCGCAAGCTCGACGGGGTCGTCGATGGACGCCAAGCTCAGACTGCTGCCAGCCTCGGCTGTCTGCCCGGCAGCGCGGGGCTTGACAGGCATGAGGCGCATGGGGTCCTCGCCAATTTCGAGCGAGATGGCCTCACTGAGAGCGCGGCTGACGATGGTGACGACAGTGTCGTACTCGCCGGCGAGGTGGTACAGGAGAACCGAGTCGGTGGTGCGGCCGTTCTCGTCGGCAAAGCTGGCTGCCTGGACGGTAACGGTGTTGATGAAGTCGTTCTCTTCCGTGAGGCCGATGAGCGAGCCACGCTCCTCGATGATGCCGCGTATCCGCTGGCCATCGGGACGGATGTCGCCAATGAGCTTACTGAACTCTCTCGTCTCGAGAACGAGCTCGCGCAGGGCCTCCCAGCAGAGGTTGGCGTGGCGCCGGCCAGCCTCGCCCGACAGGTCCATGTTGAGGCAGATGAGGGTTAGGTAGTCCACAGCCGAAACAACGTCGGCGGCGCGGAAGTCCCTGGTGTAGTAGCCAATCATCCGGCCAAAGTTGATCTGCACCAAGTCCTTGACGTTCAGGCTGCGCAAGTCGTTGGAAGCGCTGAAGGGGTCGGAAGGTCGGAGCAGACCGTAGTACTCGAGGGCGATGGCGAAGTGAACCGCATCGACATACGAGAAGGGATAGAGGTATGCGATGGCCTCCTCGAACATACCAGAGAGAACCTGCAAGTAGAAGAACATGCCAAAGCTACCGCTGTTATCGTCAGAAGAGGACTTGGGGAAGTGCTTAGCACCGATCTCTTTGATGCTTGACTGCAGCTCGGACAATCCATAAGCCTCGCTGGCGACCTCAAGGGAGCGGTCGCCTTCTCTGGCAAGGTTGAATTGGAGCCAGATCCAGTCGTTAATGTCGGTGTTGAGTCCATCAAGGCTGCGGTTGTTCAAGTCGCAGCGACCAATGATCTTGTAGCAAGCCATGCGGAAGGGGTCAATGGAGTTGTCAGGGGCATTGCGGACCCTCTGACTGTACTCGGCGTTGCACCTGTCCTGGAGCGTCCGCTTCAGTCTGCGATCTTCATTGGAGGCGTAGCCATTAAGGTAGCTCTGGAATGTCCGGTCGATGCTACGGAACTGGTTTCCATTGTCATTAACATACTTCGCAGCCTCGCTGACATGGCCAGACCGCAGCAGGTAGAAGACAATAGCCCAGACGTATTCACCACTGACTTGTTGCAGTTCTGTGTTGTCGGGCACCAAATCCTTTCTCGCGGATCGCAACCGGATATATGCTCTGATCTTGCTGACGATATCAGGGCGACCACCAAGGTTGGCCTCGTGGGGGTGTTTTGAAATGAGGCCTTCGACTTCTTGCAAGAATTGCTTCTCCAAGAACTTGTTGGCTCCCTCAAGTAATCTCTTCCGCATAGCAATCGAGTTGGAAGAGTTGGGGGATTCGTCCAGATACATCTTGGCAAACTGTCTCTCCTTGGCAGTAGCACCGTTGATAGTGGTCTCTGCATCGGGATCCTCGCCAACAATTTCTCTAACCGCATGGTACGCCTCGATGATATGGGGGGCATACGGATCGAGAGAACGCTGCTCGACATCTGCGAGCTCTGAAAGAATCGGGTAGGGATGGTGGATGAGGCGGGCCGCGTTGAGATTGCGGACCTTCTCAGAAAGCTTGCTCTGTTTCTCACGCAAAGACCTGTCGTCAGAGTTGATGTGGCCGGTAAGGGAACCGTTGTTGTCAGCAGGACGGTCAACATCGGAGAACTCGGGCTGGTGAGTGCCAATCTTGCTGGCGTTGCCAATTACTGAACGGTGCATGCTCGACTTGCCCAGGACACTAGCTCTACCAGAGCGGGCACCAGTCGGCTGGCCCTTGCTGCGACGCGAGCGGCCGAAGCCACCCGTAGACTCTCTCATGGAGGCCGCACCTCCGAACGAGGTCTCCTCTCGGGGCTTGATTCCAAAGTGTTCGTAAATACGCTTGCGCTGAGCCTCCCATTCCATCGTCACATTGTCCTCCAAAAAGTTGTCAAAGTCACGGACTGACCGCTCGAGGCCGTCGGCAATCATGCTCATTGTCGTCTTCGTCTGCAGGTTCGCGAGGTATGTCTCGACATCGATCTCGGCAGGGGAGTAGCCGGTCGGTCTCTCAACGCGACCGGTCTGCAAGTCGAGAGAACCGAGGTCTCGGGCAGCTGTGCTTGGATCGACACCAGATGCGGCGAGAAGATAGTGAGCCCTGCCGTCTGAGGGACGCTCCTGGGCTTTAGTTCCCAGCTTCTTCAGCCGCTGGCGCAGGTCACCCAGCCCAAGTTGAAGGCTTGGGAGGTCCTCTAGGCCACTCTCGGCATCTCCTTGCCTCTTGCTCTTCGCAAACAGACTGTCAAAGTATGCACCTGATGTCTGGCCCTGCTGCGCCTGCGATTGGGTGTTCGTGTTCTGGTTCTGCTGTTGTTGCTGCTGCTGCTGGGGGAAGAGGGAACTGCCGAGTGCGTTCGTGTTGTTTTGTCCCAGGGTCGAACCGGTCTGAGCCTGGTTCTGATTTCCACCAAGTCCAAGGAAGAGAGACGGCTTCTGTGCCGTCGCTCCAAGCCCACCCAGACCAACACCGCCCGGTACTTGCGGCTGTGCCTGCTGTTGCGCCGCAGGCTGGCCGAACAGCGACGTCGATTGCTGCGCCGGTTGTTGTGTCGTCGTCGCACCGCCACCGCCGAAGAGTCCGCCTCCGGTCTGAGGCTTGTTTTGATTCAGGTTTCCGAAGAGCCCGCCGGAAGCTGGCGTGGAGCTTGCGGGCTGATTGTTCGTCGTGTTCTGCTGCCCAAACAGACCGCCTCCAGTGGTGCCCTGCTGGGGAGTGGTCGTCGAGCCGCCCAGAAGGCTGCCACCCAGGGGCTTGTTGCCGAACAGCGACATGGCGATGTCGTAAACGCTTCAAGTCGGATGCGAATTGAGCACGGCAACGAGCGGGGAGATTCGTGAGTGTGCGGATGGTGACGCGATCTATGAGGACCAGGCGCGTTTACGGATTGAAATTTTGAGGTTTGGGATAGCTCTCAGCAACAGCTCCACTGATTGGCGGGGAGCGGCCAGGCAACGGGAGCCGGGGGAAGTACACACTACTTTTCGCCCATGCGCATTTAGCTGAATTTTAAAGTATAGTGTACCCGGAATTTCCAGGCACACCTTGATTTCTCACCGAAACTTGCATTCGGTGAGCACAATGACTTGCAACAGCTGAATTTGTCCAATTGTAGACTTTGCTGATACGGCTCGACTGCTGATTCTTTGAATTACTTCGATTGGCAAGCTCAACTCTGGGAAAGAGAAAGAATACTACTAAGTATAGTGAAGCACCGAAAATACAATGTCTTTGATGATGAGTTGTGGCGTCTATCTGTTTGGGTTCTCTACGAAAAGGAAAAAAAGACAAGGCAGAAAAAACGTGAATTTATTCAAAACTATTTTTAAAGTTAGGAAGAACAAGATGAACATAAGAATTCTCCAATATGAATGGAAGGTCAAGCCGATGCAGTCGATGACTGCGGAATGACGCAGGTGAAGTGCGCGGAAGGCACATTAGCACAGTTGAACAAGTCGGAGTCTATTCCCTAAAAGCAGTTCTATTTTAGACTTATGAACCTGTTGTTGTAAACACAGGTGAACTGGTAGACTCTCCTGGACTCCCAATCTTTCGAATTTGTCAGTGTGTTGATGCAGCAAAATAACAATTATCTAGTCATTGTCTAAATTAAACCAGCTTTGAGGATGGCGCATAACACAATCGTCCACTTCAATAACAACAGACATGAGTTTAATCTAGCATACAACAGATATTCGGACATAAATTTTACAATCTCAACAACTATCCTATAGAGAATGTCGTTCTCAGGTGTGTTCCAGGTATCCTTGCCATGGACATCCACGAGCAAGCCTCAAAATCATCATCTCCTAGACAAACTATGATAAATCTCGGATAGCGGCAGACTCCGTCTCTCATTCCTTAGTTGCCTCCCGGCATTGTTGTTGTGACGAAACCGAAAGCTTCTGGTCTTGAACCAATCAGTATTAAAGCACTACCGATGCATACTCAACCAGTTTCGTCGGAGCACGATATATTCATTCAATATTAACGCGGAAGCTCATCCCGTATTGAATATCTACTGGGGCTCTCGGCGAATTGGCATTTATAGACACATTCGATGCAATTCCTCGAGGGTCGTCCAAGGCAATAGCCCGTTCCATCATCGGTGTACGGTAACAGTTGTTGACCGGGGGAGCCACCAGGTTCAGGTATAATAGAGGTAGAGAATATTTGTAAATGGCTATTCCTCCAATACGATAGTTTACATCTAATTTCAAAAAATAATCAGTGTAGCAATAAAAAAAGACAGAAGCGCCCTTAGCATCTGGGACTTTTTTAGAAGATACGTGTGACTGCTCGAAGCAATCTAATAAAACGACGGCGTCTACTTTGTAAGAACGTGACTGAACTTTTTGAAAGTCGTGTGTGAAACAGGGACCTTTCACTTCATCATACCGACATGTTCGAGAGAGGCAAGCCTCTGCATGTTGGCCTTTACGAAATATGGCGGATACCTCGAGGACGATGATAATGGGGCCTTGATACACCTTATGCTGCCACTCGTGACGCTCCATTCCAGCTTACCCACCAAAGTTGTGAACGAACTGTCGACGAACTTCCCACTCATGCTGATCACCATCAGCTAGTTCTACTCCCTTGAGCCCATAGTCCTAGAAACAAACATTAACCAAGAAAACAACAACAATAAAGCATCGTCCTCGGATGCCGTGCATATCGGTAGTCAGCCAAACCTCTCGCCATCCACGGGACCGCAACAGCCAACAAGAAACCCTCCACACGTAGTAAACCTCGGCATTCCCTCGTACTTCGGAAATCAAACTTGCTCCCCAAATTTCTCCCAACTCACCGACTCTCACACCCATGACCAGCAGCCATCACCATAATCAACTCCCGAACAGACACTGCAAACATCACACCACGACCATCTACCCGCCACCCCCCGTAGAGTTGCACGGAATATCTCATGGTCTCCAATCTCGCAGTACCGAAAAGCCCCTCCTCTTGGCCACCTCCATGACAAAAAGTAAAGTCTCCTGACAAACCCGGCCCGATCTCGTAGTTCCCCAACCTCTTGGCCATCAATCTACTGTTCATCACGTTACAGATCCACTTGGCAGCCGAGCCAAGTTGAATCTGCTCACATCAAACACTAAAATAACTAACAATGACAAAAAAAAAAAAGAACAAGCATTCAATCTTCGGCTCGCGTAATCTAGCCACATGATGCTGCGGCCCGGCCAGGGATGCATAGAACTGACAAAAAGTCATAGTAACCGGGCCGGGAAACCACGGGTTCGGTCCTGCCAATCACGCCACTCCACAAAGACTGAAGGGGGAACGAGGGGAGGAAACAAGCTGCCACACCTGCGCCGCTAGTGCATCCAAGCGGAGCCCCCAACCTGTCATCCTCACCTGTCAGTGCTAGCCCGCGATGCCAGAGTGATATTTGTTAGTCAAGAATTATTACAGCAGTGTTACATCTAGTACAACGACATCACAGCCTCAAAACGACGTCACTTGGTTTTTGTGCTGCAGCGAGTTTCTCAAATGTGTTAGACTTCTTTCTGTCTACGTAGCTAATAAAAAAAGCCAGTTTGGGGCTTGTGTGTATGTGATGAAGCCTTGCGAAGAGGATCAATGATTAGTCGTGAGACTTCCTCGGTTCGTTGTGCGTAATGTGGGTATCTTCTTTGACCTCTTGATGTTAGACGGTCGTCTTCGATTCCCAAACGCCTTGCAAATGCTTCGAGCCTCCCACCGACGAGGTCGAGAAGTCCGTGTACCAAAGCAGATCATCTGTGTAGGGACCCTTTCTATCCCACAACCAAAAGCAAAAAAATGAAATCATGTCGTAGTTGAGTTGTCCTTCTCAACTCCCAAACGCCCCTCCGGAACGTTACCATTAGTAGTGTACAAAGTCGTCATATAATACAAGTTCAAGGCCTTTTCTTTTTGGCCGAGAGCTTACGCAGCGCGGTCGACGGTGCGCTGCGGGCGGTAGTTGGGGATCTCGGCGAATGTCGCCTTGTCCGCGCTATAGCGGTATGCGTGGAAATCGTAGCCGTAAGGCTTGGGCTCAATAGAGTAGAGCATGCCCAGCGGCACATCCAGATCCGCAATCTCATTGCGGGTAAGATCCATAAAGTATGCCATGAGAACGCGAATAACTGAACGGTGACCAATAATGAGGACGTGGTCTTCGATACGCTCGATTTCGCGCACCATGTCGCGTAGGCGGGCGATGACTTGGAGGTATCCCTCACCTCCAACGCCGGGGTAGGTGTAGTGAAGCTTGTCTTCGGCTCGCTTCTTGTACTCTCCAGGAAATCTTCTCGCGATTTCCTCATAGGTCATGCCCTCGAACAAGCCCGCGTTGAGCTCGTTCAACATGGCCCAGTTCTTGACGTCGTAATCGTCGTCAGCTTCAAAATGCTCGGCGGTTTGGACGCTGCGCTTCAGCATCGATGTCCACACGCAAAAGTTCTTCTCCTCCAGTTCGCGATTGAGCTCAGGGTAAGGCGGGGTGTGGTCGCCAGCCTTGGGCGGGAAGGATGATTGGGCAATCTTGTCCTTCTGCTCGATGAGCCACTCCTTGCGCTTTTGAGTGATAAAGTCATGAAGAGCCTTGCCGTACTGCTCGCCCTCGGGGGTCAAATCCGAATCTCCGCCAAGTTTTCCGAGGCGGTTGTCAACACTCTGTCCGTGTCGGGTAAGCCATATCTGCCGCGGCGCTAGGTTGAATGTTGTGAGATACGAGCTGATACCTCCGCTCAAAAATCCACGTAGTCTATGTTGGACAAGTTTGCGACCAACATCGATCATCTGCAATCGGTGTGAGCAATCGAGGAACAAATTGATGCCTGTACACCCCCACATACCTGAATATACTGCATGTCATGAGCCTCCTCATATTCGCCAATGGGAACATAGGCACTCTCATAAGCGGCAACGCGCTTCTTGAAGTCGATAAGGGATTGATGCGGGTCCTTGTCCTTGTAGTCGGGGCCTGAGAGCTTCAGGCGCATGTTTGCCTCCAGCAGCTGCGCACACGTTAGACCACGAAGAAGACGGCAACGCACCCGGTGTAACTTACGTTCTGGTCATGGCAAATACTCTCAATCAGAAGGATACCAAGCTTAGGCTCCCTCTCCTTGATTCGGTCAACCAAGAGTTGACGGCGGTGAATGGTACTGTTGGTTGCGTCAAGAATACCGACAGAGCCTCCCTGGTGAAGGAGGTAGTCCAGAAGCTCGTCCAAAGTGTCAAGAGCCACTTGCTCGCGGATCTTGGATGCAGTCTCGTTGGTCGGTTCAAAAAACTTGGCCGATTGGTCCATTGTCTCGTTCGAGTCCGGGGTGTTCAGGTTCAGCTCAGTGGGCTCCTTATTGCCCTGAGTAGAGTGGCCGTTCAAGAGAATGGAGGCAGCCTGAGTTGGGGGGTCGAACTTGAGGGGCGAGGGGGCCCAAGGCGACTTCATTGGCGAAGCCAGGCCAGCCGCCACACGTCTCCGGTTTCCGACGTTGAAAATACGAGAGTTGTACTGTTGCCAAGAAAGGTATCGCTGGACCTTCTTGGTGATGTATGATTTTCCTCTCGCTGGGAGGCCGACCATAATAATGACCAACTTGGCGGCAACATCTCGGTCGCTAATCTTCCCATCGGGTGAGGCTCTGGAGACGGTCATGCCTGGAACGTTCAAGGTGGCCGGATGCGGGCGAAGTCGAGGGGTGGTTCCTCCAGAGTTTTGTCTGACTGGTGGGCTATATGAGCAGCAAGAATTAGTCAAACTCTAGGATACGAGGTTGTAACAGCCCAAGTCCCTCTGCAAGCGACCTCCTCAACGTGACGCCCGTAGTGGAAATGAATAAATCAATAAATACATACATCCTAGGTGAGTTTGGGGCGGTCGAAACGACGCTTCGCATAGCAGGAGGGGTATCCGAGTTAGCGATGAAATTCCGGTCGCGCAGGGCGATGGGACCGTTAAGGTCGTTCATGGATCTGATCGCATGTGACATAGCGGGAGGAGGAAGGAGGGAATCGTGAGGGTGCGAAACGGGTGGTGGTGGCGGTTCGCCATTGTGATTCTCGGTCGCGGTTGACTTATTGGAGTGGATTGGGGGCGATGACGAAGGCGCGCGCGAACCCTTGCTGTTGGAGCTCATTGCCAACTTCGCAAGAGCAGACTGCTTGGCCTGTATAAGGCCAAGGTCTTTTTTGCGGAAAAAAAGAAAAAGTCAATACTCAAAGAATTCTCGTAAAGAAACGGCCGCAATAATGATGTCGGTCGATGCGGGCGCGCAAAAGGGAAGTTCAAGGTATTCACAAACCTGGATTGTAAGGAAAAACTGCGGAAGGCATGGAAGTTTTTGGGTGGAAGAGTCGGCGACTCTATCTAAAAGGAAAGAGTCACAGTCACAGGGTGTGAGACTGGGCCTGCCGTTTAGAGCGTTGGCCGCTTTATTCTGCGAAATCTCGCTCGCTTCAAGGGTGGCGTACCCAATGGCCGTGCAGGGATGGGGAAGCTGGTCGAGCTGCCCGACTTGGGTGATGAAATGTGGCGTCGAGAATGGCTAGCTTGTGCCTTAGCGCACAGGGGTCTGCCGGGTTCGCAGCAGATGCTGGTCTGGGCAAAAGAGAGAAAAAGTGTTGAGAGGGCCGGACAAGGGAAGCCGCGTGTAAGTGGATGGGCTCGAGCAGGCAAAATCGATATACTACGACAGTCGTATACCTAGAGGAGGGCAGGCATATGGTAAATGGCAGGCAGGCCGGCAAAGGGTGGTGACGACGTGTGGAAGGAATAAGAGCCGCACAGTCGTGGTGGATGAGAGAAGATGGGAGGAGAGTCCAACAGATTTGGGATGGACGGGATCTTAGCTAGTTAAAGTATAGATGGGAGAGAAATAAGAGCGAGAGGGAAAAAAAAGTGAAGGGGGGAGGGTCAGGGCGATGGAGCCCCAAGATGGAGGAAAGGACCGATAAATATCTCCAAGTGAGATGGGCAGGGGAACTTGTATGGATGGGCTGGGCTGGATGGGGGGGTAAGGTGAGGTGAGGTGAGGGTAGGGCGAGGGTACCAGTTGGGTTGGTGAAAGATTGGAGGACGTGGAGGGCGAAGGAGTCTTCTTGCCCTGCCCTGTTCTACCTCGCCGTCTCTGCCTGCCTGAGGGTGAGGGTGGGAAAGTGCCTTTGGGGGTGGGAAACCGTCGGGAAGAGAGGCGTGAGAAAACCACAGATCCGAACCGAATGGACACTCACAGCACCCACTAAACTCGACAGGTCGTAGTAGGGGGAAACGGTAGTGCAGCGCGCATACTATGGCCGTACATATCGGATGCGCTTGGCAAGGACCAAGGTACTTGGGACCGTAGGGGACCTTTTTTTTTTTTTTTTCTCGTTCTTTCCACCAAAGACACTAAGGCACCTGGAAATTTGGAGAGACACAGCAAACAGAGAAAGGAAAGGCGCGGCACAGTTGTTCCCCCCCTCCTACTCCCCCCTTCCAGTCCACATTACACTCTAACAACGGTCGAATCGGCGCTCGCAGATGCAACCTCCTAACACCGCGGTGACTGCGCGATGGCCTTCTAGAGGGGTTCCCTCAGTGGGGAACCTTTTGGGGAATGGGGCCCAGGAGCACCACGCTGCTGCATGTTCGGTGGCCGGTCGCCGATAGGGCCCCCCTCCCCAAAGGGTATTGCCATTTCCCAGGTTACCCCCGCCTGCGAACCCTGTCCAGCTTCTCTTCTGGCACTTGAGCCCTGGGATGTTGCCGCTGCCATGGGGGGTTTCCTCTGGCTCGAATCGTTTGATTTTTTGCTATTTATTTTATTTTTCTCCCATAGCGCCGGTTTGAACTTGAGTGGTGGACTTGTCAAACGCGGCGCCTGGGCTGGGCGGCGCAACGAACAAATCCACCCTTTTCCAGTCACACTTTCTATTTTTCTTTTCTTACTCGTAATTTCAAAGCACGTTGCGCGTCCGTCTGGGTCCGTCTGGGACGTGGACATGCCATTTCTCTCACCGGTAACGGCCAACAAATACCAATAAACATGTCTCTTTGGGCCTTCAAAATATGGTAGATGCCAAACGACAGGGCTGGGCGACGTGGACAATGGGAAATCCCACGAATGCCCAGTGTCCCTCCGCCTCAGGTGGCCTCGCGCCTTGTGCGGTTGCAATGTGAAAGTGGACTCACTCTGCCCCGGAGGTGAGGTGAGGTTTGACGCCCCGGCCATCGCTCTATTTCCGTTTACGGCCTGAAGGTGAGCCCTGGCTGATTGCCAGCATTCCACTTTCCACCTTTTTGAGGTCATTTCATGTGTTTGCGACGGAGCACCTACTAGTACTATACCAACAACCTATTGATGTTGCTGGGCGATATACCTTATTTTCCAAGCCTGCGGATACCCATGCCCATCTTCCCCGACTACGTATACGCCATTCAATGTGAGTCAGGATGAGGTAGTCCACTAAAAAATGAAGCTGTAACAGCAAGAGCGTCTGTCGTCCTAGGCATCTCATCACTCTGTTCGGGACTGCTGATTTGACTGCGACCTTGGTCCCCTCCCCCCAGTTGCCCCCCGTCAGGCCTCAGCTCGCCCTGAGCTGATGCGTCCAATGCCTAATAACGCTGCCGTTCTCTGTACATGCTAAATAAAAACAAGGAACATTGACTTTTTGTTTTGTTTCCAAGGTATTGGGCAGGTCTTGATAGCCATTCATTAATATTCTGTCCCGTCTCTTGTCAGCAATGGTCCAATACCTGAAGCCTATCCATCCACGCCCTCCTAGTCCTCATTATGCCCATGTCCATGTCCAAGTCTTTGCTTCGTCCACAGTCCTGACGTCCACCGTCTGGCCATGTCATGGATGTCAGCGGGTGAGCCACTATCCTCCGTGCACCACGCCCGACGGAAACCTCAACAATCACCTCCCGTCGTCCAAAATAAGCCCAAACACCATCTTGACGTTCGGCTCCATGCTCTGCGTCTCCCCGTCTGCCTGGGTCAGGCTCCGTGCTGTGGCTTGTCCGCTCTTCTGCGTCCGTTCTCATGTCTGTGTGCCCGTGTTTCCCCAAGTACATGCTCCTCTCGGCTTAGCTTCCAGCCTGAGTGTGGCCAGGAGTGCGTAAAGAAGGGGAGGTATTCTGGGCTTGATGAGGCGCTCATTGCTCACTTCTCACTTCCTCGCTCTGCTGGATGAGGTGGCCTTGCTCACCGGGCGTGTCGGAGATACCCAGTCGATCCATCTAGCGCTTCCCACTTCCCTTCCCACTCAAATGTTTCACGACTCAGTATTCCTGTATCGGCCGCCAAGTCCCCTCCTGAATCAATAGGTGCCGGCACCGATAGCTAATTCTAAGAACCATCTCAACTTCTCAAGCATTCCAGCCATCAGCCAAGCCAAACGAAAAAAGACCACTCACAGCGAGCCTCGTCAACACGCCTTCGCACCCACCCAAAGCTTATCCTTACCTTGCAACTAGCCTCTGTCGCACCCTCTTCGCCATGCTTCACCTCCTATTTCCCTTAGGTTAGTGCTGATTGACAAAATTATGCTCTCAGCATCTGGTCATGCCCATCTGGCCTTTTGCTCGCGCTGCAACATGCTTTCGACGGACCCCCTTCTCTCAACAAAAGTCGCATGCGGATAGGGATGGGATACACAGCATGGTTTGACACACCATCTCCCAGGGTCTCGTGCCGATGATAGTCATTACATATTATGTTGGCGTTGCGACAACTCAGCTAGCGCTTGGGCTGACCTCGGAACCACCCCGAAGTCCGGAGGCTGGTAGAGAACCTCCATGCCCCGGAGATCCGCTCTAGGGATCTGCTTCTGCGTCTCGGTGAACCGTGGGTGCAAACCCTCGTCGAATCCCTGGCCATTCTTAACCCTCGATGTGGGGTGGAGCTCTGGAGACTCAAGAAGCAGTCTGTCATTATCAAGTGTCAATTGCTGGAAGCCAGCCTGCTTCTCGACGTCCTGCTTGTCGCCTATCTTTCTAGTCTGGGCGGTGATGTCACGGAGACGATTACCCTACGCATTGTGTCCTCAACGTAACGAAACCCCGTGCCGAGCCCGCTTGCACAACACGCAGAAACGGCACGACGTCAATTCATCTGTCCCGCCAAAGTCTCAGAACGCCATGTCATCGGCCTCGAGACGAGCCAGGCCTGCGTCCAGCACCAACAACAGCACCACCACCACCATGACCTAGCTCAGTGTAATTGCACCATACCAATGGTAACTGGTAACTCAAACATGTGGGCCAATCACCGCTCAAGGGACAACCTGCCAGGTTGTCTTTATGCTTCGTCCAGAACAGGGCCTTGGGCATGGATGCCAGAAGGGAGATTTGGCGAAGGGCCCCCACTCCACAGTCTTAGAGGAAGCATCACTGGCTGTTACACTGCAGGATGCAGCCTGCAGCAGAGGCAACGGAGTTCAAACTCCCCCAATATCAGATTGTGGGGAGTAAAGGCTGATTGATTGATTGTTCCAGGCGCCGGCGGCGCGGCCCTCATTAGCACGCTCATACTTCTGGATGCCGCCGCGCTGCCACTGCCCCTCCTGGTCGTGAATAGGAGCTGCTGCAGGCGGTATTTAGGAGCAGGCAGGCTAATCCCTTTCTGCCGCTGACTCCGCGTTCATCGTGGAGGGGTCCACGGCAGGCCGTGCCGTCGCTTGCTGGAAAAACCACGACCTGCCCTTCAGCTGGGGGTTGCTGCCAGCGCGTAGTTTCGCCAAGGATACAGGGAAAACCTGCTGGATCTGCACATGCAAAGGCGTCACTCCCGTCGAGATTTGGGGGTTGGTGAGGGGGGGGATCTGCCTGATAGTCGGTATGTTGTAGGTGAGGCGATATAGAGAAAAGGGGGGCATTAGTAGAAGCCCTTAGCAATGACTTGCAGTCATGGCCGGCGGGGGAAGCCAATTTTGCCGCATTGCGTGCCGTCATCGGAGATTGAAGACTAGGCGATGGAGCTCCCACACGTGGGGTTGAGTTGCCGTTGGACGATTGCATTTCTAAGCTGCAATTCGGCGCGGCGCTCCCGGAGAAAACAAGAGTTTGTCTGGCTTGTGAGACTTTGCGCCATCTACGTTTTGGCAACCAATAGAACGATTGGCGTTCAGCTTGACAAGCTCAACTTGGAGCTGTTGTGAGACAATCCGGGAACGGTCAGCTGTGGTAACAAGACGAACTGGAATAGCTCCTCTTCATGTTGAAGGATCTAAAGCTCAACCTTAGGGAGTTGTGGAATGCGTGGTCACTTCCATGAGGCCCGGTCGGTGAGTATATTTTGGTGAGCTCTGGTTTCGCTTGCCTTGGTGTTGGTGTAAATGCCAGCCGGTCTCAGTCTTGACCGAGCCTAGACAGTTTCAGCGGCATCAACGACAAGGAGAGTCTCTTACCCCCGGCGTCTTGTCTCCCGTTCGCTTCTTCCAAAGCCCTAGTTTGTGTTTTGGGGTGTCGAGATGTCTCCTCCTTCTCCGTCTCCCCATACGGGCAGGTAGAAAATGCGGTAAACAGGCCCCGGTCAATGTCCGGGCGCCTTCCTTCTCCTCCCATAGTTCACGAACGACAGGCACATGAGCCCCACTGAAAGAGGTTCCAAAACAGAAAAAGCAGAAACACCGGTCACTGCAGCAGAGCCACCAACAAAGGCCGCTGGCCAAGGTGCAGTTACAAGATGAGGGAACAGCCCCACCAAGCCACTGGACATGGATTTTTGGCACAGAAGTACTCAAGCGGGTCGCTAAGCAGCACCTTATCGATAAGGTGTGGCGACTAGGTTGGCTGTTTTGGATCCGCCAGCGGCTCTGCTCTGCTATTCCATTCGATGCAGGGACTTCGTGCCTGGACCTGGCGCCGGGGGCCCGGGGAGCTGGATCGTGAAAGGACTCAAATTTTCTGATGCATCACTCCCGTCCCGGCCGCCCACTATCTACTGTTCGGAGCGCTTCAAGAAGTTCTTGGCCTTCAAGCGCATTATCCATTCATGAGAGACGCCAGATAATCCGATAGGGCCTCGTCTTTTTTCTTGTTATTTCTTTGTTTGTTCACAGCCTGGCCCCCGCCGTTTCAGGACCTGGCAGACGACGACGTTGATCTTCACGCTCCTTGGTTACATCCGCCCATATTTCAGGCGTAGATTAAAGGCTGCGGCTTCGGCTGAGACCAATACTGAGACTCTTCGATCGAGATATCAGACCCGCTCATCAGTGATTCCAAGAATAACTGCATCTGCAGATATCTTGGCAAAAAGTATCTGACGACTCTTACCCTGACCTGCTAGATTATCTGAGTCTAAGGTGTCTAGGGGTTGAGAGAAAGAGAAAGAAATTGGGGATCGAAATAGACGCAATTTCTGAAAGAAAGCGAGTGTGAAAGGACGCTGGTGGTAACAAGGGGTTCAGTTAAGAGGGAGGTAGGAAGGATCAAAGAGCGTTGGTTTAAGGTGCAAGTGCCTTCCACTGCTGCTACCTTCCCTTAGACACGCCTAGTTCTGCACCTCCAAGCCAGAGGTGCCTGCTTCACCTTCCACCTTGCTTGGCTGCCTGGCTTCCGCTCTGTGACTCTCTGGTAGCTTCTAGAAGGCTACAACAGAGGTCACTGTACTACCTCGGTTCACTTCCCTGCTATCTGCCATATCCCGAGTCTACGGAGAAGTCTTCAGCGATTCGGAAAGAAGGCGTTATCGTAACAGCCAAACTACGATTAGCGGCTGTGTTTAGTTTGCCCAAGACAGGAGTGGATTGTTGCTGCTGCCAGCCACAGCCGGCATATATCAGTTTCGGTTTTTGGGGGCATCTATTGTCGTCGGCCTCCTATTTCTTGACCGTTCGACCGATTTGCACAGCACCCTTAACGACTTCATAACCATCGGCTTCAGAAAAACCTGGTTTTCTCCCGTTTTTGGCGATTTGTTCTCCCATTGAGATACCAGAACAGGCTCAAACTGGACCACGGCCTCCCTCCGAGACAAACATTTGTCTGCTACACCCAGATAGAGGACCGTACTTGTTGTGTGACGGAACTAAGCAACTCATCCTGCAAGCGTCGGCGGTGTTTTGTGTCATTCCTGACTTCCTCAGCCAGCATACGCGTTTTGACTTGATTCGATAGGCGCCGTCCTCGTGTCAGTGTAAGTCGCAGATTCAGAAGACACACGGTCGACGTCTTCTGGGGCAATTGTTTACTAACAGACGCAGGTTTTTCTTATTCCACCGTCTAATTCAAACCCGCTCTTGGTATTGTACGACAAAAAACCGTCACTATGCTTGCTGTCGAACGCCCCACGCCGCCAAAGACTGTTTCTGGCAACTCAGACAACAGGCCTGAGGAAAAACCAGAGCACACTGGACCGGACGTCATCCAACCTCACCCCCTTATCGATGATCTCCTGCCTCAGCAACTGGGCCGTGGCGTCCTCATTCCACTGAAGACGACACTGGAAATCCGTCAAGACCATACCATAGTTCAAGCCTTGCTTACCAGAGCTCCTGCCAAATCCACCAATGATGTCGTCAAGTAAGTTAAAGCGAACAGAGAACTCTGGGCAGCATGCTAATCGAGACCTAGCCTTATCCGCTCGATGCTTCCTGACGGCGTGGCTAACAGCTTGCCTCACTTGCGACGATGCGCTAAACCAGCTGATATTCCTGCTCACCTTAAGACGCAGTTCATGAACGACTCGCCGGAGGGACGCCAAGTCCACACTGGCAAATCGACTTGGATTTACATCATGCTTGGCGAAGAGAAAGACTTTGACAGAGAGAAGTTGATCGCATCCCTGACTGCTATAGAGGGCATGGACGAAAATCTCTTCCTGACTAGCATCCCGATTCCATTGGTCCCGCCTACCTCACAGGTTCAAGCGGCCATGTGGACGTCGCAGTTCTGGCCTACAGTGTACAGGAAGAACAATCCTCTTGGGCCCCACCCTAGCATGGTGGGCCGCTCAACCGATACCATCAGGGACGAGACGTCCTTGTGGATGTCCGTTGCCCATCGTGTTGCTCTCCAGGCCAAGCAGGCGGGAATCGGTGAACCCATGGGTGCAGTGATTGTTCAGCGCGAGGGCGGCAAGTCTGAGCTGGTAGCAGTTGCCGGAGATGCTCGTTGGCACCAGGAGCCCAACAGAAGCGGTGGCGGCAATCCTATGGGCCATTGTGTTCTCAGGGCTATTAGCATGGTCGCGCAGAAGCTTGTGCGACATGAAAGACGGATGGCTGGTCTTCCCAATGATTCGCCTACTCTTGAATTTGACATGTTCCAAGACAAGCCACTCGTTGAAGACGAGAAGAGAGTCTTCGAAGATGAGCACCCTAATGCAGATGGCTACCTGTGCCACGGCATGGAGCTTTACCTGACCCACGAGCCTTGTGTTCAGTGCTCTATGGCTATTCTGCATTCACGCATGGGCAAGGTCGTCTTCGCGCAGCGAATGCCGCTTACCGGAGGCATGTGCTCGGAAGACCGCGGACATGGCCACCCGGAACTGGAAGGCTGCGGCGGTGGAGAGGGACTTGGTCTATTTTGGAGACGCGAGCTGAACTGGAGTTTGTTGGCGTGGGAGTGGGAATCGAGCGATTGTGTGGAACCTTTGCCGCCGGTTGATCACAGTCACCATGCTTAGTCCCCATGGGGCTTTACGACAATACCTTGGTGCTTATGGCCGGGCAGCCGGTCTAGGCTTGAGCAGTCTTCGTGCGGTGGGAGGCCAGCGGTGATGATAAAACCTGTTGGCAACCCGGGCACACAATTATCGATAGCCTCTGTACGCCGGACCTTACATCAGTCCCTTGATTGCCTTCATACATTAGAATAACTGTACTGTAGTGAGTTGAGGCATTGGTTTGGAGGGTCTAAAGAGGGGTTAGATAGTCCTCTCAACTCTGGTCGGATGTGGTGTCGGGAAGAAGTCTCAAGCGCAGTTTGGGAGTGACACGGTCAGAAATTATACCCATGCTGTCTCATGTGTAGCTTACAGCATCTTAAGCAATGAACAAAGCAGATTGTTACACATGTTTTACTAACATAAAGATGCCTACAAATAGTGAGTTTGGGATGAAATCCATTCTTCCAGCCAGCTTCATTATCTCAGTTGAAACATGAGGTCCGCAACGACCAGGCGTTTGGCTGATGGCAAAGGGAGCAGCGCGCTAAGACAGGTGAGGTCTGCTGTGCTGCACCATACTGCGGGGAAGGATATGTCCCCTTATCTTATCAGCAGACCCAAATTCAGCAATTGCAACACACCAAGAGCATTCCGCAGAGCCAGCCGTTGGTCCCTCGTCGCCGGCCCTTGCCGTTTTCTACATTCTTTCCCCGTTACATGTTTCGGCATGCGCCCGAACAAAGGCAGCCGCTGAGAAACATAATTTTGAACCCGCAGCCTTCGAGACTCTTTTTTTCGCAAGCCGGCCGCAATATGACCCGCCTTTGACTCCTCCAACGCGACTCGCACATGTGGCTTTTCCAGCGACCGACGTATGCGGCTACAAGCTCCCTGGGCAAAGACCGTTAACCATCACCTCCTCAAGCCGAGAGCTCCCAGAACATCCGCACCCCCGGCGCCCCCACCGACCCTGACTATAAGAAGCGCAAGTAGCTCGGAAGCTTGGTGGAGCACAAGGGCTAAGCCAGACGAGCAACCCGAGGGAGTTTTTATCATCCTACGACGCCTACTTGACGACATGCCTGCCAACAAGAGGGGAGCTCCCTCCGCAAGTGAGCCGAGCGCGAAGAAGCGCAAGACGGACCTGAAAAAATGGTATGCCGTCAAAGTCGGCAACAGGCCGGGCGTGTACGAGACTTGGGCAGAATGCCAGGCGTTGACTGCAGGGTTTCGTGGAGCTGTTTGTGAGTGAAGCTGAATTGATTGCCGAGTCTCTTGCTTGACCGCTCGCGAGCTGCATCTAATCCATGATCTTTCCACAGACAAGTCTTTCCTGTCCGAAGAAGAGGCGAAGGCGTTTGTGGCAGGAAAGAAGATACCCAATTCGAGCGGGAAGCCGGAACCGGTGAAGTACTACGCTGTCGCACGCGGTAGTTTTACGGGCATCTTCAACGACTGGGAGAAAGCCTCCTTGGCCATCGCGGGGACCAAGGGGCCCAAGTATAAAAAATTTGAAAGGCTCCATGACGCGGTCGCTTTCATTCAACAGTGGGGAGACGAGGCTACCATCTCTAAAGTCCTCGCCGCTACCGGCATGGGGCCGACTGAAGAGGATGAAGATGAGGACGATGACGACGACGACGACGACGACGAAGACGACGACAGTGCAGAGTCGGGCCTGGCACAGATATACACAGATGGCAGCAGTCTGGGCAACGGAAAGGTAGGCTCCTCGGCTGGAGTAGGTGTATACTTTGGACGCAATGATGCCAGGTAAGTTTTGCAAAACTTTTCACACGAATGCCTCACACCTTGGGGCCTAGCCGTCAGGAGGACGTGCAAACCAGCATTCTCCTTAAATATTCCCCTAGTATCATGGACCGGGGAGCTGACAGTTGATCTAGAAACATCTCAGAACGCCTCGAAGGCGAGCCTCAGACGAACCAGCGCGCAGAGCTCACTGCCATCCTACGTGCGCTCGAGGCGACACCGGCCACGCAGGGGGTTCAGATTCTGACTGACAGCAAATACTCAATCAACTGCGTGACGGCCTGGTATAAGAGCTGGGAGAGAAATAACTGGCGAACGTCTACGCAAGAGGACGTCAAGAACAAGGACCTGGTGCAAGCAATCCGCAAGAAGATTACCGAGCGCGAGGCCGCGGGCACGCAAACCGTCTTCACCTGGGTCAAGGGGCACGCGAACACGGCGGGCAACGTGGCGGCGGACCAGCTTGCGGTTGCGGGTGCCAGAAAGCCATTGCCGACCACCAAGGGCCGCCGGAAGCTGAAGACGGAGATTGACGAAGATTTCGAGACTCAGCTATTGTTCTGAAACGAGGCGATGCTCGAGGGAGCAAATCACGGCGGAAGCGCGGCCACGGGTGAGGGAGGGGTGTTCGATGACATGTGGACGTGGGAACAGGGTATGACATGAAGAGAGGCTGCGTGCCGGTGACGCCTCTTTGAGCATCTGTGGACGCCCGATCGATATCTCATAGCCTCAGCTCGAACCAAAAGGCTGTTATGTCTTCTCTCTACCGCCGACGGAACCGTGGCAGGCGAGCGCGAGTGCATGGATGAATCGCCGGATGGAACTAGGGCACAAACATCCTTTCCCTGTTTGGTGAATACGGTGTATCCTTATGTCTATATCTCCCCCTCCCCCTTCTCTCCGAGAGCTGTTTGATATCCCGCTTGTCCACAAGGGCGATCTCAGCTTTTGGCATTTACTTTATGTTGTAAACGGATCTTGGACCTTTTCCCACCTTTGCCAGAGGATACAAAGGAAAGTGGACGGAACGAAGGGAAAGCTGGCACAAGACCAGGATGTGCGGCAGCGGAAGGGATTGCTTGATCTGTTCCTGTCAGCTCTGGCGAATCTCCCTCCCGATGGAAGTCTTTCTCCCTTCTCATGTGGTAGTTTTGTGGTATCTTGTATTTGTTTGTTTTGCTTTTATTTTTTGGTTTTTTTTTTTTTCCTCGTCAAGCCGGATGGATGTCATGGATGGGTCCTGTTTTCTTTTGCTACGGAGATATCCCCCTAAGTAACTGAACCTCTCTTATTCTCTCACCAGACTTTTCGTGCTGTGGATTTTTTTATTTATTTATTTCGTAGCAACTCGAGGCCGCCTGCCATGTTGTTTCTATCATGTCTGCATAGTTCGGCATTGCTAACCAACCATGCCGTTTTCTCTCCCCGTGTATTTCCCGTGCGTGCGGGTGCTTTCAAGTACTTCTCCTCCGTCTGGAGTCGTCCTTGTCTCACCCGTTTGGTCCAGAACCAGTGGCGTCAGGTTTCATCCCGGCCAGCCTTAGACCCCCAACCCTCCCCCGCGGCTTACCTTTCGTGGATTATAAAACTAATTTGATCTTTTCGCCACGACTAGTTAACCAAGCAGCTAAAGCTCTGGGGTTCAAACAGACTAGAGAAGTTCTCACTCGGTGGTTCGCGTAAGATGCCTGGCAGGCATATTGAGAGGGAATTATCAGACACCCGCCCCATGTCCGATGAGAGATAAAACGGCCGCACATCAGTCACCGCATCCGAAGTACACTTACATTCAAAAACCGCCGCCTAGCTACTTTGGCAGTCTTTATACCGTGCTGTATGTACACAGCCCGTAAAACGGGGTTCAGGCTTTTATGCCCGGACTGGCGCCGCCGCCAACCTACGTTTTACTTACCCCACGTGTCAAGCCTGCGGGCAAATAACCAAAAAAGGACCAGCCGCTAACATTTTTCTTCCAACGCAGCAGCGGTGATGATCGGTAGATTTGGAGGGGTTAAAAATTACGTCTGCGGTGTTCATCCCGTTTTCTGCCGCCGCCGCCACCATCTTTTTTTTTCCTTTTCTTTGTCTTCACATCCTCACAGTCACCTAGAACAAATACACTTACCTACCACGCACACACACACTTACACTTATTCTCCCCGATTCTCCTCTCTGCGTCAACAGCTATCTTTGCCCGCATCTACAATCCCGATTTGGACACAGCGCAGATCACTCTTACCCAATCAACGTCATCCGAGTCTAAGACTTGCAGACCGCCCTTCTCTCTGTCTTACTTCTTCAGCCGATTCGAAGATTTTGAAAGGCGGGATCGCAGAAGAAGGGGAAAGCAAGGGAGAGTGCGCAAAAAGAAAGCTGCTACTCCCCAATGACAGTTAGCCACGCAAACTCCGCAATTCTTGTCGTCATTCCGAACCCCGCGATTCAACAGCAAAGACCCTGAACTGCGTAGGGGTCTGTTTTTTTTTGTTTGTTATTTTGTTTTATCTTTCGAAATTGACCGGTCAGCCCGGTTCAATCTTTGACTCTTGTTGTCCAGGACGCGACCTCTCTCATTGGAGGAGTCTCGCAAGAGGTCGCGGGGCTGGATTGTGATACGTACATTGTGGAGGATAGTACTCTTGGCGAAAGCTTGACTCTTTGTCAAGTGCGATCGTAGCGATGCCGACTCTAGCGATTACCAACTTCAACATCATTGTCGGTGTGCTGGGGGGCTGGATATCGTTATTCGGGTTGGTGTCGTTCCTCTGCAAGGAGACCTATTACCTTTCTGAAGCGCGTAAGTCTCGCAGTGTAGATGACTTGGGGATGCATGGTCTGGAACAACTTTGCGCCACCATCTGCATCTCTGGTCCCATTTTTGCCCGCTCAAGTGGCTGACAGCACCCGCAGTGATATCCCTCTTGGCAGGCGTAGCCTTCTCGCCTCCGGCCGCCAACCTCATCAGACCGCTAGAGTATGCGGGAACCCCGGAAAACGTGGACAGCGTGACGCTCGCCTTCTCACGACTGGTCTTGGGCGTGCAGCTGGTGCTCGCAGGCGTCCAACTGCCCAGCAGGTACTTACGCACGCAATGGAAACCCATGGCCCTGCTTGTCGGGCCCGTCATGACCTGCATGTGGCTAGCGACGAGCCTCTTGGTCTATGCCATGGTGCCGCACATTCCATTCCTGCATGCTCTCGCCATCGGCGCTTGCGTGACACCTACAGACCCGGTGCTGTCCAACGTGATTGTCAAGGGCCGCTTCGCGGATCACAATATCCCCAAGGAGTTACAGAACCTAATCATCAGCGAATCGGGTGCCAACGACGGGCTGGGATATCCGTTTCTGTTCTTCGCATTATACCTCATCAAGTACATCGGCGACGGCGGCAAGCAGGTGTCTGGCGGTGCCAGGCTGGCCATGGGGCTCTGGTTCGGTGAGACCTGGGGGTACACTATAGCTCTCAGCATCGTTTATGGTGCCGTCGTTGGATGGTTAGCCAAAAGGCTGCTGAGATGGGCCGAGAGCCACAAGTATGTCGACCGTGAGAGCTTCTTGGTGTTTGCCATCTCGCTAGCGCTCTTCATCGTCGGTACATGTGGCATGATTGGCAGTGACGACGTGCTAGCCTGCTTCATCGCAGGGAATGCCTTCACCTGGGACGACTGGTTCCGTCTCGAGACAGAAGACGATTCTTTCCAGCCCACTATTGATATGCTTTTGAACGTCACCATTTTCATATGGTACGGAGCCGTCTGCCCGTGGAATGATTTTCTTCACAATGAGGTGATTCCGTTGTATCGTCTTGTTCCGTTGGGGGTTCTCGTACTCCTGCTTAGACGTCTACCGTTTGTGTTTGCGGTTCACAAGAAGATACCTCAAATCGAACAGACAAAGCAGGCTATATTCGTGGGGTTTTTTGGTCCCATTGGCGTATCAGCCGTCTTCTACCTCTACGTGACCATCGAGTTTCTTCATACACTCAAGGAAGACGGGAAACCCCGATCTGATGTCGCTCACATGGACGAGGCTGTTCGGGTTATTGTTTGGTTCTTGGCCGTCTGCAGTATCGTAAGTTTCTCGAAACCCAACCCCAACGAGGCCTGAAATAATCGATTTAGGTGGTCCACGGGCTGAGCATCCCGCTTGGAAAGCTCGGCTACTATGCTCCTCGAACGCTGTCCAGGGGCATCTCCTTTATGAGCGGCGACGGTGACGATCCGCGGCCGTTCCGGATCCGAGGAAGGGTTTCCTTTCCTTTCGGCCGTTCCAGATCTGAAGGGCTCGACGCCGAGAGTCGGGCCCAGTCTGATAATGAGACGGGTCGAACAGTGTACAGAATTGGCGGCTCCATCATCCCTCGGGGACTTACAGACGCGGGTCAGTCTGCACCCTCCTCGAAACGGCCCGACGACCCGAATATGCATTCTGGCGCCGAAGACGGAGGTGGTGTAACGGGGGCGTCGGCGCCACCGCCACCTGAGCTCCCAAACCGCACAATTCGGTTCCCCGACGAGACGCCCGCCCCTCAGTAATTGCAGATTCTATGATGCGGACTTCCACTGGTTACTGTAACAGCATGGCCAGACTTGATGAAGGACACTCGCCTAGTGGCATTGTGCCATACCGTGCCGGTAAGTAAATTATGTGACATTGGCTTAACGTACGGCGGTGCGAGTGCAAAGAGTGGCTTTTTAGCTGTGCATGGAGATGTCCGCTTGGGCATCTGTGACGGGGAAAAGTCCGGCATGCTAGCTGAGATTTTCCCGCCTCACCTCGTCATTGGAGCCATACCTGAAGATATTCTTGCTTTCTGAACTCGGATGTTCCAGAGCCTGATTACGATTGGGTTTACCTCTAAACGGGGAATTAAGATAGTTACTTAGAGTAATTAGACATTACTGTCGTGTGATTCGCCATCGGTGTTGGTCCGGGCCATCGTTTTACACAGTGATACAATGAAAGGCGACGGTCGGATTTCCGCGAGACACCAAACCGCACTGGGATGCTGCCCATCCGTCGGTGGTTTTGTCAATAGCTGATCCTAGGCCAAGATTGAACTAGGTTACCGCCGCCTTTGCGACCAGCTGATAGGTTTTTGCAAGTTTTGCTCCGGTCAGATGAAGGCCAACTTCATGCGAGCACTCTAGCAAGTACAGAGTTTACATAATGACTTTATGCAGACCCAATTAATTGTGCGAGTGCGTTATGCCCCCCTGTTGGATGACGAGAGTGATACACATTGGCAAAGGCTAAAAAGGAACCAGGTGTCGAGGCGTTTTGGCGAGATTCGGAGCGACGTCGGGGCTGACGAAGAAAGCGTCGCATCTTGACTTTGGCCTCTGGGAGGTTGGCTTCAGTTAGCTGCTCCGACGGCGGGAAGTGGGCTGAAGTTAGGCAAAACAGGACAAAAATGAATTGATCGACTTGTTGAACTCTTGGGGACAGCAAGGGCGGAGTGATTGTGGTGGTATAGGCAGGTTGACACCATCTGCAGGAAAGGTTGCATTCACCACCGGGTCTGTTCCTGACGTTGGGAAGTACTACAGCCTATCAGGCTTCGAAAGTCGACCTCGGATGCACGATGCGCGTAGCTGCACCGTCTTGATATCGTACCAACCCGTTATCTGCCGGAGGTTGCGCTCTTTTGGAGGGGGTGCCTGCAACCGGTAGAGAGTCTCCAGATTTTGACGTGAATCTAGTGTCAGCCCAGATGTGCATGTGTGTGTATGTGTATGTGTGTGTTGCAGAAAAGTGGTATTGTGAATCTTCAGAAGAAATGAGAGGACACAGCCAATGGACTTCGTTGCTTCGCGACAGATGGGAGAAAAGGGATATGTCTCGGACGTGGAACAGAGCAGATGCTTTCTGGAAGACGGAATGGTTTTTCTGGGAAGAACGGTCCGGTGGAAGTTAAGTTCGGGATACGCTGCAAGGTGGCATCGTCTGTAGTTGAGCGAGGTAGGTGCTTCGTGGTTGCTGCATACTAAGGCCAACTAGGGCCCGAGGGGCCCCAACCTCGCAGTTGATAATACATTTAGGTTGGCCGGGACAAGAACCCAGGACTCGAGCCTACTTCCGCGGTGTATTCTCCGTCTGTCTTTGCGGTTGCTGTTGGTGCTGTAACAGGTAAGCGCCGAGGCGATGTGGGCTGAATGTTTAAAGGTGGATGACAGAGTCCGTGGAGAGAGCTAGTTTCTCGTGGCACTGGTTGATTCGGCGCAATTCGAACGCAAAAGAAAATGCCGAGTTGCTGTTTCCGTCCAACCACACAGAATAGTATCCAATATTGTGGCCAGGTAGATATTATGTAGATGCTATATCTGGCATATCGACAAGCCACTTGGCCAGAGCCGTCTCAGAGGTAGAGGGAAGAAGTAGCGAAAACCTGGTAATGGATCCCCTCGATGATGTTTAAGGGTACGAACAAGAACGAGAGTCGTATCCGTACTCTGTTCGGACCATTCACTTTCCTAGTACTAATCTGCCTCGAAAAAAACAAAAAAACAAGTATCCTATCCGTATTGCAGAGCCCAGGCTGCAAGATGAGGGGACACTGACGTTGGCACGTTGGTTGCTGGACCTTGTGCTTCACTACGTATTACTAGGGTGAGGTAAGTGAGGAGTGAGGGCACGAAATGGCAAGGAAGGCAGTGGCGGTATTGCAAAGACTGCATCACAATCTGGCCACACCTCAGCCTAGCTAGGCCAACAGAGGCAGGGCCAAGTGTCATTGACGGCTTGAAATGATACTAAGTACTGTGCCGCAAAGGCGTAGAGATTGAGGGATTGAAACAGTGGACTGGTCGGAGAGGGGGAGGAGGGGAGGTGAGGAGATCCAAGGAATGGAAATTGATGCTCTTTGGGCTGAAGTGGGTTCGAGAGGACAGCAGGATTGGCAGAATTACTGCACTCGCGAGGGCACAGAAAGTGCTCATCTGCGGTAGCGTAATGTCACAATTTACCAGGTATCCGTATCGACACTGGACGCGTGTTTTAGGCGGTGGTGCTTATCAGTCATTGCTGGCCCAGCCCTGGTTCAAGCGATGGAAGGGAGGTGGGCGTGTCTTGGTAGCTGAAGACGAGGACTCGCACTGTATTCAGACCCTAGCAAGGGACCACCTGATTTCGTCAAATTCCCATTGGGTAAAAGGGGACTGAATTAGGTGGGAACCAGGGCGTCAAGTGGGCTCTCGGAGAGGGCTGCCATCTGTCTTGGCGGCGCGTGGCGCAGGTGCCACACGGTGCATTCGCGTAACTGTTCCGTGCACTAGCACGGTACGTACCTGATTTTTCTCTTTCGTCTGCACTACTCCGTGCTAGCAAAGCTCTTATTTTTTTTTTCCTCTCGAGGAGGGGCTGCTAATTGTGTTCCGCTGCTGCTATTGTTACCAATACTCTTCCACTATCTATGCATGTACGAGTGGATCTGAACCTGCATCAGGTAATGATGCGTATCTGCTAGGTACCCAGCCACCCTTCACCACCAACAACGAACCCAACAAAACCCCGAGGGCATCTATACTAGCAAAGTGCGTCGTGTCAAGAGTTCCTGGGTAAGGTATACGCAGCAGAGTGGACACCCAGTCTGAAGGGTACCATTTTCTCATCCAGACACCTGGCGGCTGATGGCTGACTGCAAACCGGCAGGGGCTGTTGGCTTAAGCACAGGGCGTCAGCCAGTTCCAGCTCCCTCTCCCCCCCCCTCCATAAGAAAGCTCACAGCCAGTAAGTTTCTGGTGTGCTCAAGGTGGCCTACACTTATGCCAGTCAGTATCTTGCCCAGACTGGGAAGCTTGAGCACTGAACACTCGACGCCACAACGCCAGGTGCACCCAAGTACATTGACAAGAGCATATTTCTGCTGCTTCGCGTGCCTGTGTCTCGTTCCAACTTATAACGCAAAATCATCCCGTTATCGCCAATGAAGTAGCTATTTGCCGGAATTGCTAGCCACTAACGCGCAGCAAAGGCACATTTGTTGGCACATGGACCTCCTTCTGGACGGCCTGATAGCAGACAAGATCCATACCAGCCTTGCTCGTACTCGTTCAGTCCGAAGATTGAACGACGACGACCTTGCCTGAGCTTGCGTCAGATCCATATCTTCCAACGCCTAACCCGAATTCCTGGCGCCGTACATAGACACCGCTCTGCCTTGGCTTGATCTACCCTCCCCCTGGTCACACATACCATACAATAACCAACACACAGAGCGCACATCACCAATCTAACCCAACCTAAATTACCTGAAGTCACAAAACGACCAAAACGCCCTCGATCCACATTTCTGTTCCATTTCACCATTGTTCGTGCTATCGACGTGTCTGTGCCTGTGTCTCTGATTCGGCCGTCGCCCGGTTTGGCTGTACCTGAGTGGCTCGGTGCATACGAACCAACCTCTGTCTGTCCCTTTGGACATCGTCGTCTCCCACACTCTTCAATCCCCCTCAGCCATAGCCAAAAAAAAGACAAAAAAAGAAGTTGTTGCCTCTTACTAAAACCGAAAGAAAAAAAACCTCTCCGGTCACCGGGGGGCCCGTTCATCAAGGTCGCACAAGACTGGCCGACAACCGTCTCTGTCCTCCTCTCGTCGTTACCCCCATTTCACGCTAGACAAGACGTTCCTCTCCATCATATTCCATCAAACGGCCACCCGCTACACTTCCTTCAATCCACGGCCTGGACACACCTAGCATCCTAGCATTGGAACGACGAGCATTGGCCAGACTGATTGGCTTCATCTATCTCGATTTGCGTCGCGATTGCTCCTCCCCCTTGTTCTGACGAGAGCAATTTCGAGTCACCGCTTAGAGAGACAGACTTCACTTGTGAGACATTGTTACCGCCTCGACTGTCCGTCCGTACATGCGCCGAGCAAGCGGCAGTAGTAGCAGCAGCAGCAAGCAGCGGCATTGGCAGTACCTAGACAGTGGTGGCCAGCAAGAGACCAAGACTGGACTCTTCCAATTTTGGGCCTACAATTTCCGCCCAGCCTTTTCTCCCTCCCCCCCTCTGCTCATCCTAACCTAACCTAATATTACCACTCCCCTCTCAAACGGGGGAAACAAAAAAAACAAATCTAACGATTTTCTCGCTCTCTTTTTTTTAACTACCACCGACAATACACAAAGAAAGAGGGAAAGAGAGAAAAAAAAAAGAAAAAAAAAAGGAAAAGGAAGACATTCACATTCCCAACGCCACGATGGAATCGTAGTTCACCCTATCCACACTACGTATCAACTTCGCACCGTACAGATTACCCTACAGTCACGAACAGGCATCTCAATTTCCAAACTTTCAGAAAATTCCCCCGACGGTAATTTCTCAGGGTCTGTTGTACCGTGTATCCGCACCGCACCGCACCCACAACGCTGCCTGAGCCCAGTGCGACACATACACCCACACACTCTTTCTCTCCAAACACTTGCGAGAGAGACTCCCAGGGCGGACTCGCATTAGAGGGACACAGGACAGTGGGCCCCCACTCCACCGCCTGGGCTACACCACTTTACCACGAGACGCCCTTTTCCCCACAACATCCCCAGACCGAGCTTTCACCTCCCCTTTCGTCGCCGTCTCCGTCTCCGTTGTCGTTGTTGTTGTCGGCCTCAACTTCCATCCTCGATAATTGTTGCTGGCAAGGTATGACGACTGCTGGTGCCGCTATCGGTGCCAGCCCTCTGCCACCCGCTCCGGGAATGTCCGCCACCGTCGACTTCAACGAGTATCTGGATTACGACGAAGAAGGCTTCGGGGCCTCGAGTCCGTTGCCAAATTTCGATCTCTCCAACCCCGATACCCTCAAACTCTTCGAGTCATCGCAATCAATACACGAGACCAAGGTCCTAGAGCCGCAAACCACCCTCCTAGCCAACAGCACCGTCGCCGCAGCATCACCAGACTCCCTCGTCGACTCATTCCGAGACTCATCGTCCGACTCCGCCTCCTCGAAAAGGACCGGTAGCTCCGCCTCCGGAAAGACTGGCTTGACAGTGGGCGACGTGATGATGACAGATGGAGCCGATATCAAGCCTGACTGGGACTCCTCGGCGGCCTTCGTCGGCCGCCCTGAGGATAGTGTCTTCCTCTTCGGCGCGAATACCGACGCGACACTGCCCGACGGCCTCGATTTGAACGACGACAAGTTCATGGACGAGTCTTTCGACTTCGAGAGCGCATCCAGCAGCCCCAACACAGCCGCCGCCGTCAACATGGAATCGCCAGAAATGCCCACCATTCACGCAAATGGCCCACAAAAGGCTCCCGCCCTAAACAATACCAGAACCGCAGCTCATGGCAAGAGGAGTTCAGTGAGTCTTATCCCTCAGTGTCATGCCGGAAAACGACTAATGTGGTCAGCAATATTCCATTTCACAGCCCATGAACGGACTAAAAATGACCAACTCGAGAGAGTGCTCGCCAATGTCTCAGAACATGATAACGAGCCATGAGGCTTCCCCCTCGGCCTTCTTCACCAGCTCACCTTCGCCAAGCGCCCCCCCGGACTTTTCGAATGCCACCATGAACGCGATGAACCCCAATGGATTTTGGCCGGCGAAACTGGACCCGACAGCGCATCAGATGGTGCACAACATGTCCCTGCAACCGCAGTTTCACTCACACGATGGCCTCCCCGTCACTATGCCTCAGCAAATGCCAATATTCACCCAGCCAAATTACGAATTTCTCAACCGTGGTTGCCGGTTGACGATTCATCCGACACCGACCAAGTCCCGCGTCGAGACGCAAATTCCTATCAAAATGACTCTGTTCCCACTCCCTCCCGGCATTAAGCGCCTACACCTTCCCACGCATACCATTTCGAAGCCGAAGCTGCTAGCGAAGCCGCCAGCTGAGCGTTCTCCCGACACTCTGGAACTCTACACCATGCTAGTTTGCACTAGCGCGATGCAAAACGATGACAACAAGCGCAAGGCCTTCCAGCGCGCCGCAGCCGCCACCCACAGCCCTGTCATGAACGCCCGGTCTGCTAGTGATGACGACGACGAGGAGAACAAACCGCAAAACGGCGGCGAAGTTCGTATCTGCGCCGGCTGCATCACACGTGAGCGAAAGCGGGCGGCAAGGAAAAAGATCAAGAAGGTTGAAGAGGAAGAGATGTGGAACAGGGACGAAACGAGACGCGTGATCGTTTTCAATACACAGGAAATTAAAGAGTGGCAGACGCCCAACGGCGTTGTATCGGACTCGACAGTTACAGGACGGCCGGAGCCGGTAGCTCCTCCTGGAGCGATGCAAGTAGACGCGCCGATGAGGATTGCCTGTTACTGCCGACACCACGCAGAGAAGCTGGGTTTTCAGGTTATCTTCACCATCAAGGACTGGCAAGACCGTGTTGTCGCACAGGAGATGTCCCAGTCTATCATGATCACCGACGACCACAAGACGCACCCGATTCCCCAGCAGCTAAATCCCCCGGCGACACAGAGCTCGGAAAACAACCTCGTGCCTATGATGAGCACGCCCTTAGACACAAGCCCCCTTAACTCAGGAGGTGCCCCTTTCCGGTTGTCACACTCTAGCTCCGATCTGCAGAGTCTGCACCGCAACGCTGCTCCGGCCCCATCCTTCCCTGTCTCGAACCCTCCGAACAAGATCCCGGCCCCTACGCCTCCAACAACGGCCGCTCGCTCCTTGTCACGGCCGCCTTCTCCGAGCTCACACTCAGGCCCGATAACAAAGAAGCGCAAGGCTAGCGGGTCAAGGGTGCCCATCGGCATGGCGATGACTCGTTTGGATACGACACCTCCGCCGTCGCAAATGCCCGGGAACCCAATACCTTCTGCCCCGTCTGCCTCGACATCACCCTTCACCCCCAATCTCACCAGCTTCCACACTCCTCCCGATGCGGTGTTCCAAAACGGAGCTGCCTCAGGTATGCCTCAGCCGTTCGCTACCGGACCGCCCACCCCCAACAGCAACGACCAGACAATGTTCACCAACGCCAATCGGTCCGCCAGTATGGAGAACGTGGCGATGCCCATGTTCTCTGCGCCCGCGTCGGCCCACCAGAGCCGCGCACCAAGCCCCAACAGACTGCCGAACGGAGTGAACGCTGTGTCACAGAACCAGTTCAACGCCATGTCGTACCTGCCCACGAACGTCGCCCCTGCACGACCGCAACCGACCATTCACAAGATCATTCCCAACGAAGGACCGAAATCCGGCGGCATCGAAGTTACGATTCTCGGTGCAAGCTTTTACCAGGGCCTGGAGGTATTGTTTGGAGATCAGAAGGCTACAACTACCACCTTCTGGGGCGAGTCTTCTCTAGTGTGCCTCTTGCCCCCCTCGCCCGTTTCTGGGCCTGTTGTGGTCACATTCAAGCAGAGCCAAACGCAGACTGGACAGCCATTCCCGGCCCTTTCCAAACAGAACCAGATGTTCAAGTATGTCGACGACGACGAGGAGAAACTCATCCGCACGGCACTCTCGATTCTCGGTCACAAGATGTCGGGTCAAATGGTTGACGTCAAGGAGCTCGCTCAGCGCATCATTGGCCAGGGCGACTCAAGCTGGGGAGCTGCAGGCCCTTCTGGCAACGCGGGCGCCTTCGGCGGAAGCACCTTCAACATGAGCACTGAATCACAGCTTCTAAAGTGCCTCGAGTTGATTGATCTGGATGATAACCCGAGAATGTCGCGTCTGGACTTGAGGAGGTCTACGGGACAAACAATGCTGCATATGGGCTGTGCCCTGGGTTACCACCGTTTCGTCGCTGGTCTGCTCGCGCGTGGTGCCAACCCGGATCTGCGAGACAAGGGTGGCTTCACTCCGATGCACCTGGCGGCCTTGAATGACCACGAGTCGATCGTTCGGAGGCTGATGCAGGCGGGCGCTGATCCTACGATCCGAAGCCTTTCGGGTCTGCGGCCGGCTGATGTTGCCCGGTCACGCAAGGTGATTGAGCACATTCGTCGTTGCGAACGCCATATTCGATCCCGCAGCGGCGGCTCTCTGCACAGCAGAGCCAGCAGCGCCGCGTCGCTCAGATCCCTATGGGATCCTCTGGGCATGTCCAGCGAATCCGAGTCAATAGATGATGGCGAGGAGAGCCCTGAGTACTCATCTGGGGATTTTGAAGACGAGGAAGAAGAGGAGGACACCTGGCTCGATATGCGTCGTCGCTCTAGCGGCCATGCATTCACACCTCGTCCAGACCGGCAAGCCCTGCAGCGAGGGCACGATGAAGTGCAACCGGGACTCGCATCGCCCACGACCGCTATAGCGTCGGCTGTCAGAGACCAGTTCGCTGCTCAGATCCAGCAGTTCCAGCAAGCAATGACGATGCACTTCAACAATCTACCTCAAATGCCAGCTCTGCCGAGGATGCCTATGTTGCCCGACTATCAGGCCTATCTCCAGCAGAACCCTCTAATGGGCAGAGTTACGTCCTTGATGCCTGGCATGTCTGGTTCAAGGCCCGGCTCTGCAGACGACGAAAACCCGAGACAGATGGATGGACGTTGGTGGGATCTTTCGTCTTTTAGGAACAACAACAACAACTCTGCCCCGCCCCCGGCGTACGATGAGATCTTCCCGCAAGAGGAGCTTGACAGGAAGCAAGCGGCAGCCCTTGGCGCCGCCGCCGACGCTGCTGCCGATATCAAGTGTGCATCCCTGTACGACACTCAGACAACCGAGACTGTTGAGGCATCATCAAGCACGGCACCAGTGCCCAGCGTACTCAAGATTGGACGAAAGAGTGCCATCACCAAAGAGCAGCAACAGAACTTCCTCCGAGCCCGCGAGGCCAAGTTCAAGGGAATGCGTAGCGACAAGAATTTGTGGTTTATTTGGGTAAGTCAATCGGTCTGAAAAAGAGTCTCCTGGGGCTATTCACTAACAATGCCTATAGATTCCACTCCTCACCTGTATACTGGGTGCCATGCTGTACAGCCGATTCCCCCAGTACTTTACCATGGCCTTTGCCATGCTTCGATCTGTTATGAAACTCGACCAGGTCCCGAACACTGTCAGGAACGTTCAGGACCGCGTCGTCGAGGTCCTTTAAAATGCTTCTTCGCGTTGCGAGCCCACTTCACACTTGTTGGGCATTGGGGTGCGCCCCCATCTTGTTTGTGCTTAGGGGTCTGCTGATATAGGGGAGAAATGGAGTTGGTATCTCTGGGTATATGAAGGGCAATTTCAGTCCCTGATTTACAGCACCGTGGGGGAATTCTGGCGCGGTCTGGGAGTGCCTGGCCGGACCCTGGACATGGATATTGCGCAGCACGGAATCAAGGAAAGAGCTTTTTTCACGGGACCAGTAAGCTACTTACCTCACTGGGAGTTTTAGCTTGCTCTCCCTTTTTTTTTTTTTTTTTTGCGTGCTTTTCTTTTTAGTTTTACTTCTTCATTCGTTGGAGTAACGCGTGGGAAAGTCTCGATCGATATAGTATTGGCAGGAGAGGGAGGGACGTTACGAGGTCTAGATGGTCTCGAGGTAAGGGCTGTATCGAGTATATATAGCGAAGCTACTTCGAACTCTTTTATTTACATAGCGGCGGACGTTATCGGTTCAAGCCGAGGAATAATGTCAGTGGTACAATCACTTTTGCGGTTGTGATGGGTGAGATGGTGTGAGTTCGATAGTGCATGATTGATGTGTTTACAGGCCTTGCCTGTATATCTACAGGGTTCACTCCTTTCTTACACTTGGACTTGTTTCTGGTTCAGTTACTGGCGATTTTAGAGGCAGTCGATATGCGCCCCATTTCGCACGTTGTCTCTTTAGCCGACGGTTCAGAGTTTTATCCGTCGACGTCGCGATCGAATATCGAGCGTGAGTATGAAAGGCAAGCAAAGGAGATGCGGAGTCTGAACCTTGCGGTGTCGGACAGAGAGATGTCATGATTACAGTTTTACCGCCAGGCACTGACTGTTATGAGATATGTACACGTATTGCCCAACTTGCTCAAAATGCCTTTGTGCCGCCTGCATGATCTGCTACTGTCAACCGGGCCGTCGCGGTCGGTTTAAGGATGCGCCAGCATTTTGGTCTGGCTGCCACCGTCTGGTTAGACATTCATTTTGTGGAGGGTGTTGTTGTGATGAGGATAGGAAGGGCTTGGAGCAAGGAGTCTGACCTCTCCACCGTAGGACAAAAAATGAAAGAGCAAAAAAAAAAAACGCAATTCAAGGTAATAATTGAGAAAGAATGCGGTAGAGTGAGTCTACAAAAAGATTATTATGTTTGCTCGATAACACAAAAAGATTCCGGAACGGGGAATTGAACCCCGAGCCTGACGGAGCTCTCGGATGAGAGCGTCAAATGTTGACCATTACACCATTCCGGATTGTTGAAGACCATTGCGTTTGATCCTATTTATGAAGGGCTAACCCGAGCGCATGGACCAGCTCCACAACATCAGACTAACATCACGCTGGAAGCCGACATACTGTTCGGTTTCTTTTTCGTTTCTTTTAATATTGACCTGAAATAAGTTGTAATCGCCCGAATCTGGAGGTTAATGGTGTTTTAGAGACCCCCGCAGTGAAACCAGCTAGCACATCTGTTCCTCGCTTCGGGCTTGCTACACGAATGATCGTGCTGATGTGAGAGATGAACGAAGAGCCGACACGACACGACAGCTTCGACAGAGAACGTATTTCGACGCAAGGTACATTCTGCCCGCATAGTAAAGGGAACATCTCTTGACACATTCTTTTTCAGAGAAACCGATCAATCAACGCTCTGCAAGGCAAATCTTTCGCTGGTTGCCGTAAATCTAGAAGTCCCTCGTTCTCACGGGGAAACCCACACACCATATGATACCCTAGACCGGCATTGCGTGATATCTAGATACGACAGATGACCCATAACTCCGAGGGAACGGGTGCTTCCAGCCCTCATGAACCACTGAGAGCGACACGCAAAGTGTCGAATCTGCAAGGCCAATCGAGCCTCGAGCCATTCTGGCAGTTTACGCTCTGGAAAGTATACCTAGACTGACGAGATAATGTGTGGATGGCATGTCAACACGGCAGTCAAATCAACCAGATAGACTTGTCAGGAAAACATCACTAGAAGTGATACACATAATACCACTGCACCAGTTTCCACCCCCCGTGGCGATTGTCCAGATTACGCCGCATTCCCGTCCAACCTTCAATCACATAAACCTTAGCCAGCACAAGAAGTCTAAGAATCGAGGTCACTTCCACGTGCTGATTGATCTAAGCCACACACCAACGTACACGGAAAGCCCACGAGGCGAGTGACAACCAGTTACAAGTAATATCAGAGACGACGGGACCTTGAACACGTCATTCGCAGCGAAATCCAGCACGGATTCTTAACATGATCGACCGTGGCCGCGAGGCAAATCATATAACCGCACACTCTTCACATTCTCCAAGACGACTCATCCTTGGTCAGTAATGTCAGTAGATAACAACACAAGACACACACACACACACACACAGCAGCAGCAGCAGAAATCTCGTCGACAGGTAACATATGTATTCGGCCAGCAGGCGTCCATCGTCCGCCTCATCAAGCCAGACAACAACAACAACAACAACAACAACAACATACACATCTACCCGCGAAAACTCGGCTCATACCAAGCATCACATTCCCGCAGGCCACGTCCAGTCAGAAAGACTACAAGACGACCACAGACCGGGGAAACCGCCATGAGCACATCAAGAAAAAAAAGTAATTCCCACAACATACAAAAAACACCCCACCCACCCCCTTCCTACATCAAATAAAAAACGGTTTCCCATCCCATATCGACACATCCAGGTCCATATCCGGCATACTACAGCACGGATTGGTTGACGCGGAATAAAAAACGGCTGACATGGAGCACTTATTCGTCCCTCCCCACTGCTTCTCCATTCCGCCGTTTCCTCCAGCAGATGTACTCTACCAGATAGACAAGAACGTAGAGAAAGCAAATGGGAGAAACTGAAGACAGCCAAATGTCGCCAGATACATGAAGAGAGGAAGAGCTTTCCCTCATAAGAAGACGCGAAAATCGTTCAAGGACATCTCCCGTCCGTCCCGTAAGCATTGTGTAACGGGGTTTTAGTCGTGAGATTCATCCTCCTACTCCCTTCTTCTTTTTTTCTCTCCCTTTTTTTTCACACATCGTTGACCGTCTTTTCCGATGCTTTTCGTCAAATCCCTCCCCTTTGCTCGTCCTTTCTGCAGGATACTATCTTCAATCAATGTCATCTTCACTTCACGTGAAAACTAGACGAAAGTCTTCTCCTATACAGGTTCTTCAAGGGGAGGAAACGATACGTCGTACTATGCGGTCGATGTCGATTTCATAAAAAAAAAGAAAAAAAAGAAAAGAGTGTTCATTTCATGTCGTCATAGTCGTAAAGCTCGTCGAGATTGTAATAACGCCCGGCGCCTTTTCACACCCTTAGAATATAATTCCAGCCCACCATCACACGAGACAGCAAACACTTCGCTTGCCTCGCATCTATGTGAACCTCATACCCCGCCACCGACCTCCATGGTGATCACGCTCTTGCACGGCCAAGCCAGTGTTGAGGTGCGTGTTTTCCCTCTCGAAACCGTACCCGCGGTAGCCCTTGTACTGCTCAGACACACGCGGCATGGCCGAGGCGCCGTGGTTCGAGTTGGGCCGCAGACCGAGCGGCTCGGCGGCCTTGCGCGTGGCGCGCGAGGTCCAGGCCCGCGCCGTCTCCGCAAAGGATCGGCGCGACTCGTTTGAGTCGATACTGCTACGGCTGCTGGCGGCGTACGCCGGGTTCGGCGGCACGAAGTCGGTATCCATGGGTGTAGTCGACAACGCCGAGTAAGACGCGGACGGGGCGTGCTTGGACAGCTTGTTGCTTGCCCTGGTTGAGTTGCTGAATGTGCGCCTGGCAAACGGGCCTGCCCCACGAGGGGGCGGTGGGGGCATGTAATTCGGCGGTGGGGGAGGGGGCGGCATTGCGTCTGAGGCCTCCACCATGGCGTGGGAACGAGGTTTCCGAAGACCAGGGAGGGAGAGATCGACAGAGATGCGCGAGGCCGACTTGCGCAGCTTCTTGACGGTGGACATTTCGTCTTCGTCGTTGAAACTGCGCTTCCTGTTTCCGTCTCGGGAGTCTGGCAGGGGTTCAACGTCGTCCTGCATCGGCTGCAGGGGCCATTGCTGTGATACGCGCTCCGCGAACGACTTCTTGTCCACGGGCGGCCGCGTTGAGTAGATGGCGTTTGAGGAAGAGAAATTGGGCGGAGGGGGCTGGCGCGTGGAGCGAATGGCATGCGCGTCGAAGAAGCCGTCCTTCATCAGCTGCTGGTAGCTGGCCATGATCCCCTCCCTAGAAGGCATACCCGCACCGTGTTCCATTGCTGCTGCCGCCGGCGTTGGCGCGCCACCGCCGGTGCCGAATCCGCCGGCTCCGCCTCCTGCAGCGAGAAGCTTCCCGTCCAGGCTCAGTGGACGCTTAGCCCCCCTATCCTTATCCCTGACGAAGCTTAACTTCTCGCGGAGACCGCCCCAGAAACCTTTCTTTGCGACGTTGCTGCTCGAGGAGCTTGCGGGCCTCTTGACCTCGCCGTAGGTGACGGTCGGTTGGTGGAGAACGGGATGGCGCTGATGATGCGAGGACAGCAGCGATTGCGACGACTTGTGATGATGCGGCTTGGGAGGGGAGAAGACGCCGGCGTCGGGGGCTTCGACATAGAAATCCATGTGGAAGCGGCGCGCGATTTCGGACGAATCTTCCGGGCCGAGAAAGTCGATGGGCGGCGCGGCGGAAGTGCGGTCGTTCATGGAACCCTCGACGAAGCGCGAGTTTGCGCGCTGCATCGAGTTGGTGCGCTTGGCCGCGGGTCGCTGCGCAGTCGCAAAGCTGTTGGAAGTCGCTGGTGGGCCCATGATCGGATGAGAGGTCAACGGACCCGGCGCGAACGAGTCGTCTATATGCATTGCGATTGATGTATGCGGATGGTTCGATTTTGTTTGAGAGAGAGATTGGTGGTTCCTTGATATCAAATGTAGAGGTGGCACCCCTCTTCTGTCCTCGGTATCGAGATCGATGAAACAACCTCACGTCGTCAGACGTAATCGAGGCGAGAAGAGGTGTGAAAGGCGATCAGGTGTGCGGTAGGAGGAAATTGAGGGGGGAAGGGGGATGGTTGGATGTTGGTGCATCCAAGTAAGGGCGGGTTTTGTTTACTTTGGCGGCCGTCGCACCATCCGCAATCCGCAGCCCGCACACCCGCAACGGCTGCTGCTCTTTGCGTCGAGGCTTCTTCCTTGCGCACGATGGCAGGAAAAGGGTGCAAAGATGACGAAAAGCAATAAATAAAAAAAGGAGACCAGAGTATCAAATGGTTATATAGGTGTGTGTGTGTGGGGTGGGAGAGGGAGCAATATTGGAAAACAAGTTAAAGGCGACTGAATGGCAGGAGCAAGCGATGCGATGCCGAGGGGGTGACTGTTGATCTTGTAGGATTGGCTCCATTGGAAGGGCAACGACGGGTTGCGGTCGGCCGGGGTTCGATGTCTTTGTCTTTTGTCTGGAAGGGATGACGGGGGCCCGTTGCTCGGGCAAACAAAACGCGCCCACACTTTTTGGTAGGCGCGACCCTCCCGTGCTCCACTTGGGTCTTTGTCGGCCAGTGATGCCGTAACCTCCGCGCTGGCCCCTTTCGCCTTACTACGGAGGACTACTCTGAACTATACTAGTACCATGTAGGCTGATAGGATAGGGTAGTTAGGCTAAAGTGCTCTTAGTCTTGAGCTTTTTAGCAGGCGGAGACACGTGACGCTTGGACCTGTTTTTTTTTTTCCCCTTCCCTTTCTCCCTCGTCTATTCGTTTCCCTCCCTCTTTGGATCTAGAGTTACTAAATTGATTCGTATGTAAGGAAAGAATCCGAGGTGAGCTAAACGAAAACTCGGGCCGTCCTCTCTCTTGTCCTCCCCGCCCCCCCCTTTCCTTCCACGCATCCGACGCTTGTCAGAAATCTGCCACGAAGCGCTAGGACATTCTTTTGGTGTCTAGAGAGCTAAGAGATCCTTAGCCCGCTTAGCGCAACGTATATTGAGATCTGCGAAGCAAAACATACCGTCTTGACAGCGGATGACGCACCCACGCACATACAGATAGATACCTTTCTATATATGGACATATACACACAGACATTTGGCTTACTCTCTCTCTCTCTCTCTCACTTATCACCCACATAAACTCTCCTCGCGGCATCATTGTCTCACACAAACTTGCGCACCAGTCTACACTTTCAGCTTCAGAGTGACATTTCCATTTTCCTATACAAACTAAAGTCATGTCTGCAACGCCCTTGAGGCCAATGGACAAACCAAGTTCCACTCGATACAGTAATACCCCCAGAATAAAAAAAAGCCCAGTTAACAGAGGAAATTCAATAGGCAAGCCAATGACACATTACAGCCACATCAAGTGTGTCCATGTCTTCGTGAGCCCCAATCGTTTCGTTTTTGTATGCCAATCTGAAAGAAATCATACCGCGAACCACCTCATAGGCGGCCTAAGTCCGCTGAAGTAAAACATAGTAGGAAAAGAAGACATGAAAAGAAAAAAAAAAGAAGAAGAAGAAAACATGGGTTAGCTGACAAACAAGCCAAAAAGGCGGCTGCTGTCATCGCAGTGAGTGAGATGTCGTGTATGGATGACTAGACAAAAGGAAAAGACGGACGTGGGTAATGCCGCCATGTCGAAGTCCTTGATATATACAGTCGAATAAGTTGATAGATGTGTCGCAATCCGTCTGAACGCCTTGGTTGCCCGTAAACGCCTACGGCCCACATGTCCGCCTCAAAAGTGCTACCAAAACGCCGCCCAACACAAATGCGCCAATTCTTCTACTCGCGGTAGTTGTTCGATGGCTTGGATCCTACAGAGCCATCGGCACGCTTGTATGCCAATTCACTCCATGCTCGTGCGTTGTACATTTGGCTGCTGTGGTGGGGGTCTTGAGGTCGTTGTCCGTCGTACAGAGACCGCGTGTTTTCGGTAAAGGTGTCGGTGTATCCACGCTTTGAACCAGCGCGAACCACCTCAGGGGGAGGGGGCAGGCCGATCGGGGCAGCCTCAATAACATCGTTGCGCGACAGGTGAGGCGGCGGCGGCGGCGGTGCAGTCATGCTGTGGATAGGAGGCAGTTGCAATGAAGGCTGCGGCCTGTTGACGTCGACCAGGGGTGGCATACGGTAAGACGGCAGGGAATCCCTCCTGACGTCTGACTCCCGCCGCATGAGATCTGCCTCTCTCGGAGCATAGACTGAGGGAGACGGTGGCACTGCCATCGAAGATCCCCGTCGGTCGTACGCATCAAGGGGCGTCGGAGGCGGGTTGCTCGGGGCGTACTGCGAGCTGGGTCTGCTGGAGTAGCCGTGGCTAGGCGCCTGCTGGTACGGTGACGGCTGGCTAGAGTAGTACGACGCCGTAGGCGAGATGGGCGGCGGTTGAGCCATGGGCGGAGGGTGCTGCTGGTGAGGCGGGTAGGGTGCGCTGGAAGTATCGGCTCCAAACCGCAGGTAGGCATTTGATGGTGCGGCACCAGCTGCGTGAGGGGGCGGGGGCGGAGGGGGCGGCTGGAAAGACTCCACAGCGGATGGTCGTCGCTCGGGGGCAGGTGGATACGCGGCACGGTGTTCGCTGCTGTTGCTGGCCGACCTGGCTCGGTACTGTTCCGCATTGCTGCGGAGCTCGGGCGTTTGGGTCCTTCTGCTGTTCCTGTTGTACTCGCTGCTCTCCGGGGTGTTCTCGAATTCGTTGCCGCTTGGCTTTCCCTCCCTGCGTCTCATGCGGACATCGCGTCTAATACGGACACGGCAGCCCTGCTCTGAGATAGTCTTGCTGAGGTGGGTAGACTCAGTGAGACCGGGGAACTTCTTCGCGCTGAAGACGCTGAAAGGAATGGACTTGACAGCCATTCTGTAGTGGAAGCAAGGGTTCTCGTCGTCGGCAGGGTCGCTGTCGTGGTCACGGTCCTCAACATTCTTAATCTCCTCATAGAGGTGGAAAGCGAGAACGTAGCGGCCCTCGTGGCGGACCGAAAGGTCGGGGAACAAGAAGTAACCAGCCTCGCTGGGTCGGTCGAGGTAGGCCATGCCGGAGACGGGCATACCAGTCAGAACGGGAGTGGTGGTGGCGGCAGGAGTCTGAACGCGACCATGGGCCATAGGGCGGGCGGGAGCGAGCTCAGCGAAGAGGAAGAAGTTTCCATTGTAGGCCATGGTGACATCCTTGGCCTCCTCCTTGCTCATGCCCTTTTTAACCTTCAGTTGAACAACGGGTGGCGGGTCGACGGGACGACGATCAGCGGCAGCTAGCCAACAAGGTCAGGACGGTGCACTGAAGGAAACAATCGAGGAGCTCGTCAAGGCAATCTTACACTTTTGACCGGAACCGCAAGCGCGGGCGCGCTCCGGCTGTTGCAGGACCGTCAATTCATAGAAGAAAAACGGACCACCTCGCGTGCGGCGCTCGTGGAACGAGTGAGTCTCGGTCACCTCCTCGATGGAGGTCGGCGGACGGGGTTCGAAAGCCATTGTGATCGTTTACGGACTCGATATCGTCTAGGAATGAAAATGGGTTCGGTCTACTTCAAATTACGAATAAGGGATCTCTTGGGGCTGCGCAGATGTCAGAAGAATTGATCCAAACAAGCGACAGCAGCGTAGTGCAGGTCCCCCGTCCAAAGGCAATCCGACAAAATGGATGTGGACGCTCCGGCAGAAGGGAACGCAGGGCGGCTGGCTATTCCTAACAGTGGCGGGCGACTCACTGTGTAAGTTGGCGAAAGGTTACGATCCCAGCAATAATCCTCCACGTCCTAGTTACCAAGGCTTGTCGTTGTGTGTCGTATGTAAAGGAACGTTGTCGAGGCGGCGACAGCGATGGCGACGACTGCGATGATGCGGTTGTCGAAGATCGCAGGCGGCTCGGTGGTGGTGAACAGGTGTAAGAGGGAAAGGGGGCGATGAGGTGGGAATGGGGATTTGAAGAGGGAGAGTGAGTGAGTGGGACGGGGTGGGTAGAAAAGAGTGGGAAGGGAAGGAACGCAATTGGCTTTGGGGGGTTGTCAGAGTGGTTGATGGCTGGGAACCAGGTTGGACCAGGGGAGAAAAGGAAGAAACCGTGGACAATGAGCAGTACGGAGTGGACGGTGGACTGTGGACCAGGACTAGGGGGGTGGATTAGGCCTGAACTGGCCAACTTGGAAGCAAAGACAGAGACACTGTGAGAAGTACCCCTACTATGGAACCCTGTCTAAACCCAAGTTGGGGGACGGGGGGAGGGGGCGTGGGTGTGAAGGAGAGAGAGAGAGAGGGGACCCAACGCCTCGGACTGGGGCCTAGCTGACTCGGCCTTCATTGGTAGAGACGAAACTGACAATGACGGCGGCCGCACTGCCCTGCTGAATGACCTTGACCTACTAGTACTTTGTATGCTATGCGCAATTGGGATCCAGTCCGTACGTAAGGAGATACAGATCTTTTTGCCTTGCTTTTGTTCTCCTTGCACAGTTCATGAATTGCAAGGTGGATATGCGGACGAAGAGATAGATGAGAGACTAAAGCGAAGACAAGAGGCATTCACTGGTTATTGGCCGTGCTGAGTGGAGATCGAGATGTATGGTTTAGTGGGCGGCGCCTTTACATTGGCAAACGCCGTGGCTGCACCACTGGCTATTGAAGTGAGATGACGGATGAGGAAGACACACAGCGGTATTTAGGGATGAGGATACAATACATACAGTACAGAGCCACGGTAAACCACCCCGCTAGGCGTCGGCATGAGCACTACGCATACGAAATACACACACTCGTGCATACATGCATACCTACATAGTAGCGTACGAGTAGAGAGAAACAGACACAGGAAGCCGACGACTGCTCGCAAGGAATATACCATCACTATCACCATCATAGGGGGACAAGGGCAAGGGCCAGGGGCGGGGTCGGGCAGGGGAGCTTGAAAGAGAGAGCCAGGCCGGTGATACTGCGGTAATGCCAGGCAGGAAACCAGTCCGGGATACCTCCGACACCTGCCCATTCCTCTACCATTCATCAAGTACCACACACCACAGTGGTACACTTGGGTTTGTGGGGCCCCATCTCAGGGAAGAAAGAGGCTAGTATGACGACCTGGGGGTGGAAGAGACGAAGCACAAGCCAGCGGACGCTAGATACAGACCAAACTAGTCCAAATGCGTAGGGCATTTCGTCGTGCGCACATGGGGCCAGTCCCAGCAGGGCCTCGCCAGCTGCATGCTAAAAGTGCTGGCGCTGGGCCATCTCTTTCCCGTGCATCGTTTTCTGGCCGGACTGGCGTTGGGCGGTTCGCTGGACACCAAAAAAAAAAAAAAAAAAAAAAAAAAAAAAGACTGGCCCTTCTATCTTCCCTGGTTACTCGTCTCCCGTTCACAGGTAGTCGAGTAGCACGGAGTACAGTGCCTCCGACTCAAGGTGGATACTGGTGTAATTGGAATTCGACGGTTCAAGTTAGGAGAATCTCATTTTTTAAAAATCTACGCTGTCTCCTTGCGGGATGGCCTCACATTCCGACAATGGATGGAAGGTTTTTTTGGGCTGATTCCATCTCTGAGCGATGATCACTGATCAACTACTTTTCCAGCTGAACGGTTCGCTGTAGCGTGCTCACCAGCTGTTGGGCGTGCGTATGTCTCTCCCGGCACGGAGGTACCCTTTTTCGATCCCCTCAGAACAGACAGAGCACAGCATACTTTCTCTGCCTTTTATTCGGCCGTGCTCAGTACCAGTGCTCAACCCAAATGCACAAAGAGCCGAAATCTCGGGATCGATTTGAGGGGAAGGAAGACGTATACTGCTTTGCACTGTGCCGCTTTGCTGTGCGAGAAGAGCGAATTGAATCCAAGAAGCTGCATTTTACTGGTACTCAGTTTTTAACTGCACTGCGTAGTAAATCCATAAATCCACGCCCACGCACATATCATGAGAACGAATACGCTGCAATAGAGTCCTGGCCTAGCCAACCATCAACTTACTTCAAAAAATACCACAGATACAGGCGCAGGCACGGACAAATGATGACCTGTTGGACTCAATCTACTAGTTAGGAACCAGGCAAATCCAGCGGGCAAAAAAGCGACATCCTGGAAATAGGCGAACGAGGAACATTAAAAATGGAATTGAGACTGCTACTGTACCGTGGATGGCATGTACCTTTTTTTTCTTCTTCTTCTTTTCCCCCCCCTCCCTTCCCTTCCCCGGCGCCCGCCAAAAACGCCGCCAACCCGCCCATCCATCCATCATCACACCCAACCCAACCCAGGGATCTCTTGTCCCCCGTCCCTGTTGCTGCAACTCCATCTGCAGCTAAACAGTTGCTGCAGCTCGCAGTCGTGGGTGTGGTTGCCGTCAGGCCTTTGTGCCCGCTCTCGGCCTTTCGCGCGGATGTAGCTCATCTTGATGAGCCCCCGACCTTTGATTCGCTCATCACCCCATCTCCCCATACCCCACTCTCGGCTCGGATAGACCAATCCCGTCTCATTGTCCGTCCCAGCCCTTGCGCGGCCCCCCCTCCCTCCCCTGCTTTGCCCATCCATCTTTCTCGTCCTTCCCCCCCCGCCCTTGTCCATGCCCAGAGCCTATCCAAGCCAAAGGTGCCAGCATCTTAAAAATCACTACCAATGGGAAATAAGAATTTGAAGACGGGCCCTGTCGCTTGTGGTTGCAGCCAAGATACAGTGCGAAAGGTATGACCCACCTCCAAGGGTAAGGGACGAGATATGCTTGCTCCCATCGATGGGTGTGTTAAAGCCACCATCGTAACTTACATACGAATCACCTTAGGTAAGATGCGTGCTGATGCCAGCGCTTGTCTTTCTCTCCTCCTCCCCCCTCTCCTATCACCGTCGAGGGCTTGAATCATTGTGCACCCCGGAAGAACTCGCCCGTCGTGGTGAGACATTCTGCGTACTACTACGCTGCGAGCTCCTCTCTATCAGTATCGGCTTCATCGCATCGAAGCTACCCGATGCCCACTGGGCCGTTCGACTTCCAAAACGTCCCACTCATGCGTGCGTGCGTGCGTGCTTCTGCTGGTATAACTTCGGATGGAGGAGGAGAGCAGGTGCCTGCAGCCTCTTTTTTTTTTTTTCCAATATGCATCCAGCGGGCAATTATGCCCCTCTCCGCTCTCTAGCTTGCCACAGCCCTTTTTTTAAACCTGCATCGCCTCATCCAGTCAGCTAAGGTCTCGGCCTTGCACTAAATTTATGTGATGTGCCGTGCCGTCGAGGTGCACGATCGGCACATTGAGAGGCTGAAGAAGCCTTTCGGGCCCATAATCCAACCCGGGTAGGGTATCCCCGTACCACTGCGCTGCGTCAAGCTTCCTCCGGTATGAGAATCAAACAAATATCCTATCCCTTCGTTCCTCGTCTACCCATCTTTGGGGGGGCCATGGCAGGACCTGCATTCTTCCATGGTCTACGAGATGAAGCTGGCTTCCGCCGCTCCCGCCGCTCCAAACGTACCAAACAAATTAACATCTAGGTTCCATTGGCGGGGTGGTGAACCGAGTCGAACCATGGCGTTCGAAACGGGCGTTCTGTGAGGCGCTGCAAGGCATCGGATGGCCTCACCCTTTCATTTTTTCTACTTCCAGCGCAACGACCAACCCCGGCATGACGGGGAGACTCTGTGCGAAGGATGAATACGGGTCCCTTGCCTACAGTGACAGAGTCTCCGTCCCATCGGCACTAAACCATCCCCCAAAAAAAGCCAAACCCCAGCATCTGGGGGTCATGTCTTGTCGCCTGCCTCAGATTGAGCTTGGCTCCAGTCTGGGTCGGCCGAACTTTGGAAACACTATTAATCGGGCCCAAGGAAACACCGTAGCACCCGAACAACCGTTCCCGGTCTCCGTGTGCGATGAGATGCTGAAAAGACTTGGAAGCCAGGGCAGCAGCGTTTACGCCTGGTCCGCGACGCTCGTCATAGGGCGTGGAATAGGCTTTCTGACGCATGCCACGAGTCGGGAGTGTGGGAAAAGCTGGTAACGCGTGACTGTAGGCCGTAGCGGCTTGCCACTCGCGTTTTTCTTCAGACGTTCATGTGTTGTCGATATTCCTTTGACGGCTCTTCCGAATTCCCGAACCAAGAAAAAACGAAACTAGGCGTCAAAGGAAAATCCGAGGTTGACTGAATCAGTTGCGCTCCTGACCAAGGACAGTTCCGAATGATCAGCGTCTACCGAGTGCCCTTGACTCCACACAGGAGATTTTTTGATGTTGGCATTGGTCAGGTTAAAGAAGGCGAAATGAATGGTCAGGGTCCGCGCACACGGATGTGCTATGGGGGGGTTTGGTAGACGGGAATGAGTTAGAATTTGGACATCCATACTTGCTTTGTACTCAGTGGCAGATGTGATTATGTGTACGGCTTTGCCCCGTATCATTGGGAGAATGAGACTCTTGACGCTTTAGGAAGAGGGGTGAAAAAAAAAGCAAAGACGCCTAAGGGTTGATCGTCCCCCCAAGCACAACTGTACAGAATGGCAT